GGGCACTGTCTAGGTACTCTCGCTCTCTCCCCAGGGTCCAGAGTGCGACCAATAGCACTGAGTCGCAACCAACTCACAAAATCTGGTGCATTTTTACGTGTTGGGGGGTAATCAACAGCCTGACTTCTCAGATCACACAACGTCGGGTTGAAACTAACCCGAGTGCAAAGTTCTCTGTTCTCCCGGCCGCTTGTTTTCTGGAGCACAAGCAATCCATCAAGAATGAGTTGCTGACCACAATCCATCTCGTTTTCCTTGTCGTATCCTCCTTTACCGAAGCGCCAGGGTTCTGACCAGCAGGTGCCGCTTTTTGCACAACCACCGATTGGGTATTTGTGCGCTGTGCAATTACACCACTCACAAGTCGTCTCCAGGCAGCATAAGGTAGTCAGTCAGCAAGACAGGCAACATTCACGATGGATGGCGGCAACTTCAATCAGATTAGGCCCATCTTTAGCCTTGGCCAGCATGATTCCGAGAGAGATCAGCCTCTTGACGATCTCCAGTATGGCCAGATCCTAAACGCTGGTGTAAGTCCACGATTGAGACCCTAAAATTTCTGTTCCTCATTAAGCTTTGACAACAGGTCAACTTTGTGACAGCGCCCATCACCAATAGGCACTTCCACGCACGTGTCAAGAACCTTGTTTCTCAGCATCTCGCCAAGGAAAAGAAGGGCACTGCTTCATTGGCGGACGCCGTGGTGCCTCCTTTGACCCCCAAGGACACCTCCCTCTTCCCCAGCCATGCTGTGACCACTTACATCGCCTACGCCAGCCCCTGGATCGACCTGGCCTCCGTTGACCCTGCCGTTGCCAGTATTTCTCGGCAGGTCCTGAACCTCGAGATCGCCTACGCCAACTTTTGCGGCGTGAGAAGCATCATCATCCCCGGCCCCAGAAGGGACGCTTCCAAGAATGGCGGAAACCAGGGCTTGTCTCAATATGCCAGAGCCGTGCAGGAGGCGATGACCATTGCGTCGCGCCTCAACTTCATCATTCATCTGCCCATGTACCGGGAGCCGGGACTGGAGGAGAGCGTCGAGCTTCTCTCGACTTTGTCAGAGGTGCCTCACCCTGAAAACAGCAAGGAGATCGATATCTACAGCGCCTGGGACTCTTGGCACACTGTCCGTTCAGTCTGCGAGTATAGCATGCGTCTGTATGTTTGTAAGACAACTCATCATGTCTGTTCTAAAAGAGGTAGACAACTAACCAGTTCCAATAGCCATTCGCGTCCCCCGAGCTCTGCCCGAGAAGGCGCTGCAGGACAAGTGGTTCGCCGAACCCTTGCACTTCCTGTCACTCAGCGGAAACGCATTTCAGAAGAACAAGACCGGACACCCTGCCCTGCCCAGGGCCCATCAGGATATGATCTTCAACTATATGCGCCTCAAAAACGCCCCCTGGCTGCTTCTCAGCGACGTCGGTCCGGACCCCGCCTCGCTGACAGCCGAGGCACAGCTCCAGGCCGCCAGTCTCGCGAACGAGGTCCCTACCGCCGCAGACTTTCCTCCCTTGGGCGAGTCCCCAGCCCTCGCCACGGACTCCCTCAAGTCGTTCCGCACCTACGTAGTCTACCTCAAGTGGCTCGAGATGCAGCAGCGCCCGCTGTCATACTTGGAGCAGACAACGCTCACCAGCTTCCAGGACTGGCTGCAGTCGCCCCTACAGCCCCTGTCCGATAACCTGGAGTCGGCCACATACGAGGTGTTCGAGGGCGACCCTGTCAAGTATAACCAGTACGAGGCTGCTTGCACGGAAGCGTTGGCTGAATGGCACCAGCTGGGCAGAGCCACCTCTTCCAAGGACGGCGCCGTTGTCATTGCCGTTGTGGGCTCTGGCCGCGGTCCTCTCGTAACGAGAGCTCTCAAGGCCAGTGAGGCGACTGGCGTCCCTGTCCAGGTCTGGGCGGTGGAGAAGAACCCCAATGCCTATGTCTATCTCCTGAGACAGAACGAGATGATCTGGGGTGGCAAGGTCACAGTTGTCAAGACGGACATGCGCGCCTGGAAAGGCCCCCTCGTTTCGGGCACACCTGAAAACAACCCGGTCTACGGCAAGGTGGACATTCTGGTATCCGAGCTGCTCGGCTCCTTCGCAGATAACGAGCTTTCGCCAGAATGCCTGGACGGCGTCCAGCACGTCTTGGCGCCCGGCGGCATCTCAATCCCGGAATCCTACACGGCGCACATGAGCCCCATTGCGACGCCGCGCATCCATGCCGATCTTCTCACCAGAGTCCCCACAGAGCCCAACGCTTTCGATACACCCTGGGTGGTGCGCCTCTTCGCCCTTGACTTTGCTGCGACCCGCGTGCCCGGCCACCCGCGCTTCCAGCAGGCGTGGGAGTTCTCCCACCCGGTCTCCGAGGCTACGCTGAAGCAGATTGAGACGAGACGTGCCGGCGGCGTTATGGGCGGCGGAGGCGGGAGCATGGCTGGTGCCGTCGGCGCCAACGATCACAACTCGCGGTTCTGCCATCTCACGTTTGTCTGCCCCACGAGGGGTGTTATCCACGGCTTGGCTGGGTACTTTGAGTCTGTCCTCTATGCGCCCCAGACCGGCAACAGGGAGAAGGTGGAGATCAGCACGCACCCCGAGCTGATCGACCGCAAGAGCAAGGATATGATCTCGTGGTTCCCTATCTTCTTCCCGATCAAGGTAAGCAAAGCCCCTTCTCTGTCCACGTAGACGATTAACTAACATTCACAGCAACCCATCTATTACCCTGCCGACACGGAGTTGGAGGTCACAATGTGGCGACAGACGGACGATTCGCGGGTGTGGTACGAGTGGCTCATCGAGGCGTACACGTGGGTGAGCGAGACACAGCGCATCAAGGTGGCGTCGTCGGATCTCTGCAGTAGTCGCAAGGTTGCTTGTCTTATGTAAGTATCTGCGAAATAGTAGTACTGTAAGGGCACTGGAGGCGCCGATATAGTTGCGCCGTTTTTCTTCTATAGTTGCTGCGAGGGAGCTAGATGGTCTTCTTGCGCAGCGCAACCTGGCGGTATTGAACCTGACTGGAGAACTGCAAATCCGTCCGTCGCCGGCTTTTTTAGGGTCCTTTTTGGTGTTCTATGCTCCAGGCTCATCGTGAAAATCGTGCCCTTCCCGCCCCTGCCCTTGTCACACCATAGTACGTGAGGCGGTCCCAGGCTGTGTTGATGCTTTCCGCTCGTGGGTTTCTCCCGCTCAACCATCCATCTTAACGTCGCCGTTCTCGCCTTGTCCCGCGCCGCGGATCCAGAGGACGTTGTTACACCTGTAGCACGTCGGTCAGCCTCCTCCGAGATGTTGTATTTGATGGGATGTCGACGAAGTCGACGTACCGGATCAAAACCTGGCCCAAGGCTCCCGTCATCTTCTGGTCAATGTACTCCTCGGCGCCGCTGAGCTGGACGTTCATGTAGCTGTCGATGCTGACCAACTTTCCCTTGTACTCGGTCTCGCCCCACTTGAGTCTAATAACGACGTCCTGGTTGACACTGCATAAAAGATGGGTGTTAGCATACTGAGCTGTCTCCGTCGCGGAGGGATATGATCGCAGGGACGTGTAGAGGCGCGTTCGTAGATGGACGAGGACGTACAGGTCTTGCAGCATAGGCCGCGGGTTAATGGGCACGAACTGCGGTACACGTTTATTAGCTATTGCGACCTGGAGAGTGTGAAGTGAGGGGGTTGGCATACGCTCATGGTGGGCGATTCGAGGGTGAGAAACGGCCCATGTAATGTGTGGATGGGGGAAAGATGGATTTGCGCGGGTTCACGGCTGCGATGCGCGAGGCTCCTCTCTCTCAATTGGGGTCGGGTCCCAGGAAAGACAATTTTTAGGCGGGCACAGTGCACCTGAGGTTGCTTCAGTGGTATGAGGCTGTCGGAAAATCATCGGATCCACTGTAAGGTACCGCCTGGCGATGCAGGCCGCCCAAAAAAACCCGGGGGATGAGCACTGGCCTCCCTTTGTTTCTTGCAATACTCCCAACTGCTCATTCGTCTCATCCATGCCTTCTGGGCATATCTAATCTCAGTAGGCTGGGCCGTCTGAGAGCGATTACATGTCTAATATTCGAATGAACACCGTGTATACGTCCGCGACTTTGACTGATGAGGATTTCGAGCGACCAGACTGTTACTTCTTTTCTCGTTGCTTCTTGACACAATAGACGATGTAGTCTAGATCTCGAGGTCACAAACACACGCAGAATACTCATAGCGGCCTTCGAGATTCAATGTCTTCATTTCAGGAGCGAGACTCACCTTTTTGTTTCGTACTCAGTCAGACGCATGAGTACATCTCGATCAAAGCACCTCCTGCGTTGACACTGACGGTCTTCCCAGCTCGTAGCTGAACTGGTGTCCCTTGGAGTGACTCCAAGGCTTCGAGTCACCATGCCATAAATACGTCTTCATTACCCTCGGATTGTTCAGCCGACAGTTTCCATCTCGAATTTTGATATAACATTATTTTCACTTTGCTCCAGGCCTTGTTAGTATAAGGGACTCGACAACTAGTGCCATAATTAGCGAATTGAACATGAGGACAGCGGGATCGGATATGCGTCGGTGCCAGGCGCTGGCGACTACCTGGGGGATGGTCTGATGTGAAAGGTTGGCAGGCGAAAACTTCCTGCTTCCATGGGCAACTTAGGTGATCGAAATTGAAGTCAACAACCTTACCTGGTTACTATTACTGAGACGTACACCTCAGATGCTCAAAGGGCATCGACTGGGTACACAAAAGCATCACGAGGACAAGGGAATGAAGAATATGAGAATGGCTTTTGTTCAGCGGAAAAAATTCTAGAGGTATTGAATAATTTACTCTCCATCAATTCGCGGCTTTAGAGCTAGTTTGCAAATGGCTTGTGGCTCATGAACTCCAATTCAACATCATCTCATGTCCTCATTCGACTATGAAAATTTCGCGGGTGCCACCGAACATCAGTCAACCTCCGCCTTACAACAACACCCTCGGTGACCACCCAAAAAAGAAAAATGGCCACGGAAACGTTTGAGACCAACGGCGTTCGGATCGCCGTTGAGGGATGCGTAAGCCTCCTAATGAACCCGCCGTCAATACGCAATGTTCAAGTACTGACAATCCTGTAGGGCCACGGCACCCTCAATGCCATTTACGCCGCCGTTGAGGCCTCCTGCACGGCCCGCGGCTGGGACGGCGTCGACCTCCTCATCATCGGCGGCGACTTCCAAGCCGCTCGCAACGCCGCCGACCTCACCGTCATGTCCGTCCCCGCAAAGTACCGCGAGCTCGGCGACTTTTGGGAGTATTACGCCGGTCGCCGCACCGCGCCGTACCTAACCGTCTTCGCGGGCGGCAACCACGAGGCCGCCAGCCACATGTGGGAGCTATTTTACGGCGGCTGGGCGGCGCCCAACATTTACTACCTCGGCGCCGCCAACGTTCTGCGCCTGGGACCGCTGCGCATCGCGGGCATGAGCGGCATCTGGAAGGGCTTCGACTACCGCAAGGGCCACCACGAGAGGCTCCCAATGGGCCCGGACGAGATCAAGAGCTTCTACCACGTCAGGGAGGTGGATGTGAGGAAATTACTGTTGCTCAGGGAGCAGGTCGATGTCGGGATCAGCCACGACTGGCCAAGAGCTATAGAGAGGTGGGGTGACGAAAGGGCATTGTGGAGGATGAAGCCGGATTTTGAGAGGGAATCAAAGGATGGTACGCTGGGCAACGTTGCGGCGGAGTATGTTTGTGATCGGCTCAGACCACCGTACTGGTTCTCTGCGCACTTGCACTGCAAGTTTGCGGCGTTGAAGATTTATAAGGATGATGGAGCGACTATGGAGGAGACGGCCTTGGATGGAGCTGCGGCTCCCGCTCCGGCCTCCGCACACGAGTTGGTTCAAGCGCCGGATAACCCTGACGAGATCGACCTAGACGGGGACGAAGAAATCACGGACGCTTCCGCCATTCAAGCGTCAGCAGAAAAGAATCCAAACGAAATCAATCTCGACGACGACGACGACGACGAAGAGCAGCCTGCCGCACTTGCGCTGCCGCAGGCCAGCAAAGAAGAAGCTCCCAACAACAAAACCTCCGTCCCTGAAGACATCCGCGCCCAGCTCCCTGCCTCCTTCGCCAGACCCCAACACCAGCCCAAGAAGACACCAGGCCAGCCCGTTCCGCCGACCATCACGAACAAGCAGGTCAACTTCCTCGCCCTCGACAAGTGCCTCCCCCGCCGCCACTTCCTCCAGCTCCTCGAAGCGCACCCCCACAACGTCCTGCCCGCCGATCAGCCCGCGCCGACGCGGCCCTTCCGCCTGCAGTATGACCCCGAATGGCTCGCCATCACGCGCGTCTTCCACTCCACGCTCGCGATCGGCGACAACGCGGCGTCGGGGCACCCGAGCCCGGACCTGGGCGAAGAGCACTACGCGCCGCTCATCGACACCGAACGCCGCTGGGTCGAGGAGAACGTCGTGAAGAAGGGCAGGCTCGACGTCCCGCTCAATTTTGAGATCACGGCGCCGCCCCATGTGGAGGGCGAGCCCGAGTCTGTGCCGCACCAGCCGTTCGAGTACACCAACCCGCAGACGTCGGCGTACTGCGCGCTCTTGGAGGTTGGGAACCTGTGGGATGCTAGCGAGGAGGAGAGGATGGAGAGGAAAGCGAGAGGCCCGCCGGCTGGGGAGTTCCGGGGGCATCGTGGCGGTGGTCGGGGCTTCCACAGAGGTGGTGGACGCGGTGGTAGGGGCAGGGGTAGGGGACGCGGCAGAGGCAGAGGTTGGCACTGAGTTCCGTCGACAGTGGATGTGTACCTACCATGGTTACAATTGTCATGATCAAGGGGTCACATATGCCAGTGTCTGTATTATACCACACCACCTTGGAGTCAAAACAAGACTGATAACAGCTGTGTTAACACATGTTTACAGTTGGCCACTCATGCTAGGCGTCGAGATTTTTCATGTTCTATGTTCTCTACCCAGCTACGTTACTAAGAAAGCATGTATCCCAACAGAAAAAGCGTAGATCTCAATGGTAGAAATTTGAGTCAAGCAGAGTGAGTGGAATATAGTCCTTCTTCCATCTTTAATAGACGTTCAACCCACGGAAGAGTGAGGGAGGAACGCATATGCTAAGATGGGGGTTGTGTTTTCATATGTGGGTCACCATCAAAAAGATCATGGCAAAGAACAGGAAACATGCCTCCCTGGCATGGGATTTCGCCATAGTGTCATGGCAATGGTATCTGGTACGTTTTACCACCCCGAACGCTCAACGCCCAAAACTCCGTCGTGAATGATTAAGCCAAAATGCAAATGGTCATCAAACGTCATTCAGACAGTGCCGGTGTTTTGCTCTGTAAAAACGTGTCAGAACGTTCGGATGGTTCCCGTGAGACAGACGCCGTCGCTCTGGGGCCAGAGGAGGTTGGGGATGTCTTACTGTCCAGACCCAGGAAATCGGCCGCGACCAGCAGTTCCAGACACAGCTCCACAGGAATGTCCATGTCAGGGACATCCTCACGCTCACGGTAGCGATACCAATATTGGAAATACTCGCACACTTTTTCGAGTACAACGCCACTGCCGAGGAAGACGGTCAGACGTTTCCAGAACTCTTGGAAAGAGAAACAAAAAGGAATGAGTGTGACCTCGTGAGGTGGCTGGGTAACAAGAAGGAAAAAGAAAGAATGTTGCTTGTTTCAGATCAAGTGTAGTTGGCAATCAAGCAGACCGGCCATTGTATCGGCGGTCTGTCAGTGAGACTCATCGATATAATCGGAGTTCATCATCGCAACAGCCGTGTTGGTGTTGTTGGGATAGGTGGCGGTGAGAGCGCGGGATGTGCTGGCTTACCTGATCTCTTCAAACACGCAGCGGCCCAAAGTAGCCTCGCGGAAGTTGTTGCGTGTGTCCAACATTCCTTTGATGGCAGGGCTGATCATGGCGGCGTCACGCAAGACGACGAACTCGTAGCCATCACTCGAGACCAGAGTAACGTACTTGCTGTCGGTCGCGCCGTTGGTGTCCATGATTGCGGCGGTCTTTGCGGAGACGGCGGACAATGAGATGAGCTGCGTGTTCTCTTCAGCCGAGGGCTGAATGAAGAATGGATTGGTTGGTTCCGTAGCGGAGATTCCGTGTCTCAAACGTTTCGCAGGTCACAGCGGTGATGCTCGTGGCGAAATGGAAGCCTTCGATGAAGGTCGAAGACGCGTTCGTTTAGTGAGAGAAGGCAGAAAATTCACGTCGCGATTTTGAAGGAGGCGGTGGTGGGGTCGAAGCTTGGGCCACACTTGTCCCGCCGGCGAAGCACAGCACCGGAAAAACTCTGAGCTCTGCTTTCAGACTGCAGGGGGGGCCCTTCCTTGGCCAGGCACAGCCAGGGTTCGATTGATCCGCCTTAGCGTGTTCCACTTTTGCGTTGTCGTTGTGGCTCCCCTGGCGCCTGCCGTCATCACCCCGGCAAGAAGTGGCTGGTTGCCCCGTCGACTTGTTTACAATTGCCCTCCTTGCTCCCGCTCCTTCTCCTCAAGAACTCAGCACAACCCGCCCATCCACCTCGCACACAAACCCACCCCCATACCATACACACCATCCCAAGCCAGATCAAGCACCTCTCCAACATTCCTCAACTCCAAACGCCGCAACGTCTCTTCCCCGTATTGCATGCTTCGCGCTTAACCATATCTCAACGGCATCCGACTGAACGCGGCAAGTAGCTGATCACGAAGTGACGAGGCTCGTCGAGGGGAAGCGGCGATATCAGTATCAGCAGTCTCCTCCCTCACAACGAGAAATAAGTAGCATATACATACGCACGCACCTGGGAAACATCGCATAAAAGCACAAACCTTTCAAGTCTCCCCAACAACCCCCCCTCCCTTCCCACCAGACGATCGCACACACCGGCCCCCGGTATCTTACGCATCATCACATCAATCCGTCTCGCAAACACTCACCAGGGGCCACCGACATCCTCATCATCGCATCACTACACCACAAACACAGCTTGAGTCTGCCGCATTATGGCGTCCTCATACCAATACCGCAACTCATACCACAACTCGACCCAGAACATTAGCGAAAAGTACGACGACGGCCGCCCGGCCACCTCCCGCCGCAACACGCGTCTAAGGAGTAGCGACGGCACCGTTAGCACCACAATGAGCTCCTCGACAGGGCGTGAGAGCGCCGCAACCCACGTCACCGAGGGCCCTGCTTATTCCAAGAAGATTGTCGTCGTCGGCGACGGCGGCTGCGGCAAGACATGTCTCCTTATCAGTTACAGCCAAGGCTACTTTCCAGAGGTGAGCATTCAAACAAACAAAAAACTCCCGAGTCTTTTCGAACGCAACTTCTGCGCCATTTGCCCGTTGCTAGGAAGCGAAATGAACCAAAACAGTGCTGACTCTGGCAAAAACAGAAATACGTCCCCACTGTGTTCGAGAACTACATCACCTACCCGACGCACCCACCGTCAGGCAAGACAGTGGAATTGGCGTTATGGGACACGGCCGGCCAGGAGGAATACGACCGGCTGCGACCGCTCTCTTATCCCGAGACCGACTTGATCTTTGTGTGTTTTGCGATTGACTGCCCAAATTCGCTTGAAAACGTCATGGACAAGGTAATTTAATCACTGCCCCCTCAGACAATATGCCCCTCCTTTTTGGGGGCATGACCATTTGAAATTAATGCTAATTTCTCCCCTAACCAGTGGTATCCCGAAGTCCTTCACTTCTGCCCATATACTCCTCTGGTCCTCGTGGGCCTCAAGTCCGACCTCCGTTTCAAGAAAACGTGCATCGACATGCTGAAGACGCAAGGCCTCACGCCCGTGACTCAGGAGCAAGGTCGCGCCGTTGCTCGCAAGATGGGCGCCCAATACGTAGAGTGCAGCAGCAAGGAGATGACGGGTGTGGACGAAATCTTTGAACAGGCAATCCTGACGGTCGTCGCCAATGATCGGAAAAACCAGGAAGCTCAAGCTGCCGTCTCCTCGTCAAAATCCAGTGGTCCTCCTGGAAGCAGTGCAGGCTTCCCTGGCGTCGCTCTTAAGAAGAAGAAGAAGAGGAATTGCAAGATCCTGTGAGATCCCTGCTCAGGACCTCGGGGTTGTAACGGACAGACATTGGACACCGGCGGAGGGCGTAATGAATGACTTTTGTTTTACCTGCATGATCTCGTCACGACCTGCTACTATTACGATCTGGATAAAGCAAGCGCCACCATTAGCGAGGGGGCGTCTCCTGCTCTAGGGCTGGATGAACTCTAGACTGGAGACGAGGTTTTTCCCTCACCAGGGATGTGGGAGAAGATTTTCTTCTCCTTTTTGAATGGAGAACAACGGTATATAAGTGGGAAATGAAACAAAGGGAGTGGGAGGGAAAGTGAGTGGTTTTCTCATCCGAGTCTCGAGGCTCACCCATACCCTTTATTTATTTTTTTAACGCCAAACACACAAACGGAGCGGGTACAGGGGAGACTTTGATCAGTTTTTTCTGCAACCATCAGGTACTTTTTGACCCCGCGGGGTAATTCTTCTCATTTTTCTATTTTCTTGTCTCTTTCTCTCCTGTAGCAGCATGGGGCTTTCTGTCTCAAGGGCATTCCCGGGGATAGGAAACACGAATTGTTAAAAGCATCAAATCAAGGGTCGAAGCGTGCCATAATAGTGATGATGTGTATTATGAGAGTGAATAGATTTTGTCGCGTACGGATGCAGCGAAGTCAAGTTGCACAATTTTGAGTTTCCCGATGCCGTGGTACAGCACTTCGTGTAAGTCAATACAACCGGCGAGGGAAGCTTTGGGGACCAAATCTAGTCCACAACGCCATCGGAGAAAGGTCCGACGAGGTTGATACAGATGGATGGGATTCTGTAGAATAGGATGTAACTCACTTCCATTCCCCGATCCGAAATCTAAATCTTTATTCATCCAGTTTGCAGTAGATTGACACCAGCCGATCCTTACGAACCATGGACTTCCCTGCCCAGGTTCTCATCGCCGATCTCCCGCGAGGAGGTGATCTCATAGATCGCAGCAGCAACGGGCGACCCACCACACTGGTCCGATCCGAGAAGGAACCCAAACCCGAGCAACTCAACCCATCCGTCGTCGTCACCGACGTCGCAAGCGTTGATGCCCAACTGACCAAACTCAACGAGTCGCTCGCCGCGTTGGAGACGGAGGCGCACAGTGCGCTTCACGGTGCCGTGGTTGACGAGTGCCAAGCCGGTCTGGAGGCTGTCGAGGAGCTTCTTGTCGGCTTGGCTGAGCGCGCTTCCAAAAGGACCTTTTGGCAGAAGTGTTTTCCGTGCAAAGGATGGAAAAAGCGGGATCTGCTGAGGAGACACGTTGGTGTCGTCCAGGATACCTACGAGACTGTCGGCAAGACGCATCAGCGGGTTGGCCTGGCCTTGGCAGAGCTCTGCGGAAAGGCTGATCGTCTGGGCGAGGACGCGAAGAAGCTAGCCGACACCATTGGTCAAGCGAAAATCGCCCTGGACCAGAAGAGGGAAACTCATGATGCCCTTTTCAAGGATGTGGAGCAGAAGTTGTCGAGCAAGATGTTGCAACGAACAGTCCTTTGTTGGCAGGAGAAGAGCCTCAAGGCGGAGATGGAGTGGGCAGAGGCACAGCTGTGCGCCATGAGCGGCAACGACGCGCCTTGCCGTGGTGGACATGGACACGATGATGGAGATGGAGATGTGTCCCTGATTACGAGCGAGCAAGCGGCCGTCGCAGGGATGAGGTTCGAGATCAAGCAGATTGCGGACCTGCTCTCAACCCTAACATGCTACTCCCGCATGCTCACAGCCGATAGCTGGACGATTGGCTGGGAGCTCAAGCGCCTCAGAGAAGATTGTGGCGCAAAGGACGGCAACATTGATGGGGTCCGCTTGGAGACAATGTCGGCTTCGATGGAGTCGGTGTTTCGGGTGAAGCACGAAGGGGTCAGCACCGACTTGCGGAGACAACATGGGGCGCTGAGGGAGGCGCAAAAGAGGTGTCTTTCCGCTGCTGCGAGGTTGGAGAAGCTTCGGGAGTCGAATTTTGGCGATTTGGTGGTTGGGTTGAGTGACCTGGCGAATCTGGGCGCGAAGAAGCAAACAGGAAAGAAACTAGGCTTGGAGAGGTGCAAGTTGCTCAAGAAGGGCAAGCCGATCAAGTTTCCTCACGCTTCACATCACGGATTGACGTTATTGGCATATAATTAAATATGACACAAGGCAGCCCACAACGTAGAAAAACCAGTATTGATGCGCGTGTTAAAATCATCACCGTTCATAGTGTATTCAATTTCGTTATGGGGTATCATGATCTTTCCTCGTTCTTCGTCTCGCCCTCGCTGCCTTCCTCGGACTCGCCCTGCTTGTTTTCCTCGGGCTCCTTGGCCATGACGTTCTCGAACTGCGACCACAGCGCCTCGACGGAGGAGAATTCGTTTCCGACCTGCGATGGAGCTACATCAGTGCCGATTTCCAACAGCCAAAGAGTCTGAGGAGGTGGCCGCCTACCGTGATAACTGCCTCAAGCGACCGGTTCAGCTTGTTGATGTTGGCAAGGACTTGTTCAAAGTTCTGGTTGGTTTGGTTGTCATTAGCAATCCCCGTTTTGTGTTTGTTGACAGTGTTGTCCAAAGGGAACGAAGGGACTTACCATTGCGATCTCGCCAATGAGTTCTTCGCGCTGTTGCTCAAAGTAGGTCTTTTCCCTCGTTCCCGATTGGGACTGCGAGTGAGAGAAGGTCCGCTGATGTGACGACATTTTGGCTTGATGTCGTTGTAGGTTGAACAGGGGATCGCGCGTCGCGTTCAAGGAATGTGCATTTGGCGGTGATGGCGGGGTGCAGGTGATGGTCACTGTGGCGGGGTTGTTCGTACTGTGTCAGGGATATTGACACTGTTGTCGACGTACCTTGCTGGGTATAGAAGTACAACGAAGTGACCCACTTGTTCACGTATGACAGCTTCAACAACTCGAGCGCAACAGTCCTTATCGGGGACCCAAAAAGGACAAGGTACAGCCTAGCGAACTACAATTCGAGGCAATGATATTCAATATAATGAAGCGCCAAACCTCGACGCAATACACCAGACAGAGGAAATCTGATGAACTTCCATCCTACCCGTTGCCCTCCTTTTGGCTTTCTCACTCACGGGTCTTTGTGAAGGCAGGTAAGAAACAGATACGAGCGATGATGATAATATTGAAGGAAAGCGATCCGGGGATATTAACCCGCATATCATGTAACACATGATCAGCAGAGAGAGATCTTTAGAGAGTGGCTGAAGGATGTCAGGGTTAGTAACTGTGAGGAAATAGGGGAAAGTGACGATTCGGAGGCGGCTTAGGCTAGGTATTCCTCGCAACTCAGTGCATGCGTACCTCTAGTCTCAACTTCAACCAGATGTACAATTTGGGGATCATCATACATACTGTCATCAATTTCCGCCTATTTCAATCCTTTGAGCCATCCAGTTTCGAGTTGATAGCTCTTTGGCAACCGAGTTCGTATTGAAGACTGACAATGAAAAGAACGAGAGTCCAGGTACTCGCAGCGTCTGCACTGTCGATTCCGCGATGCTGATGGGTGTCTGGGAATTATTGGGCCATTTTCAGGTGCAAAAGCGAGGTGGCCCCCTGAGAAATCTCAAATAAGATCAAGATCGCGCCGGAATTCCCATTCAATAAACTTAATGATGGATGTGGGCACCGTTTCAGAGGTCATCATACAACATGATGATGGTTGGCTTTTCAATAGGCTTCCTCCTCTGGGCAGTGGACGTTGGCGATGTCAATGTTTTCGTATCAGACCAACTACTCGCCTGTTACTTGAGGTTTACCAATCGCGAGGTCCAACATTGCCGGGCCTACAGAATTCGACATCAAGGCCTACACGGCGGTACTCTCATTTTGAGAGGCCCCCGTGGAATCATCGAATATGAAAGGCAACAGGGAGTTGTTCGTGTAGGTGAAGAAATACTTTCCAGTGTTCCCTCTGCGTATCGTTGGAACATGCTGCGAGTTTCTTTACATACACGCGCTTGTGTTCTCCGACATAAAATCCGGCACAAAGGGAGACCCATGTTTATGCATTCCAAGCCCTACGGCTGAGCTGGGAACTTCCAGTCGGATTCGCATTTCCCACGATGAATGATATATATCAGGGCTTTTTGAGAGCATGAAAAGCCAAGCTTTTCTCGTACATCTCCTTCACCACTTGAGGACATGATTCAAAAACGGCGCCAGACTCGACAACAAGACAGGCCAAGGAAAAAGAGGGAGAGGGAGGGAGAGAGAGAGAGAGAGAGAGAGAGAGAGAGAGAGAGAGAGAGAGATGCCCCCATCCCCTATTGCACTTCAAGAGACTTGGCCAGGGCACGTTATCATTGCGAACGTGGGAAAACTTCGTGAAGGCGGGGGAATACTTTGCTATTCTGGAGGTCTCAAACCTTTCGTTCAAGTCGCTCCGAAGTTGCCGGTGGTGTTTCCATGGACTCGACTATGTTTTCATTGAGTCTTCTTCGCACACGCTAGAGGTCAAAGCACTGAGGACCAGTTTGGCTACGAGGGCTGTGGTCTCGACTCCGACAGAGGTTTTAAAGCTTCAGATTCGATAGTAAATTAAGAGAAGGTAAAAGTTGAAATTGACGGGCTGCTTCCAGGAGTCGGGTGGGGGTTGGAGGGCACTGATTTCAATAAATCGCGCCGGCTCTCGTTCCATAATAATAGTACAACGATATTCAGTAACGCTTAAATTTAGTAGGACTATTAAACTCAATGTGTAATTCACTTTCCCTCCTTTGGTACAAGTTTGTTATGGTCCTGTATGAGGAATGCCACCCACTCATGCGAGACCATGAGAGACCTTGGGCCTTTGTTTGTGAAGGAAAGTTAAGGAAGATGAAGACTTCTCGACACCGGATTGCCGTAGCCATTGCATCGCGTACGACCACTCTTCTCGGCGCATGAGACAGAATTTTGGCGGCAGAGGCGAGATTGTGAAGTTCCCCCAGTTACATGATATTTATCAAAGTTGTCAGTCAGGTCCGTCGCTTCGGCCATCCACTGAAGCAGGGGTAATCACCGGGAAAAATGGGTCTCACCAGCGTGATCGCACCGGTCCGCTCCGACTCTCAAGATCATACTTGCCCAGGCTGGCCGACTGATACTTCACTTGTAATGCATTCATGGGAAATCATGTTTTTAATCTTTTCCTTTTTGATTGGTATCATTCAACGTGGTGTTGGAAAAAGACAAGTTACATCAAGGTCATGTACATATTGCGCCGGAAGAAAGCCCCATTTTTCATTACCTTTCCTGCCAAGTTTCCCTTTAGAACAACGGTCCGCCCAGACGGATCGCGACCGACTTGTTCTGGGTATAGTTTGCGAGGGCGGCCTCGCCGAGCTCTCTGCCAATACCTGATTCCTTGAAGCCTCCGAAGGGGACCTGAAGAGGGAAGATGTTAATGAACCTGTCTATAAAGAAGAGCGAAGAACAAGTTGAAGAACCTACCTGGTATGAGAGCATGTTGTAGCAGTTAACCCACACGGTGCCGGCCTTGATGGCGTTGCTCACGCGGATGGCGGTGTTGAGGTCGGTGGTGTGGACGGCGGCGGCCAGGCCGTAGGTGGTATCGTTTCCGAGCTTGATGACCTCCGCCTCATCCTTGAATTTGGCAATGGCACAGACGGGGCCGAAAATCTCCTCCTGCATGATCTTCATGTCCGGGCGGACGTTGCTGAAGATGGTGGGTTGGATGAAGTACCCCTTGTCACCGTGGCGGGCACCGCCCGTCTCGACGGTGGCGCCCTCGTCCTTGCCGGCCTTGATGTAGCCCATGATGCGGTCGAACTGCAGCTGGGAGACTTGGGGGCCCTGGAACGTCTCGGGGTGGAAGGGGTCGCCGACCTTGTTCTGCTCGGCGCGCTTCTTGAAGGCGGCGAGGAACTTGTCGTAGACGCCCTCCTGGACGAAGATACGGGTGCCGGCGCAGCAGCACTGGCCATGGTTGTAGTAGATGCCGAAGTTGACCCAGGAGATGGCCTGCTCGATATCGGCGTCGTTGAAGACAATGTTGGGGGACTTTCCACCGAGCTCGAGGGTGACCTTCTTGAGGTTGGAGCTGGCAGCAGCCTTCATAATCTGGCGGCCGACGGGGGTGGAGCCGGTGAAGGCGATCTTGTCGACGTCCATGTGGGAGGAGAGTGCGGCGCCGGCGATCTTGCCGAAACCGTTGATGAGGTTGAAGACACCGGGGGGGAAGCCAGCCTCCTTGACGAACTGGGCAAAGACGAGGGCAGAGAGCGGGGTCTGCTCGGCGGTCTTCATGACAATGGTGTTACCGGTCGCCAGGGCGGGCGCAATCTTCCACGAGAGCATGAGAAGGGGGAAGTTCCAGGGAATGACCTGGGCGCAGACTCCGATCTGGAAAAGGGGGGGCCCGTTTGTCAGCTCAAGGCCCGGCAAGCAAAAGGTGATTATAACTTACAGGCTCGGACCGGGTATAGTGGAACATGTCGTGGGCGACGTCAATCGTCTTGCCCTCAATCTTGTCGGCCCAGCCTCCGTAGTATCTCAAGCAGCCGACGACGGCAGCAACGTCACCCTTGGCCATGGAGATGGACTTTCCGTTGTCGAGAGACTCGACGGCAGCCAGTAGGTCGGTATTCTTCTCGGCAATGTCGGCGAGCTTGTTGAGGAGGACGCCACGCTGGCTTGGGGGCACCTTTCTCCACTCGCCTTCGAAGGCCTTGCGGGCAGCGGCGACTGCGATGTCGACATCCTTCTCAGTGGCCTCGTGAACGGAGGTGATTACCTCCTCGGTGGAGGGGTTGATGACCTCGAAGGTCTGCTTGTCAACACCCTCAACCCACTCGTTGTTGATGAAGCTGGAGGGGTATCATAGGTCAGCTTCTTGTTTACAGAGGTCGTCATCAGTGGTATAGAAATGTGGGGTAGGATACGCACAGTCCAGTGGGTTGGGTGTAGGCGCCCGTCACCGGGGTCTTGAGCTCAACGGACAAACCCATCGTGTGTAATTTTTTTTTTTTTTTTTGGAAAACAGGACGAACAGTGGAGGGGTATTTGGTATCAGGGGAGACAGAAGAAGAAGAAAAGTAGTTTGGATGGGATGAGAGTCTGTAAGTTGTTGGGAATGAGAAGTGAAAGAGGGAGGAGACAGTCTGGAGCGAGAGTTGGGGATGACAGACTGTATATAAAGCGGGGTCCGGGGCACAAAGCTGGGGAGACAAGTCCGAAAGAGCGATATCGTATCGCAAAGGCAGGGACGAATTGTAAGAGACTCAGAAGGAGAAGGAGGCGAGGGCGATAGGTACCTCGCTCGACCGCGGTGGGGCCTGCGGGGAGGGGAGGGTGTACGGATGGAGGGGGGTCTGCAGTAAACCTGAGGCCTGGCCTAGGGATCGCAGATGGGCATTGGGTGAGAGGCAAACCCCCATGGGCCGGAGCAACGTCAAACACGGTCATTTCCAGTGGTGGACGAGACCGGACTGGACTGGATTGGGGCTGGGACTCGAGATCCCCACATTGGAGCCAGACACGCATCTGCATGCTGTCAATGGATGGGGCCACAGACTACAGTATCCAAGGTAGGACACAGACACACAGATACGGGGCTGGAGGACATATTAGCTGGAGGAGAAGGGAAGAGGAGGGGCATTGTGAGGAGCAACAGAAAAAAATAGTGCAGAGTAAGGTACACACCTACGGTACCTATTGCAAGGGATGGGATGGGGTGGGCCCCAGCTCAACAGGGAATGGAGGCTGCTGCTTCGGGCCAACGCCTGGCTTTCCTCTCGGCCTCCTCAAGGCGAACCTGCTCCTTCCCTTTACCGGGCGAGAAATACGTTCGTTATCCACCGGCGCGTTCTGCTGGCTGACAGCAAGTCAACGGGAAGCCATCGAGAAAGGCGGCAGCCACTGGGTGCTGCCTGTTTGACTCGGCTCCAGTTTACCAGGATGTCACCCGGGGGTAGTGGGTTCCGTTCGGTGGGAATTGAGTTCCGCGTTTCCATTCTCCGGGGCCCCAGGTCAGAAAGAGGAATTGCGAAGTTATCACGATCACAGTGAACTACAATATCCGGTTCTTGAGAAGCGTCTACAGCATTAAGGTGTTTGTTGCTGGTTCTGCCATCTCTCTTACCCTGTATGCGTCTGTAATGCTGGTTTGTTCCTGCCTTTTCAAAGCTTTGCCACGCCCCAGACAACCCCTCTCTCCGCTTCCCCTCTTCCACCCTGTCGACCCCGCATTTTCTCCATCACAAGTTGCGTCTTCCATTGGGCAGTGGGCCAATCAGAGCAGCCCAAATTGCTGGCCTTGTTTGGCTGCAGAAGCCACACCCGCTTCAAAGCGGTTCATCTGGCACATACTTACACACACACACACTGACTGCTTAGGATACTATGACAAATGGCACCACCTAGGGAACAGACGGGCTCTGCGCTGCTGCTGCCACTGGTGCTGATCCCAGCTGGCTAGTTAGTTATCGCCGAAACAGCTCGACGACGACGAACTGCACCCATGGGTATCGTCGCATTGTGAAGTTCGGAATGCAAGTTCGGGACGATTGCCCCGGTGGCTGCTCAGAAAAGCAGTGTCAATCTCAAACGTAGGATGGTGACTGCTATAACCCCGGGTTCTTTCGGCATTAAGCCGCCCTCGACGACATCATTAGACTTCAAGCCATGCCGTTGCATGCCGTTGCATTGTTTGCTTTCCTGTGTACCATCCACTGTCCTCCTGTGTGAGAGGTAGGGATGGATTGGCGAAGATTCGCCGCCTGCTATCAAATGCTTCCGAGCACTAGGTGCAGTCAGCAACTCGCGAACCACTCCCTCAACATACCCAGACCATCCCCTGACATTCGAGTCAGAAAACTGTGCAATACCCATCCGTATTTCAGCCCGGCATATGGGACAAAACCCTTCGTTTCCCTATCTACAGGCTACTTAATAATTCATTGGCGCCCCAGAAGTCGCCTGGCCCACGGGCGTACTAGGTAGATATGCCCCCTCCGCGATTCCCCTCTACCCCACCCTTTCATTCCCACCTTGACGACACACACACGCATTTTGCAGCGTACCTTAGGTCTGCTCGGTGGCTGGCCTTAGTTGTTGAGAAATTTGAGGCCCCGTCCTGCGACCTTGAAGGTTACCATTAAGATTGAGTTGACCATTTCTTCTCCATGCTGCGCGCTGGCCAGACACCACGCCGATCCACCCATGTCCATCTCCAAGTCTTCATACCGTCTTGGCATCGGGCACCGCACCCAAACTACTATGCCCCCAAGGAGAGGCTAGCTCCATCCTGCGGCGTTAAGCAATTTGCAAACCACAAGATAACGCAGTAGTCGAGCTATGACTTCTCGGGAAAAGACTACGGTACTTTATGCCGCGAGCTTCCAGCCTTTCCGTGGCTACACTCTCTTTTCTCTCGGGGTGTCTTTGCTGCTGTTTTGCCGGGCTTCAGTTCTCGGTGGAAAGCCCAGCGAACTTTCCCTTCTGCTCGAGATCCCCCGCACCGAAACCCAAAAGGTGGGTGGACCTCGACCTGGTGCTCTGTACACGGATACGCTAATTAGCTAGGTAGGAGGAGGCTTGGGGGCGTGTGTCCAGCCTCGGGGGATGTCGATATATCACCCTGCAAACGCCGTGAATTCCCATCCCTTGATTCCCTCCCGGTCCCCGTCCCCCATTCCATCGACTTCCTGCCGCCCCTCCGACCCGAATTCCCCTGTCGTTCTGCTTCCTTGTCCCCGACATCATTCGATAGCAACGAACCCTCTTGGCCGAAGCGCTACTTTTGGGGATTCTGTGGGGAGCTGCTTTCTTCGGTCTGATGGCAGTTTCACGGCTACATGGAGCTCTCTCTTTGTCTCTCTATCTACACAGACCTATCTCCATAGTAGTGTTTCTCAGCCGAACTCACGATGAGAGGGTACGGGACAGCGTCAGGATGCAAATAGACCACCATAACTAGATGATCAAGACTTTGAATCGTGCATGCCGTGTCAACAGCTATGAATCGGTATGCTTGACGTCAATCTTCCGACATTGGGACGATTTGCCAACTGCCTTCAGCCCTGCAACTGTATTCGTACTGCACTGCATAACCGCTGGCCTGACTGGTCGGAATCAGTTTTCCACCCTCATTCCGACAACCTTACGTAGTAGATACTGGACCTGACCTTTCCGAACAGCTGTGCCATTTCGATAATCACCAGGGACCCCCAACATATTCTCGCGCGGAACCTGACCGGTGCCATGCGTCCGAACACTGCCAAGAGCCGCCGCCGCTGCCGCCTTGCTTCACCTGTGCGGATCCGCACTTGCATTCCCACAAGCGTCGGTAGTGATTTCTCATCGATTCTATTTTTTTGGGGGGCGCACTGGGGACTGGGTGAGGCGAGAATCTGGCCGGCACCCTTGTCCAATGGTCTAGTCGCTAGACGCCACTTGAATGGTCCAATAGACGCTTTGCGATCTGGTCACTTTTTTCTGCTTTTGTCTTTTTTTTAATAGTCACTTGTTGAATTGGGATTGATCATGAATGGGTCCCAAGCTAAGCCGCACACCCCTCGGCCCGGCTGGACACCGGCCGGTGACTGCGCATTTTGGCGATCCCCGGATCCCCGCAATCTGCGGCTCCTTGCAACAGACACCATCTTTCCCTCTACCCGTACGGTGGGCGAGACCTGCTTCTGTCAGCCGCTACTGGGTCAGCGAGAATTTGTTTCGGCGCAAAGCGCATACCGATCTGAGGAGCTCTTCTACTTCTGCTCTTTGCTTCTGGTGTAATCTCACATTATCGGGTGATGCATCCAGTCCGTCACTCGAGGTGTAAGTTAGCTACCTACCCCAAGGTATGCAGCCCGACCGGCCGCATCTGCGGCAACCTTCCCAGGAGAACCATTCGCCCGGTGCCCGCCGCCACAGACGCGAAGATGATGGAATCTGTCATCGGGAGTTGCCGGTAAAAGCTTATTCTCATCAGATCATGAGGTTATGGCCTTGTCAAAATGACAGTGATAGCCGCCGCCCTTGATTCGAGAAACATGGGTGAGGGGTTCTAGACACCTTTGCAGACCCTCGTTAAGGGTCCTTGCCGTAAATGGTAGAGTAGCAGCTTGTGATTTCCCACAATGCCAAACGTAGGGGTCTTGAGCCGTCGACAAATCAGGTAAAAGACAGGACTCTCCTTGTCTTCGGACACGCCCCCCCCCTCCTCTCCCCAGAGAAGAGTAACGACCTGCCGGCTCTGGAGGACTTATTAGACCCCTAGTTCCCTCCCATGGAGAGGTCCTTGTGTTTCTGTAGCCAATGGTGAGTGAGCCTCATCTTGAAAATTGACGTGGATCATAGCCTGCCAGCCGAGGTCTTTTGGCAGACGCTTAAGTCTCAAGGACGAAGAGAAACACGCTTCTATACGCATCCAGCACTCAGGCTGATGGGGCTGTTAGACTCCGGACTATGAATGTGTGACGAATTACTTGAGTTGATGGAACTGTAGTACTCATTTGACGCCAATAGTCTTCTTCAAACTCAGGTGTCTCCGTCAGTTCAAGTAAGCGTCGTGGCCAAGTTAAGTAATAAGAATTTCCCTGTCTTGTAGTCTGTCTAGGCGAGTCTCCCCATTGCGAACCTCGGCGGCATTGTTTATAAAAGCTGCTTCCATCTCCAATATCATCTGATTCTTCCCCGCATATTTGCGACTGGGACCAAAGCCCCAGAACAACCCTCGCCTTTACTCGTCCTCGTCCATCCCCTCATCGCTCTGTGACATTGCTATTGAAAGCATGTACCGGAACCTTAGTAATTGAAGGTCTAGTAGGTCTTCTCTCTTCTCTGCTGGAATGTCGAAGTCGTCGCCGTCCTCAACGTACTCGTGCGTCTCCAAGTGGACCATGCGAAGTGGTTTGCCAGACTGGCTGCGTGTTTCCCTGGAGATTATACGAGGGTCGGTGTTGAGGGATATGCTACCTGCACCATCATTCACTTCATTGAAAATGGGCTTTCTAGACATCTGAGCCGAGATCGAATTGAGAAGTCGGTTTTGGAAGCAGGCTCCAGGGCGATTCTGCCCTTTGACCACCATTTCCAGAGAGTGTCGTTGAGAGAGACCGGGTTCGCCACAGAGACCACCCCAGCGGACAGCGTCGAAAGACTATTGTGTCCACGGGCCCCAAAAACCCTCTTCGACATTTGCAATTCTGTCTTTCATTGTAACTGCTGCAGTGTCGGTGGGAAAAGAAAGAATCGGGATGGCGTTGGGGTCGGCAGATTTTGTGATGACACAAGTGCCTTTATCTCGAAGCAAACAAGTAGACTGCACGAATCAGCACCAGTCTAAATAATTTTAGGGACCACAGGAGGTCTTACCAGGATTTGCTTGATGCCACTCTTTGGGGAAGCATTGATTTGGTGATGATGGGTGGGACCTTGGACCAACTGGCCATGAATTGGAACCTCGCCGGGCTTGGGAAACACTTAGTTACCGGAATCAGTGAAATAACTTCTGATAAAAATCATGCGCAGCTCACACTTCTTGATGATGTAGGAAAGAACACATCGATGGACTGAAGACAATTATCCAGCTTAAAAAAGCCTTCACCGATAGCCATCTGGAGTTCGCAATTCGTCCGTGTCGGCATATACGAGAGTATTGCCCAGGCCAGTTTGGCAATAAACTTGTCGTCTCCAAGATAACCTAAGAGGTCCTCGATACCTTTCAAATCAGAGTAGTGGCACCGAGGGTTGAAAATCTCAAGCTTATCATTGATATTGTCAAGGTAAGAAATCGTAGGGAGAACAAGAGCATCCAGTAAGGCGTCGATGCGATCATGGTTGGTGTCCGGATGGTTCTGATAACATTCGATTCTTGCTAGAAAGTCTCCTTGCGGCTGTCTAAATCTTCCTCGTCGATGTACGAACCATTATCTCTGGCCAACATATCGGAGTACTTTCTGATGCCAAGTTAGGTAGGTAGGTAGGTACCTGTGAAAGAAGAGGAGGAAAGGTTTGGTGTATCAGTGACAACGAGGAAGAATGGGACTTTGTATTTAGTTCATTCTACTCCCGAGTTGGGATGTAGAAGCTGCAGAAGCTGCAGAAGTGGAAGGCACCGGCGCATCTGAGCCTTGAATTGCGCCCAGGTGGAAAGAACGGCCTGCTGGACTCTGGCCACGAGATGATGCAATGGCGAAGTTGAAAGAGTGAATATGACAGCATCCTAAGGTATCGATCGATTCATTCCTTATGCTTTCTAGATTTCTAGTAGGTGGCTATCCATGACCAGGCCCGACTTGGTAGTGGACGAGCCGCCATGGACTTACACGCATTATCTTGGGACTGAACACAACAATTCTTTCTTACCGTTGATGAACACCCAAACTTCAGGAGCGCCAACTCACTGCAAGGCCTTGTACCTTTTGAGAAGGAGCTCTGTTCTGGCGGTCGCGACTGGCAGAATGGGCCAGTGACATCTCATGTTGATCCCCCGGTAATCAATCTCCAAGATTGAGGGACTGGGATCTACAGAGTCCCCAGAGTTACGGAGTGAATCTGGGGAATGACGTCACGCGGGATGGCAGAGATGCTGTTAGCCGTAGTTGGGTACTTAGAGCCTCACAAAATTGAGTACCTGTATTTGCACACAAGAGCATATGTAGCAGTCAAAGCAATAGAGATAGGTGTGCGGGAGGAAGCTTAAGTGATTGGATCAATCGTCCTTAGGCAGAAAAAGATTTGACGGCAGTCAACGTGGAAGGTTTTGAGCTTCTCCAGAACGGAAAAAATGAGGGGTTGGGATGGCAATCTGGGCTCGGCGTGCAGGTGGACGCGGCTCCGAGGGGCAGGGGAAGGAAAAAAAAAAATCGTTGCGATTAAGTGGCTGAGCGGGGCAAAACGCATGGACCATGTTGCATTTTAGTCGGACTGGCCAATCACGAGCCATTCTTTGCTGGGAAGCAGCGGTCGATTTTTTTGAGAAATCGCTCCTTCCTGTGTATCGGGAGTGACATCTTCTTTGGGGCAGATTATAAGGGCATCGGCGGTCGGATTTTCTCCCAAAAAGTTTTTCCGCCTCAGTCCAAGAACCGTCAAGATCACGACTAGCCCCCGCCATTGAGCTGCACGGCGACTAGACCGACCTCAATAAGCTGTCTCCGTGCTTCTCGATGCTCATGGAGGGCATTGAAGCTATTGCCGAGTCGGCTCAGGCCGCCAAGCCTGAGGCGCACTCGCCGACAGGTATGCGCTTGACTTCCCGCCAGCCCACCTGGCAAAGATCTTCACTGAATTCGGACGACTTGCACGCACCCCGAGGACGGCTTCGCAAGCGTCGCAAACGATGCTGACTTGCCGTAGTAGGACCAGAAATGAAGCAGGAGTCCCCGACTGTCACGACCGATCTGGGCGAGACCCCCCAGTTTCCACTGAAGCGACCCCGCGATTCGAGCGCAGATGGCCCCGATGCCGAGTCCAAAAGACTAAAGGTTGACGAGGATCAGCCCCACGAGCAGAACCCAGAGCAACCACTAGAGCAACACCACGAGGAGAACCACGACGAACATGCGTCTCTCGATCTCGGATTTGACATGGACGCCATGATTCAGGGTGTGATGATGGACATCAGCAACGAGATGAACAACGAAATGGGCAAAGTAGACGGTTTGGACAGCGTCGCGGACGTAGATATGACGGCAGATCACTTGGCGTCTGTGTCGCAAGACTCTGCCCCGTCAACTGACACACACGCCATCGTTCTCTCTGAGCCTTCGGCTTTGATGAGGCGCATTACCACCTCCTGTTTGTCAAACTTTGTACGTGGCGGTCTCGTCAGATCTGGAGGCGCCGCTAACTATTTTCCAATTCCTAGGCCATGCAGCTCCTCGTTATCATGTCGCAGCATGTCTACCATGACGTGTACCAGCAGTTGCAAGACAGAGAATCAGATCTCTGCAAGTCCTTTAGCACACTAAAGTCCCTCCTCCGACAAACTCGATCGATCTACTCCACGACTGACCTTATCTTGGACCCCGCGATGCTGGACTTGACTGCACCGGATAACTTAACCGATATCCAAGTCGCCAATCTCGCCAGCTTCTGTTGCGAACTTTTCACATTCGACAGCGAGCATCAACTCAGCTCAAACGAGCTCTTGGCTCTAGAGGACAAATTTTTCACCGTCTTCCCGCCTAGTGCCGAGGGCATTTCGCACGACATCTCCGAGCTCTTCCTCGCAGTCAAGACACAGCTAGTCATCGAGTCCGTGACATCAGCAAATCAGTCAGGGCCTGTTGACCAGTCGATTGCTGAGGCGTTCTCGTCTAGCTTGGAAGATAGACTACGAGCGAGACATGAGGGATCTGAGCTGACCGCTGAAGAGAGAGCTCTGGTGACATCTGTGGAGGAGCGCAAAACGTCTTTGATTACTTATGCATCAGGCCTCCCAGATACCGGTACGTTGCCAATTGCAAAGGCTGTTGGGGTCACAACTAATGTATTGAGTGTAGTTCTACTGAAAATCGGCTATCCGGAGGAAGACCTCTTTCACCAACTGAACGTGTACCTTCGGCAAAAGTTGCAGTCGCTCTCCGGACTGGCGTCAAGACACGGCATCGATCTTCCTCAGCTTATCACGAACGGAGACCTAGACGCATCGATGCCACCTGATCTCGACGACCTGGGAATCTCATCATTACTGGAGGCTACAGACGGACTAGTTGCGCAGTATCTCCCCAGTGAACCGGTTGATGGATTGCCCACCGAACAACCGCCAGTTCCGACGACTGAGAGCAGTGTTCCTCCTCCCGAACCCCCCGCGACTGCGCCCGAAGCTGCTCCCCCGGTGCCGGCCACAAACGGTACCACGACTGAAAGTCAAGACTCAACGAATGACATTCTCGCACTTGTAGCACAGAGCACACAGGAGTACGTTCGAACCACACTCAACAACCTGTCTCCAGCGCCCTACCAGCCAACCGTGCCCACACCGACGGGAGCCGCCCCGGTGACGCAGACGACATATCTCTCGCATCTGCAACAAACCCAACAGCAATCGCCATACTACGGCTACCCTCCACCAGTAGAACAGCCACCACAACCTGCGACTCATGAGAGCAACGAAAAGCTACCTCCTAGTCAGAGTTTACCCAGTGCCGTGCTCTACGATAGAGCTCGCCAGGCTGCATTGAGCAAAACCAACAACCAGCAAAGACGGGAAGGCACCACTTCGACAAGACGCCCATGGACTCAAGAGGAGGAAAAGGCACTTATGACTGGTCTTGACATGGTCCAGGGGCCTCATTGGAGCCAGATCCTTTCTCTGTTTGGCGCAGATGGCACTCTTTCCAACATACTCAAAGACCGAACTCAAGTTCAGTTGAAGGACAAGGCCCGCAACTTGAAGCTCTTCTTCCTAAAGACAAATTCGGAGATGCCGTATTATCTGCAAGCTGTTACAGGCGAGCTCAAGACACGGGCACCCACACAAGCAGCCCGCAAGGAGGCTGAGGAGCGAGCTAGGATGAATTCGGAGGAGGAGCAAGCTCGGGTACAGGGTATAATGACACTCGCGGGCGGACTGCAGCATCCTCAACATCCTCACCACCCTCAACACGCCCAACACGCCCAGCATCCTCAGCTGCCACAACATTCACAACATCCACAACACGCACCACACCTGCAGCAAAACAGGACAAGTGTGACACCAGCGACTGCGCCAAGCACGCCCTTACAGTCTGCAGCCCAGATCTCGCATCATGTGGCCAGCCACGCTACGACACCAACACATGCTGCTGCATCGGGGCCACCCGCAACACCGGCCCAAGCTACGCAGATACATGCTCGAGTTCTGCCTGCCTCCTCACCGTATGCCGCAACTGCTGCCCAGCTATCCCAAACGCCCCACGGCCTGCCACAAACTCAACCACAGACGCCGACGCATTCTCACATCCAGCATCACTCTCATCCGGGAACGCCGCAGCCGCAGCACCATTCTCAACAGCCGCAGCATCAACCTCATCAGCAGCATGTTCAGCCGCAGGTCTCCCAAGCTGCTGAGACTGCGCCCAATTACACAACTGAATCATCTGCAGCGGTCTACAGCCAGGAGAATGAAGATCTCAAGGAAGCAGCTCTTATGCAAAGCCTCAGAGAGCTTGAAGCATACAGCGAAAGCGCCAGCACTAGCGTGTCATAGAGTGACGACAGGATTATGGCTTCGTATCTTCATCAGCCCGCTGTCATCAATGATTACCTACAGAATTATTACGTCAGGAAGAATCACGATGGCACACAGGACTCACAGTAAGACAGGATTCAGGCTTGGAGAATTGGGCTTTGTCCTTGGGATACGCAGAGAATACCCTCGGTCCGAAGCCTTACACAAAACACCACCGTCCTGTACCTTCCAGGTCAAGACCGTCGTCAAAAGGAGTCGCCAGAGTGTGCATCCTAGCGTAGGATGAGGCTTTCAAAAGTCGACATTCTCATTACGAAGAATTATATGTTACATATGGGAAGGCATGCTTACTGTCTATATAGTAAGTAGTTTCTGGAGTAGAAAAGGGGAGGCAGGGGACCGGACACCAGGGGAAGAAGAAAAGAAAATGGGAGGCACCAAAAAGCGATTTTTTGTTTGCTCATGATACCACGATTGATAGAGAGGATAGGGCGACTGGCGAATTTTCGCCTTCTTTTAAGTAAGGGAACAGAGAATTGACTCCATAGCGAGATGGAACGAATTCAGAGCAAGGTTAACTACAAGGTTTTATGCTCGCCACCTCGAGTGACTTGACCACGTGAAGGAAGAATGATGGGGCTATACAACTCAGTCTTCCCACTTCTTTCGCCGAAAGCAGGTGGATGGTGTAAGAAAGAAAGAGTTGAAGGTACATGAGACACGAAGGATGTATGGACTAAAGTCAGACAGTACCCTTTCTGCTCATAGACCAGATTTCCAAGACCATCAAACGTTCGGTGCCGAATTTGCTACCGTTATCGACCCGGCTGTTACGAATACTCATCGAATGTTTCTACGTACTAGAGCGATTCATCCGGAATGTCCCGTAGGTCGGAAATCTGCTGGGCTGCAAGCTCGACTCGAGGCGGTTCCTTGGAACCAAAAGGTATCCGTAGGTGAGTGAGGTTCATCCAGAGACGATTACAATGTATGTAATTTCAATGGTGACGTGTTGAGGAGCCAAATTACGAAATAGGGAATTGCTCAGTATTGAGCATTACTAGGACTGGGAGCAAACTCTTTCAAGAAACCTGACCCTGAGCTTCAAGAGCGTTGCGGTCATAGTAGCGGTCTTCTAATAAACTGTGAAGTATTGAAGCATGGTCGTCATAGTCAGCCATCTCAATAATGCAAAAAAGTATGACAGAATTATTTCGTAAATGTACCAACAAAGAAAAATATCCCCCGAAAAGTACATAAAAAAGAGGAACCAGACGCCGCCCAACATACTCTATGCAGACTCCCCCATGCTCTGAATCATATCAACCGTCCCGTTCGCAACGCCCACAAACGCAGCCGCCGGCTTCTCATCCCTCTCGACCCTATCCTCGGGCCGTCCGTAGCCGCCGCCGCCAGGTGACATGATGACGATGCGATCGCCCGCCTCCATGTGTGCCGTGTTCTTGCCGCCGAGGTTGACGACGCGACCGCTCTTCTTGACCCACACGTTGCGGCCCCTCTGTCCGTCCTCGCCGCCGGCCATGCCGTACGGCGCAAACGCCCTCCGCTCGCTGAGGATGCTGACCTTGATCGGGATGCCAAACTCAATGTCCCGGATGATGCCGTCACCTCCCGTGTGGGCTCCCTTTCCGCCGCTGCCCTCCCGCAGGCAAAATTGGCGGAGGATGACGGGGTACCGCCTCTCGAGCGACTCCGGGTCCGTGATGCGGGTGTTTGTCATGTTGGTGTGCACGCCGCTGACGCCGTCCCACGTCGGCCCACCGCCGGCGCCGCCGCAGATGGTCTCGTAGTACCCGAACCCGGTCTCCGGGTCGTCCGTGCCAAAGGTGAGGTTGTTCATGCACCCCTGGCTGGCGGCGGCGGCGCCAAACGCCTTGAAGATTACGTCGACGACGCGCTGCGAGGTGAGGACGTTGCCGGCGCACACGGCGGCGTACTCGGTGGGCTTCAGGAGGGAGGCCTCGGGGACCTGGACGTCGATGGGGCGGATGGCGCCCTGGTTGAGCGGGATCTCGGCGTCCACCATGCAGCGCAGGGCGAAGATGATGGATGAGTTGCAGATTGCGATGGGGGCGTTCCAGTTGCCGTAGGCTTCTGGGCCGGTGCCATTGAAGTCGAAGACGGCGCCGCCGGTGGAGGGGTCGATTGTTACCTTGAGCTGGATCGGGGTGCCGTCGTCCATGTAGTCGATGGCCTCGAGGGGCTTGCCTGCCGTGCGTTTGTGGATGGTCTTTAGCATATCGCGGACGGCGCGCTCGGCTGCGCCCTGGATTTCTTCCACTGTTTGGGGCGTTAGTACAGGACACGTTCTTTTGTGTGGCCGAAGACTGTGTGAGACTTACTGTAGAACTGGACAACATCGAGACCGTAGTCCTCGATTAGGGAGTGAATCAGCTGGCTTCCTCGATGGTTCGCCGCGGCCTGCGCCTTGATATCGGAGATATTGTCGCGAAGACACCTGGTGCCGGAGCAGCCCGGGAAGTGCGCCGGCGCCATGAGGAGGTCGGTGAGTTCCTTCTCCTTGAAGACGCCACCCTCGACGACCTTGAATGCTTTGATGACTGCGCCTTCTTCCCACAGCTCCTTGGAGTTGGGGGGCATGGAACCCGGGAGGATGCCGCCAACGTCGGCATGGTGGCCTCGAGACGCGGTCCAGAAGATAATCTTGGTGCCCTCGGCGTTGAAAACGGGGGTGATGACTGTGAGGTCGGGGAGATGGGTGCCACCGCAGACTGTTGAGCTTTATTAGTGAAATGGTATTCAAGGCTGTGTGCGCTGGGGAGTTTTCCCCCTTACCCGGTGCGTTGGAGAGGATGACGTCTCCTGGCTTGAGGTTGTCGCCCCAGTGGTCGATTTGCCACTTCACAGCAAAGGCCATACTTCCAATCTATACCGTGTTAGTCTTCATCTTCACCACGATCTAGGTTTTTCCCTCTGCGAGACTTACCATGGCAGGTACGTGAGGGGCATTGGCCACGAGCCCGCCGTCGGGCGAAAAGACGGTGCACGAGAAATCCAGCCTCTCCTTGATGTTGGTGCTCACGCTCGTCTTCTGCAGCGCGCGGCCAGCCTGCTCCGCGACGCCCATGAAACGGTGGCCAAAAATAGACAGCTGGATGGGGTCAATGGTGGTCGTGGAGATGGTCTCCTTGGTCCCCACGGCCACGTCGATGACCACCGTCTCGGATAGTATCGTCGCCGCCGCGTCGGGGATGACTACAATAGTCTGCTTATCGTCCATGATGAGCGCCGGGCCGGCGATCTTAGTGTGCGGCGTCAGGCCCGCGAGGCCGTACACGGGTGTCTCGGACCAGCCCAGGCCCTTGAAGTAGACCTGCTTCGTCGTCTTTGCCGGCGGCGCGGCCGTGGCCTCGGCGGAGGCGAGCTCCTTGGGCCAGGGGACCGGGAGCTGGACCGTCGTCTTGCCGATGGCGCGGACGCGGTAGTCGTCGATGATGACGTCGCGACCGACGGGAAGGAAACCAAATTGCTTTTGGTGGGCGTCCCTAAAGGCCTCCAGGTACCCACCACCGGGCGCGGTCGCTGTCTCCTGTATCATGAGCGGGGTGTCGCTGCCCTGGAAGCGCATGTTGAGGTACCGCTCGGAAACGATGCGCTCCTTGGGGATGCGCTGCATAAGAAGGACATCGCCGGCCTTGCCGACGAGCTTGTCGAGCTCGGAGGCGAAGATGGGGAGGTTGGACTCGGTGTAGATGAGGGCGCAGGGGCTGCGATCCTCGCTGACGACGTCGGCGAGGGCCATGCCGTAAGCGGAGAGGACGGAGGAGTACTTGTGCACGAGGACGCGGGAGATGCCGAGCGTCTTTGCGATGTCGCAGGCGTGCTGGCCGCCGGCGCCGCCGAAGGAGGCGAGGTTGTGAAGGCCTGCGTCGTAGCCTTTTGCCTCGGTGAGGGTGCGGATGGGGCGGCACATTGATTCGTTGGCGACGTCGAGGAAGCTGATATGCTGTGTAAGCCTAAAGATATCACTCATGGGGGGAGTGCTCCTGCTTTCACTTACCCAGCTGCGACTTCTTCCACGGTCAAGTTGGTACTCTCGTCCTTGTTGATGCTCGCCGTAAGCTCCTCAAAGAGGCGCCTGCTGGCGTCAACATCCAGAGGCAAGTCTTCGTTGGGGCCAAAGATCTTGGGGAAGAACTCGGGCCTCACGCGGCCGAGGACGACGTTGGCGTCGGTGACGGTCAGAGGGCCGCCCTTCCGGTAGCAGGCCGGGCCGGGGTGTGCGGAGGCACTTTCAGGCCCGACCTTGAACATACCACTTTGCCAGCTGAGGATGCTGCCGCCGCCCGCCGCCACGGTGTTGATATCCAGCTGCGGAGTCTGGACCATGACGCCAGCTGTCGTGGTCTCGAAGACCTGCTCCAGCTCACCGGCGTATCTAGGGTGTTTTGTCAGAGTCATCTTCACAACTGTCTCCCGAGGAATGAGATTCTCGTTCATCCATACCTCGAGACATCGGTACTCGTACCACCCATATCAAAGCCGATGACGGGAGTCTTGTCAGCGTCGTCGTAGCACGTCCTAGCATAGCCGACGACGCCACCGGCTGGGCCAGAGAGGATTGCCCTCAGGCCGGACAGACCGGAGAACTCGACCAAACCGCCGTCGCTCTGCATGAACTCGCAGCGGCACCCGCTGTTGGCGAGGTCCTCAAAGCCGGACTCAAAGCCGGCAATGTAGCGTTTGATCTCGGGGGTGAGGTAGGCGTCGGCCGTCGAGGAGTTGCCGCGGGGTACGATCTTGACGACGGGGGAGAGCTCGGCGCTCGGGGAGATGTGGGTGAAGCCAATGTCGGCGGCGAGCTGGGATATGGCTGCCTCGTGGTCGCGGAAGGTGTAGCTGTGCATGAGGCAGACGGCTATGGAGCGGTAGCCTTCGTCAAAGGCTTCTTGGAGGGCCTTTCTCGAGGCCTCAAGGTCTGGTAGTTGATTGTGTCAGCTCGTTCTCGCTTCACTGCGAAGGATTTTCCCGAGGATGAGCTTACCTAGAGGCTCGAGTATCCGTACTGCTTCCCCGGTGACGCCGGTGACGAGCGCGGGGTCTGATGAGGTGTCGATGACCTCGGGCTTCTTGTTCTCTGACCATGCATCCAGCGTCACGCGTTCTGGGATTTCGATGACTTTTGAGTATAGTACATCGGGCTTGCGGATGGCAAGGTCGAAGAGTTTCGGTCTTGACTGGTTGCCGATGTGAAGGAGATCCTGAAGCAAGTGTAAACATGTGAATCCCCGAATATTGGCTTTAGTTCTTGCATCCTTACTTTGAGACCCTTGGTCACCGCAAAGACTGTACGCTCTCCCTTCCTCTCGAGGAGGGCATTTGTGGCCACTGTAGTTCCCATTTTGATGGACTCTGTGTACCATAGTCAGCGGGCGGCAAACGCCCAGTGAAAGTTTCATATTCTACGCACCGACACCTCGTAAAGAGATCTTTTTCCCCTTGGGATATTCCTTCCCTGTTGCCTTCTCCAGCACTCTTCTAATCGCCTCAACAGGGGCATCAGGGTAGTTGCTGGGGTCGACTGAAAGTAACTTGACGAGGATATCATCTTGACCGGGGACGGAGGCAACACACTGAGCCATTAGTTCTCGTTCACAGTATACCGTGCTTTTCAAAAACCAAGACTTACATCGGTGAAGGTGCCACCACGGTCAATGGAAATTCTGATCCCCCCCACGGGGCCCGGAAGTGAACCCATGATGATTAGTACTCTTAGGTTGTGATAGTGTCACTGAGGAATATCTAAAGTGTACAATCCTTACTCTTAGAGAGGTGAAAGGCTCAGTGGAGGAAACAAAGATACTAATGATCAATATCGGATTCAGAAAAGGGTTCAATGAAGCTGGATTTCGCGATGATTATACAAAGTCCCATGGAGGTTGCGGGCAGACTCTCGATAAGCCCAAAACGGCAATCATCCGACGCCTCCCCCACATTTCATCGCCGGAGCTCCCTCGGCAGGGGTTTCGGAGAGAGACAGGGTGTGTGTGCCTGTTGTCTCTGGACATTTCCACTCTGCGTTGGCTGTGGATGTTCCACTTGGGCCATCTCAAAAGTCGATAGTCGGACAAAACAGACGAGGTGGAGGCGGAGTGACGGAGGGAGAGCTCGTTCGGGATCTGCACGAGGATCCGATAAGCGATGCAATTCAACCCCTCAGTGTCTCTGCGGAGAGAGAAACGGTTATTGACGGCGGCAGGGCCGGTGGCTCGGTTTATCAGCTTCGGGAGGGGCAGCCGAAGGGCGGAACTCCGCTTTGTGGACAATGGTGTCAGGGTTAGCATCATCCTTGGTCTAATTGGTCTGGGACACTGGTGCTTTTACATTCAATCACGCACGCAGCGATTTCGGATATTTGGGTGAGTATGCTCTTTGACAGTGTAATGAAATCATCAAGAGCTATGCTATTGGCACTATGGGCTTGGCTTTAATACAATCATTCCACACTCCGGACCGTGTTATCAAGAGCCTTTGCAAAGTACTCGACATTCTTCTCATTCAGCCCCGCGATGGAAATTCGGGATGTGTCGGCCATGTAAACGTGGTATTTCTCTGTGAACAGAATTATTAGTACCATGTAAACCAGAGTGTTGTCTAGAAGGAGGAGGGAATAACAAACCTTCAAGGTGCTGAACTTGTGTCTTGGTGATGCCCGTGTACCCAAACATGCCGCTCTGCTTCACAATGTGCGACCAATCACCCGGCGTCTGCAGCCGGACCAACTCATCATATACCTTCTTCCTCATGGCACGGATGCGCCCCGACATGGTGACAAGGTCCTTGGCCCACTGCTCCTTGATGAAAGGCGTCCCCAGCACGGCCGCCGCGATGCGCGCGCCGTACGCGGGCGGGTTCGAGACCGTCGCCCGCTGCACGTTCTCCAGAATGGAGCTGACGGTCTTGGTTCTCTCTGCCGTGTCGGCGACGAACGTGACGGCGCCGACGCGCTCGCCGTACAGGCCCATGTTCTTGGCAAAGGACATGCAGACGGCAGCCTCGAGGCCGAGCTCGTCGACAAAGTGTCGGATCGCCCAGGCATCGTCGTCGACCGAGCCCGAGTTGAAGCCGAGGTAGGCCGAGTCAAAGACGGGGAAGATGCTCCTCTCGGTGATGACGGAGGCGATCTCCTTCCACTGCTCCCGCGAGGGGTCGCAGCCCGTGGGATTGTGGGCGCAGGCGTGCAGGATGACGGCCGAGGTAGAGAGGTCGGCGGCCTTCAAGGTAGCGATATAGCCGTCAAAGTCAAAGGCACGGTCTTTGTAGTAAGGCAGCTGCTTGACCTCGAAACCGAGGGAGGCGAAGAGGAGTTCGTGGTTGGACCATGTTGGGTCGGTGATGTAAATCGTCTTTATGCCAGTAGCGGCTTTCTTCAGGGCGAGTCCCGCGAGGAGGAGGGCGCCTGTTCCGGAAAGCGATTGGCATGATGCGACCTATAGAAATGGTTAGATGATGATTTGTTGGAGAGCTTGTCGTGAGCACTTACACGGTTCTCTGCGAACGCCTTGGTGGGGCTGAAGACAAGCTTGACGGCTTCATCGCGGAAGGGCTTGAATCCCGCGATAGGAAGATACTCGTGACCGGGCTCTCCGAGAGATGATTCGGCCAGTCTAACAGACGGCAGTATCCACGGCTGACCATTCTCGTCGCGATAGGTGCCCTGGCCGAGGTTGACCTTGTTTGGGTCCGAGTCAGCGACGTAGCGCCTGGTAACGTCGAATATGGCGTCGGGCGGGATGAATTCTGCTTGTTCAAAGGCTGAGATTTGCTGCTTATTTGAACCCATTGTGACTATCGTTTGATACTGTGAAATGCGATGAACTGAAGCTACAATCTCTTGTCGAGCGTCGAGAGTCGCGACGCGGGTATGAGTAGACCATGAATCTCGGGGCCCTAGTCGACTCGGAGTTGGAACCCGGCCAAAGGTCCGGCACCGGCACCGGCCTGAGTCGAGCTCGGATGAGGGGCCCGCGGGGTCGCAGTCCACCTTGGTGTAGGGCTCCGTTTGAGATTACCAAATGCCCCGAACCTGACAGGCCAAGTCCGAAGTCTGTCATTTCGGCGGAGTAACGATGTGGGATGGACGGGTCAAATAAAAGTAGCTAGTAATCCCTCTTGTGTAGGACTTGTAGATTTCGCATTGATACTGTCAAAATCATTTCTTTTTGCTCTGTAGACAAAGATGGCTCCTCGTGCCCCCCCTCGCGGCATCTATGCCCCCGTCGTGGCTTTTTTCCACGAAGACGAGACGCTGGATATCGAAGCCTTGAAGACTCACCTTACGCGGCTGGCAAAGTCGGGCGTGGCCGGCCTGGTCATCCAGGGGTCCAATGGAGAGGCACCACATCTGCTCCACTCGGAGAGACAGCAGGTCATCGCAACAGCGGCCGAGGTGCTCAAACAACACGGAAAGCCCGGGGCCGTCATCATCGCCGGCTGCGGCGCGCAGAGCACGCGGGAGACGATCCTGCTCTGCACTGAGGCCAAGGAGTCGGGAGCGGACTACGCCCTCGTCCTGTCGCCCAGTTACTGGAGTGAGTTTTCTCAAAGCCCCAAGCAGACGATGAGTCGTCGTGACAACCAGAGTGCTGAATCATTTCATTTTTGTGAGCAATAGCCGGCGCAATGCAGAAGCCCGTGATCCAAAAATTCTTTGACGACGTAGCAACGGCATCGCCGATCCCGATCCTCCTGTACAACTTCCCCGCCGTAACGTCGGGCATCGACCTCGACTCGGACCTCATCGCCGCGCTGGCGGCATCGAACCCCAAGGTCGTGGGCTGCAAGCTGACCTGCGGCAACCTGGGCAAGCTGCACCGGGTGGCGCACGACGAGCGTATCCCTCAGCCGTTTGCCGCGTTTGCGGGCAAGTCGGACTTTTTCTTGCACGGCTTGGTGGCGGGCTCGAACGGCGTCATCGCGGCGGCGGCCAACTTTGTGCCCAAGGTGCACGTCAAGCTGCTGGGGCTGTACGACGCGGGCAAGCTCGCGGAGGCGACGGAGTTGCAGACGAAGCTGAGCCGGGCGGACTGGGTGCTGGTGCAGCTGGGGGTCGCCGGGTTGAAGGCTGCGCTGGATAGGTATTTTGGGTACGGCGGGGGAAGAAGCAGGCGGCCGCTCGGCCTCGTTGCGAGCGCCAAGTTTGAGGGTGAAAAGGATACGGTGCTCAAGGACCTGGTTGATTTAGAGAGCTCGCTATAGGTGCCTCACTAATACCTACCTCAGGTAGGTAACGTAGGTAAGGTAAGGTACCTAGACTGATGGGATTACCTTAGATAACGATAAGGTACTGCAACTAGGTATCATGATGCGATAAGATATGTCTGTGAGCACCAGCTGGCGACGGTCGTGTTCCGGCCCCCTTCCTTTTTCTCCTCCGTTCACAGTTCCATCCATCTCCCCCCGTTTGCTTCCCCGAAGCCACTTGCTTCACCGCAGATCTCAACTCGATCCGTTCTTTGCTCAATGTCTAAGATTCAACTTTTTAGCTCGCGACGCCCGGCTAGACGGGCTAGACTAGGAGACTTTAAGGTTACTGGACGACTCCAAAGAGTTCCTTATCCGTCCCTTGTCGACGAGGCATGTGAACACTTTGGTGTAAGCCCATTGGACAGACTCGACCAGGGGACTGATAGCACGAACCGACGCTCGAAGCTAAACAACACTCCTTCGTCTGCTCCCAGCCACCCGAGACTTTTCCCTTCCCTCTTTACCTTCGAGGCTCTAAGCAAACCGGCTCACTGACGTGGACTATCACGACCAAGGTATGCAGTTGTCCGCGGCATCGAGACCCGAGTCTATGGGTCCTGCTTTTCTGCCGACAGCTCCAGCTGCCTTGGCAACTTTGGACGGCAAAGCATGGGTAGTCATGGAGGATCTCTGATGTGGCCGCAAAAGAGCAATGGCAAGCAATGGCAAGCAGGGCAATCAAATGCCGTGTCAGACAAGTCTCAATCCAGCTAATTCCCCCGCCTGATCGTCGCTACCGCACGTTAAAACGGCCGCTGCAACCAGCTTCTTCCGGCCGACGCAGCCGATTGCAGCATCTCATCGCTCTCTCACACTCTTGTTCTCACTCTCACTGAAGCGCCAAATGCAGGAGTGGCTTGCTTCATCATTGGCCGGAGCTATCGAGGGTAGCTGATAACGAAGCTCGGAGCTCAATCGCGCCATGCAGTCACCCCGCACCTTGGCCTCTTGGGTTCGCTCTCTCTCTCTGTCTCTCTCCCTCTCCCTCTCTGACCACCCACCTCTTTCTCTCACCTCATCAGCTCGGCTGCCTCGACTACCTCCATCTTTGCCTGACCAACTTACCTGGCCTGGCTTGCATGACAGTCAGCCATGTGCCGCCATCTCCACTCCGCTAGCTGCAAACACTGTAGATCCTTACTGCACTTCCCACGCCATCCCGCGTCGGCGCCAGCCGTCACCTCGATCCATCGTCAACCAGCCCCTGTTGGAGTCGCAACGGTAGCCAAGAAAGAAATGCAGCTGTCTGCCACGTCCGGTTTGTACCATGACTCGTTTTCTTATGCCGGCCCTCGAGCACGTCATGTACTGCCTACATTACCCCTCCAAGGCAAGCGTCTGGGTGAAAAGAAAGACACGGCGTATCGAGACGAGATGCGGTGAGAATCTGCCAGTCACGTCCTATCTGAGGTGGAAATGGGTGTATGCCCAGCTGTCCGACCTAGCTTCCCGCCGCCTTGCTGCATGCGAGCCTTGCATGCTCTGGTCTTCCCAAGCTCCTCTGCGTCCAGAGTGGTGGTCGCTGTGTTCTTTTAAGCCGAGCTCTCCCCTTCATCCTTCATCCTTCCGCCGAGCAGTTGTCCGTCTCGTGCTAGATTGATATATGTATCCCGAGCTTTCCGTTGACTGTGTAAGCCTTTGCCGCAAGTTCAATCGCACAACATCGCAAGCCTTTCCCACTCGACCCAGGCTTCGCCGCCATGTCTACCCTATCTCTGATCGTCTTTATTGGGACCTTGATCGCAACGACTTCGGCCCAGTCCTCGAATCCCTCAGTATGGGCGTCCGTCGCAATGGTGATGCATGGTGAGCGCACGCCCCTGCGCAGCGAGCTCCAAGATGCTCTGACTCCCATGGGTGCTCAGGAGATGTACGCCCAGGGCAGCGCCTTCAGAAGTCGTTACCTGGCCAGCGGGACGCCGACAAACGTCTCCGAGGGGCGCATCACGTCGCGCGCCGCCATCAAGGGCATTGCGCGGAACGTCGTTGACCATGACCAGCTCTCGATCCTCTCGCTCCCCGATGCCCACATCGCCGCCGGTGCCGTTGCCTTCATGCAAGGCCTCTACCCGCCAATCACGCAGGCCTTTGCGGCCGACACTGGAGGAACAAACATCTCCTACTCGACGCTTACCGGGAACTCTACGCAGTATCCTCTAGATGGCTACCAATACCCGATTATCGAGACGTTGGGGTTGGCTGATGATAGGTCAATTGAGTAAGTATAGGCACCGTGGACGGTACACTTCCCGGGACTGACTTGGAATCGCTAGCATCCGGGGCAACACTGATTGCCCGCAGTGGAAGATCTCGACGACATATATCATGCAGCTGGACCCGTATATGCAAGCTCTCGATCAGGCGTCCAGTTCCGGATACACGTCCCTCTTCAGCACGCCACCGCTGAACGATGGCACCATCTCACTCTCACACGTGGACTTTTGGAACGCGTACGACATATACGACTACGTCCGCTACCGATACTCGCACGAGCAGGCTGTCTACGACGCCATGCAGGACGAGTACGCACAACGAATTGAGTTCCTCGAAATGTATGCCCGACTGCAGCAACTCAACATGACGTCAAATCAAGCAGTATCAGGCCTCGTAAAGGGCGATATGATCCGAACCATCGCCGGCAGGACATTCGCGAGAAAGGTCGTCGACGCCCTCGAGGCCAATGGCGACTTTGGCGGCTACTCAAACAAGATGACGCTCATGTTCAGCTCCCAAGAGCCATTCCTCTCCTTCTTCTCTCTCGCCAATCTCCAGAACCAGAACCAGACGCTCTCAAGCCCCTTTTGGAACATTCCCGAGAACGGAGCCGCCATGGTCTTCGAGCTCGTCGGCGACCAGCCCAACCAGCCCGACACCTACCCCACCGAGGAGAACCTCTACATCCGCTTCCTCTACCGGGAGAACGCCGAACCTGATACGCCCTTCCAGGAGTACCCCCTCTTCGGCCTCTCCGACGCCGAAGACTCCCGCGTGACTTATAGCTACTTCAAGCAGGAGATGCTCAAGTTCGGCATCGACACCGCGACGTGGTGCAGCATCTGCGGCTCGATCCAGTCATTTTGCGACTGGGAGATTACGAGGACGACTCCGACCGTCGGCGAGGCCATCCGCTCGGCGGCGCAAAAGCCCGTTGTCGCAGGCATCATTGGCGCGATCATTGTCCTCGCCGTTTTGGGCCTGGTAGTTGTCTCGGCGGCCGTTCTCGGTGGTTTCCGCATTCATCGTGCGGGAGGAGGAATAGGAGGAAGCAAGAGCGGCAAGGAGGGCGGGCGGATCGCCGGGCTCGGTGGGTTCAGGGCCGCGGAGAAGATGGCCAGCGACCCGGACCTAGCTGTCTCTGGACGCGGGGTGCGTCATGAGCGTCAGGGGAGCTGGGAGCTGCGCGACGGACGGGAGGTCACGAGCGGCCAGTCTGGTATTGCTGTGGATAAGAGCGCGTCGACTTTCCAGGCCAAGCCTGTTGATGATGATGATGCCAATAGTGTCATGGGGGCGTCGCCGGTGAAGCCCAGGGAGGACGTTTGATTGGAATCGATGGACAGGTTTTATGGGTGGGATGGTGGATACGGACTCTCTTCTGGCTTTCGTTTGTGATACCCTTTTGATGCCCTTCTCACGGTCATTCGTCGGCACTTTTGGCATGGAAATAGGTTTTCTTCCTCTCTCTGGACCCTGGGCGTCGCGGATTCATTTTCCTCCTTTATTCCAGCCCCCGTTGAGTTACACTGCATCGCTCCAAGAATGGAAAAACCTTTAGACAAATAACTCTCCCCCCTACTACCACTTACACTTTGGCAACGCTTAATTGACACAATACGGCCTCCCTGAGAGCGAGCTGCTGCCCAATACTGATCCTCGGCCCGCCATTGAACGGCGCGAAATGCCATGCCGCGCCCGCAGCCCTTCGCTTCTGTTCCCACCGCTCTGGCACGAACTCGTCCGCGTCGTCGCCCCGGAGGTCCCTGCGCTGGTGGACGGTGTGCGTGCTGAAATTGACCCGGTGCCCGCGGGCACGAAGACGGAAGCGTCGCCGAGTGGGCCACCGCCCGAGGGGAGGGTTCACGTCGCGGAGAGCGCGGCGGGAGTTGAAGGGTACTACGGAGTGGAGGCGGAGGGTTTCGGAGAAGACGTGTTGGAGGTAGGTGCACTGCTTCAGCGACGCAGACGTCATGCTATCTATTCATTCCGGTCCCGCTACACTGCTCGGCATGGGTTCGGCTTCTGCCCATGTCCCCCCGCTACACGTCAGAATCCTCCGGATGACAACATCAACTCTAAGTCTCTTCAGTGCACAAGACCATTAAAGGTAGTCATCACAGCATAAAATACGCTCGTAAGGCTTGGCAAGCCCGAGGTGATGGTAGCATCGTGGCGCCGTTCCTCAGCCCTGTTAATCCCGTCTACATGCTTTTCCTCCGTCCCATCACGTGTTAGGTCACGATATTCTCTGCGCCCAAGACTTCAAGGTTACTCACAGGACTGAAAGCCCCCCGCTTCATCAATGGAGTCAGCGCGGGCAACAAAAGTCCAGTGGCTCGGGCAACGGCCGCCCTTGAACCCAGGGGTCACATTTGGCGTGCCTTGGCGGCAAGGAGCCTGCCACCCTTCGAATACCACGTTTACCTGCACTGCAGACAGCAAAGACGAGATCCCACTGCAGTCATGGCCAACAGCATTCTGGCCTGATGGGTCTGTGAAGTGGACAAGTCATGCGATTCCTGCGTCAGCGACGGCAGAAGAGAGCTACCGCATTACTCCGATTGACTCTTCAGACACCAATATCCAAATTACAGATGCCCTTAAGGTTGCGGAAGGTTCCAGTATCATCTCAGTCGAAACTGGTGAGATATCTATCTCGTTTAGGAAAACAGGCAATGAGATCATCAAGGAGATTGTCAATGCCAAGGGCAACTCGGTTGGTATCGAAGGCCGGCTGGTTTTGCTTTCCCAAGATCGCATCTATGACCCCGATAAACCGGACTCACTCGTGCAGCATCATAACTTTTCTGGACAGATCAGTTCGGTGGAAGTCGAGCAGATTGGTCCCGTCCGCGCTGTCATAGCCGTTCGCGGAGTCCATGTCGAAGTACCCCGAGAATCAGGGCCAGCTACCAAGACCCACCAACCATGGATTCCATTCATAGTCAGATTCTACCTCTATGCCGGGTCAAGCCACATCCGAATACTCCATACCATCACATACGACGGCGGGGTTAGTGACTTTGTTCGAGGGATCGGGATTCGCTTCAAGATGCCTCTCCAAGAAGAACAGGCTTATGACCGCCACGTACGGTTTGCTGGAGCGTCAGGGGGAGTTCTTGCTGAGGCTTCTCAAGTGATTACAGGACTTTGGAAAGACCCTGGAATAGACGTCAGGTCAGCTCAAGTGCAGGGAAAGCCTCTGCCGTCATCCGAAACTTGGAACCAAGAACTGCCCCGAGCCTCTCTGCGCTGGGTCCCCGCCTGGAGTGACTTTAGCTTGCATCAACTCTCGCCAGATGGGTTTACGCTCGAGAAACGACTGAGAGAGGACCACCCATGGATAAAGACCGCGAGCGGTACCAAATCAGGGGGAGTTATTTATGTCGGTGGCGCGAACCGAGGAGGGCTGGTCATCGGGTCGAGACACTTTTGGGAACGTTACCCGACCGGAATCGACATTCGAGGCCTTGGAGCCGCTCAAGACGACACAGAGGTGACACTTTGGCTCTACGACCCTAAAGCCGGGCCAATGGACCTTCGCCCTTATCATGACGGCTTAGGTCAACAAGGTTTTGACGATCAGCTGGACGCCCTGAAGATCACGTATGAGGATTGGGAGCCAGGACTCGGGTCGGCTTATGGGGTGGCGCGAACAAATGAGATCGTGGTTTCCGTGACGGACTCAACGCCAGCTGGCAATGACTTCTCATCAATTTCGAGGTTGATTCGAGACCCTCCAAAGCTGTTGCCTACTCAAGAAGCTATCCACCTTAGTCAAGCTTTCGGCACATACTGGTCTCCAATGTCCAAAGTCTCCGCCAAGGGTCTTTCAACCGTAGACGAACGCCTCGAGTTCCTATTCCAATTTTACCAGAAGCAAGTGCAGCAAAGGCGTTGGTACGGCTTCTGGGACCACGGCGACATCATGCACTCATATGACGAGGACCGCCACACCTGGCGATACGATGTTGGCGGGTACGCCTGGGACAACTCAGAGCTATCGCCGGATTTATGGCTTTGGCTGTACTTTCTGCGAACCGGTCGAGCTGATGTATTCAACATGGCGGAAGCTTTGACTCGCCATACCGGGGAGGTGGATGTCTATCACCTGGGGCGATACAAGGGTCTCGGCACACGACACGGCGTGCAGCACTGGAGTGATAGCTGCAAACAAGCCCGCATATCGAACGCTCTCTATCGCCGCTTCTTCTTCTACCTGTCTGGCGGTGACGAACGTGTTGGAGAACTTCTCGAAGAGACCCTCGATACCGATCAAAAGTTCCTGGTCCTCGACCCCTACCGAAAAGTCCGCAAGGACAGAGAAACCTACGTACCAGATTCACATGCAGTTGAGATCAGCCTAGGCACAGACTGGGCAGCGCTGGCAGCCTCATGGCTTATCGAATACGAGCGTCGGGGAGCACAATGGACTGAAGCCAAGACTAAGCTGTTCAGGTCGATTGAAGGGATTGGCGCTCTGGCAAACGGGTTCGTGACGGGGAATGCGACTTACAATCCGTCAACCGGGGCCATCTCGCCACCCGCCTCAGACCCTGAGAATAATGGGATCGTCAAAGTTTCTCACCTATCAGCCATGTTCGGGCTATTTGAGGTGGCTGCCGACATCCTGCAGCAGTTTCCCGAGAAAGCAAATGCGACTGGATTCAGGACAGCATGGCTAGATTATTGCACATTCTTCAACGCTACTTTGGAGGAACAGGAGACCCGGTATGGGGCAACTGGCTGGGGAAGACTGCAACTTCGACAAGGGCACTCTCGCTTGACTGCCTATGCAGCGAGAGAGCTCAACAGACCTGATTTAGCTGAACGTGCGTTGGAGGAATTCGGGAACGGGGATGGATTCCGGGATTACGGTCCGAGCACAGTCTGGAAAAGCACACCGGTGAGCAAAACCCATGCTCTCGAGCCCGTAGATGAGGCTGTTTGGGTTTCTAGCAATGTCACCGCATTGTATGGCCTGGCAGCTATTCAGAACTTGGCACTGTTGGTTGATAGAACGAGCCTAGAAACCTAGACAACGTTCTTTGGGAAGTACTTGGAAATGCTTTTTGAAGACAGTCAAGCCACGCCATGAACAACGCCAGATTGCGAGTCACATGTATCGCACCTTAACTGAAGATACATCATATACAGCAGTGAAGCCTGTCAAAGCATATTTTATGTTGTTGGCAACGGAGTTCTGCCAGGAATCGGCAATTCTTAACGCGACCCGTATTGCATGCACCAGAGGCCTGCAGACTTTTCTTGCCATTGATCCTGACATCATAATGGTCGTAGTGCAATAACGACTGTTGCTTGTAGAAAGCTTGGTGTGGTTGTGTGGGAGAGATAAGGTTTTCAATAACAACTTCAAGTTGATTGTGATTAAACTTAACCGAGAAGGGTCTTGTATGTCCCGGGTTCGTCCGGCCTTCAATAGGGATGATCAGCTCAACGAAAGCGGGAGTTAGGTGACAAATGAAAGAGTGAGAAATGCAATTTGCTGGAACATCTGAACTTTTCAGCCAAACGACAGTCTTCGCCCCATTGGTTTCGGCTCCGTCCCGTGCCTTGGTGTCACAAGTTAGAGCACACAGCAACGGACATATGAAGCGGGAAGTAGGTAGTTGACGTGATGCGTACGCCGACGAAGGAAAAGGTCAAGTCTTTATGCTGCGTGATAATGAAGACCACGTGAGAAAGCACGTGGCAGATGACTTCGTCTGTGCTGATACCAGGCCATATTTCATGACAGTTGGTAACCAGTAGGAGAGGACTTGACGGAGACAAGGAGGTGGCATCGACTTTGAGTTTGATCCGCAACTTAGTCGAAACCGTGTTGTCTAACAGACATTGTCGATCGAAGCACTTTGAAATGATAGCCGTCAAGTTCGTGCCGCCATGCTTCGCTGGAGCATGGTAATACCACCTTCCTGCAACAAACGCTATTCGGCATGAAGCTGAAGAAGCTCTCACTGTCCAATCTCTGAGTATCCACAACGGCGATCCGCGTAACCTTCCATCAGAAATAGCCTTTGAAACAGGCCGAAAATACCGAGCTATATCAAGCTCGTGCCTACCCCAGCCTTCTATGAAATTGAGGCCAGATTGTGCGTCTGTATGGCAGATTGGTTGTTCACTACAGCCAATTCACCATTGTCGGGCCACAACTCTTCAGACCCGGAAAGAGCGCACGATGCGCATCTGTTGTTGACACCATTGAGATGCGCATGCACTCAAGAGGCCTATTTGCGCCACGGCGCCCCCTTCGCTTGGCCGTCCTCTTTGCCGCAGCCTTTGTCACAGTTGTTTTTCTTTTTCCCCCGTACCAGTCGAAACCGAGCCTATTGTTCTCCAGCAGTCATGAGCCGCTGGTATTCCGCAAGAGCTCGTTCGACTGGGCGATGGTCGAGCAACACAACCCCGTCACTTCGTTCAAGCCTTTGCCAACAGGCAAACCACTTAGCCTCCCTCTGATCCAGCACGAGTTCGGAGTGGGAAATTCGCATCCCGAGGCGCCAAAGCGACAGAAGGCCGTCCGCGATGCATTCATCCGAAGCTGGAAAAGCTATAAGAAGTATGCCTGGGGTCGGGACGAGCTAGCACCCGTTAGTGCTGGAGCAAAGGACACGTTTGGAGGATGGGCAGCGACTTTGGTGGATTCTCTCGACACCCTCTGGATCATGGAGCTCAAAGATGAGTTCCGCGCCGCAGCTAACGTAGCTGCAAAGCTAGACTGGGCCAACACAACAGCCATCAGGATAAACCTGTTCGAAACCACGATCCGGCATTTGGGCGGTCTACTCAGCGCATACGATCTGAGTGGTGAACCAGCACTTCTCGAGAAAGCGAAAGAATTAGGGGATATGCTTTACATGGGGTTTGACACGCCAAATCGCCTCCCAGGTATTTGGGTCAACTTTGACGACGCGAGGCTGGGAACCCAACTAGCTGGCAGATATGACCCCTCAGCCTGTCCAGCGTCATTGGCTATGGAATTTACCCGTCTATCCCAGCTCACGGGTAGTCCAAAGTATTTTGATGCAATTGATCGCGTCACGAGGTTTCTAGAGGCCACGCAATTCAAGTCAAAGCTACCAGGGATGTGGCCGAAAACAATTAACTTTAGAGAGGAACGAGTCGATACCGACAATAGCTTCACGCTGGGAGCTCTTGCAGATTCCTTGTACGAATACCTACCAAAAATGTTTGCGTTGCTGGGCGGTCGAGATCCATCGTACGAGAAGATGTACATCGGCGCTATGGCAATTGCAGAGCAGCATATATTCTTCCGGCCGATGGTGCCAGAACGGGCCGACATCTTATTCGCCGGCGACGCCTTTGTCCACTCTGAACGGATCGAGCACGTCTCTGACGGCCAACACCTATCATGCTTCGCAGGCGGTATGCTCGGTCTCGGAGGCAAGCTCTTCTCCGTCGACAACCACGTTGCTCTTGGCGAGAAGGTCGCGCGAGGGTGTGCTTGGGCGTACGACGCGTTTCCGTCCGGCGTGATGCCCGAGTCATTCAATCTCATCCCTTGCGAGGCCCGGAAAACCGGGGATACCCAGAAAGATGACGAGTGCCTCTGGGACGAGTCACAGTGGAAGAGCGAGGGCGACTCAAGACTGAAAAAGGGCTTCCGGAATGCGGGCGACTCGCGATACCTTTTACGGCCTGAAGCTATCGAGAGCATATTCTTGTTGTACAGGATGACGGGCCGACAAGATCTTCAAGATATTGCCTGGCGTATGTTTGAGTCGATTTTGAAGGCGACAAAGACGGATTATGCCTATTCAGCAATAGCTGACGTGAATGTTGCGCCTGACCAGACGAGCAAATTGGATGGGATGGAGGTAAGCATGTGCACACATCTTCCGGCAGTTCTCCGATTCTGTTCTCACGTTTGAGTAATTCCATTGGCTGACTTTCTCCTCATGTAGAGTTTCTGGCTTGCTGAGACACTCAAGTACTTCTATCTTATTTTCTCACCGCCGGATCTTATTAGTTTGGATGATTATGTTTTCAACACAGAGGCGCATCCATTCAAAATTCCAAAACCAGCAATCAGTCAGAACGAAGAAGAATTACGACGCGATGGGTTACATACAGGCATTCATTGAGTGGGGTTATACATTTAGAGATCCGCTTGTGGGAGAAAATGGTGTACAGTAAGTAGGCACTAAATGATACAGTAGATATATGTATGCGATGATCATGAGTTCTCTTAAGGCAAATGATACAACAACCCTAACTGTGATACCGTCTACGGTCTAGGTACGTCTCACAATATTCCAGTAGGCGACCAACATGAAGGTATCGAATGATTGAGCAAACAGATTGATCCGGTTATCCTTGGCAATGGGGGGCTTGGAATACATCGCCGAGCTCCATCGCAGTCGCACTGGTGCTGCTTGAAGGTGCCCACTTGTTAAAACCGTCTCGGTGTCTCCGTTCGGATCCCCAGTCTTGATAAAGTTGACCCAGTAACCTTTTATGATCTCAGCAATCTTGTAGTCCTCGCTGGTCCATGGCGAGTCAGTTCCATTAAGGTCATTATAGACGTAGTTGATCTCTCCCATGTGGAACGCGCCTCGATCTTGACCAGAGGTGGCGTGATCCCTATGCAGTTGTACGCTGATGATGTAGCGTCGGCATACCACAGCTGCAACCAGAAGGACATTCCCACTTTCGAACGATCGGTCTACTGCGCGTTCTCGGCAGCCAAGGCGGTGGCCGAGTCGTTGGCAGGGTACGCGGCGAGGAATTTGCCCTTCCAGGTGCCGTTGAATGTCTCGTTGAAGTCGGAAATATAACTTGCCAGTGTGATTTAATGCCAGCATTAGATGGCAAATTTTCCTTCATATCAACATTGATGACACAATCATACTAGAGACAAGTTCATATTGATTGCTCGATGCAATTAGTGATAGTAAATGGCAACCATATTGAATGTATAGTACATAAGAACAGTAGTGTCTCCAGTTAATCATTGTTGCCACCCATAGCAATTTTGACTCAGGAGTGATTCTGCGTATTCTAAATTGAAGCTTAGATTGTTTCTAGAAGCTATCATCGTGCATTCGGTGTAGCTATTACCTCACGTGCTCATTCTCACTGCTCGTTCTCATTGCTCACTTTAAGAAGTCTAAAGTTAAGACGAAGAAGTTTGTAGAAAGCAACAAGACGTTTTCAGAACAGTCGGCTGCAGCCCCACGCCATACCAACTTTATGGTTTCTCAATAAACTTGATGTGTAAAGCATTTAAGTAAAGTCTGGGCATGTCGAGCTGGAGCTCACAAAACTTTTTCCTGCTTAGTTACCAACTTGAGGGCTAGGACGGTTCTATCTCAGCGCCATATCCGTAAGACCCTTCTCCTAGCATTTATAAACATCGATTCTCGTTGGGCTTAGACAAAGCATCACTGAAACTCTGAAAGAGAAGGCCGTTAACTCAGTGAATATCAAAATCAATATCATGAACATAATCTCCAACCGGCATCATTGCCAGAGTCTACCAAAGAAAAGCAGTCGATACTAACGCATCGCCGCGCCTTCTTATCAGAGTATTCAGCTCAATAAATGGTAGTAGACAGCTTGTTTTCAAAATCCCTCGAGACCTGCTTCTTTCGTTCGTTGTCTCCGACGCACGAGAATAAGCCTCGACGTCATAGAGTAGGCGGTCATGCGCGGCATGAGCTGAACGACACAAAAAGACCCCAGGGCTTCTCAAAATTGTTGAGCTTGGCGTGCTGGGTAAGCGATTTGCTCACGGGAGAAATGTATGAGCCGAGGGCGGATGTGGAGGCATATCGCCAAGAAGAAGCCAAGAGACAATAAGAAATGAGCTGCAGTGTCCACGTATCGCGCCTAGAAACTAGCCTCTTGACTTCCACTTGCCTACCGGGCCCCTCGCACCTTAACAGCCGGGCCAAACACGGAAGGTATTTCTGAGTTTTGAGGTTTACAGGTGCCAAAACATTCATTTCCTCTTTCGTGTACGGGACTTGGAAGAGCTTTGGCGCTTTTTCTCATGAGTTTGCATTGGCCAAGCAGTGAGCACGCGTAGAGAGCATGCGGCCATGGATGGAAACCCGGGATTAGGTTCAAGACTATGCGAGCCTCTCGACGCTTCCAGGTCGCAGCCAGTCGGCATAGGCATCGTTGCTTTCTCGGCAAAGCTACCTTAATGGCTTTAAGGTACCGAGCTTACCGATTAAGGATTTGCAGCTCCCTTTTTGGGCAGACAGCCCACAGTCTCGTGAGGTAAATGTAACTCTGTGGCCATAAATCGAAAAGTAGCGTGCTCCACCATATTATTCTCCTATCTAAAGACCGACAGGTCATCCAGTTGCATTCTTCTTTCCCAACGTCATTGGTCGGAACACTTTTTTATCCATATATGTCAGCCAGTCGAGGCTCCTCCCTTGGTTGGAGCTTGTTAAGTCCAAGAATGCACTGGCAACGGGCAAAGAGGCAGGCGTTTCATTCTTATTTCCCTCCTTCCTCCCTCGAGCTAGTCTCCGGCTTGGGCACTTGGCAACACCTTGGCATCCAATGTTCGGTAATGTCTTATTGGCTTTTCGTTGACTCTGGGCATCATTGATCACCAGCTTCGGCTACAGCCTTGGTTGAATCCTATTGGCCGCTCGTCACTTTTGCTGGACTGCCGAACGTCAAGAGCCCCTGACTTAACGGGCTGGTCATGACGAGGAACGAACAACGGCGGCATGACCCGTCCGGGGTTCCGACCTATGCCGACAAACTACCCTAGGTTGGGACGAGGGAGTAGAACTTAAGGACTCCTCTTTTCCTCAATTTTAGATTAAGTCTGGTATGATTCCAAGGTGATTTGGTCTTCGAACATCAACTTGGGGTAGATGACTTTCATCTTGGTGGGGTTTGAGAGTCCTCAACATCAATATGGAGCCCAGGAGAAGCACAAGTTCCATCAGGAAGGCGGCTTCGGTACCGAAAAGCATTGTGATATCCCCTTCCAATGTGGGGCTGTGATCTGCAGGGCTGCCTAGACTTGAAAGAGGTCCAGGCCGCATAATCTCTATCTGATGGACGGTTGCAGAAAGTCTTAGCTATCGTCCGTGTTGATATTAGCGATCTTGGCATCGGTTGGGCTTGCCCGTTGTACCTTCCATGTTTAAGTCCCAAGCCCGTCTAAGCAGTCTGGGCGACGTTCTCTCTTCCTTTTTCCCCTTAGCTCAAACATCATGGAACTTCGATACAGGTTTATCGACGAAGACTGAACTGCAGGAAGAAATCAAAAGAGTCGAAAGATGAAGAAGAAAAGATTATAAAGAGAATCGGTTCAACCTTCAAGTTTCGGAATTTTTCTTGTCTCACCATCCACGACCCTCATCCCCATCGACGACCCCAGATCCTGCCTCCTCGGTTCTCGCATTCACAATGAAGTTCACCATAGGTGTCTCCATGCTGGCCACCTTGGTCAGCGCCGTCAACGTTGATATGGCCAAGCGCGACACGTCTCCGCTCGGTGTCAAGCTCGAGGCTATTGGCAACTCTGGTGTGAAGGCTGCCCTTACTAACACTGGTGAATCTGCCATCAAGCTCTTCAAGACTGGCACCTTCCTTGACAATGCTCCCGTTGAGAAGGTTGAGGTTTTCGCTGCTGGTCAGTATTTATTTAAGGGTCTGAGGGCGAACTCATGCTGACTCGAGACATTACAGGCAACAAGATCGACTTTGACGGCATTCGCCTGCAGATTGCCACCTCCGGTCTAACCGAGGAGGCTTTCCAAATTGTCGCTGCCGGCGAGACCGTTGAGGTTGAGTTCGACGCTGCCGAGCTCCACGATCTGAGCACCGGCGGCGCCGTCGAGATCGTCGCCCAGGGCTCCTTCCTCTACGCCGATACCGATTCCACCGACATTGCCGGCGCTGTTCCCTTCAGCAGCAACAGCATAAAGACCGAGATCAACGGCGATGCAGCTGCCTCTGTTCGCGCTGCCTTCATCGAGAAGCGTACGGCCGTGCAGTCCGACTGCACCGGCACTCGCCGCACTGCCACCGTAAGTCGCTCGGATCCACTCGAACCCGGGGACGGATCAGTCCCGGTCCGGGACCCACTTCGGAGCCGGCTTCGATTCCGACTAACCTGCCCAAAATAGGTCAACGCCATCACCCGCTGCCGGTCCCTTGCCGTTGCCGCGTCCTCAGCTGCTGCCTCTGGTCCGGCTGCCCGCATGACTGAGTACTTCAAATCCTCTACTACTGCTACCCGCAACACCGTTGCTGCTGTCTTCGGCAGAATTGTCTCAGAGTGCGGCAGCACTACCTCCGGGGTCTCTCGCCAGTATTGCAGCGACGTCTACGGCGCCTGCTCCAGCAATGTCATCGCATATACCCTTCCATCTCAGTCTTACATGGTCAACTGTCAGTTTCCAGCTCTATTCAGACCAGTCCAGTCACCCTCAGCAGTCCACAAAGATCTAACAAAATCCTACCTGTAACAGGCCCCACTTTCTTCACCATGTCTGCGGCCTCTAGAACTTGCCATGCACAGGACCAACAGACCACGTAAGATTTGACGTCTTTAGTGACTTCAGAGTAATGCTGACCAATGTAGTATCGTTCACGAGATGACGCACCTGACCCAGATCAGAGGCACCTCTGACTACAATGGATACGGATACAACTTTGTCCGCAGCTTGACAGCTTCTCAGAACCTCAACCACGCTGACACTTACAGTAAGCTTGCATATTTTGCCCCTGCTGGCTTCTTAAGTCTCTTCTTCATGGAATGCTGACACCGCTATGTAGCCCTCTTCGCCCAGTCTATCTACGCTAGCTGCTAAGCAAATCGCTCCTTTGGGTGATGAAAAGGCTCCTCAAATTATGTTCTCAGTCGAGGAATCCATGAGGGTGCAAGTTGAGATTTCTTCTGATCGATGTTGAGAACTGACCTGAACCCTGTTATTTTGTCTAAGGACTGAGGACGCTCTTATCGGTCTTTACTACGGTGGCTTGAGTGATATTTCAATGATTATGAAACGGTGGAATCCGCATACGTCTTTGATTTGCTTCTGTGATCCGTATTCCATAAGTTCAAGTCGAACACTCTCAAACTTTCAATGCTTGGTTCCAGGGAAACGTATTTCATGCATGAATTGTTGAAAATGATCATGCATTGGAAAGATAGTCTCCTAAAAAGCTGTGAACGGACTAAACATTCAGCTTTTAGAGCCGATCATTACGTGTAGCGGTTGTTCGGCGCAGAATCTCAGGCTCAGTAACAAGCCAACCGCTTAGCGCTTTATGAGTGACTCGCACTTCGAACCTTAACCCAGCTGTTATAAGGAAGCCCCAAGTGGGTCAGGTTCTAAGTCTTGACAAGTATTACCTTGGCTCTGGGGATTCGAATGGAATCGCTGCCACATTTAGATGAATAAAGTGAAAACCGTGAAAACAAATCTATGGCCTGAGGTATTGTGTAAGGGCTTGACGGAGCTTTCTTGGGCTCTCATTCAGTCTTCAATGCCTGTCGGATTGGAAGCCCAATTCGACCTCGAGTCAGCGCCAGCGCAGGGGCCATCTGAGGGTCTCTATATCAGCGTTTGACCGGCGATCTAACCAACGGTTGGAACCTCTCTTTTCTACTTCACGCAGAGATCAATACAAGAGTAATTGACCCTTCGTCACCACGGTTCGATCGAACAAATCACCCTGTGATTACGTAAACCAACAATGCCCCTCAATAGAATACGGAAAAGAGCCACGAAGCTAGGGGAAATTGCTGTTCAGTGCTAAATAGTACGAAGGATTCTCGTTTTGTACATACTTAGTGGTACATACTTAGTGGTCGACTTTGAAGGGTTCAGTCAGCTGGACCCACGATCAATGGACCCAAGAATCAAGCCGGCAAAGGTTCAAATTTTACTTCATAAATCTCCATGATCAAAATTTTAAGGATAAGGGTTGAAATGAAGTCTGTCGTCACGTCATCACGCAGTGAGACTACTTTTATTTTTTGGGCTACTTTTGTTTCATCCCTTTTCATCTGGATTGTGGCCATTTACTCGCTTGCATCCGAATTGATTGCGCAACGTGGATTTCATCCAGGATCCTCGTGCAGAAAAAGTAGAGCTCAGACCTATAAGGAGCAGCGCCAAGAATTAAGATTAATTAAAGTTGAGCTCTCCCGTCGATCGGCTGGACCGACTTTGATGAGCAGGGAGAGGCCTGTCTTTGCCGTGTTTCATGACCCGTCAGCTCTCGGTTCGAGTTGTCTGCAAATTGATGATGAGGCCTATGAACGCCAGACCGTTGCAAGGAGCCGGCAAGGAGCCGCGGTGGGATGACTGGGTATGCGAGGAATAAAATTCTTCCACAGATCTTGTTGTATGTATCAGTCGCTCGACCTGTCCCATCAAGAGGGACCTAAACAGAGCAACACTCCGCGAGGAGATGACCATAAACGGCATTAAGCCACGACCCCGTCTCATGCGTCATACATCAGCGACTATGGATCACGTCGAGAGGCCCCAGATTTTCTCTCACTTTGGTCCTTCTTTTACTTCATTTTCAGGTTTTGAGCTATATCTACCTGATGATCCGATGGGATATGAACTGAGACCCGACAAGTTTGCAGTAAAGTGTATGGTGCATGTTTTGAAAAACAAACCAGCTGCTACAAACAAGCGGCCGAGAGTGCAGTCCAGTGCCACGACACCATGCGACGCCAATAAATGAATTATTCTTAGATTTGGAAATATAGATGCGGCGCCTCCTTAAGTTTCGACTGCCGCCGGTCGGGACCACCGCGAGCTCCAGGTGTTGGCCGACGTTCAATTTTAAGCGTCGGGGGACTGCTCATGTGGACTCCCGGTAGGTGACCCCGGCTGCCGCCCAGATCTGCCAGAATGGCCCAGGCTCACAGGCAGGCCCGTGAGCTGTCTCGCTTCAACCAATGCGGCCGTCCGCGTTCCTGTTCCGAGGACTCGCTCAACCACGAGCCCCGTCCCCGATGTGACTGCCGATCCCGCCGAGACTTTTGTTACCCACCGCCCCCGTGCGAAATAGATTGTTGAGTGATCCATGTGGCCAGTCCCGGCGCTCCGCCCTTGTGGTCCGTCTCATGTTTTTTTCAGCCAACGTCAATGGCCCGGGCCTACGCGTACGGGGGGATTCCTCCGTTATTCGTTATTGCCAAGACCTCAGCTTTCCTTTTACAGGAGCAAGACTTGTTTGGGCGAAATGGAAGACACCGAAGATTGGGAGTCGGGGGATTGAGCGTTTATCGACTAACAACCGGGCCTCTCGCTTCTCGCTGAGCTCCATGATCGTGACATTGACGGTTTGCGTTACAAGCTGAGAGTTGGAAAAGATGCTCTTTGCAAGAGGATACTGAGATTATGAACAACCTGTGACTCTTCTGCTATCTTTCTCGGACCTGGTTTGGTATGTTTGCCGGGATTGTAGATGGGTTATCCTCAAATCAAGCTGTGACATGGAGCTGTGGGCTTGTATATCCACCCCTTCGCTCCCCCTTGGCGGGACATCGGGCCATTGCTGCACGACTTGAGATACCCAGCGTCTGAACTTTTGTCTGGGCAGATAGGTGTTGGATAGTAGTATAAGAAACGCCTTCAATCCGGCATCTATCCCTTCCTCCCAATCAAGCTTCCCACGTCGTCTTTCACTTCACCCGCATTGCTCTCCAGCTCTTACCCTTCTTTGACCCAATTCATTCTTTGCTCTGTGAGCTATTCATTCATTCTTTCACCACTTTATCCACCCGTTTTTGTCAAGTCACCTACAAAACAACTCAAGATGTACACCAAGGCTCTTCTCACCGCCCTTATTAGCGCCACCGCCGTCTCTGCTCACGGCTACGTTGAGACCATCACCGCCGGCGGCAAGACCATCGACAACTACAACCCTACGTCTGCTCCTTACCAAAACCCGGCCCCCAGTGTTCCCGGCTGGGCTGCCCAACAGCAGGATCTTGGCTTCGTCGCCCCCGACGCCGCCGGCCAGGCCGACATCATCTGCCACAAGTCCGCTACTCCCGGAAAGACCAACGTCAAGGTCGTCGCCGGGAACAAGATCACTGTCAAGTGGAACACCTGGCCTGAGTCTCACAAGGGCCCCCTCATCGACTATCTCGCCAAGTGCGACGGCGACTGCTCCAGCGCCACCAAGACCGACCTCAAGTTCTTTAAGATTGCCGAAAAGGGTCTAACCGGTAGCAGCTGGGCCGCCGACGAGCTCATCAGCAACGGCCTCAAGTGGGAAATCACCATCCCCAAGGATATCACCGCTGGCAACTACGTTCTCCGCCACGAAATCATCGCCCTCCATAGCGCGGGTCAGGAGAACGGTGCCCAGTTCTACCCCCAGTGCATCAACCTCGAGGTCACTGGCGGCGGTTCCGCCAACCCCGAGGGTACTGCTGGCACCAGCCTGTACAACTCCAAGTCCAAGGGCGTCCTCTTCGACATCTACAGCGGCCCTACCAGCTACCCTATCCCTGGACCTGCTCTGTACAGCTCCAAGAAGCGCCGCAACCACGCCCGCGACCTCTTCATCGTTGACTAAATGATTTCATATTGTGCGGAAGTTATGGTTTAAGAGGCTCGAGTGTAAAAAGTGATCGCAAAGACAGACGGCAGGCCTGTCGAGTTGCGGTTGATCAAGGGGAAGTCAAGCATCATGGAGACAGTGCTTCATAGTCCGCCAACAACCTGCACTTGCACGTTTATTCGGACGATTTTGTTTCTTATTCACTGTACATCAGTTAGCCTCGACGATAATTCCTCGGCACTTTGACAAAGGAAATGAGCTTCGGCTGGAGGCAACCCGTCGAACAAAGCATCGTCAGTCTATATATCCGTCTTTGGACGCATGAATATGTATGCTCTTAGGCACCAGATAAAATTCTGACACTCTCTGTGAAACGATCCGGCGATTCCAACATCCATGATGATTCGGCTCTTGTGATTTTGACGGCTTGGCACGACACGCAGAGAAATTTCGTGTGATTTTCATCATGGCCCCTGTGACCCGCCCTGGTAAATGGCAGCATGCGTCCCCTCAATTTTCATGAAATTAGGAAATTACAGCTTGGTATGCAAGCCTCGCCTTCCATGATCAACCAAACGGCCTAATCCCAGTTTTTCCAAACTGCCACGTTGGATTCTTATCATCTACCATCGAATATACGTACTCCGTAAAGATCTTGTTATTGTGAGTAAGTGCCGCCAAAAGGCTTGGCATGTCGATCCAATCCGGCTTCTGAAGCACCTGCAAGTCATGAACTCTGTCCGGGATCCGCTGAATAGCGCATTTGCCAATTGCCATAAGGAGGATGACTGCACAGGGCGCCTTGAGCTACTTGCGCCACGCGAGTCGGTGCGAGAGTTTCGGACCGGCAGTAAGCGAAAGCTTGAATGTTCGACTTCCTGAATCGTATATATGTAAAGGAGCACATTTGACGTAAAAATTTCGCCTTCATTTATGGTAATTGTTTGATTCTACCAAGATCAGGACGACGAACTCAATGAACTCTCAAGTAGTTCTATGTTGATTCATTGTTCCGACCACAGTCCACCCCACGCAGTTGGGGCAAAACAAATACCAAGGAATTGTGGCAACACGGCTTTAATCTTCTCTCAATTTAGCGTTGAAAGCGTGTGTGTATGTAATGTATTGAACTGACTTGAGACCGTCCCTTCGAATACAGCGTACTCGAACAGGAAAACACTCAGCTTCGTTGATTGAGGTGGTAGGAGGCTCTGAATCTGGCTCCCATGAGATCTCCTTCCATATTCAGCCAGGCCAATCCAATTTTGCGGTGAAATGAAGCGTTTCTACCGGAGCCTGTGTTTTATGCTTCTATTCCTGCCGCATGGGCTGCGCCCCCCCGAGCCTTATCAGAACCTTGAGTCCTTTACATTGTTCAATTAACAGGGCCCAACTAGCAATAGAGGTTCCGTCAGGCTGGTCATCCATTCAGTAGGTGGTGATGTATGGGTAATGCTGACTGCATACGAGGGAGCCACATTGGGGGCTATTCTGTCAGCATGCCCCCCCCAAAACATTTGTTGTGTGCCTCCAACTACACTGCCCACGAAGACAACCCTTGCGTTGGGGCTGAGCCGCATCGCTGTGATTGGTGATGCCCTCGACATCCTCCTTAGGCAGACACTTTATGTCTACAGCCTGATCGAGTTCATTGATATGGCGATCACGTATGACTGTTTTTCATGCTACGGCGTATATTGGAAGAATTTTCAGCTGGCTCGTATCACTCAGCAACACATCGAAAACAGTTTCCAATTCGGTGGGACCATGGGAGAGACTTCTGCCCCGATATTTGGACACAATTATGAAACCTTGCGCGTGATAAACCCATCCGCTGCAGACTCAAATTCGACTACCAATCTCATTTACAACTATGCGCTTGAGGTGATATAAGAGCCTCATAAGTACCTACCACTCCTTCGCATCTCCACATGCTCCAAAGTGCAGCTGGTAGCGACGTAACCATCATTGCTATCGTGGAGGCTCTAGAAGGCACCGAAATTTCTCTTTGCTCTATTTTAATAATTGGTGGCTTGCATGAACCAGGCTGCGTCTGCATACTGCATCCACTTTCGACCGGCATGGTCTGAAGGGGGTGCCACTTCAAGTCCACGGGTCCGTCGGTGCAGGTGGTAAGATATGTCGACTTCTTGCGTATTTATGTACAACAGCCTCGAACCATATCCTGATCTCAGTGGATCCATCTCTCTTTTCTCTTCTCTCGCCTTAGTCTTGCGCCAGCCAGTGTATTATAATCTGTATCTCAAAGCTACCTATCTTATTCTTCTTGCGATGGGCTCAACCCAGGGTGATGCCGAGCAGCGGCGACATCGAAACATGTCGCAAAGGCCATGGAGTCAAGCATTTCCACTTGACAGCCAACCGTCTCCTGATTTTATCATCACTCCCCCACTCGACCAATATGAAATGTCACCTCGACCACTCTCTACCTTGTCGCGGATGACAGACGAAGAGTCATCGTGGGACAGGCCATTGCTATCCGGTCGAACCAAGAGCATCGATGAAGAAAGTCATGGCTCGAGCGACGGACGGACGAATGACTGGGCATATTCAAAAGTCACAACAGATCCGCGAGATCAATACAAAGCGGGGCTCAAGCCAGTTCCCCACAACGACAAACAGCAGTTGAGGCCCGAATTGTCAGACGTGGAAGGATCCAAGATCTCCAAGCCCATCATCCGAACCGAATGGTCACGCTATTTCAACGGATGGTTCGTCCACCTGCCTGCCATACTGGTGACAACAGCGGTCCTACTCATTGGTTCCATCAAATTCTACTGGTATCCCGAGATAGGCCCAATCGTGAGCGGCTATCGGTTGGACACCGACATCATCAGCAACGTGCTTCAATTCGTAGCCAAGTTGCATGAGCTTCTCATCGTGGCATCGTTATCTTCTATTGCTCTCGCAATTTATAGAAGGCGTCTCATCACAAGCGGTGTCCGGTTAGGGTTTCTCACAGGAGGGTACCGAGTCGGCGATCTCAACTATCTGAGAACTGCTGCATTCCGCCGCCAAGGTCTCAATACTTCGAAGCCATGGGAGATGCTCCTTCCCGGGTTCCTGGTATTCGCCACCATACTTTCGACCATCGTTGGACCGGCATCTGCCGTCTTACTCCTACCTAGTCTGGGCTGGTATGACTTCGACACAAGTTCAGCATTCAGTAAAATAGAGCCACCTTTGCTGTACTGGTGGACTCGGGGCAGCATATGGTTCAAGTCTCCTTTCAGCAATTTCAAGGAATGTGAAGGAGCTGCAGGGGTATATCAAGATTACTGTACAGCTGGTGGGTTTCCCGAAATCTCCAGCTGGGTACGGGACTACGCCGCGACGGACCTAACCAACAATCTCACATTTCATTCTACATCATCGGAGATCAGGCGTCATTTGGTATTCACGCAGGCCAACGAGAAACCGAACACTGCCTCGACTACGCTCGCCACCACCCCGTCGCATTTTCTCATGACGAGTATCGGCCTTTTCAATCAATTCATTGAAAACTCCGACGTTGGTGGCCTCTCCAGCGAGCCTCGCTATCGGCTTACAGCCGGAGGAGGCGCCAATGTCAACTCCCCTTCGGGAGAAGGACCAGGGCTGTATCAACCATTTGTGCAGTCTAGATGTACGATACACGATAAAGGCTACTTGCTGAACACTCCAGGGTCTGTCCACTTTCCATCCGAGTTTCTCAATTGCTTCAACGATACAGAATGTCTCCAGTCCCAAGAAAATCCTAGGCAGTTCAATGAGAAGGACTGGCTAGACAACCCAGAACTAGACAAAGTTTCGGCGTCAAGCACGTTCTTTCTGGACAAACAAAACTCAACTGTTGTGTACATGAACGGAATAATCCCCGACGCCACGCTTGGGAAAGCAAAAAACTTGGTCTACATTTGTAGCTTGCTTGCAAGCTGGGCGCCATCCAACTTCTCGATCGACCCAAGCGTCAGTGACACGCTCCATTCATCATTGAGCGACGACAAAAGCATGAGAGAGATGTACCGCAACGGTACCCACAAAGATGTCCGTGTCATAAGATTCTACAGGGAGTGGTTTAAATATCTCAACCCGCACTGGAATACGTCAACTACAGCCCGTGCCTCGGGTATCGGACAAATCGTTGGAAGCTTTTCCTCAAAGGAGAACCAGAACGGGAAATATGTGGACGTCTTGGCCCCAGTCGATGGTACCAATAACACAGCGGCAGAAACATTCCTTGCCAAAGTCTTTGGAGTTTACCTTGTCGAGGGCCTAGCAAGGAATAATCTGGAACAGAGGACCCGAGTCAAGCTGAACAGTACTGAGACTGAGCTGTATTATCTAGACTTGAACGAACAACATGGGTACCAAGGCGGTATTCACAAGATCACTCCTTTTAACAATACCCATCTCCAGGATGAGTGGAGGGACATCAAGAGCCAACGAAACCAAACCTTTGCGGACTTCAAGGCAGTGCTTGACACAGCTTTGCCAATCAATTTTACCGCGGAACGCTACGGATACGGATCTGGTCAAAGCCGCCGAACGTTGGACTTTGCCCAGGTGATGATGTATATTTACCTCGGCACCATCGCTGTCTACGCCGCAATAGTGGGAATCGGATACGTGCTGGAGCTTTTGAAGGTCAAATCAGGTGGAGAGCGAATGCGGGTTCTGAGCGTGATACCGTGGTCAGACCTGCAGGACTTGATCATACTGGCACTCAAGACACCGCCTCCAACCGATGAGGATCTGACGGATGCTGGGGCCGGTGTCACCTCTGACAAAGTATGGGAGAAGGTGGTGAGAGCGGAGTCTGACGATAAACGCAACATACAGCTGGCTTTCAAAGGGACGACGCATACCAGAAAGTTGGATGTGAGTCGTAAGGAGCGGTACTACTGAGTTGGACGTGGTATTTTCTTAACATGACTTGATAGATTTCAGCTAGCGTTTAGGGCCGAGTTGGCCTTATTATGTGTGACTTTTTGATCTTTGTTTTGAGTTACTTGATTTCCTTTTACGATACCTCTTAGCTTTCACTAATAGACTCACTCTACCGGTTATATTGCTCTTGTCTCTGCATTCAATCTAACGTGCCTGCGTTTCCACTGCCACTTTTCTCTGTACCATTGAAACCATGGCCAGATTGTGGCCATCCAGTTCGAGTATCAATCGATTCAGTTGTTCCGGCTAGGAATATGAATATCTGATGGCGTGATCAACTTGGCATGGGCAACTTGGACAACTGCGAACCGATTTGAAGATCGTGGATGTGATGTTCGGCTGATCAGATCCCACCCAACCTCCCAATAACACGTCGTCCTAATGTGTAACCCCGCTTCGCGAGGCCTGCTGCGCTCCGCCACACCACCCTCAACTATCAGACCCCGGCGCGATATCACAGGAAATATCACTGGCCTCGATTCTATTGGCGGAACTTCAAGAACCGCCGGTTGTCGTTTAATTTCACGGCGTGGCTCTTCGGAAAGTGGTTGTGTGTTCGCCAGTGTGACATACAGATTTTCTTTTGTTGTCTCCGCGGTCTGATTCCTCCAGACGATGTTTGGAAAGAGCACATGATCAAGACATTATCACTCACCCGCCTCTTTGAAACTCAGCATATGTCAGCAGTGGCCTGTAGCAAAATGCGAGCGTGTTGGTTGTCGGATGGAGAGGAAAAAAAGAAAAGACTCCAGACTCCATTCTCGGCAACTGTTATTCTAATCAAAATTAATCTTACCCGATGACAAAATTACTCTTACGCTAATTCCTCAGCTCGCCTACGCGCATTGCAAGGCAAGCCACCACGACATGGCCCTTCCCGCCCGGGATGGCTTGCTGGTTGGAGAGATGTTAACGCTAGGTCCCTTTGTGCCACGAGATTCTAGACCAACGCTCGTCAACGCTCTCGCTCAAAAGCCATGTGATCTATCCGGGCTATCCCAAAAGCGCGTGAAAAGGGAGCCCCGAAAGCTTGTCATATTTTCGAAACCCTAGTCGAATCGGTGAAGCCCGTTGTCAGCGATGAAGATTAGAAGCCACTAGATTTGAAAGCACCAAGTGGCTGTCTAGCGCGGCGAGCTTTTCCACGAGCGGACGTGAGACCCGTTGGTTTATTCCTCTCGGGAAACTAAGGGTGCACACTAGAGAGCATAAGCTCTTTTGGGTTTCCCCCCTTCTCCAAATCCAAGTAGGGGAAGGGGAACTAGCCTGCCGGTTGGAGCCAAGAAGCCGGTTTCCCAGCATTTTGTGTGCCTGCCTGGAACTTTGTCGACAGCCGGGCTGCACTTGTCGGGTGACGGCATTTCTTTTGGGGAAGCCATCTCCGGCATTTGCGACGTCTTATTTCCAGCCAAATTCGTAGACGTGTTTGCGGCTCGCTACCAGAGGAAATGTTCTGCCTCAACCAAAAGTCAGCGGTAGGTAGCTAAGCGGCATCGCATTGCTAATGCTACGTAATTTGCGGGAGAAAAAAAAAAAAGGAGCGCCCGACTCCCTCTTTTGAGAGTCCTTCTCTCGCGCGGCGCCAAAGTTGGTCACCTTCGGGGTTGGGGGCAACTCCCGAAGTTCCGCGCGACATGCATCATCTCCGCCGAACCAACCCGTCCTCCTGGAAAATCTCGCGAAGACACAAGTGTGCCTAGATAGGTAGCAAAGAGGATCCACACGTATTCCGCTTAGGCCTGGGCCTTTTTTTACTTTGAACCCTTGGGCTTTCACACGTGAATTGTGTTAGTTTCGGCCGGCCTCGCGATCTCCCCGACGATGAAACCTCCTCAATCTGTTTTAATTTTTTTTTTTTTTGCCTTTCGTTGGCTGCTGTTCTGGAGTCTGTACTGTGACTATCGTGCTACCTACCATCCACCTGATTTCTGGGCGCACGTTTGTTGTTGAAAGCACGACCCCATTGGTGTTGCAACAGAAGGTTCCTCGTGCTCCGTAACTTTTGCAACGTTAAAGCTTTGGCGATTCATTCAAATCAGCAGCGAGCCGCCAGCCGTCAGCCGCCAAGCTCCCCCATGGAACGGCCGAGCATCCCGCACCCGAGGAGGGAGGCCCGCTTTGGATGGTATGTGGTCATATTTGAACATGTTGAAGTAGGGAAATAGGTAGCACTGCCGCGCGGGCTCACAGTCACAGCCCAGCAAGACCCCCCGCTGCGGCGTGTTGGTGCCGCAGCTCTAACTCACTACCAGGCGTCATCGGAGAGAAAAAAAAGCCACGACAGAGTGCCAAGGGCGTGTGGAGAAGGAAAGGACGTCAGAAACACAAAAGGAAAATAAAATAAAAAAGTATCCGTACAAACAGAGAAAAACCCCGACGTCCTTCTCCTCTTTTCCTGAGACTTGCGTTCCCACAAATCCACCGTCGACACATGTCACTGCTCTCACTACCGCCGTAAATTGTCCGAGTCCCCGCCAAGGCCCAGGTGTTGGGCTTTCGGCCAAATCAGGAAGCCGGAAATGTTGTCGCACAAGCGACCAACAGAGGGAAACTCGGACGCAGAGGCATGTCCAGTCTGGAAATCACATCGGGATTGCTTCTCGTCGCCGGGTGGGCGGGGGGGGGGGGGGGCGGGGCCCCCGGGGGACCGCGGGGGGGAGGCCCCGGGCGGGGGGGGGGGGGGGGGGGGGGGGGGGGTGTGTGGGCGGGGGTGTGGGGTGGGGGGGGGGGGGGGGGGGGGGGGGGCGGGGGGGGACGGGAGGCGTCACCAGCGGCACAAAGCGGATATGGCCCTCGGATCGAGTATAGATCATCCTATCTAAGGTACCTACGGATACGACTGGGCCTTCGCAGTGAAGGGGAATTCTCTGATTGGTGTCCCATTGCATTGGCGCGGATTCTGGAACACCCCTGGTTCTGAGTTTAGTGATATCCAAAGTGATTTCGACGTTTATCTCTAAAAGTGTGCACCAGCAGTAGTTACCTAGTAGACGCTGTAAATGTGTGATATATTGAAATGCAATACAGCGTGTTTGGCCCTTATGAGGAGGGATAGGAGTACCTAGGCGCAGAGGTGACATCCAAAGTGTCAAAAGATGGGACGGGAGACTACGTGGTACCCCCTAATGCACACTAAGGTACCTGACGGGACGATGACAACCGCGCGTCCGCGGTAGGACTCGAGACACACGAAGTGAACAAAGCCGTGCGACAATGACAGCTCGGGTGCTACACGGGACTCGCCTGCAACGTCGCTACCCGTCAGCCTGAACGAGAACGGCCAGACTCCATAGTTCCATTTCTGGAACGACTGGAGCCCTCTGGAAAACTTGGAGGAGTGAATCACGGTGTCACATTTGACCTTTGGCTCGCTCTCTCTCAAGTCTCAAGTCTCAACCTCTCAACCGCACTTTCTCACCAGTCACTCCACGTGGCCGCACGGAAGTGCAGAGCCGGGATGTGGGAAAATTGTACCACCAGACGGTATACGAATAGGAGGAGGTCTTACGGATACTCTCACTTGAGCCCCCCCAAAGTGCAACCCAACGTGGGCGAATCACGCCACAGTGCCCCCTGTCCCCGAAATCGCGCGCCCACGCCTATCCACGCCCGTGCTGCTGCTGCTATCTTGCCATGCTCTTGCCGGGTTCGGGGATGCACTTACGTGCGTTTGGGAGTACCCGACAGTGATATCCCACTGGCTGGGACTTTCTCGCCGAAGGTTAAGGCCGTATCCGCTTCCGTCACGAGCGATTCCGAGAAGAGAGAGAACCGGAGAGGCCCAATCCTCGTTGGCCTTTTTTGCGGCCGTGACGGGGGCCGCGCCCACGGTGGACCACCACACGAAGGAAACGATCTGCCGGGATTCAAGAGGTCAGTGGAGGTGGAGACTGGGAGGGAACGCCAACCGGGACAGGGATACTTGTCTCATCTAAATCGTCGCCCGTGGGTCGACAGCCCTCCTCGGGGCATCCCTGATCGTGAATAGTGCACTACGTAGTGTACATAGTAGAGCGGGGGGGGGGGCCCTACCATCGCTGTGCGGACCAAGACTCCAATCTTGGTGACAACCCAGGCTAAGCCGCTTGAAACCACAAGTCAAACAATTCCCACCCATCAGTGCGGTCCAACCCTAACCGTATAGATTCTAGAAGGGAGCGAGGAGGGAGCCAGTAGGAGGGTGCACCGGAGGCAGATCAACTCCAGGTGCTCGATCGCCTGGCCTCGACATTGCAGAAACACTTTCAACACTCTACACTCTAAATCACCCCTTGCACAGCCCATCAGCTCCTGCTCCTCCTCCCGATATGGACGAGATCTTGACTCGGTGATGTCGTAGGCGATGCTAGTCATGGATACCTACCTGAGAACGACCGATCGAACTCTGTCGAACCTCCTCTGTCCCTGTAGCAGCCCGGTTTCACTGAGTTGCACCACTGCCTCTATCCGTCTATGATTTCGTTCTCTCTCTCTCTCTGTCTCTCGCGCGCGCAGATCCGCGGGATGGCGACGCTCACCTCCTGCCCGTCTGGCTCCTCACCATCCGAATGGAACACAGGATGCGGGCTGCGAGGTGTGTGTGGTTCAGCCCATCGAGCAGACGGCAGGAAGACTCGAGGGAACCCCCCTGATAGAAACCACCCGACTGTGCAAATGTATCTTTCAGTCTATTTTGGCCGTGATCCCGCACAGCCGTATACATAAGACCAGCAAACATCTCACACAGACGGCCAACCAGCCCATGGTTCGCGTGCGTGTTGGTGGAGCAGAAGCTGCGCACTAACGTCTGCAACCCCGGCTGTTCATATAATTCCAGGAGTCGCCGCCTTTGCGGGGTCTGCCAAGTCTAGAATCTCGCATGTTGGTGCAAGGACAAATTGGGCAAAGCCTGGCTGGACGCACCATTTGCCTTCCCATCATCCCGTCCCCGTTGGTGGACCGTGGATGATTGTTTGCCTGTGTGGTGTGTTTATGTTCCCCGTGGTGTGTACGGATACATGTATGATGTCCATCTCCAGCCAGCCTGCAGCCTTTGCTTGTGCCTGGATATTGCCCGTCCCTGATCCTGCGCCGCCCTCCCACTTTCTCCTCATCTCTCATTTCCTGCAAGCTGACTCTAATTTTTTTTTCCTCATTAGCCCATCCATTGAAGTCAGTCAGTCAGTCACACACACTCATTTGTTATTTTTATTTTTTTACCTTTTTGATTATCCCGTTCCCGCGCCTGGTCGCTCTTGCCTTCATTTGGTCCGTCTCTTTATTTCTTACTTCATCCTCGCCTCTCGCCCTCTCTCTCTCGGTTTGTGTCCCGCGCCGTGTGTGACATCGCCTCCGCACGTCGCCCGCCTGCCCACCCGCCAACCAACTCCCCGACGTCCGAACACCGTTCCCTGCGAAACCTCTTCAGACGACAATCCAGAGATTTGAGGCTTTACAGCCCGGCCCAGAATGTGACGATGGAATTCCAGACACGAGACAAAAATGACGGACCCGTACATACTTTTATTAACCCATTTGTCGAATTGAACGCGGGACTATGGTGTTTATTTGGGGGCGCGACCATTTTCCTCGCACTGCGCCTTTGGTGTAAGATCACCAGACGACACGGACTGTGGTACGACGATTATATTCTAGTGGCATCCTGGGTGAGTTGCAGCCCCTTCCCAACACCCACCACCAAGCAGTGCGTGCACGACTTTGCACGACTCGGGACGACTTTACGTGTACTACCACTTGAGCATCTGGTCTCTTTTCGGATCTGTTTAACTGTCAGGTCAGTTGATGATAAAGCTGACCACCGGAATACAGTTTCTTTTACTGGCCAACAATACTTTGATCGTTTACCAATTCGCAAACGGCTACGTACTCAAGGATTCGTCACAACAATGGGACGACCACATGCATATCCTCATCAACATCTCATCTTGCGGCACCCTCATCGGACAAGCATGGACCAAGTCGGCTTTTGGCGTGACGCTCATCCGAATGAGCAACCAGTGGCAGCGATGGATCCTTTATTTCTGTATCGTCACGATGAACGTGTACATGATCGCCAAGGTTGTCCTTCAGTGGGCAAAAGTTTGCGGCAGCAAGAGCTACGACGCCGACTACCGCCTCAACATTTGCCTCGAAAAGAACTTCCGCAACGACTTCAAGGAGGGTGGAAATGGTGAGTTGCCTATGAACCTATGAGGGAGGCAGTCTCAAATGTCTGCATTCCTTCTCACATTCACATTCTGTGACTGACTCGAGTATGCAGTGTATAACATCATTATGGACTTCATCTTTGCGTGCTTCCCCTGGCTGATCACCCGATCGCTGGAAATGAGACGTGCTGAGAAAATTGGCCTATGCATCACGATGAGTTTAGGAATGATGTGAGTACCTATTGAACGATGAGCATGGTTTTCATATGTAGATCCAGCAAGGAACTGACCCTTATCAGCGTCGCCATTGTTGCCGCCATCAGAGTCAGCTGGAAAGATGAGGGCAACGGCCGTGACCAGTGGTACATCTGTAAGCCAATGCAATCCAACCTGGAGGAAATGTTACAAATCACTAACAAGATCTGTTTCCAGGGCGCAATGGCCTGTCCCAAGTCTGGTGAGTAGTATTTTGAGGAGCCGAAATCCGTGCCCTCTCCACTCGAGGACGCGTCCGCTAAGATTACACCCACAGGTACTCGTCGGAAATTACCGGCACCATCATTGTGCAGTGCATCCCCATCCTGCGCCCAATCCTCAGGGAAATCCACACGTCCCTGACCTCCAAGAGACTGGGTTCGACCGCCGGCGGCCAGAGCACGACCTTTGGAAGCAAGCTCAGCAGCGGCAAGCGCATGTCGACGGGCGTGGGCCAGAACGACAAGCAAGGGAACGAGAGGATCGCGCTCCGCGAGATCCCCGAGGAGCCCGTCGACGACGCATTGTACTGGAAGTCGAGCCCCGCCCGCTCGTCCGACTCGACAACGATGCCCTCCGAGACCGACTTCAAGCCTCGCCCGCCCACGGCGCCGCTGCCCGACATGTGGCCGCTATCAGGAAACGAGAGTGCGGATCTCGGCGGCTCTCAGTCTGGCAAGAGCTTGGATTTCGAGCACGACCCGCACGCCATCTCCCATCTGGATATCGAGCAGGGCCATGTTCAGCAAGGGTTGTCGCCACCACCGCCTCGCAGGTATCCTTAGTGATGATGAGTAGCGGAAAGAAGAAACGATGTCAAGATTATTTTACAAATAAAGGAGCACGAGGGGAGCAGCAGCAGCAGCAGCAGAACGAAGACTCATCTCCATCCGGCAGATGCAATTGGACATCCTTCACCTCAGTAGAGAAACGGCTTCGAGTACCATGAGAAACATGGAGAGAATGAAGCGCGCAACAAAAGTGGTCTCTTCATCACGCCCAAACCACCTTTACCACTTCCGCTTCTCCGCGCCAGCAAACCCGCTGCCGCTGTACCGGATGTTCCGCCCCTGTGGCGGCTTCATTCGGGGTCCGGGGTCCGGGGTCCGGGATCCGAACTGAATCCCTCGACTCGACTCGGCTTTCCGACAGCCCAGTCACTGCACCTCTTTTGTTGCGCAACACGACACCACTACTCTCTCTCTCACGCACTCACTCATGTGTAAACCGACGATCGTCGAGACTGGCGCGGTCTCTCCACTCACGACAACCACGCACGTCACTGGGGGGGGATATGAAGCTGTCTTCAGGGAACATCCTGAAGGGGGGAAAAAACTGGAGTTCAAGGATGGGAGGGGATACCTGGGATGTGGGGGAACGCCAATCCGGCGAAAATAAGCCCTTGTATATTACTCGCGTTATTTTGGATATGGCGGCGGAAATTGTGTGTGTATACATACCATTGACTATTGGGCAGCAAGTTATCCCAATCAAGCATATAGATGATCATCATCATCAACAACAACAAGGAACACGTTCCATAATTTTGCTGGAAATTCACGTCCCCCTTTCGGCTGCCCCGTTCAGTGTGATTCTGTTCTCATCATTTGCCCTTTTTTGCTCCAGCTTAACAAACCGCCCACCGCCTCTTTCTCCTAAGCCGAGGCTGAGCATAACATTGAAACAACGGTCTGGAGGCGATCTCTGGAAACGGTGAACCTGGAACCCAGCTAGCTGCCTGTGACAAAATTGGTCAAAAAACGTGACATGCTGCACCCTAGTTGCCGACTTTGCGGTTTTCAGGGTCGCGACCTGTTGGTCTGTGACGAAAATGGCCATGACATCAAATTCCAGTTGCTCAAAAGAGTTAGGGTTGCGGGTGTCTTCAATTATCAGTCGGCCACATCCGCCTATTGCAACCACACCGAAACTCTGAGGCTGATACGTGCGACCATAAGGAACAGGGGCAAAAAGTCTATTGAGAACATGTTCGTCTGTAATGACTGACTTTCAGTCTCGTCACCTACCTAGCCACAACGTCAATTGCGACGAAGAAATATCCCCTTGATTTGAGGGCCATGCTCATCTCTGAGTTGCGTTGCTACGCTCACAGTCACGAAAGTCTCTCGACGCATCTACGGCAGTTGAATGGCATGCACTTCCGCTCTAAGCAACCCCCAGAGCTCTGGGGACCGGTGTTGTGTAGCGTGCTGTGATTGATAAGTGGCCCAGGTTCCACGGTACCGTGCGACCGATACGAATCACACGAAACATTTCTCCACGCTGACCGGTTCAAAACTCGTGGCTGAGCACGCAGTTCGAGATGAGTAGATTCGAGACGAGGAAACTCGAGTAATAACGCGCGGCGATTATCAAGTGGTCAAGCCCCCCACCCCCCTTTCCCCCCTCCCCCCTCCGAAGATTGTCATAAGATGCCGCGTATCACGACCCCGAAGGACCAACCCCGTGGCCTCCCAAGTTTGATCGTCTGCAAAAGATTGTTGGAACATCGCGTGCGCGCGGCGTTCAATATGTGATACGCCTTATGTTGCTCTTCGCGAGCAAGGGTGGTTGTCGAAGACGGAGTGTGCGGCAGGGCTTGGCTTGAATCTGCGACAGGTGCGGGTAATCCCTGCCCACGCCGCCCACGCTCCCACCACGCGGGCAAGTGTCAACATGTCTTGGACGAACGACGTCTGATGGTGTTTTTTTTTTCTTTCCCTGGGATGGAGATGGGACGACTAAAGTTGGACAAAACACATAATACGGTCGGTTTCCCACCTTCCCGATGGGCAGCATCCAGGCCGGTTTCAAGACCCTGCGATGTAAAGAAGTGTGGCGGTGCACGGTCTGTCCGTGGAGAATTACAAGAGCATATTGCGCGCTGGAAACGGTCAAGAACTTGGGCAATCACAATCGGTGTGAAGAAACCAGAGGGTGCGTATGATGGATTTTTTTCGGGGCAACCGGCAGGATTGTGGTCGTTCTACGGCTTGACCGATTGCCTCAGCTTTCGAGCTCTTCCTTTACCAATGAGTCAAAGCGCTCAACTTCGGCAGAACATCCTTAGACCTAGTTAATGCTGCCATTGCAACTTGGTGTGTTGCTCTTCTTCAGAGCTGTATACTGCCAACCACATGTACCGATCTCTTCGCCGCCGTGGCCGTGTATGGATGGTAGCAGGTTTACTAGCCCGTTGGCATCTTCGTTATGTCTGCTAGTGTGGCCAGCTGTCCATATGACAGCGATCGAAATTCCCCTTTGCTCTCTTCTTATTGGATAAAGTCTTTCCAACTCAAGTTCTCGTTCTTACTCAGGGATATTCCTGGCCGCGTTCTTGAATATTCTTTACCTTGATCTCAAAAGCCCGGGGCTAAAGATAGCTTAGTTGACTAGGTAAGTACGTGAAAACTGAGAAACAGAACTCGAACTTCGGAGTTCCCATATCACAGTTGCCATCTACACTCAAAAAGGCCCACTGTTGCAACAGAGTACGGCTAACGGCGGTACTTGAACTCGCCCGCCCAGCAAATCGTACTTCCCAGTCGCAGTCGTTGAGCGGCGGGGGAATGCGGTCGAAATATGGGACTTTTTAATGGGTATCACGCCATTCCGGGGAGTTGGAGAAATTATTGCAGGGCAGAATATCCGAGTGCCGATTCAGTGCAACAATGGCAACTAGACGCCAAGGCCGTTCGAAGAAACTTCAGCCGTTCCTTTCTTGGCAATTTACAGACTCTCAATCAGCTTCTTTGGAATGTCAGCGGCATTTAAACCCACACGCGCCAACAAACACATGACTCAACAACTCGTCAAAGCGTTTCTTTGGTATTATACAGGTGCATTATACCGAGACAACCGACGAGAGCTAGAAGGGGAAGCTAACGCAGAAGATCCTTATCATCGGGACAACCCCAGCAAAGAGTCCCACTATCGAGATTAAGTACCCCAAACTCAAAAGGTGGGCTACCTCGCCCGACTCCATGGTAAGTAAGCACGTCAGCCCCTGATGAATTAATAGGGCGCCGGTATTTTCATGACCATGTCCCCTGGGCAGATATTTGTCGATCTTTCTTCTGCCCTCGCTCGCCGGAACTACCGTCGGCAATGGCACAGCTAAATTGAACATCCAGTCGGAATGCGCGTTTTGTATATATAACTTGGGGTATCGTTAACGAATAGCTCTTGGATTTAAAGTTGTGCTCTGACCTCAACGCGGAGACTTCAGCTTGGTAATCCACTGACATCTTGGCGCATGGTTGATTGGCAAACTCTTTAGGCCAACCTAATTCGGAATGAGTCAAAAACTTTTTTGTTGGCTCAGTATCGTTATGCGTATTTGGGCGACAAAGGTCGGAATGAAGACATTTCGGCGAGTCCGTCGGCTTCTTTTGAGCTCAGACAGACATGGAATAGGCCCGAGTCACTTTACGCCATTCTGCCTGCGACGACGGCCCGTCGTTCTTAGTTGAGTATTCTAGCTTGGATGCCGTGCCTGTAAGACTTCTTAATTGCGAGCAGTCTATGTACAGTTGGTCATGTTAGCCTCAATGACAACATCAGCTACGCGCGCTTGCAAACTGTTCGACGCGAGTGCTGCAGCAGTCATATATCAGATACGTACACGAAATTGTAATACGGGCTAGTCACAAATCAACTTGGTGGAATCATCAACTACCTTATTATAAATTGTCTATTTTAAATTAGCCAACCATGTCTTACACTTTGTATAGGCGAAAGTATAGTCGACTACTATCATCTGCCTCCAGTCCCACACAACTCCCGTAGGCCTGATGTTCAACGGACGTTGCATGCTAACTTCAAATGAACTGGAGCTTGATACGTCGATACCTAATAGGAATATGCATGGTTCTTTTAGTCTCGTTCTCTTACTTGCACGGAAAACGTTTGATCGTATTTGGAATCGGACGGTGCGGTCTATTCGTATTCAGTTCCTTCCCGCAATAATGGTTGGCTATTATCGGCTGGTCTTCACCTACTTCATGTCTATACATCAGCATGTTATTGGCCTACACAGATATCATGCTTCAGCAATGTACTTGTTTCTGCTAAGGCAGGCTGTCGGCGTTAAGTGTTCTACTTGATATTGAAAGAATCCAGGTTTGATCCCCTCTGGTTATCGCGTGCAGTTTGTGTAACGATCAGCTGAGCGGGATCATAGACCGGCCACCCGCCAGTATAGGAAAGTGAACCAGAGGAGGTGTACTTGGCCAAAGTTGTCCACGCCCCCCGAAGAAACTCGACAATTGCCAACTCATCTGAAGTGCCAGGAGGTGTCTGGGGGAACGTACCAAAAAGAGGCTGAAGCTGAAGAGGTGTGTCAATCGCTGGCAATGAGTCTCTCAAGGGAGAGGGGAAACTTACTTCAGCGCCGAGATAGGCTCCGCTCGGCGGCTTGGTAGAGATGGCCAGGTTCGAAAAGTCTCCGAAATATCGGTACCTCCACGAGGATATCCCATCTTTTACAATCACAGCCTGGCCGATCCTGACGACGCCGCCGCAGGTGAAGTGTCTGAAGTTAAAATCGTTCCAGCATCGAAGACCTGGTCAAAATCAACTCTGCAATCATCGACAACGCCTTGATAGCCGTCAACAAACTGTGCCCGAACCTGACGTTTGTTGCTCTACAGATGGGCGTAAAGGCAAATGGAATCGCGGGCGCGCGTGTTGCGCTTCTGCTGAACCATCCTGCCCCTTGGAAGGAAGACTTCCCCTATTTGCCGGAACCATGTTCATCCAAGATTTTCCACTGCGCTCAGCCCGATATGGTGGCTAGGCACGCCGCGAATAGCTCATGGAAATGGGCCGAGGTCAGGCCGTCCTTTCTCGTGAGTGTCTTGACGATTCTCGCGCCCTACTACCTATACGAAGCAACGTGAAAAGTCCACTTCAATTATAAGGCAGACCGATTTCCCGTCGTTGGCAACTCTGACGACTTTCTCGGAACATGATGAGCTATCACAGACTGGTATTTGTTGTACATATCGAGACGAGAAAGTGAATTGTCACGCAGCCACGGGGCCTGTGTTTACTACTTTACGAACTATCGAGCAGGCCTTTGCGCTAAATCATGGAAAATTAGAATTACAGCTGTTGCTTCTACCTCATGGTTTGCATTGTATCACTACATTACACAATGACTACAGTCGGCGCAGAAGCTTACGAGAGCAAGCAAACCCATCTCACAGGTAAGCACATTGCCATTGACTCATCTAAGTCAGACTGAAGGGGCAAGTCACTTGAAGGTAAAGAAGATTGAGAACAGCTGCGATTGAAGGAGCGGAATTGGTATGGTGGAACAGTATGCTAGATGTAATATCTTGAAACCACAACCAAAAAGTGCTTGTGGGTTCTATGAGAAACCCAAGCTTCCGATTCACCGTAAGTGTACAACCTCTTCCTACACAATTTCGATACAATAAAAGTGATTGTAACAGTAGGATACAGACAAAAAGAAAGAGGGAAAGAGGCCTAATCGCTAGGGATAGCGGAGAAAGAGCGGTGGGTAAAGAACGACATTCGATGGTTTCGAAGTTGGTTGTGACATGAAATGGGCCACAGTTTCCCATAACCTTGATAATAATGTAGTGAAAACGTATCGGTACCAGGAGCAACTCGCGTCCAGTACATATAAATCGGAGTGTCTGTGCTTACATGTAATTCTGCCGAGCTCCAGACGAGTCCTCGATGCTGCCAGTAACGTAAGCAGAGTCAAAGTCCGTCAAGCATTGGTCGTCCGACGACAGGAAGCTGAAGGGGTTGTTGTACTGGTCAAAGCTGGGGCTGCCTCGCCAGTCGAAATCGGGATATCCATAACCCCAAGGCTCCACACCGGCACCGACGCCAACGGTCAAGTCCGTTTCGGGGTCCGCTGGCGAGGCCGCCCGGGACCTGGATCGCACGTTCTCTGGATCACCCAGGGCCGCCGCTTGCGAGGGCGAGGGTATGTTCTCAAAGATGTTGGCACACTTGGCCGAGGAGGTCCGGATCCAGGTCACGAGGCGATCCATGATACCGTCCTCAAAGCCCTCGAAGTGGCGGTTGAGCTCGCTCTCGAGCTCGCGCTGGATCATGTTGGGCATCTCACGTCGCAAGAACTTAACATACTGTCGCTTCAGACCTTGAGAGTCGGAGTCGCCTGCCGTATCGTCGTACCCTGATACCCAAGGTCAACAACTTGAGCTTTTCTTTACATCTCGGGTTTTTATTCTAAGTAGGAGGTTTACACTTACAAGGACTAGGAGCGTTATCCACGTCTTGCATTCCTGGGAATAGGATGTAATATACTTCGTACCACTTGCCGACATCGTCCTTCTTGCTGACGGTGCGCGCTCTGAGGTGTTTCTCCGTCTCCTGGTCTATACCTGCGCCCGGGTCTGGCTTGTGCGTTTTCTTGTCTCGCACAGGGCAAGCAACATCTGCTCTTTGGTGGTCTAGAAGTAGCTTGTCACTCTTGAAGGCTTCGAAACACCTAGTGCAGGCAAACAATTTATGTTTGCGGTAGATGTGCTCCCTTTGGTTGCGTTAGCAATGAGACCGAAAGCTGGCCTAGGATCATATGATCGAACTCACTTCATCCGATGAATCTCGTGCCAACCAGGTCCGACGCACGTTCGATGGCTCTTGTACCTGACAGGATCGTGTTTATAGAAGGGACACGCAAACTTTTGACGGTTGTCGTCTTCGTCCGTCTTTGTGCGCTTCTTATTGCGATTCTGGTCATTGCTCTCGTCGTTCTCCGAGCCTTCATCATCTTGGTCGCGCCCCTTAAGTTGCCGCTTCTGACCAGCGACAGGGCGCCCTTCTACAGCACGTATCTTGATGCCTCCAGATCCAGAAGACTTTGAGCCAGGCTGGCTGTCCCCGTCGTGCTCGTACGCCTCCTCGCCGGGACAGACGTTGTCGTCAAGCCATTCGCAGACCTTCTCCATAAAGACCTTGATGAATGCTTTCTTGCGGTATGCCAGATAATTGTCGATGTATGCGGCTGGCACGGGACTCGTCCGATTTCGACCGGTTCCTGAATCGGTGGTGCGGGCAGGCCGATCTGCTAGATTGGATTTGCGAGACGAAGAGATTGGCGAAGGCGATGATCTATCCGTCACACGTCAACATGCCGAAATTTCCAACGTATTAGATGGACTACCTCTGAGAGGCGCTCTGGGCCTCACTTCCTCCCCCACTGTCCACAGTTGGGGATGACGAGGGTCCGTTGCTGTGTGTTCCCTAATAGTTATATTAGCAACTGCTGATCGAACTAGACGAATAGAGAAGGATATACTCACTGATACTTGTCTCACTACAAGGTCTGAGTTGGCTCGAGTGCTGGAGGACTTCTTGCGTGGTTTGGGGGGAGGGGTCTCGTCTTTCTTAGGCATGTCCGGTGAACAGTTGCCCGAAAGGTGACTGTGCGAAGCCTTGAACCGGGAAATCACGTTGGAGAAATCGAAGGACTTCTTCGATGATCTGCGGGGGTATTGAGGAGTAGGATTCAGGTAGGACTGTCTAGTGTAGAGGACGGCGAGCATTTCCTCGTACGGGTAAGAGAGTGCACGCTAACAATGGGGTCGGAACATCCTGCTCTTTTCTCAAAGTTGGAACTGTGCTGCCTGGGACAAAAAGGCAAATTGGAAAGTGATGGTTGGAGTTCTGAGTTGCGAATTGGCGCTGTTCGATGATGCTGAAGCGGGAACAGATCAAGGCTTCGAGGCAACTCGGTGTCGTTATATCTCCCTCGGAATCCGCTGCTTACGCGCCCCCCACTCCCAAATTCCTACGCTCGTAATCGTGCGCGCATTTGCGTACAACGTCTTTGAGAGCAGTCAAGGAGGGGGCACATGCCTCGAGAGATGCCGCCTCACGCTGGAGAGTCCAATGGCGACTGCAGAGCGGACGCTGGTGGCTTGATAAGCCCATTGGATGCCCCAGAAAACCACGAGAGACGCAAGATCTGATCATCTGGGGCGGAATCCGGAAGCTGTCCGTCATACCATTCCAAACGGCGGAGTACGCAGTGTCGCGCATGTGCGTCTGCACGCAATCTCGCTGATGGTTCCCAGGCGCTCGAGACCACTCAATTGCGCGCGATGAAGGGCTCCACTCGAAGCCCAAGTTGGACGATATTTATCGATGAGATATCCGTATTGTCGAGGGTATTGCTCCTTAGTCGTGGGAATTGCTGTGACTTTAGTGCTCATCCAACCCAATTAACACAATGCGCACGAGAAGAGCAGGAACCAACGGGGTGTACAGAAGACGTCGTAAGTGCTTGCCATTACCCTGGCGATGGCCCCAATTGACCCAATTGTGACCAGTTCTTGAGACCAGAACCACCTCGGATGGTGCTCGATCGGGCAAGGCCAATCAAGACGCCATCAGTCGGACGTCACAGACCAATGCGACTGTCTCCGCGTCCCCTCAACCGGATCGTCCGTCGATGAACATTTCCGGTGAAAGGTATGGTCCAGATCATGCCACGTCAGGTCCATGAGGGGGTGGATAGCGTCAATGTAGAAGCCAGCGATCATCGGGGCGATACGGATTGCGGACGAAGGGGCTGACTGCATTGCAGACCGTCAATGGAGCAGACGGACGGCGTCAGGTTGGTACAGTACCTCGTCGGCAGGGATCCGAGCGTGATGGAGACGTGAACGGCGGTGGCTAGCGGCAGCGACTTGACAGCTAGAGAGCGCCCGCATGACTAGACGCTGCCGGTGGTCACATTCTTGCAGCAACTCAGGCAGGCTGAGCAGAGGAACCTGTAGCGAGGACCACAGGTTCGTTGCCGATTCTGCCGATGACGAGAAGGCTATCCGGCGCTTCGGTCTCTTATTCTCTTATTCGGATCATTCTTTTTCGTTGATTTGAAATGCCTCGATTCAATGGTTTTTGTATTCTATTTAATTGGAATCATGGGCGTTGGAAACCCGGGATGATGGTTGTAGGAGCGATGGAGGACAGATGAGATGGCGAGGGAAAGAGACGATGCTTGGGACGGAGTCGTACAAGAAGTCCGATTAGAGTTTGGAGCGTGCGCGGTCATTCTTTTCGGGCGTCTTGTCCTCAGGAATCAGGGCAAGTACGTACTCCTTCAGCGTTAGCTGCCCCTAACCCCCGCCTCTACCTGGTCTCTACAGGTACCACCTGCTTCCATTTCGGCGGGCAGGGTTTCACTGATTCGTCACACCTTGCCCTGCACATCCAAATTGTATTCTCGTTCCTGGCGACTGGTTATCGGCCCCTGGTAGATCGCTGGAGGAATCTGAAACTAGACTAAACTATATGGCAATCCATTTTCTAACAAATCTATTCAATGGAAGCGCTTGAAGAGCGCAGGGGACTCGCTCCGCTACCGGTGTGGCCTGCCGGCAAAAATTTTACGAGACGCGCAGCTAGATTCAGATCGGGCCACTAGATGTGATCAGGGAGAGAAGAAAAAGCTTTCGGGTATATTAAAACACTATTTCTTAAATGTTACGATGCCACAGACGCTTCGTTATGGTGTTTTTCTTTCTTTTCCTCGCCTCTTCTTGAGCGCCATATGCCGAGGCCTCAAGCAATGGGGATTCCTACTTTGGCACAGTATTCGTCATACGCATTGCCCAGAGCCAAGTCAGCGCCCGTTTGGTTCTGGAAAGAGATACGGTTGAGAGTGTTGCCGTCGGCCCTGTAGTTCGGCCACGAGCCTTTGCGGTTGTAGTTCAGGAGACCAGACGTTGGGTCCTTTGCGAAGGCCGCCCACGCACCACGCATGTACGTGCCAACGGCAGTTTCCTGCGCTGTGCTCTTACTTGCGGCCTGGGGTACAGTGTCAAAGAGTACAGGGAGCTAAGCGATGTCAGTCATCTGTCTCAAGCCAAGATTTTTTTTGATGGGAAAAGAAAGCGTTACGAACCTCGGATGCGTGCCATGCTCCACTGGGCGGCGTCGTCGTAAGGGCAAGATTGGGGAAGTTGCCGAAATAACGGTATCGCCATGTCGGATGGCCTGCAGAAACGGCCCGCGCGGCTCTTCTGGCGGCGGGACAGCTGAAGGCGACAAGGTTGTATCCAAACCAGTACGTCTCGTTGAAATCAGGGGCACCGATCTTGAACAGACCGGCCTCGTTTTCGGTGTTGCCGATGAGGTATCCTGCCTTGGCCGAGTCACGAATACTGTAGTCGGCGAAGATGAGGCGATCGTCTACCACGGGAGCGAACGAGAGCCCTGACACGGAGGCGATACCGGCATCCCGGGAAGAAAGGCCAGAGAGAAGATCCGTAGCGGTTTTGTTAAGCATGCAGTCAGTGACTACCTTGGGATCTGTCAAGTTGTTGCCGCAGCCGACTTCTGACGTGACGTTGAACCACTTCTCATTCACAGTCTGGTTGGTGAAGATACCGAATCCAGTAGCTGTGCCACTCATGGGGATGAAACCGCTGGCGATGGGGTCGGACGCGTATGCGTAAGAATAGTAGTCGACCAAGGAGCCCCCGGCAGATTGACCAAAAATGGTGATTCTGTTAACGTCGCCGCCAAATTTCTCCACATTGTCGCGGACCCATTCCATGGCCAGGCGGATGTCGAGGAATCCAAGATTGGGGGCGGAGATCGGGTTGCCAGGAAAGCCGAAAAGGTTGAGGCGGTAGCTACATGGTTGATCCGCGTTAGCGTTGATTTTTATCAAGTCCCCGAAGTTCCGTTGGCTACTCACTTCATGGACACCACCACCACGTCATTCTGGTCTGCGATGAACTTTCCATTGTACGCTGGGATACGGGAACTTCCTATTACCCGGGTCAGTACGCCGCATATGCTTTCCAACTTTGTTCAGACGGAAGCATTCTTACCGGTGGTGAAAGCACCCCCATGTACCCAGACCAGCACAGCCTTTTTTGAATCGCCGGCCTGTGGCTTGGTCCATACATTCAAGGTCAAGCAGTCTTCGCTCTGAGAGCCCGTGTCCCCAAGCGCTTTGGTCACCTCGGCGGCTGATGCGGGAATTCCAAGCTTCATGACAACTTCCAGGCTGGTTGGGGCGTTCCCCGGCTGCATGCACTGGTATCCCTATTGGAATGTCTCAGTATATGGTTGTGGAAGACATCAAAAAAGAGCCTTTCCAGCATGGCTTCAATGGTTTCGGGGACACTTACAAAGTCGGAGCCATTGATAGGAGAAGCGCCGGTGAACTTGACAGGAGGCTGAAAGCGCAAGGACCCAACCGGCGGCTTAGCGTACGGAATACCCAGATATTCGGATACCTTGAAGGTCTTCTTGTTAGTAAACTACCCTAAGTGTGAAGTACCTGGACTTGCCTGTTCGACGCCAGAGGCAGCGTGTCCGGCGACAGGACCGCTCGAAGTTGTCACTGATTGCCCGATAGTCCAGCGAGGGAAGACCGGGTTGGCAGCAGCAAGAATGGAGGTGGTGACCACGGCCTTCAGGACATTATTGACGATGCTTTGGGCTCTCATGGTGATGTTGAGGTTGAGAGAGCTCAACTAACGATAGACTGGAGACCTGAGGTGAGGTAAGGTGGGCGTGACGAGTCCGAAAAGTTGGGTCAATGGCTGCGGATAGGCGCTATTAAAGGGACCGCCCTGCCGGGCTCTCAATAGGAGAGAACCTTGACCTCGTCCTTATGTCAAGGAAGTTTGCTGAAGCTATTGTGGACCATGCTTGCCGAGCGGACGATTCCCAGCTCCCCGATCGCCTTGGGCCGCTCCCAAGAATGCTCGATGTCTTCCTCCATCGGCCCATAATCAAGAAGGGTACCCCGGATAACTAGCCCGCTTGCAGGTGGACGCCCTGAAAGACGGGCGGGACTCGCGCCGCCCACTCACCTGTGTGCTGCAGGGAACCCTGTCCGTACGGACGACGTCGGCGGGCAGAGGTGCGGATGACAGGCCAGTTCGTGGGATTCCTTCGATAGAGCCTCAGTATTGAGTCGGCTAGGCGGCCGGGGTTAGTCGGGTTGTGGATAACTTCGCAACACTACCCGAATTAGGGAGCCTTGCCTGCCCCTCTCAATATTCTTAGCAACTCCTAAATCCCACGTTGAAGCCCACAATGGAGAAATTTTCGTCTTTCCCAGCTATCAAATGCACTTTGACTGCCGCGTATGCATCTTGGAATCCATCTAAAAACCCAGTCGCCCGACTGCAGGCTGCGGGACAGTGAGACAACTGCATGGAAGGTCCTTGGCTACGGTGAACCTGATAAGCGCAACGTAATCGAAAGCTAGTTTTGAGCGGGGTCGCTAGGTCGGCGCGGCAGTGCCATGACTTGCCGTGACTTGCCATGCGTCCTTTTAGGGCCCTCCCATGAGTCGGTGAGTTGTCAGCAATGGTTGATCGATGCTAGAGTCGATTGGACATCCTCTCGTAGCCCGTATGATCAACTTGCATACCATTCCCAAGAGAGATTCCGTCGCGAAGAGTAGGTTTGCCGATGGAGCAATACTGCAGCAAGCGGGAGATGGTTTCATTTGAGACTAGTGCCTCGAACTGCTGCCGAGCTAGGCGTATACAGCCAGACAAACATGCCGACGCCGGTCGGGTTGTTGTAGTTGGCAAATCTAGGCCAGCTTCAATGCCATTAGACTTTACCGACGTCAATGCAGCGAGTAAAGGCGTAGCAAAAGCCAGATAAAGGAGCCACGGAGCGTCCCGCGCACGAGAAGCGAAAGCGGTCGTGGACAAAGCGTGAGTGCCGTAATCGAGCGAATAGCGATGTTGCTTCAAATCCAGACATGGTCTTGGGGTCGTTGGGGTTATGATATCGCATTACAGCCTTGAATTGAGTTCGACTTGAGAACAGACGAGAGGCTGTACAAGACTGTACAAGACAAATAAGACGGCTAAGAGCCAGTAAAAACTGGTTCTACTTGGAGACCAGACTGAGAGTGCCGTTAGGAAAGATTGCCGCACGTCCCACACGATGGCCACGCATTCGTCTCCAAACCCTGATGAGTGCGAAAAAAAACAGCGCAGGTGCGGCGTAAGCCTTTGTGACACCCTCGATCCATAGTAGTAGGAGAGTCTGTGAGGGTACGGTAGTCGAGATGATCCAGATAGGTGGGTTTGTTAGGTCTGATGACGCCTAGATCGTCCGGTGGTAGGAGCAGCAGTCTCGACGTTACAGCGTTAGCGCGCCCCGGTAGCGGTAGGGAACGGCCCAAGGCAAATTCTCAGGTTCCGCCTGCAAATTATGATGGCTTCTAAAGCTAATGCGGGTTTCGCCTCATTATCGTTGCGGCCAGGGTGGTTCTTGAGATCGGGCATCTCTGCAGTGGATTGCAAAGCTCGGATGCCATACGCGGCGCGGGAAGTCCCCGTACCTTGGTGTATCCGAGACAAGAAGACCTTGCCCGTACACGTGTAAAATGAAGTTAACATGATGTTTGCGAGGCGTATCGCACCGAGTGGCAACACTTGGCCAGCTGCGAAGCCTGACTTTGAGAACGGTCTTGTGCCATCGCAACCCCTAATCCTGTTTGCTTTTCGGGTTCATGCGCTTAGGGACATGCCTCTTACTTCTCTAGGAACCGTATTCTAAATCGCCGAGGATGTTGATGATGGTGTAATTGGTCGGGACTCCGAACGCAAATTAACTTCGGACTATCTAGGTTGTCTCTCTTTCAACGCGATGCCATGTTCGGCCCTCCCATGCTATCTCGAGATGTTTTGCCGAACATGGCCTAGGCCTAGTTGCTTAACTGCCGACCATGAATGAGATGGCGAGAACTTATTTGCGCACAGGTTCCCGGCGATGATGGCGTTGGCAACAAAAGCGGTTGGCAATAGCTCATCTGTTGCACCCCTGCTCACGGAACGTCGACCGTGTCGATCTCGTAGGCCCCGGTCCCGGTCCGCGGTCTGCAGGCGATCGTGGAGAAGACATTGAGCAGTGCCAAGATAGCTGACGATGGATTGCGATTGGCCGATATATGGGTGATGTTTGCTGCTAGGGTGCGAATACAGATCTCGGGAAGCTTTGTTGCTTGGAACAAATAAGGTGACGGTTCGGATCCATGGCACCGGTGAAAGTCGCTAATCTTGCAGACTAATTTGCTACAACCGCCGTCAGAACTCGCAACAAACGTCCGCGTAGGAAAGCAAGATGTTGGCTATGGGAATCTTTTCATCGCCCAGAGATGGCGCAGTTTACATTCGGAAATGCCCGCCGGATCTAGCATCGGACGCTTCGACGGAAAGTTATGGCATTTCTGAGGTGTTCAATGAGGCGTCTGCCATTTCTCCGGAGACCCAAAATTGAGCACTTAAGGGTACAAGCGATGTAGTATCGGCTAGCGGTGATCGGCATTGTGTTTGCATAGTAGACAGGTGGCATGGTTGAGGATGGTGGTGATGAAGTGGCAGGATATCGGCAATGGTGACGTATAAGGTAGTCACGAAAGGCAGATCCACGATGGAATCGCGGGAGAAGGTAGGAAACCTGGAAGGCCAAGGTGTCTTGGCGCCGGCCGGAGTGGGTCTGCCATTTTAAGGTACCGAGGCGAGGGTGAGATGGTGTGGGAGCAAACAGTTCACTCGCGGTTGCGGTCCTTCCCACCTCGGCTTATCAACTTCATTACACCCGATCACGGAATTGCAGCATGCATCATGAATTCAGGTACTACGCATAAGGTACATATCTTTCTCGCGGGACCTGACCAATTCAATACGTCAGTGTCATTGGATCGATCACAACGAATCTCGTTTTCAGCGTCGATGTCTTGGGGGTTCAGGCCCGCAGGCTAACTCGCTCACCTCCCGCTCACTCTCATCACCTTGACGTTCCTGCAAACGGGACGATATCACAATGAATGAATTGTATCTTGAAATGGGTGCTTCTCTGATGTGTCCTTACTTCATAATAAGCAGGCGTTTCTCTGATGGCCTATCTCGTCCATCAACATGACACTAGTCCATAGAGGCAGCTGACTCTGGTCTGCCCCCAAGCAGTCTCACATCGCCCACACTAGCCTCACATCCTTATTCTTGCTGTTTGAGGACTGCAGCAGCAACACCTCAAGGCCATGACGCCACTCAGCCTGGCCATCTCCATACAGCTTACCCTACCATGACCGTCATGTTGAGGGAAGAAGATTTGAACCTTGAAACACTCCTCGCGTTCATTCTCTTTCAGCACAGTTCCCCTCCTCGTTGTCTTGCAAGTTGATAACAGTATGACGCACCAAGTCGGTCCCGAACACAGGATTCATACTCTTCCCGAAGAGCCTTTGCCGGTTGCTTCTCCTCAAACAAGACTTAGTGGGTCTTGCTCTCCTTCTCCTGTCTCTTGGCAGCGACAATGCCATCGAACCTCCAGAAGCCAGGCAGGCCCTCAAAGAACAGACTTCCAATCCACGTCCACCACAGGCTCGTCCCGAACTCGATACCGTGCCTCTGGAGCCTCGTGCGGTGGAACCAGTAGCACTCGCTCAAGTGGATTCCCAACACGGGCAGGAAGATGGCCTTGACCAACCATCGATAGAATCTGGGTCCACCGGGGAAAGCAGTCTGGAGGAAGGACCAGATCGGCGTGCCGGGCAGCACGAACCCGAGCGTGAGCCAACAGACAAAGTAGAATGCAACGGCCCCAAACACCACCACGTCAAAGCCCTGCGGCGGCGCAAAGTGCCCAACGGTGATGTCGCTGTACCCCAGCGCCTGCTGCGACGTGCGCGCCATCTCGACGACGGCGGGCCGCACGTCCTCCCATGACGTTAGGGCCGGCTTGAACTCGACAATGAACTCCTTGCCGCCGAGCCCGCCGGCCGCGATGGTCATGCCCTCAAAGGTGCAGTCCTTGAGCCACGGCGAGGTCGCGGCGGAGCGGCTGAGGCCGGCGTAGTGACGCAGGTAGAGGGAGAGCTCGCGCTGGTGGTCGCGATTCATGTGCGTCGTGATACGGTCGCGCGGGGAGGGCGCGGACGAAGGAGCCGAGGCGGATGATCCTGTCGCCGCGGCTGAGGAGGACGATACTTCGCCCTGGCGTGCCATCGTTTCGGATTTCTGATTGGGTACCGGTAAGTAGGCGACTGGGTGTGGTACGAGAGTTCCGATGAGTGTTGCTCCGACGGACCAAGGCTTTGTTCCTTCTCGATTTCCTGGAATCTAGATCACCCGCTAGGTTTGCAACGAAGCTTAAAAAAGAGGATCGAAAAGCTTCGGTCGTGGGAAATGGAGCGAGGGCGGGAGACACGGGGGGAAGTAGGTGTTAGGAAAGGGGGCCTGTGAGGTTGGCCATCGAGTTGGTTGGAAAGAGAAACATTGAAACCAACACCAGGAACCAACAAAATTGCGAGAAATGGTCTGTGCGATCCTTGTCAGAGGTGGTTCGGTCTTCATTTCTCCACCGTCTGTCCGGCGCCGTTGGCCTTTGCCTTGTGTCAGCTGCAAATGCGCATGGCCCCCCACGGACGGCTGAGGACTTTCTTCTTTTGACATAGCAGCGATGACCAATACAACGTCAAGGGTGAGCCAGCAAGTCGGACCCGAAAGAAAAGAAAGCGATGCCATTGTCCTGACAGCTGTCAAACATCTGGTCTAGTGGGATGGTCAACACGGTGGGCGCTCAAATGGACTGAACACGTTCACAAGTTTCAAGGTTGCTCTCAGACGTGAACTCCGTTTTTGTGTCTGGAACTTAACCAAACTTTGTGTCCCCTATCTGTGGGCCACCTGATCGGCTTTGCTGCTCGAAAAGGCATTCCTTGGGCAAAGATTGAGAGGCAAACGTCTGTAATTGCACCAGAGTAACAAAGTCAACCCAAGCCAGCCCTTGCCGCCCACTGATGCGATGTCGTACCGCGCGGTTGACGTTGGCTATTGTGCTCAGGTTGATCTGTCAAAAGTGGGCAAGGGAGCGGGACATGGTCCAGATTGCTATTACTACATTGCGGCCGCGAGGGAACTGATTTGTGAGGAAACTCTACCCTTTTGATTGAGGCTGGAAACCAGTCCATGTCTTATTGTGGGTCCCGATGGCGGGGTGCGGGGTAGCAGTGAGACAAAAGCCGGTCCGGTTCCGGATCTTGCGCCGTTCTCATGCGCCGTTGCCGCCGGGAGCGATCTTGCCCAGTTGCTTCAATGTCGGAACACTTATTCGTCCATTTTTACTTTTACTGGTTGACACAGCGCAATGACACAACCAATGCTTCTGTTGCGCCGCGGCTCAAAGCCAAGCTGAGCGTAGGCACAGCCAGAGCTAGGCATCTCAATTTCCTTCTGCTCACATGAATTCATCGAGCCTGCATCTCTGGGTGAGCTCAAATAAACTTACGTCGATTAATTGAGACTACCTTCATACTGATTTGTGTTCCATCATGCGAGACGTAAGCCCGCGACATGGTTTTTGACAAAGCTCGCGCCCTCCTCGTTGGACGTGGAGGCATCGGCACAATCGCCGCTATTATCCTCCATGCCGGAGGGTTATCCCAAGCCACTACCGTCATCCGTTCTAATTTCAAGGCTATGAGTCGCAATGATTTTTCAATAGACTCTTGCGAACGTGGAGATAAGGAAGACTGGCGGCCTGCCGAGGACCAGTCACGTTAAGCCCGTTGTGTTGTCGTCATGTTACTCACCACCGCCGTGATTTCTGTATTTTGAACTCCATCCCTACTTCTACATCTTCAGAAGACCCTGATAAAGGAGTCGATTACGTCGTTTGCTGCACCAAAAAATGTTCCAGATACCGGTCCGAGTCTACCAGACATTATCACCCCAGCCATATCCCTAGGCCAAACCGTCATCGTACTCATTCAAAACAGCTCCAAAATCCAGCTCCCATTATTCAAACGCTTGCCCTCAAACATTGTATTGTCCGTAATAAGTCGCATTGACACCCACAAACATTCTCCGGTTGTCGTGTAGCAGAAGCAGCCCAATCTCCTCCACATCAGCGCTTCCGCGCACCCCAACCTGGACCCGGAGGAGCAACAGCAAGCCGCCAAGCGCTTTGTCGAAGTCTACAGCGCCGGCGGAAAGACTATATGTCTCTACGCACAAGACGTTGGATTCGACTGGTGGTATAAGTTCGTCTTCAACGCTTCGTTCAATCCCATCTGTGCTCTGACGGGGCTGAACGCCAGCGAGCTACTGCTGACGGGTAGGACGATGAATAGAACGTGTCATCCCGTCTATGAGGGATTTCCTTCAAGCCGCCGCAGCTGCGGGTCATGATATCTCGCCCGACGTCATTGAAGAGAACATCCAGCTGAACCCCACCGTTGAGAATATCAAGCCCAGTATGCAAGGCGACTTCGATCATGATTCACAACCCACCTTTTCGGTACAGCTAAGATATTCATTCACATACTACATAGAAACCTCATGGAACACCAAAAAATCTTTGGTGAAGTCTGTCGAGAAGCATAGAAGCTATCGATGACGACATCCCTCTTGGGGGTCCTCTATGAGCTCTGCTGTGCGCATCAGTGGAGATTCAAGAAGAGTCGCGGCTTAGTATGAGAAACAAGTGACTCGAACAACAATGGAAGCTGCCTCAATCTTTCGAGAAGAATTGCAGCGATGCTCATGTGCTTCAATACCGCAAAAAATGGCTCAAAAAGACTTTTCTCTGAAGCAATCACACTCTTGAATGTACGAGACATGATATTGAAACCATCAGTCGGCTCATTTTCATGCTACCTTCCACATTTTACCGAGCATGAAAGGTTCCATGTATCGGTTTGATTTCAAAATGGTCAGGACTTCACGCTGCTGATAGCATTTGAGACGATTATCTACTTTGGCAACAGGACCTTTGGGAGCTTAATATGCCGAAGCCGTGCCCACATTGAAGTTGCCCTCCTCGAGTAGCTATCAAAGTGTGAGGCTTCGAAGAAATTGACATGTCGTTCTTCCCTGAGTGATTCTCAAAAATCTAGCGATGTTTTGGGAGTGGAATCTTCACAAGCCTGGAAATAGTGTGGAAAGTATTGGCCCACGCTCTCTGAGCTTCCTTGACATCTTCAGTCACTATCTCGCGACACGGATCCCTGATCCACGAGAATATCTGACTTTGTGGTAGCATCACACTGGGATCAACTTCAGCAAAGAATATTCACATGCCTGTAGCGGTAACAGGAGGCATTCTTCGTTGCTTCTAGGTCACGAAGCCGACTGAAGGTCACGCACAACAACGGTCGACCTCTTCACTTATCGTAATGCAGAGTGAAGCAACATGTCATCGCTCCACTCTTTCACTTAATGAAAACATTTTGAAATAGGCACATTATAAAGAAAGCAGTCGTTCACTTCTCTCCGGACGCAGAGCGCGTGTCCAGTTCGTCCAATCATCGGCCCCCGAGGTGACACATGTGCCCAACCCCTCCCGGCCACGCGATACCTTGACGCCGTTATACCTCAATTTTTGACCTGAAACATGCGGCCCGTCTATGTGAACCAGTGCAGCATTAGTTCCCGCATCCAATTCTCAACATGAACGGTCAGGGGAGCCTGCGCCGTTGGCCAGAGTGATTTCATGCACAGCCGTAGCTTCGCTTGAAGAAGCATGCGGTGTTCAAACTTGCGAGCCACTGCATCTCTTTCATGAATCTGGAAAAAGCCTGAATCAAATGCCGGGAGATTTCAATAGCTGATAAGCCAACCAACCAAACGCTACCACGTTCCTCCCAACCGAGCTCCTACACCCCCCTCTCCAAGATAAGTATCTCCGGCGTCGCACATACCCCGTCGGATGCGGCGCAGAAAACAAGCTTGTTCAATGGCTAGACACTATTAATCAAACTTCTTCTCTGCATGGTTCTCCAGCCTCAGCTCCCCCTCGGTTCGTTACTCTCCCTTCGCCCACGTCAGCCCCCCCCGATTGCAGGTCACACAAGCGCTCTGAGCCGTGTGATTCTCACTCGGTGCTGGATCAACCTTTTACCCTACGGTCAATCCCCTTCTTTCACAGAAAGTTGAGAAATCAGGTCATTCATGGGATGAAATGTGAGCTACTTATCCACTCTAAGCCGGATTGATCCTTGCAACGCACTCGCGGGGTCTTGCGAGAGACGTTGAGCGATGAGACAGGTCCCCCGCGTGCCCCAGGCGGTAGACTCTGGGAGATCCTGGGGGAACGAACGGTTTTCTTGGCAAGGAGATCGCGCTACGTCCAATTAAGCGCCTTTGATATATCCTCCCAGGCTTAGTTTTGAACGCTTGGAGCACTGTGGATGGAAACGTCGTCCAATCACCGGACCTGAGTCGGTCTTCTCCTCGATAAACCTTTCCTTCACACCTGCCAGACATCTTGACTATCCACACCTTAAGCAATCAGAAATTTCCCATTGCTCGACGTAATCTCAACATGGGCATAGCTTGGTAAGCAGTTCAATGCTGATTAGAAATAATATTACTTTTGACTAGAACTTTTTTCTTGTAGACAGTTGCCCTTTAGTTCACCCAACGCCTCGCGATGCAATGGTATAATCAACCTCCTAAAGGCTCTCCACCAATACCCCAGCGCCAATGCCGGGGTTTCCAAATTGTCTCAGGGTCATGAGTCCGAGATGTTGTCGCAATGCGCCTGTTTGTGAAGTAAAAATGTGAAAACAAGACCCATCAGTCCTGCTCGTGTGTGTGCTTCGTCATGCCAGCCGGGTGTTTCAAAACGGTTTTCTATTCGCGTCGTGGAAAATCGTCGTCGTCCGCACGTGAATCCCAGATTCCATCGATCTCCTCCTCGTCGCCGACTCGCCGTTTTGGTACCGGATCTGCGTCCGGACTTCGCCCCGGATCTTATCGCCCAGCTCCAGCTCCAACTCGCTCTCGTTCGGTTCCACGGTCGTCGACCTAAACGAGAAGAACTTCCTCCTCTTCTCCGCCAATTTCGCGGCTCTAGCCTCTCTGGCGGCAAACTTCCTGTCGGCAATCTCTTCTTGCCTCTCGTTCAGTATGTTGTCGTCGTAATCGGTCGGTTTCACGTCGTATACCCCACGGGACGATGTGTTTGAAGCCTTCTTCGGCACCGAGTTCACCTCCGCGGTGCCAATTGTGCTGAACATGTTGGGCCAGCCGCGCTTCAAGAGAACCCGGAGCGCAGGGAGGCACACGACAATCATTGATACGGATGCCTCGAGGCCGGACCAGATCAGTGGGTCCGTAAAATCCCAAGTCGGGTTGAGTGACCGCGTGAACGAAACGATGTACCGAAGTCGTATACAGGAGGTGATGAGAATGAAGACGCCAAGGCTGAACATGAAAAAAATGCCCATTTTGGTTCGCCTGGAAGTGTTGAGGTGCCACAGCAGCGGAAGTGGCAAGAGCAGAATGATCATGTCGTGGCTGATGCTCAGCCCGGCGGCCACAAAAGCTAGTGTGTTGATGTTCAGGCAGTGGTACGGACCAAAATCTCCTTTCCAGCCGAGCCAGTTGTACTCAAATGGAATGCATTGGAAAATTTGCATCAAGAGAACTACTGTGGTTGATATGATGATGTATGCCATGGTCGCGTACGTGGCCCAACGGAAGGACTTGTTTGGGAATATTCTGAGGTAGAAGAAGAGCACCGAGATCTTGGTGAGGCCTAGACAGGCTAGGTAAAAACTTTCGTCGACGAAGAAGAGCTACCGCAGTCAGCTTCGGAAAGGATGTTGTTAGGTGGTGAGTCGTCGAACCTTTAAACCCAATGTGAGTTCGTCTGGCTGGACCATCCAAATGTCCTCTCCAAATGCAACCGCGCCGGCTGGGTGATTGTTAGTAAGGACGTCGAGTATCCAGACATAATTGACTAGCTTACCCAACTGTCCAAGAACGACAAAGACGGTAAATATAACCTAGAGTCTGTTAGAAGATGAACTGCCAAGATTCCTCAAAGATCCGACGTACCCCGCAAAACATCATGATCCAGTCGTCGGCTTCAAATCGATGCATCATCGTCCATCTAGCATATAACCGTAAAGGAACCACCAGGATTCCGGTAATTTGGAGGATGAGTGGCACCATGATGTCTACCTTTCGCTCACGAACCGGACGTTTGCATGCTTGAGCCTCTATCCTTGCGACTTCTAAGTGGATGTCAGTTCATCTCCTTGTAGCCGTGGTCGATCGACGGAAAGCCTACCTATGGCTTCTAATTTGTTGCAGCGCTCAAGGAGACATGTTTGCACGCTCGCCTTCAGGCCCTCATCACTGCATATGCAAGTGTCGTTTGTCACAACCTTACAAGCCGATAGTGGTATCTGTTCGAGTATACATTCTAGCTATATAGAGACATCAATGTCAGCAAGGTCTCTTAAATATGAACGATGGAAATAACCTACCCCACATTGGGGTAGCATGGCAGCGAACTCCAACAAGGAGCCTTGAACGGCACCAAAGAAGGCGACCATGAGGCCGAGCAGCAACGCTTGCCTCATGGCGAACGATGCTGATGATGATTTCTGAGGAGGGCAGAGAAAGGATAGTCTGGATAGACGGGAAGGAGCAGAGAAAGGCTCGCCGTGACCAGGGCTACTCTGCTACAATGCTTGGCGGACAACCACAGACGTTTGTCATATCATCAATGATGATCAGGGGCAACGTGGGGAGACATCTGCCATATAAAGCAGGTATGGGGTGTGGGATGCCGTCCGCGCAGACTTTCCTCAGGGGAACCGCACAGGAATCCATGATAAGGGCAAACTCTAAGGTAGTTTGTCCATCCGGCCTTAGTGCGTGAGTAGCTCGCTGCCTATCAATTCCTAGTCAGCAAGCTCTCTGTTCCAAGACAGGCCAGCCAGGAATGGGGCGACGGGCTCGAGCAGCGACGACACTGGTCTTGTGGAGTCGTTCAGCAACATATGCGAAACCATAACCTTGCCGGATGAGCCTTTACATGTGTGTGGAGGAACTGAGAGCAGATGCCACTCGTCAAGGATCAGGGGTCTCTTCCCGTCGAACTCTTAGGACAGTCCGTGATATTGCGCGGGTGTGACTGGCCCAGGGGCCAGTTTCTGGCTACGGGGCCAGAATGGATGGGACAAGCAACCGAATCTCGTGGCAGTGGATACTACGTCCATGCGTTGGTGACTCGCTTTATGTTGTCCTGGGCGCGACGGTTTCGTCCATGTCCCGTGCATCTCCCGTAGCACCGGAGAGCCGGTAATTCTCCTGGTTCCAAGATTTCAGTCATTGCCATTATCGTCTGCCAGGAAGGAGTGCGAGCCTGCTGCAAGATGGAAAAGCCAACCGGTGGGATAAGACCACCCCACATCTTCAAGTGAGGTGAGCCAAAATTCTGTGCTCTGTGGCTGGACTGATTCATGTTTGCCTTTTGCACGGCAGGCTTGTCTAGTTTCATCGGATTTGCGGAGAAACTGAGCACAGCACGGACAACACCATACGCCTAGAGAAGGAAACACGTTCGCACTTTGCCCACATGTACCAACGCTTCCACGCGGAAGCTTCCCGGTCTTCTTTGGGCCATGCCACCCAAGGAACAAAAGAAGTGAAATAGCGGCACTGAAGGCCTTGAAATGGTGCATCCGTGCCTTGATCCTATATGTAATAGAAATGCAGCGTCGGTTCATGCGGAATACATGTCTCGGTCAAGGAGATCCCACTGCCCAGCCATACAGATTGGCATCGGCTACCATTCTTAGACTTCAGATGCTTCTAGCACAGACCGGCGCAAGCTAGGCATTTGCTAGTGCGTGTTCGACGCGGCGGTGACATCTGATTGAGCGTCGCGCAAGTCGTGAGATGCCCGAGCGGTACCCGCAATGTTGACAAGTTGGCTTTCTGGGCCGAACGGGATGGTTTGGTTACACGATAGCAAGCTGGATACGAAACAGTAGTACAGAGACGGGTTCCAACGTGTAAAAGCCCCGTCAGTCTGTCAAATATCAGAATGCCACAGCGGGAAGTGCTTCTCCGTGCTTCGGTTGTTCCGGAAGGGGGGCTGTTTCTGATGAGGGGGGATGTCTCCCCTACAGTATCTTGCCGTATATACTGGATGCTACGTGCATGTCTCTCCGCCCACGAGGAAGCTGACAGCACCAATCCCATCCGCAGCGGGATATCACCAGCAAAAAGACATGTGTCGCAGTAGACGGTTGCATTCTGGACTGCGACCTCGAGGGTTCGACAGTGATGTCAGAGGAATGATCAAGAGCGGGGAATTGGGACGTATCTTGCTGGCAGAAGTGGCTTTCAACTTTGAGTAAGAGGGAGAAATTTCTTCGTGCGTAAATTGGCACATTCATTCCACAGACATTCCACCACCGAACAATTCTTGCAATAGACTGCGCTAGTGGCTAGCTTCCTCGTGTTATCGGTGGGGCGCAATGTCTCCGTCTCCTGGCGCTAGCATGCAAGCGCGACGACGGCTCGCGTCATTGAGGTCTAACCAGTGGCTGGCGCGGAACTTTATTCGTAGGAGCCGGCGAAGTCAGCGCAATTGTGAAGACTGAATAGGTAGTTTAGAACTTCGCGTGGTACAAGTTGCTTTGAGCTTGGCCTGCGTCTAGAAAGAAGAAGGGTCACCATTCTGATGCTACCTAGGTAGTTCTAGGTGTTGAAACTAATGCTACCAAATTGCTTTGTGCGCTTTAGATAGCCCTGAGTCATTTTGAGACACGGAACCTAATCCCGTTGATTCACTATTCGAGTCTTCTCTGAAGCCGCTTCAGCGGCGGATAAACTGCGGCTTTCCGTTGTTTCCAAACGGAACATACAAAGCCATGGCTAAAAAGTCAGATGGGTGATGCTACGGGTAGTTCGTAACTCCCGTCGGCCGAAATTGCGGATTGGTGGATCCCTCGCAGGTATTGAGGCGGAAGATCGAGCTGCCATCCTCTTGTTGCTGATAATGCCGCATCTTATGAAAGGTGGTTTGGCACTGATTGCTCACTGACGGGCTTCAATCTAAATCACCATCTCCCATCTGCATCTCCAAATCGATGCCCTCAATCCGTCTGGAGAAACCAAAGCGCGGACTGCTTCAGCTGAGCCTAAGTGGCGTCAACCACATCCGTCAACTGAAACCCAGGTGCCGATGTCATCCATGTCGTTTCCCACGAATTATCCTTGACGTTCATCTTGTGGCTTGACCTAAAGGAGCTATTGTCTACCCCGCCAGGGGTATCCCGCGCAGCGATCCTTTGTTGTCGTTGTGAGATCACCTAAATGCGCCCACAGAAACGGGAATGTCTACCCTTCTCAGATGGCACATCGCTCAGATCGCAGCGCGCAGCAAGTGCTGCGATCGAAATGTCGGATAACATCGCGGTGGATCGCAAGATTGGTTTCATACAATCCCGATCGGACGAACCGCGCCCTGAGGACTTTGACATAATGGCTCCAATTGGATCTCGAGGGGAAAAGCATGCAAAATTTGGCTTGCTTTGAACCAAAGCGACAACCCGAGTTCCTGTGCTTGCGGCGGCGACCCGACAAACTCATATGAGAGCTCAGTACATGGGCTGCGGCAAGACTTATGACCAACGCTACTGGACGGCCTGGGGAATGTACTGAGGTTGGAAATTGGCGTCGTAGAGGGTGCCTTTCCCATCATATGGCGTCGGCTGGTTGTGGAAAACCCATTGTAACCGAGTATGCTCCAGGATAGGAAGTCCGCTGGACCCATTGAGGGAAAGATTCGGGGGCGGATAGGGACGGAACTTGCTCGCATCGCCATTGAGCGGTCCGAAGTACGACTCCGAGTTGTCCACAGAACCCATGTTGGGTGGATCTTTGTTCGGTACAAGCACTCTGCTACCAAGGTCTTGTACGAATTGGAAGATGTTGGCCCCAACGTCGTAACGCCCAAGATTTGGGGTCTCCCAGTTGAACTCAACTGTCGACAGCATTGAGTAATGCGTATAGAAGGTTTTGTCTTCCGTCCCCCTTCTATCCTTAGGGATCGCGCTGCCCAAGAGTAATGACGCAATCTTGTTTGGTTTCCCGTAATCTTCAGACTCATCGTAGGTGAGAAGGATAAGCGTGCGCTCTTTGAAGGCTCCTGGGGCGAGCATCGGCTTCAGGAAATCTTGCGCCCATTTTGTCGCATACTCTAGAGATGTGTTGTGGCCATCGTTCATTTGGTTGGGAGACATGAATACCCATTGGGGCACCTGCTTCTTTTCGAAGTCTATCTTGAAGTCGTCAAATCCTTCGATGTTGAGCAGGCGGGTTCCGTTCAGGCTGATGGAGTCGAATGACACAAAGGGGCTAAGAGGGCATTAATATCGGCGGATCCAGCAATACCCGGGGCAAACCAACTTGTGTTTCCGTACATAGTCCCACTTTCCACCACCGGTTTGGCCGTCGCTGGCAGCGGCCAAGTAACCCGGGCCGGGAATGTCTTCCATGTACGCTTTCCATGATAGACCCCGCCAGTCGAGAAGATCCACGATGGTAGAGATGTTTAACGGCAGTCGCACCCGTTCGTCGTGGTTCATGCCAAAGTAATCTCCGGCGAGAGCTGCAATGTAGTTGGCCTGGCTGGGGTGGGTATGCGCATAGTAGTTGGTAAGCAAAATCCCCTCTTTCTTGAGATCAACAATGTGGGAATCTTTAACAACTTTGGCAAAATCCTGTTGGGCAACCAACTTTAGCGAAGGGCGTCGGCCATCAAGGGATGTGGGCATACATGCCTGGTTTTCCAGCCAAATGGAAATGAACCTATCGAAGCCCCTGCCGGGTATATGAAAGGCTCCGACGATCGCCAGCAATCCGGTCAGAGAAAAGAAGAGAAGACGCATCGTACGTAGTCTGTCGAAGACCGTTACTGCATAGTAATCATCAATCGGCAACCTCAAAAAGTAGAAATCGACTGGTTGGCTGGTTTGCCCTGGGAATGGGGAAAAAAAAAACAAAGCCACGAGTATTCGTGACAAGAAACAGAGCAACCCGAGCAATCGCCACGGGTCTGCGTCCGCCCCAGTTCCCGTCTCAGCATGCTACAATACACCGGGGCCATGGCGGCTGTGTGTCGCGCAAATGAACAAGCATTTCGTGCAGTGTTTGACGTCGATCTCCTTGAAACGCGTGAACGCCTCCATGTGGCGCATTAGCTCATGTCGGCCCATGCACCGATCTCGGAGCGACGATCCATGGCGACAGGGATGTCTACATCTGATAAAAAATTCTGGTGGGTTGAAGAAAATCGCCGCGAGAATTGAAAGCTGCGCAGTCGCTACGTGGACGATCGCGCGATGTCGAGTCCGCAAGTCTGCAAGAAGCTTTCTGGGCCCTCGTGTGGGGTGTTCTTTCGTGCCGACTGGAGTGACGGACGTAGTCCCCATCTGCAAGGGGCCGTAAATGGCCTCGACTGGCTGCAGCTGGAAAGGTTTGTTACCACGAGTGTTTAACTACTAGCCCGCGTGGCTGGGCCCCGGTCCCATGCTTTGAACAGGAAGACTCCTCAAAACTCGAGAGTCGGAGACATTCCACCAAAATGGATCGATGACTTTGGGACTCGGGACCCGACGACAACGTTGTCCGTCGAAGCTGAGAAGCCCATTGTGTGAGTATGATGGACCCTTTCCCGTTAAACTGTTTCATTGCCAGCAGCTCCGTGCTCGTCCAGATTTAGTGTTTATTGACTGGTCAGTCTCGGTCGTGGTTTCTCGCTGCCCAGCTCCAGAGCCTCCGGCTCGTTCTAGTGAATTATTAAGCCTCGCCGAACTAGACAGCCGGATATTTTGACCTGATGAAGGAGGCTGGCGCCAAGCCTTTCCCGAGGGTTTGAATGACAAAAAAGATCCATTGATGGAGACGGCCCATCGCGAGGACCGGGTTCGTCGGCAGGACTAGTGCCAGTCGGTGTGGCACAGCCCTGGCATTCGCATCGTCCGCCAGTACAGATAGAGCAGGTATCCCTAGAAACGTTCTGACGACATTTTAGAGGTATTTTTGGGGAGCACGCAACGGCGACTCCGTGTGTCATGAGATCTCGTCCGTCGAGTACAGTTTGTCATCACCCAACCCAGCCAGGCCGCATCCTCGTCGCGTCTTCGCAGCTTGACATTTGCGTCAGGTCTGTCTCCCGTCGTTGTCTGCCATGGTAAGCTTGTGAAGTCAGTGCAGCCAGGCAGGCTGACACTTTCGGTTTCAATGCTCGTGATCGTGGACCCCGATGTGGATGATCAGAGGTGGAGGAGGAGGAGGCCATGTCGGTTTAGGTAAGGATGGTGGGAACAACGCGTCTTCCATCGGCTCATTCCCTTGTTTGCTCGGCTTGTGGGTTGCAGCTGTCTGCTGTGCAACTTAAGTGAGCAAAAAAATTATCTGATCGAATCCCTGTAGTGTGAGTCAAGAATGGGGACCTTTTGGAGGGGAAGGGCCGATCTAATCTTATCAGATGCCCCACATATGGCTGCCATAGGTTTCAATGGGGATTTGGGCTCGGAGGGTCTCGGTTATATTACCTCGGTGCTCGGATTTGTCGGTCTTATGTAAGCTTTTTCTCCAAGGCTTAACATTGCTCCACCCATGTACGGTACCATAACTGTTAAGGTACTCACGATGCTCGCTCGGCGGTAGCTGGCGCTGAGTAACAGGGGGAAGTTTCTTCCCTTGGTTTTCGATCACATCTTGACAGCAAGCGGCAGGGGAAATCTGCCTCCTCCGGTCCGGAGGCTGATTCATTTGTCACTCGGTACTGATTGATATAACCGTGGCCGTGGCCTGTGTCTTGCGCGCGGCACACTTTCCCTTCGTTTTTGACCATCTCCGCCTTCAGCGCCACAAGATCGAGCCGCATCACCAATGAATTCCGCCAACGATACAATGTCACCCTCGGTGGATGAGGCCGGGAGTCTGTCTCCTGCCAACTCTCGCGAGGACGATGAGAACTCCCAGCACCCCCGCAAGCGTCAGCGTGTACGCCTGAGCTGTCTGGAGTGCCGGCGGAGGAAGCTGTCCTGTGACAGAGGCTACCCGTGCCAGCGGTGCCTGAAGAGCGGCACGCCGGATCGCTGCACTTACGAGACCAAGTCGGGGGCTGTTTTGAACGCGAGCTCCGGCGTTCCCCCTGCGTTTGCCCAGCTCGACTCACGGAGGAATGGCGAACTGGCCGTTCCCGGCAAGGAAGCCGATGTTTCCCTCATCCGCGAGGCGGCCAAGGATCATGACCGTATCCGCCGTCTCGAGCTAGAGGTCGCTCAGCTCAAGACTCAACTCACACGACAAGCCATGTCCTCATTTGATGGAAGCACAATAGCCGGCACCAACTCGCCACGGACTCAGAAGGATGAGACCAATGAAGCGCCTGCCGACCCTTGCGCAAACAACTCAGACATGCAGTCGTGCTGGCATCAGTACAGCGATGGAGACAAGTCAGAGCTCCGTTTTTTCAGGGGCAAGGAATTTAGAACGCGGTATTTTGGTCCTCACAACGCTACAATGGCTTTTATTGAGGTAGGTCTCTCGCGCTCATATGAGCCCTTTTTCATAGTGATGAAGAATATTAATCTGACTGCTTCACAGTTGACCGGTCTGTGTCCCTTCATGAAGGAGACGGCAGATGAGTGGCTGAAGCCGGTGAAGGCTCATGACCGCAAAGATCGCAAGAAGCGCAAGGAGGACCGAGACAAGTTCTACCTTCAGCCTGACACGCAGCTTGAGGCTCTCCTGCCACCAAAGGAGCACTGCGATGCCTTACTCGAGGTCTACATTGACCAGTTCGAGCAAATGCACCGCATCATTCACATTCCCACATTCCGCAGGGAATACTCTGAGTTCTGGGAGAACCCAAGCGAATCTCGCTACGCAGCACTCACCGCTCTTGTCCTATCCATCTGCGCGGTAGCGAATTGCATCCACACTCATGAGTCTCTGAGATTCACGGGAATGATTTCCAATGCCCAAAATGCCGCTGAAAAGTGGATCAAGGCTGTTGAAGATTGGCAAAATCATCAGAGTGTGAAGCACCGAAAGCTCATTCACTACCAGATCGCATGTCTCTTGTATCTTGCGAAGCGGGTAAACACTGTGAAGAAGAAGCGCTTCTGGACGAACTCTGGCGCTCTCATCCAGGACGGCATTTCCGTCGGACTGCATAGGGAGCCCAGCCACATGTCAGGCAAGATCTCAGTCTACAACCAGGAGATGAGGCGGAGAATCTGGGCGACAGTGCAAGAGTTTGACATGCAGGCCTCTTTCGACCACGGGCTGCCAACGCTGGTGAGCCAGTTGCACTACGACGTGCAGCCACCCAGAAATTTGGACGACGAAGACTTTGACGAAGACACGACGCAGCTCCCGCCTTCCAAACACGGCAAGGAGTACACTTTCTCGTCCTACCAGAACTTGGCTCGCCAGAGTCTGCCGCTGCGCATGGAGTTGAGCCGCATCCTTTGTGGCCCGCCGGGAGACCTCGACTACGACCAAGTGATCCGATACACAAACGACATCACTCACGAAATCGACTCGTTGCCCTCTTGGGAGCACAACAACAACAACACACATGGCGGCAAGAGACCACTTCTCGCCTACACTCTGCTCCACATCCAGCTCCGCCAGTACATTGTTCCCCTTCACCAGCCCTTCCTGAAGCTTCGCAAATCCAACGCCAAGTATCAGTACTCAGAAATCATTTACTACAACGCCGCGCGAGACATTGTCCTCCTCCATGATAAGCTCTACGAACAAGGCATTCGCAGCCTCAACTTTCTCCGCGAGGACGCGCTGACCACGGCCGTCAACCTCTGCAGTGTCACGATGCTGCAGCCGCGCGGTTCGACAAACATGATTATGATCAACTCGCAACACACCGTTAAGCTCCTCGAGAAGTGTCTCCATATGAAGGAGGACAGGATCCTCCGGTGCGGCAACAACGAACCCTGGGGCTACTCCATCATGTGCTCAGCACTCGGCCTTCTCGAAGCCCACCTGGGCACAAAGACCACCGAACAAGCCAAGGCATCGTCTGCGGAACGGTTCGTCAACCTGCACTACAAGCTGTTGGCGAACCAGGAACCCCCGGTATCGAGCCAGCCCTCGGAGCTGTCCAAGATTCCTGGTTTGGAGGTTCCTGAGAGACCAAAGGTAAGCAACTCTGTCCCTCCATCGTCGTCATCGTCGGCGTTGTCGTCGATGTCGTCGTTCGGAACCAAACAGTGGCTGACTCCATGCCCTCAGTCGGTCACGCCCTTCTCCTTCCAGGGCTACCCGTCATCGCAGAATGCGATGGACGGGCTCCTGCCTCAACCCCTGTCGTGGATGCCACCGTCCATTGATCCGCAGGTGAGTCTTCACGACTTCTCCCCAGCACTCCCAGCACACGTCGCTGACAGTGTGTTGGCAAAGGCGCAGTCATACAATCCCGACTTTAATCTTGAAGCACTGGGATTGAACTTGAACGAGTTGTGGGGAGAATCGTGGGACTTTAGCTAATGCGCTTGTCTATGATGTCTTTTGATGTGATGTCTGGTTAATCAGAAAAAGCGAACTCGGGGGGATGTTTGATCTGGGTTAAAAGCCTCAAAAGGCGAATTGCCCTTGACCTGTATTTTGGAGGGCAATGATTTGTCACGAACAGTTGTTACGATGGTCGGAAAGCTTTGTGATACCCATCTCAATTCCTCTCTCTCATTAGATCTATATATGTAAAATACATACAAGCTTGTCGGTCTTGACTCACGATTTTGGCACGAGTTTTTTTTTCTAAGCTTCTGTTACCTACATCCTTCTCCAGTCTTGCTTCAAAACGTCCTCTCGCCAAGATGGTCCATCGGACTAGCAGAGACGCTTGGCAGCTGCATTTTCGTCGTATCAAAATTCGTCTCCCTCGTCAAACCCCTTTGGCAGGCCTTCGAGAGCCAGCCGTGTAATTAGGACCCCAGAGTCCTGACTCGAGCAGATTACAATATTGGGCAGCCTGGCGCCTGGGCCACATCCAAGTCACCGGACCGACTCATCTTACATCAACCAAGCCTATGGTCCTCCAATTACTTCCATTTGTCTGCAATTGCCTTGCGGGACTCTAAAGCTTATCGGAGGCTTAAAACAGAGAAGAACCCAATTGACCCGCCTTTGCGGCTCCACCTATTCATCTGTCGACGTACATTGTGAATCTCTCGCTGCCACGAGCCGTCAATGACCTCTTCAGGCACTCGGCGGTTCCCAGCGTGTATCGAAACCGTTGTAAAACAGCCAAACATTCACAGCGGCGCTTCGACTCGCCAGAGGCACCCCATTCTTCGGTCCTGACCTGCTGAGATCATCGTCAAGTGGCAAACAAACCCCCCCCCCCCCCCCCCGCGGGGGGCCCCGCGGTTGCAGACACAATCTAGAAACACCACACGTTCATCGCCTGGCTCTCTCACCGGCGCAGGCGGACATGTTAGTCTCCGTATACTTCGTATGTGCTCGCGTAAGGGCAAACACACCCCCCCCCCCCCCGGAAGGCGCATAACGATATCCGCGCGTTGCGGCTGAGGCAGGCGGGCCGGGTTAAGCGACTTTCATGCCATTCGTCAAGCTTCGTCATTGTCGATGTGCAAAGTCGTTGACATTGGTCCCTCAAAGTCATTAATATTGATTCCTCTCATTCCATATTGCAACCCACTCGGCCGAGCCAAGTACGATTGGTCCCCAAGCGGAAGAAACGGCTCCATACGTTACGACTCAATATCATATTGGCGTGGATTTCCGGTCACCGCCAGGGCGTTGTCAGCTTGCACCCAAGAGGCGCACAGATGGCACTTGACGTCTCGAGCGGGTGGGGGAAGTGATAGTAGGGGACTGTCAAGGTTACATGGTCTCCCACTGGCGGCGGACGAGATGCCAGATCCAGGAACCACGACAGGGATCAGCTCGGCACCTTGGGTGTGGCCTGTAATGCTGCAGAGCCCCCCTCCCTGTTTTTCTAGTTTCCCTCCAACCACCTGCTCCTATACGGCCCCCAACGGGCGACTGGCCGTGCAATGTAGTCTTCCCCAACTCCACGATATCGACCTTTTGTCACTTCAATGGGTCCGAGAGAACCCGTGAGGGAGGTTCGGTCTGCTAGCATCGGCATGCGGCACTTGGCCCTTGTCCTCACAGACCTCACCGGCCCAATTGCGTAATGCTATGCCACGGGCGGGGTCAAGAGGTCGTAGATAAGCCCGCTGCTCAGGTGCTCGAATGATTACCATACAGAGGGGGGGGGACCGTAGCCTCGGAGATGATGGGCTTTGTGGGACATTGGTTTGCCAGCGCCCTGGCTGCGGCCCCTTGTTGACACCCTCTCCTTGCCCGTGGATGAATGGCCTGTCGTGAGAGGACCAAGAAGACACGAGATTCGGGGCTCTAAGATGCAAGACGACGTTGATCGGACGCAGGAACAAACAAGGCTGGTCTTCCAATATCCCAGTTCAGCCGTCTTCGTTCCTCGCCGAGTCAGATTCCCCACGTCACAGCCGTCGTCTGCAGTCGTGACAGTTTCAGATCAGACATCGGATACACATATTTAGAGACGATCTCCAGGTTCATCTGAAAGACAAATCTCCAGCTCTCACCTCACCCTTCCTCGCCACCCCTTCACATCTAATTATACTTCGATTCACAATGGCCCCTTCCCTCTTCCGTCTCGGTGCATGGCTCGCTGCCGCAGCCGGCTCCGTCACCGCCGCTCCCCTCGAACGCCGCGCCGTCATTGATCATGATGCCGTTGTTGGCTTCCCTGAGACAGTTCCCTCAGGCATCGTGGGCAGCTTGTACCTCAAGTACAAGCCCTACCTCAAGATCATAAACGGTTGCGTGCCCTACCCTGCTGTGAACGCCGCTGGTGACACTAGGTAAGTCCCTCTCACTTGAAACATTCCACTTATTCTTGTCTAATCCCAATCACAGCGGTGGCCTCGCTCCTACCGGCTCTCCGGAAGGGGGGTGCTCCTCCAGCACCGGCCAGGTGTACGCCCGCGGCGCCACCTACAACGGCGCCTTCGCCATCATGTACTCCTACTACATGCCCAAGGACTCGCCCTCCACCGGCCTGGGGCACCGCCACGAATGGGAGAACGCCGTCGTCTGGCTCTCCGCCGCCACCGACTCTGCCACCGTCCTTGGCGTCTCCGTCTCCGCGCACGGCGAGTACGACACGAAGACCTCTGGCATCGACTTCACCGGCAACAGCCCCCGCATCGGCTACCGGAGCATCTGGCCCGTCAACCATCAGATGATCTTCACCAGCGAAGTCGGCGACCAGCAGCCCCTCATCGCATGGGAGTCCCTGACCCCCGCCGCACGCACAGCGCTCGAGAACACCGACTTTGGCAGCGCCAATGTGCCCATGAAGGAGGCCAACTTCGACGACAACCTCGGCAAGGCTGTCTTGTAAGAGAGTCACTGGCGAGCTTTTACGCATTTGTGAAATGCTCCGGGAGATGGGGACTGGGAGTGGTGATTACTACTTAATTGGTGTCATCGCATTCGGCTGGCTTCGTGGATGACTTCATGCATATATCTTAGTTTTAGGAAGGAGCGAGAGCTTTTAAAGTTCTCTGATGATGGCTCCTCAATACATAAATCTTTTGCACATTAACATTAGACTCTCAGATTCGATCGCAATGCATGTGATAAAGGTTAGTGATAACATGGCCAGTCCACCAAATATAGCGGCCTCGGCTGATGGTGACCCCCAAGAGAGGAATTTGAAGGCCATCCCCGCCGTTCAAGCTATTTGCCAAAAGATCCAGCCAGGATATTCTTGCAAAGACATCTCATCGTTCCGCCATGGCCGATTGAGAGAGAGGCGGTCCGGGCTTTGAGCGGGCAGTCCCGCGAACCATCCAAAGCATAATTGACAAGCCATCACCCCGCACAGGGCGAACGCTGCTGACCGTGCATGCGACCGAGGCTTGGAGTTGCTTGGAGATCGTGCAAGGGGAGTTCTTGCCGCCTGCCGAAGAGGGTAATGGAACTCCGATGCAAGCAACTCAAATCGCTGAAGACCATACTGCACATCACAATCAACTGACGGCGGGTTAAGCGCTTGCATACTTCTCGAAATCGAGATGGCATGCCGATCACCCGCTCTCACGGGTTGTTCGGGCTGAAGTTTGGCTTGAAAGAGCCGCTAGGGTAGAAATGGCCTGGACACAGTGGTGGCTTCGCAAGAGCTTTGGCAATTCCCTGGGTCTCCCGTCAACCTGTGGAGAAAGCGGCTATGTCGGCAGTAGGTTTATTGACTTAATCTGCAAGTGGTCAGTCCACTGAGGGTGTCCATCGCTGAAGAATATCGTTCGTCGTCCTCAACGTCTAGTTGTTGCGCCCACGTGGAGGTTCAGGTTGTGGTCGAACCGGGGCGTCCAGTGGCTCAGCGGAGCAGGACCCCGCATGCGGGCACTACCCCAATTCCGAAGTCAATTTCCGAAATGATCTATTTGCGTTATTTTCTCATCAAATTTTCAATCATTCGCAATAGGCCCTCTGGCGCAACGGTAGCGCGTTCGACTCCAGATCGAAAGGTTATCCGTTCAAATCGGGTGGGGGTCATCTCTTTTGCCTCTGTAGCGTTCATCGTGGCATCTCTTTTGGTGTTTGGTTTGTCAAAGTTGTGAAAGAGGTTGCTGGTATAAGTTGGGAGTCTCTGAGTGATTTGCAGCCAAGAGGTGGTTTTGCTTATATAATAAACTTCCCTATTGTCCTTTAATGCCTTCCTAATGCTTCGCGATAGCTAGCTGCTCTGTGCCAGGTTTTGGTGGATGGTTGTGGTTGATGGCAGACGGCTGTGGTGATGATATCGGACGGGACTTGGTGTGGCAACATTGGCTTGCTGGACTCGTGTCGGAGCACGGACCAGATATTCTTCATTTCGGCGTCAGACAGACCAGGAATGGCATTTCCAACAGTCATTGCGCTCCTGTCTGGCAAGACCTCATCCATGATGTACTGGTAGGCATGGCTAATGTGACTGATGTTTCAATGCATTGAAAATCTCTTTTTCAAACTTTTCGGGCATTTCCTTGTCCAATTGTTGAAGCTTTACAGTTATGGTCATTGTCATATTGATTTGAAATAGACCAGTGAATCATTGCATGTAGATAGATACTGGTCCACGTAGCGGCTTGACTGGCGGTGACAAGGTGCGATGAGCATTCAAAAGAAGATTCCTGTGAACTCCTCATGGTCCTGGCTGCTCATCACGAAAAGCTTTCGCATCTAATAGATGGCCAGGGGGATACTAACATGACGGAGATCCTGCAAAATACTGTGGCATCTCCCATCCCGGATCTCTTGAACCAAGTCTCACATATCAGCGACTGCTACGAATCTTCTTACAAGTAAAAGATGGCGAGGAGACGGCTTTGGTGACTTCATACGACGCCATGTCTGTAGGGAACCCGCAAGCAAGGTCAAACCCAGACCTACCAAAAGAGGCACACGATGGGCCTTTTGAATGTCAATTTTGTTATATGCTTCTTGACATACGGGATACTCATGCACGGAGGTATTTGAAAGAGCCTGTAAGATTTCGAGTGTCCCAGCTACTCATTCTCAGACAACACGTGTACGACAACCTCCGGCCTTGCAACTGCTTACACAGAGATTGCAAGACGCCTGACAAAGCTTTCGCCAAAAGGCATGATTGGATGAAACACATGCTGCAAAATCACCTGAGAGGGTATCACTGCCCTTTTGATTGCGACTGCGAATGCCCATCTGCATTGGAGGCCAGAGCGCATTTGATGAGACGACATTCAGACACGGTAGCTGAAAGCTAGATCGACGCCTTGGTCGAGTTGAGCCCTCGACGTTTGGATCAGGACACGAAAATTCCGCGTCCCCTTTGCTCTGAAACTCTTTCATCCTTGAAAATCTATCGGCGTCATGTTAGGAAATATCAACAGCAGCCGGCATTGTCCACCCTTCCTATTGTCAGTGGATTGGACGAAGAGCATTCCCAAGTCGCCCAGGCCTTGCACCAAGACAGAGACTATCACAATTCAGTGGCCTCAAGGGCTTAGACTTCAACATCTGGTCGAATGGAAGAATACTTCGTGCCAACAGATGGCATAAGCCAGGAATTCATTGCTGCTAACATATGCCGGTACCTTGGGAACGCCGCTTTCGTGCAAACTGGGAATTATGAAGATGCTGTTTGCCAAGAAGCCTCATCTCCGTACCATTAGATGGCTATTACTCGAAAATTGAAAAATTCCATCACACGGGGCAGGTCGTTTAGTGCTATTACTTCTCAGCATTCAAAAGCTTGACGACAATATATTGGGTGAACAGACCACTAAAGAATCTAATGATTAATACCTTAGACGATGGTTGCCGATTTGAAGGCCGACTTTGCGCGAAGGGAAGAAGAGAGGCGACGATCAGAAACACGAGATATGTCTGGAGGTATGTGTGACTACTGAACAGGAATTTGGATAATTCAGAATGAGCTCACGCATTTGCAGCCGGATTTCGTTCATCAGAGATAGGTCTTCGACGCCATCTCTAATCCCCTCAGTGTCCCGGCCCTCAAGCGCCCGCGTATTCTGGCAATTTGCACCAGGGGTACAGCCAGACGACAAGTGTTCGTCCGCCCTGGGGGAACCCCTACCCGGTACAAGCATCGTCGATTATGCTTCAATGGAAAGACGTAAATTAATATCACATAGGTAGGTAAGGCATTGAGGCCGCTGGCCCTAGAAGCAAGGCGACAGCTGGAAACACTATACAACCCGAAGGAGCTGGCTGCCGATGGGCGAGACCCCGACACACGGAGCCGATAGCTGGAAGAACGATTCCGTCGGCCGTCTCTGGGAAAAGGGGCATTGTGTCGGGAAGAGGAAACATATGCAGAGAGGGCCGACGATGAGTGATATCAGTTCAAGCCTTCGTTTCGAGGTGAGTTATCGCGCAGAAGAGGTAGGCAAACTTTTTGGAAAGATAGCAATCCATCATGAATCTCAATCTTGACACACATGTGCTTTTTATTAAGTCCCTCGATGACATCACCTTCCACTTCCAAAAGGGTTTCAACTTTTAGGGAATGACTGTTTCCACGATGCCACCTGACGCCACCCTAGGAGCTTGCCATGCAAATATAAAAAAACAGTAAGAACAGACCAGGAGATGACACCAAGTAGAAAACAGAGGAAGAAGGCAAGAGTGTGGGTATGTGTCATTACGGAGAAAGTCTTTGTTTGTGTGAATGTGTATTACAACGGGGTGGGTTGCTGCTGCTGCTGCTTGCGCTATGTAACCAGAATATTGCTAAATGCGTCCGATATCTCGGATGGTGTAGGGGCTTGGAACTTTTCTGGCGTAAAGCCAGCGGCGAGACGATCTTGCATGATCTTAAGGAGGACGTCGGGGACGCTCTCGTCCGTGGCGCGGATTGTGAGACGAATCATCTAGGCAGAGTCAGTTATCAATCTTCGTGACCAGGATTTCAGGTGTAAACAAACCTTGGTTCCATAATTCGGCTCAAGACGCATCAAACAACCAAATTTGCCCGCCTCTGAGGTGTGCAGGACACTAGCACCGACAAAATTCTTCGCATTGGGGTCGACACCGTCGAGGACACGCCATCGGAAGCCCTCGACCGTCTGCCGTACAAAGAATTCGTTCATCTCTCTATCCGACTTGCCAGGCGATAGACCAAAGATCTGCTGGGCCTCGCGAGGGGCACCGCCAATCTGCTTCCAGCGCCTGAAGAAATCTTCGGCGGAGAGGTCTGCGGGATCCATAAACTTGTGTGCAGTGATGGGAAGCTTGAGGGTGACAGCCTGCAGGGCACCAGCGAGGTAGCTGATCCGTATCGTCGGGCTCTTATCAAACACCCTCTTCGACTCAAACATGATGACCTGCTGAGACTGCCCAGACTGATAGATTGTGCTCTCAGGCAGGTTCTTCACGTCCCATGTAAGCTTGCCCTTTTCGGTTTCGTCGAGATCCAATGTTGTAGTGAATGAGCCCAGTGCAGTGGGCGTCTTGTTCTTGAAGTAAAGAATCAAGCACGCCATCTGGCCTCTGTACTCGGAACGCACACCGACCTGAATCTGCCCATCCTCGTACAGCACGCCTTCTGCCTTGAGCAGCAGCTTATTGTATCCAATGTCCCAGTTGGGAGACAAGTGAGCCGCGCTTGCCAAGTTCAGTGCCTTCGTCTTGGGCTCGGCAGGTCCAAGGTTATTCATGTCCAGGCCGGCCAAATCATTGACACCGTTACCGTTGCCATTCGTTCCGTTGGTGCCTCCATTAGCCGCATGCGAGTGACCGTTCGTGTTTGTGCTGAAGGTCCGCTTGAGACCACCCTCCTTGGCCATCTTCATCTCTGCCACATCTGCGTTTGCATCCTTGCCACCCACAATCCAAGTTCTCTTATCGCTAGTGTTGGCATGCTTCTGATGCACTCTGGCAAGCAGGGCAGATTGTCTTTCAGAGAATGGCGGCATTTCGTCGCACACGGTGCGAAGGAGGTCATCTGTCGGCAGCGTGGCGAGCGTCAGGTACTCGCAGGCTCTCTGCTGAAGCTCAGAGTCGAGTGTATGGCTGAAGACCTGGAATGCCTTGAGAAGTTGGGGCTTGATTTCGGGGAACAGGTTGACAAATTTGACATAACATGAGAGGATCATAGCCCGTGTACTTGATGAGCATGCGGCAACCTTGCTCTGGAGAGCCATAAACTGCTCAATCGGACTGCACTTGGGCTGATCGGCGATGAGATGCCCAAACTCGCCCAATATGTACGCTCCAATCTTGACCAGGGTCTCATGGCAGTGATCCGACTTGACGTACTGCAAGGAATGCTGAGCCGCATAGACCTGCAGCTCCTCGTTATTCGTCACAATCTGGATGACACGCTGCCACACCTCGTCGCTGACGTGGTCACCAGCCATGGCAATCAGACGCAGCGAAATGTCCACATACCACTGAACGTCAGTGGCATACCGTTCAGTCAAGATGGCAATCTTCAGCACCATCTCCTCTCTTATAGCGAAATCGGCGTTCTGGAGGTAGTGAAGAAGTTCACCGACAATGACCTGAGCATTGGACGAGTCGCACATGCTGTAGAGAAGGTCAAGACCTTTCCTTCGCACACTGATATCTCTGTCCTTGAGTGAGCCAAGAATGACATCCTGGTGTTGCTTGATCGGCTCCAAGGTCTCGATGCGGGCTGCCAGATGCGTCATTGCCTCCAAACCCAAGTAGCGAACGTTGGTTTCTCTCGATGTCAAGAATCGTCCCAGGCGAGATGAGATCTGCTTCAACAGGGCCTGCTCATTATCCAAGTGAATGATGAGATTGATGGCCTCGAAGAGCACGGCGTTTTGTGCGTTGTTCTGTTGAACGTTCTTGGTTTGCTCCATGGCGAGGTTCAAAATCTTCTGCAGAGACTCTCGGATCATCTCGCGGACGTGGGTGTCATCTGAGGTAGTCAGTACATGCCAATCGGATTACGAGCTTATGTACAACTCACCTGAAGGAGGGAAATACTGCAGCAGACGCAGAAGCTTGACCTGAAGCCAAGGGCAAGGGACCTTGTAGTAGAGGTAGTCCGGAGTATACTCCCCATCAATGACGATTCTCTTTATCCTTGCTGTGGCCTTCGCATATGCTCCCTTGTACGCATTCGCATTATCCTGGGCAAGGGCCATAACTAGAGAGGTGACGGACAGAGCTACGCCAACGTCCACGTCGTCCAATAGCGATATTATGCGCTCGGCCCATTGCGGCTGGACAATGTCGGGGTTCTTGCGGTATAGGCGGAGGAGGGTGAGCGATGCCTTCTTCTTCACAAATGCCTTGGACGTCCTGTAACGTTCCTGTTAGTCACTGGTTTGAAAGTCAGGAATTGGCCATACATACGGGGAGATCAGAAGCCTGTGAACCTCTCCGCTGAGGGCTTCTCCCATTTCCCTGCCGCCAACGTTTGCAATCGCATGGAGAGCCAGACAGTTGAATAGCTCATTATGGTCCAGTAGGTCTTTTCGTATACTGTTGACGACCAGGTGCAGCAGCTCGTGTTTCTCGTGTAGGAACAAGGTCATGGCGAGGTATCCGATTTGTTTCTCCGAATACTTGTTCGCCGAGATGAGGTTGACGGCCTCCAGGTGACCAAAGTCGACGTTCCATCCGAGGATGTAGATGTAGAGGAGCTTCGCAGAACGTCAGCACGAGATGTCAGCCAGCGCAGCTAAGGACAGTCCATACCTTGCACACGTATTTCTTCTTGTGATAACCGCTCAGGTTTCCATCTGTGTGGGGGTTAGCACCACAGCATCGCATCGACCGATCATGACAATGAAGTCGTACCCTTGAACTTTTGTCTGCACGTAGGAACTCTTGTTAGTACTCCGTCGCGAGGTAGCGCAGCAGGACGTGCCGGGAGGTGTGTGCTCACCGGATGTTGGCCAGCTCCTTGTTGATTCTCTTCTCTTCCAGCTCTCTAGCTCTTGCATTTCTCAAATCGGCAATGAACTGCACCAGGCCTCGCATGTTGGAGTTGTTGCTAGTCGAGCGGCCGAGGAAGCCGCTCGCAGAGGACGACATGGTTGCGGTGGTTGCCGGGTGCGACGGGTAGCCTATTCAATGCTGTCTTCCCTCCCCCCTCTTCTTCGCGGGATGGACAGAGCTGAGCTGGCGGGAGTTGTTGGACTCGCCACAAGAAATTCGTGGTAGAAGCGGCGCGTATGCGGTCTCGATTCGATGTTCGGTAAGGCGAGAATTGTCGGGTGTGTACTAATTGTCGTATGCTGTCGTGTGCCCTGATGCGAGCGTTGGGCAATCACTCCATGCGCGCGAGGGGTCCTTTCTTTCGTATCTCTGCTCGCTTACCCCGGCAGGCTATTGATTGCTGCGTGGAGGACTTCTCGGGGGATCAACGGTCGGATCAGTGGGCGGCGGATTGTGAATTCGGCAACTCGAACACGAAACCGGCCGGCAAGTACCGCTGCGTGTCTTAGCAATGCGTTCCCGTCCAATAATGAGATGGCAACCAGGGGCCGTTGTCGTAGTCGTCGAGGGCGCGGACGGGTTCCTTATCAACAACAGCTGGTGGTGACTCGAGATTGACTTCGGCCTTGGATGAAAGCGAGTCGGTTCGCGATGTTGCACCGGAAGGAGTGGGAAATGGGAAACAAAACTCCAAGGAAAGGGGCTCGAGGGGCTTTCGCGGACTTTGGAGAAAACGACACTTCAGAAAGCCGGAAGGCTTGGGAATGCAGCCTATGTGTGGAGATGGGCAATGGGCCACCCACCTGCACATTGGACGTCGAACGGGCCCGTCAAACCACCCCGAGGTACCTTTACTTGTACGCTTACGGATACAGAGGTGAGGTACCTCACCTTTCACCTCAGCCCAAGCATCCAACGCCAGGACGTCTCGTTTCCCACACAACACGGGCAGCTGTCAGGTGCTTACTTGGCCCCATGGACTGGCTCTTCATGGGCGGCCTGCTGCTGTGCGCGCAGTGCCCGCTGCTTGAAGACTGGGCGCATCAGGGGTGTTGCAAGTGTCCTTCCATCCACCTCATTCTCAAGCCATTGAACATTTTCCCGTTGCTGACTGATGCGGAAGAGAAGTACCTTAAGAGTTAAGACTCAGCACTGAGCGGACTTTGACCGGGGTAAGGCACGCTACCTTCGGGCCCGTGTGCCCGTGCAGCAACGAGACCACCCCCGTCAAAGGGTACGTACAAAGACGCGCTAAGCTAAACTCGTTCCCGTCAATTGGCAAGCTCCAAACTGTGCTGACTGCCGAATGCTGCATCATCGAAGTCGGGAAATTCCCATGCAGAAGGAAAGAGCTTCCCCCCTCCCGTCTGTCAATCCATAATAAGAAAACCTATTTTCTTTCAGCAACCTCCAATCATTCCACAGGCCGCGTCGCCCCATTTCTTCTGCAGGACTCCAATTGCAAAAATCACACGATCCTTCCCACATGTCCGTCTCCGTGCTTCGGTCCAGATATGCGACGCCGGTAATGAACTCCACGATCAAACGGGTGGTGTGCCTCGCCGCACCGAGCTCCCGGGTCTTCGGCGGACCCTCTTCCACCACCACACGCCGGTCTTATGCCGTGACCTCCGGCGGCGGCTCCGCTGCCTTCCAGGTTTTCAACCGCCGCACGAAATGGCTGCAAAAGGAGCGTGCAGCCTCGAACCCCGAGGCCGGCAGGCAAGCCGATTACCTCAAGGACGAGGTCGCAAATCGGCTTTGTGAGAGATTACTTGTAAGAGCATCACCGGCCGCCACCGCCACCACTGACCGGATACACCTCTAGAGAAGATAATTAGACCCTGACACTTTGCGCTCAACAGGACCTCAAACGAAACTTCCCCCGCGCCCTCGACCTGGGCGCAAACTCCTGCAACGTAGCCCGCGCCCTCACCCGCGAGAACCCGGACCCGGACCCCTCAAAACCAATAACCCCGCCCCTCGCCTCCCGCATAGGTGAACTCGTCGCAGCCGAGTCCTCCCACGCCCTCCTCCACCGCGACGCCGACCTCCCCTTCAACGCCGACATCAACATCACCCGCACCGTCCTCGTCGACGAGGAACACGTTCCCTTCGAGCCCTCCTCCTTCGACCTCGTCCTCTCCTCCCTGTCCCTCCACTGGATCAACGACCTGCCCGGCGTCCTCACCCAGATCAACAACGTCCTCAAGCCCGATGCCCCCTTCATCGGCGCCATGCTCGGCGGCGACAGCCTGTTCGAGCTGCGGACCTCGCTGCAGCTCGCAGAGCAGGAGAGGCGCGGCGGCATTTCCCCCCACGTCTCGCCGCTCGCTGACGTCCGCGACGTCGGCGGCCTGATGCAGCGCGCAGGCTTCAAGATGCTCACCGTCGACATCGACGACATTGTCGTCGATTACCCGGACACATTTGCGCTGATGCAGGACCTGCAGGCCATGGGCGAGGGCAACGCCATCCTCGGAAGGGAGATGGGCGCCATTAGGAGAGAGGTGCTGCTAGCGAACGAGGGGATCTACAGGGAGCTCCACGGCAACGAGGACGGGAGCATACCCGCTACATTTAGAATCATTTACATGATCGGGTGGCGCGAGGGTGGCGACCAGCCCAAGGCGCTGCCGAGAGGGAGCGGAGACGTGAACCTAAAGGACATCTTAGAGTCCAACTAGAATGCTGCCGCACCACGTGTAACAACAAACCCACCAAAAGAAACACTGTAAAACAAATCAAAGCAAAAAAAGTCTATGGCTTTCATTGTCGACACGCCAGTCTTTCTAGCTTGAATCGTAAAAAGCACGCCAAATCCGAGCTTGCCCGTACTCGTCATGAAGTTCATTACACCCCCTTTTGTTTTCTCCCCTCCTCTGCCTCTTATGCCCTTAAACCCTTCTCCAATCCGTCATGACACGACCAATAGTTCCCAAACCAGCCACATCGACAACCTTCTCGTGCCAGCTAAGCAACACGCTCATCGCGCTACCGACGTTCTCGTTGGTGGCGCCGGGGCGACCTCCCATCTGGCTGAACCCGCTGGGCGCGGCCTGCGGCGGCGGCGACCTCAGTCCCCCCGAACCGGCAGATCCGGCCATGCCCTTGTAAATGTACTTCATGAGGACGTCGAGCAGCTCGGGGCCGCCGGCACCGCCGTAGATAGACTTGAGGAGGGGTGTCATCTCGGAGGCCTTGATGGACTGAAGGACCTCGGTGATAGTCTGGAGGTGGGCGTCCTGTTGGGGGTGATCGTGGTCAGCGAGTCTTTCCTCTCTCCAGGAGCTCCATACAACGTCCCCAAGGACGTAAAGTCCAACTTGGATCTCACCTTGGCGCCGTCAGGTCCGTTATAGACGGGAAACTCCAGGCATCCTCTCAAAGCACCCTCGGCATCCCCGCCGCGGAGCAATTGCCGTACCTGTCCGGCGAGCTGTCGGACCTCATCCTCGCCAATCTCGGGCTGCGGGGGTCGCAGGGTGTTCGTGTCAAAGTTGCAAGCCGAGTCCTCTTGCAGGGCGTCAATATTGATGGTCCGCCAGGCGTCGCTGAGCGTGGCGGAGGTGTGCTGCTGGATGATGGACATTGTATCGGCGCGACGTTCTGGACGAGTTCAAGGGTTTCGATTGGGTTCCGACGCAAGTTAGGAATGTAATTCACGACAGCGTGCCGTATGTCGTCGATTGGCGGTGCAGTTTATGTAGCTTCGTTGGATGCTCTGTGCAGGCAGGTCGGGAGGTGAGGTAAGGTAGCCGCATGCTCATGGTGGGGAGTTGGCTCGGTGTGGAGGATGTGGGGTTCAAGGAGGCGGTGCGGCTGCTGGCGACGTTGGTCCGTGCCATGGTTCATGCCAAACCCGCTGCAGACTGGATCTTGGTCATCGCGCCGGCGCATCACAAAACCACGATGTCATTCATCGTGGGTCCACGCCGACTCAGATGTTCGGCTCTGGCTGAGTAACGCATCACTCGCCCTGGGTTGCAGAAGAGATAAATAGTGATTATGAAAATAATGAATAGTAGGTGCACATTCTCTGCAAACACTAGAACATCACTGAGACATGGCCGGTTTAGAAACTTATAATTGCATGCCATTGTCTAGGTCCAAAAGTTGCCCATCTTGCACTCTCGTGCCCTCACCATACGTATACACAACGTCGAGCGGTTGGCTTTCTACGCTGCCGACTTCTCAGGAATATCAAGCACCCGCATTTGTCGTCCCCGCTTATGCGTCAATCAGGTTCTCCTCGTTTTGCTGCACCTGCTGTCTCTGCTTGCCCTTGTCCTTGGCCTCCTTGGCCGCACGCTGGTAGAACTCGTTGAGAACCTTGCCGGGAATACGGTTGAGCAGGTCCTTGGGGTAGAGACGGAGCAAGCTCCATGCGAGGTCGAGAGACTCGTAAATGGTGCGAGCCTCGTACTGGCCCTGGTTGATGAACTGGCGCTCAAACTTCTCGAGGAACTCCAGAGAAAGCTTGTCCTCAGCTGACAGAGCCTCCTCACCGACGACGGCCTTCATGGCAGCAGCGTCACGACCGATGGCGTACTTGGCGTAGAGCTGGTTGGAGACATCACCGTGGTCCTTGCGGGTCATGCCCTCACCAATGGCAGACTTCATGAGACGAGACAGAGACGGCAGAACGTTGATGGGCGGGTAGATACCACGGTTGTAAAGGCCTCTGTCGACGAAGATCTGACCCTCCGTAATGTAACCCGTCAAGTCGGGAATGGGGTGAGTGATATCCTCGTTGGGCATGGTCAAAATGGGCACTTGGGTGATGGAACCGTTGCGACCTGCCACACGACCGGCTCGCTCGTAAATGGTGGACAAATCAGTGTACATGTAACCGGGGTAACCACGACGACCGGGGACTTCTTCACGGGCGGCCGAGACCTCACGAAGAGCGTCGCAGTAAGCGGACAGATCGGTCAGGATAACGAGAACGTGCTTCTCGAGCTGGTAGGCGTAGTATTCGGCGGTCGTAAGCGCGAGACGAGGAGTGATGATACGCTCGATGCTGGTCCAGTTGTCAGTTCGCACATCCCTTTGTGGTCCGTATTGACCTCGAACTCACGTAGGATCATTGGCAAGGTTGAGGAAAAGAGTGACACGCTCCAAAGAGCCGTTCTCCTCGAAGTCGCGGGTGAAGAATCTGGCCGTCTCCAAGTTGACACCCATGGCACCGAAAACAATGGAGAAGTTCTCCTCGTGGCCGTCGTGGACGCCCTTGTTGGTAACACCCTGCTTTTGGACCAAACTGGCCTGTCTGCAAATCTGCGCAGCGATTTCGTTGTGCGGCAGACCAGACGAGGAGAAAATGGGGATCTTTTGGCCGCGGGCGATGGAGTTCATGGTGTCGATGGCAGAGATACCGGTCGAGATCATCTCCTCGGGGTATTCCTACACCATGTTAGCGTATATTCGCAAATTTGATATTCTGGACACCACATACACGGGAGAAGGGGTTGATGGGACTGCCGTTGATGTCGAGGTAATCCTCAGCCAGGACCTTGGGGCCCTTGTCGATAGCTCGTCCGGAACCGTCAAAGATACGACCCAGCATGTCCTCCGACACACCAAGCTTCAAGCTCTGGCCGGTGAACTCGACTTTCGTCTAGCTAAAATTCAGCGCTCGCCTCATTTGTCGAGATGCGATGATCTCATACCTTCTTGACATCGATGCCTGATGTACCCTCAAAGACCTAAATGCATCGTCAATCGGCGTTTCTCGTGTAATCGCTCGGTTCGCATACCTGGACAACGGCTCGGTCACCTGCAGACGTGGGTCAGCACACGGGTCATTGCGATAGTAGTGTGGTGGTGTAAATACCTCGAGCCTCAAGGACCTGGCCCTGTCTGTTGGTTCCATCAGGAAGGGTCAGGGAGACAATCTCGTTGTATCTAGGGAATTTGACCTGAACACAGAATCAGTGCCTCATTCACGTAATTCCCTGGCGAAAGCCCAGCGCGACGGGTGACACGCACATTCTCGAGGATGACGAGGGGTCCATTGACACCACCGACGGTGTTGTACCGAATTCTCGGCACGATGGAGTAGGAGGGCTCCCGCGGGTCACTCATTGCTTCTGACTATCAGTGAGACAGCGCCCGACTAGAAGACAATGCGTGTTGGGTCGAGGGGGGCGATTAGGAAGGGCGTGGGTGGGCGGATGGATGGCGACGATGCGAGGCGCTGCGATGTACGTAGCTGGAGGAGGTTGGCAGGTCGGTGCAGTGTCGTCGAATGCACTGCACTGGAGCTTGCTTCGTCTTGGTGGAGCCCGCTCGGCAAGCTGAGGTGGCGCCGATAAGATCACTAGGAGCGCGGGCCTGGCACGCCTGGGAGCTTCCCAGTGTCGGTCTCAGTGTCAGCTTGGGCGCTGGCAGTGTGGCAGTGACATCACATGACTGCCTGCACTCCAACCTGAAGGTAAGGACATCTCACGAACAAGCTTGCCTCTTGCATACCTCAGGCAGGGTATATTTCCTAAGGTAGGTACTAATTAAGACGAGGGCTCAGAAGGCATTTCCCTAACTCCAATTCAATTCTCACTCCATGTTCAAAGATTACGCCGTCGCCGCTTCACGAGCTCTAGCGCCTAGAACAGCCTTTCCAACGGTGCTGTCGTTGGCCTTGCTCAACTCGCCCGTGATCCAAGCACCAATGTCCGACATGGCATCCAGATCAATGCCCGTGTCCATACCCAGACTCTCAATAAAGTAAATCATGTTTTCCGTAGCCACATTTCCAGTAGCACCGGGGCTGTAAGGGCATCCTCCAAGGCCGCCAACACTGCTGTCAAACGTGCGAATGCCATGCTCCAACGACACGGCCGTGTTCACCAGAGCCTGGCCGTACGTGTCGTGGAAGTGCATCGCAATATCCTCGTTGCGAATTCCCGCGGCCTTCATGCAGTTCAGAAGCTCCTTGGTACGAGGGGCGGTTCCCATGCCGGTGGTGTCACCCAGAGACACTTCGTCGGCGCCCGACTCCAGCAACTCCGTCGAGATCTCGGCGACCTTGTGCGGGTCGACGTTGTACCCCTCGAAGGGACAACCCAGGACGACGGAGACGTACGCACGAACGCGGAGTCCGGCAGCCTTTGACTCGCGAATAACCTCACGGAAGCGGTCTAGTGATGTCGCGATGTCGCAGTTGAGGTTCTTCTTCGAGAAGGATTCGGTCGCTGCTGCGAAAACAGCCACTTCGACGGCTGGGGTCGAGGCATCAGCCGAAGGCTGGAGCTGTGATGCGAAAGCGCCGGGGTATTTGGCCAGCAGCGCCTGTGCGTTTTGTAGTCCCTTGATGTTCGGGGCGAGGAAAGAGTATGATGTTTGCGCTGGAGAGGAGATCTTTCGGGTGAGGAGGTGCTCAAGGATTTCACTGGAATTGGCCATCTAAAGGAATTCAACCGTCAATGACACTAATCCCAAGATTATCAGGCCACTTGGGTTAACTTACCTGGGGAACCCATTTCGGCGATACAAAAGAGCCTCCTTCAATTGCAGAGACACCAGTTCTGGCGAGCCTCTCAATCAGCTCGATCTTGGTCGCGAGGGGTATCGTCTTCTTCTCGTTCTGGAGTCCATCGCGTGGGCCGACCTCGACGAGCTTGACATAGTTGTCGCGGGGCGCTTGCTGAATGGGACCGCTAGCGGTCGCAAAACGTCTTACGGGGCGGGTCTGAGCCTTTCGGCACGCCCTACAGATCGAGGGGCGAATGGCAAGCATTTTGAAGTTGAATTGTTCAGAGAAAGGCAACGAGGGGTCGACCGGCAAGTTGCAGAGGCATTGGAGAAGAGCTGGGGCATGGGGAGCTTGGCCGCATATCGTCGGCTTCCAACTTGCCTCGGTCAAAGCCAGCGGGGAGCATCTGGCAACAGCTGGCCATTTTCCTGTGTAAGTCTTCTTCATCACCCAACGTCTCAACAGCAAGCAACGTACGCAACGCCATCCAACAGAGTATGACCTTCGGCTCTGGACATTTTACCGGATTTTCCAACTTACTATGGCTTCTTCAAGTCTCCCTCACCTCTAAAAGTGAATCCCAATACGAGATTAGACAGGGGGCTTCCATGGTCAGGTTTGGTGTACACCATTTAGCCGTCACTCTGTGATGCAACCACCTCAGGCGGCACAGCTAGCGGACTATTAACAGGACGATTTGAACCAAGCGCGAATTCCCCTGCCAGTCTTCATTGCTCATCTATACCATACGTGCCTCAATTTCATTTGACAATCACGTCCCCGCGTGGCGGCGTCATTTGCTCTCTCGAGTCCTCATGTGGTCGCATTTCATTTCCTACATGAACGTTCTCCAGACGTATTCGTGTTATATTTTTATGCCACCCAGTCAATTTTCTCTCACGCTCATGATGGAAAGATTTGCATGTCCGTGGAAAGGGGCTTTGCTGCTTCTCCTCGTCATCTACATATGGCTCATGTCTGCATTTACAGCTGGACAGACAGCGACACAGACGGAGTCGGTACCTGTTGTCATGCCCACATTAGCCGGGCCATCGAGGCCGAGAACGATACCTTGATAAGAGCTGTGCACGACTAGAGGCCTAATAGCACCATGGTTGAATGGCTTCTACGAGCTGCTTAGGAACCAAGTACGAGTGACTGACAGACCAGATAGCTCTTACTCTGCTTGAACAAGTGCTGCCATGCTGGCGCAGCTCTCTCGGAGTGACCCTTCACCGTACGCAACTAGGACTCTGAAGGACACCGAAACCACAGCTGCCGCCGGGGTCCTGAAGGATTGCTTCTGCCCAGTATATTAGAATATCGGACAGTAAGTCCCTCCATATCCCAAGTATGGAGGCCTTGCGAAATTTCAACGTGCTCATGCCTACTAGGGCATGCTTGACTATTATCTGCCCGACTCAGGCGGCGAACCTGTACACCAGACAACTCCTCGAGGGTGTCTGTCCTGGAGTCACTGCCGCGGGTGACGGTTCATTCCCGCTTCAGACTGAGACCGCCACGACCATGTAAGGAACGGCGATGACAACTTCGAGGGGTAGTGGTCCGGATGGCGCCGCTGGTGTTCCAGCAGTTCCAGTTGTTTTTTGTTTGCGGCAGTCATCATTGGCTGGTTATCGTTCTTACTTTAAGATGCTTCTTAAAAGTACACGTTTCCCTCGCAACGGGGTGGTGTCATGAGGCTCTTGGAAGGAATAGCATCGGTTCAGCTTCAAAACACGTCATCACGTTGCGACCTTGGCTTCTGAGTTAGAATAAACGGGTGACCTACTATAATTCTCTAATCCAGCGTGCTATGTTTCTCTGCCGTTCGTGACTATCAATATTTCACGGCGAGCAGTCACCATTCCATTATCCATATTTCTACCAGCAAATTGGAACACATCATGATGTCATACCAATCGATTGGCACGCCGCCTTGATGACTTATCGAAGTTCACGTAACTCACTCTTTGAACGACGGCATTGTAGCTGGTTATGGCCCATAGCAAAGGTAATACGAACTGGGTAGGAAGTAGTTTGTATTGCCTCAAGTGAACGAGGAAGAAAACAACTCTGTCAACTAAGTGAAAGGCAGGGACATATGATAATGTAAGTGGCAGACGGCTTCGTCTTTTGATGCTTGGTACAGATGTTGACCTCGTTCTCGGTGGTCTGCAGGGCACCGACGCTGTTCTCGCCTGGACGGGTTTCGCGTTTCCAATCCATGATATCACCGAGATTTTGATGGCTTTGCTGCCGTGTAAATAATTCCTCAAGAAGCAATCTTGCGGATCTTGCGTGGTGACTTGTCTTCGTTACCGATTTAGATCTGTTCTTGTGAGCAAGCACTCAGGGTATGTGAGATAAGGTTGCCTGGTTCTTTGTGGAACTTCCATCATATTCTGGACAATGCAGTCTCATAGCGATTTTGTTTCATCTGCAGACTGCTCTTGAGAGGGATTGAAGTTGAAATCCTGGGTGGACTGTGTACAACCAACCTTTCGGAGTGGGTATACGGCCTGGGCTATGAGGGCACTTGGCCGCAAAGATGATGTATGAGGACAAATGACAGGAGTTGATTGATACTTACTGTCGCATATACGTTGGTCAGGTCCATCATAGATGTCACCGATAGTAATGCTATTAGAGTGACGGTTGACTTCCGCATGCTGGTCCCGCCTGTCTTTATCATCAGGGATGTGAGTCACCAATAATGCTGTTACAGGCTAGTACCCAAAGGACACCTCCCGGGTTCTGAAAGTGCTAATTGATTGAAACCAAGTTACAAGTTGAGGACTTGTACTTACGTACCTTTTGGTGAATGACTTTGGGTTGGGCAGTATGGCCCAGTTGGGTATGTGTGTTGGTTGCCACTGTTGTACGCATATACTGGTCAGTCCTTCACAAATGCTGGCTTCCAGGTCATGGGTAACACTCTAGAAATCACAAATGTTCTTATTGTAGCCAATTTTGTGTCGTTTGGCCTAAGCTGTTTTCCAGGGCGACGTTTCTTGCGGTCTGGATGGAGACGGGAGAAATTCTTCAGTTGTCCTTACCGAATAGTTGCTGCTGGCCGGGTTTTTGACACTGGTGAGATGTAAGGTACTAGAGGGGCCAATTCTTTCGCTTTGATACGACTTGAATTGTTCTTTCTACAGCCATCTACATACGAGGAACATCAAGGCAAAATAAAAATAGAAGGCCGAGTACGGTCGATGTTGAAGGCACACCAGATTTCGTCAACGAATCGCAGGAAATTTCACCACCAACAACTTTTGAATCAGTCTGCCGGTCATCTGCCATCGGGAACAAAACACACATGGAGGGATGGGGAGTGTCTCTCGCAAATCTCTCCGACCCTGCTGACCCCCCAGCTCCCGGAAGTGGCCCAGAGAAGCCCTCCATTGGAACTGTTAGAGACCAAACGAGTGTGGATGGCTCAAGCAGTGTGTCTTTCAGAACCTTGAGGGCATTTTTGGGCTTCGTTCTCCCACCCGCCAGGGGCGTGGTAAGAGTCATATTTGAGGCCAACGGTCAAATGCGAACCAAAACATACATCAGCCTTACGCAGCTCCCGGAATGGCAAGATCGAATGTGACCTATTTCGAAGGACATGTTGAGGGACCGAGTGGCTTGACCATACCTGAAAAAATACTCCATGTACTCTTGTTAGAGTTTAGATTCGCTATGGTATGTCTCGAATACACGGTGCTGCCTCCATGTCCCCGGCTTTCCAGGTATTCTTCCACACAGACAGTGTGTGCAAAACTTGCCTCTCTTTCCTCTGCCATCTCCGATGGATCCTGTCAGATCCATTCTCATGCTGTGATGTGCAACTTGGCCCCAAGGCATGGTGCGAAGATACTACTCCCTTGCACGATAGAAAATCGTCTAAGAGAAAACATGTAGTCGCAATAAACAAGACCGGTACCGTTTTGCCGGGATGGCAGTGGGTGGAATTCTGCATCGGGGCGGGTTCGACACGGCACAGGATAAAAGCCATTGGCCAGCCGGGTTAACGGCTGCCCTGTCCTTAGACGCTCGTGGGGCGGATCTTCAGGCACATTGTACTCAATCGAAACTTTTATTTTTTTTGCTGCCCCTGGCGACGCCCGACTGCCTTTCGTTTACTTGCTCTCCAGTCACTTACACGGTCGAAAACGCTCGATTTTCTCACAATTATCAAACATAACCAACGCAGAGATAGGCAATTGAAGGCAAATTGATCCACAGGGTGACTCGGGATGTGCGAATCAAAATATTCTCTCCAAGTGACGTTGTTCGAGATTATATGGCACACTGTGTGAAGACATACAGGTAGCCTGCTCTTGAACGTCCGGTACCGTAGTTCTCCAAAGCTTCTTCGTACCGGATCAAATCAGACAATATTTCGGCAGCAGACCTCTGCACATTCATTTGCGTCTCTAGTAAATTGACCTCTTGGTCTGTGGGTGTGGCAATTCATAGTGGCCGCAACTTATTCTTGGAACGACGAAGATGACGGCCTTCGATGGCCCAGAGAGGTGTAACCAGTTGGGACACTTGTTGCCTCGATTATCTCCCACACTTGTAGAATTTCAAGTGGTTGTCCTTCAATGGGCACTAACACAACGAGTAGAGCGACAACAAAGCTCGTTCAAGTTGACTGAACCAAGATACTTCTGGTCCTGTTGCATTTTGGAACTCCACGCAAGTCATCGCAGCATCAATAGTAGATATTCAAAGTCCGCTGAAGGTGTATACGCCTCCCTAGTCCCATGAGATACCTACTCAAGCCTCCACTCCAAACCAGAAACTCCGAACCGGAAATATCCTTACTGATCCAGAATCCCCGGAACTCTTCCTCACAATCCACAACCACCCAAATGGCTATTCCATGCCCATTACCTCTTTGTGTCCATCCAATTTGACTTTGGACCGTATACCTCTATACCCGTACACGAAGCCCCCTACACCATTGTTCGAGACATGAAGCTCCCAAAGTAGGCCTCCCGGAAGGCCAAATCATCGGGAACCCCTATGGCCATTTCCTCTGCTTCTTATCCTATAAGGTGCCGAGTTTTCGTCTTCCTTCTCATCCTCTCTACTTCGATCCCACTGCGTTATACCTCAAATAGGACATCAATTCTTCAAAGAACGACTTCACTCTACTTTGATTCCACTAAACTATATCTTGAGTACGGCATCAACCATCCAAAGCACCCTCAATAGAGGAAATGGCTGCGAACATGAATCCCAACAACATGGATGCGTTCGAAGAAAACATGAACATGTTGGACGGCAACGTTAATACGGCTGATAACAACATGAACACGTTCGAGCAAAACATGAATATGTTCTTTGCAAACAACCCTGACACATCCGACTTCGAGGCCATGATGACTGATTGGAACAACAACAACATGGTCACTTATGACCCTTCTTCTAACTCGCATCCTCCCCCTGCTCCCAATTACAACCTGATGTTCCCACAGGTTACAGGGCAGGGACAAGAGATGGACGTCGAAATGGCTCCTGTTGATAATACCAACTTCGTCCAGGAAGGTCTCAACCAAGGTCTCTTTCATTCAAACCAGCAGGTCTATGGGCCTCAAGACAACGTCGCCCCAATGCTTATCCCTTCTCTCTCTGGACGTATTCCTTCAGAGCAGGACGGACACGTCCTAGAGGCTCCGCATCAGCAACCAGAGCTGGCTGAGCAGCCGATGTACATCAATCCAGCTGAGCTTATAGCCCAGCTCCCTGCTATTGCTGCAGGAGAGAGCCCTCTCGCCAAAAAGATCCTTAACCCCAAAATGCAGGGGGCCAAGGTAGAAAAGAAAGGCAAGCCTAAAGGCAAGGGCGGTCGTAAACCAAAGGAGGCCACGCCAGACAAAGTCGCGCGTGAAGTACGGGCCTTCGCCTGCCAAGCGTGCCGTCGTAAGAAGACAAAGTGCGACGGACACGTCGGCCAGCCCTGCACCGCCTGCCTGAAGGCCAAAAAGCCCTGCGTGGTGGACGGAAAGGACCGCCGCACCAACAACACCAACAAGGACAAGTGCGAAAAGGTCCGCCAGGAGCTCAACGACCATCTCGTCAAGGCTGCCTTGGTCTGCCGCAGCTTGAGCGAGCAGATGACCTACCCCGAAAAACGCGGTACAACCCTCGTCGCCGGAGCCGACTGCGCCCTCAAGATCTTGAGCAGCGAGGGATTCATGCCCAAGCCTTGGCAAGTTGGTCCCATTTTGCGGCCGACCATCTTGGACGACATGACCTACCAGCTCGCGGATTACCGCAAGGCCTTCCAGAACTACTGCAATGAGGCCAAGACCTTAACCAGTGTCATCGGAAAGCTCATGATCATGCTCACGCATCATGACAGAGCCATCAGGGACTTCGGCAGGCACTTTGCCAACCTACTCGTCTACCAAAACGAGACGCTGGCTGGCCCCACTGGAATCGAGAGCAAAATCGACAGCGTGTTGCCAGCCTGCGATGATCACTTCATCCTCACCAGTATGAACGAGGAGATCAACAAGCTCGTTGCCAGCAAGCAGGGCATCTAAGCGAGGGATATGAGTGAGAACTGGGGCGCTAGGGAGTTGGGGAGGAAAGCTCGAGTTTGAGACTATGCCTTTCTGTGATTCTCTGGTATCGGGGGGTTTTATGAAAGAGGGAAGGAGTGTGGGCAATATACCCGGTGCAATACGACACCATGACTTCGAAATCATTGTTTGGAGTTTGGGTTCTCACTACGCTTTCTGCGTTTTTGGTTTGGGTTCTGATCCAGTTGGATTGTTCAATTACAAAATGAAACACATTGAACTCGTTCCCCCAATATTGTCTGTCTTCTTTTCAGGATTTGATGCAGTGTCATGACCGACCTCGAGCCTTTCGGTTGTAGTGATCTTTTTTCGATGTTTTTCCCGCTCAGTCGCCCACTTGGCAAAGCATCGTCACCAGGGATTCGATACCGAAGACGAGGCTTCGCTTACACCATTTGGAATCATAGGCGAGCGTGCCTATGCTCCGAAGACTCCAGCGCGGCCAAGCCACTCGGCATGACGCTGGTGAAGGTGCTCGAATGACAAATCAAATGTCGAGGGGGTCCGTTCTTAGGTAGTGACAGAAGATGATGAAAAACACAAAGATGGAAAAAAAAAAGGGGAAGGAGCCAATGCCGTAGACATAAGAGAAGTGAGGCCGCATACTCCGGTAGCTCCAAGTGAAGGGAGAATTGAAATGGCTCAACGTGCCTACATCTCCATTCTCAATGCAAGCCATGAAACAGACTTACGGAGTTATGTGCTCAGCGTAGGGGGCAAGAGAGCGGGACCGTTTCCACAATGGCTGGCGGTGCTATCAACAGAGTCGTCGTAGAGTTGGAAGAAGTAGATGAATGATTGAAACAACACCAGAGGCTTGGTCTATGTATATATGGAACCATCATCAGTACATGCGAACTCATCGTAGATCATGTCATTCATGACCCAGAACTCACCTTGCTTCACCAAAGTCAGTGTCTATCAACCGTCTCCATCATCCATCAAAAATCCATTAAACCGAATTTGCTAGACCAAAATCTTTGCCTCGCTCTTCGGCCCTCTCTCCCCGAAAATCGTGCTTCCCACCCTGACCTCCCCGCTCCCCAGCTTCACTGCACCCTCAAAGTCTTCGCTCATACCCATGCTCAGCTCCAGCTCCCTCTGCAGCCCCAGTTCCTTGACAACCAAATCCCGCTGCTCCTTGAGGCACACAAAGTCCTCGTTCTCGTTCTCGGGTGTCGTGGCCTTGCTCCGCGCGATGGCGCCAATGGTCATCAGCCCCAGGAGCTTCAGCGCGGGGGACTCCTCCTCGACGGCGCGGCAGAGCGCGACCGTCTCTGGGCCCGGCTCGGCGCCTGACTTTGACTCCTCGCCCGAGGTGTTGACCTGCACGTGCACACCCAGCGGCTCCACGGGGCTGCTATCACCCGCCGAGGAGGAGATGAGTTCCGCGCGCGAGGCGTTGAGGAGCTGTACCTTTTTCAGGGTGTCTACGCTGGAGACGCAGAAGAGGTTTGGAATCTTGGCCAGCTTCTTTGCGTGTGCTGTCGGAAGTATGTTAGTTGTCTTAGTGTATGCCTACGTAGAGGCACTAGCCAACTTCCTCGCCAGGAATAGTTGCTACGTGTGGAACTAAGTGGAGGAATAGAAGAAGCGGACACCGAATCTTTGAGGAAACACTTACTTGATTGCAAACCGCCGATAAAGTGCCACTGAATGCTCTTAGGCAGAATCTCCGCCTTTTGACCCAGCTCCTGCGCGTAGTTTTCGCCGAAATGCACCTGCGGTGGCGTAGCCTGCTGGTGCAGCGCCAGGATGTCGTTGGCGGGCTTCAGCTTCGAGACTGCCACCAACCGGACCTTCCATCATTTCATCAGCTTCTATCTTATACAAAATCCTCTTCTCAACTATCCACGAAAGTACTGGAACGCCCGCGGTCGTTCTTGCACGGCTTTTCGGGGAAATATTAACAGGGACGGACGACTCACATTGCGCCCCGCAGCGACGGCGGTGACGCGTTCCTGGACGGACTGCAGCTGCGAGACGAGAGCCTTTGCTCTCGAGGGATCGATCTTCATTTCGGGTTGGGCGTCGGTCATTGCAGGGTTTACCGGAGTTGTGGCAGTGAAGAGTGAGGGTTGAGAGAGGTGAGTGAGTAACACGATGTACGCTTTTTTTGTGCTGTGAAAGTTGAGGTGAGGTCGAATTGCAGAGTCATGGACTTCCAGCGTATTCGGAGGCGGGCTACAGTTGCGCTAACAAATATGGGTCTGGTCAGAGGCGAAACAGAGTGCAGATGAGTGGAGATAGAGTTAGAAGCTGGTTTTCTGGTTTAGACTCACTCAACTTTCAGATCATCCTTCATGATTTCGTCTTCTTTACTTGGAAATACTATTTCTACCGCCAGTAATATTCTGAGGAATGATTTCTTTAATATTTCTCTGCACTTTCTGAAATGTTTCAGTTACTCGGGCTCCCTCGGTTGGAGTAGAGTCTGGACCAAGGGGCCGCGATGTGCAACTCTCAAGATATATGTACTAGCAGTGGAATTGGTAGGCAGGGCGGTTGAGTCAACTGTACTTTTGGGCCCCTCACAAAAGACGGATACCTCAATGAAAATGAATAGCGTCTATAGTCTTTTATCGGGTGTGCCTCATGATCGTTCCAGCAGCTCGGGCATGTTTACACGCGAAACAAGAGTATATCTAGCGTATCCTGAACGCGCTGACTCGAAACCAGGATATGCGCACGTTGGGATCCACGGTCAGAAGTGGTGTAAACACCGATAATTACTACATCATTTTGCTTTGAGGTATTCACATCAACGACGAGTCTCTCTTGAGATGCTACTTGCCCCCGGATCCACGTGGCTCCTCTCGCGAAAAATCGTGCTGCTGAAGCCCCTTGGAGATGAAGTTTCGGGTTTCGACTATCACACAAAGCATTCCCATGTTACTCCTCATTCAATCAGTATCTTTGGGATCCCGCGAGTTCTGGCGGGTAGTTTGGGTTCGTCGACGGCACCTCCTGAGGCTCTTGGGCACCAGACAGCTCCATCATTGGACTCTGATTTTCGTTCACCGGCAACGGGTACGATGGCGGAGGAGTCTGCCGTCTACTAACTGGACTGACGTTATTGGTATGGTGTGACAGTTGATTCCCACGAGCCGGCGGCACCACAAACATGTGGTCGCCGGACGAGTTGGGGCTGGTGTATGCCGAATCGTGGCGCATTCCCTGATGCACAACGGGATGAAGCGTCGGCGTGGGATGGCGAGTCTAATTGTTCGTGTTGAATGCCGGCCGGGCGCGCTTTCGAAGGACCCAGAAACATAGAGCAGCCGCTCCTAGTGCCACGGCCGCTGCGCACCCTACGGCAACTCCAGCCACGGCGCTGGTCGAGAGGTTAGACGAGCCCGCCGACCCGGACGTCGCGTTTGCTTTGATGACGAATCCGCGGCTTTGCAGCCCATGACCGATGAAACCCGCAGGCGAATTGGCCTGGGTGTAATTCCCGGTTGGGTCGACGATCCTGAGGGCGAAGTTCGGGTTTGGGGTTGAAGTCTCTTACGTGACGCCGTCATTCCCTCCGATATACCACGTGTGGTACCCATTATTTCTATCATTGGCTTGGGAGACACGTCAGTAGGCGGGGCCATGGTGCAGCATCTCGGAATCCGCATATACTTATTCATGAAAGACGCCACAGCGACGCCGGCATCCTGTCCCCACTGCACCAGGCTCAGAGAGATATATGGTACGGTCGGGTCTTCCCATGTGATCTGAACCTTTTGGCCCAGTACACACGTCCTGTTGAGGTCCGGAACAGTCACATGGGCACCGCTTCAGTCGAGCTCAAAGCTTGGTGGTTCGGTGAAGTAGTCAGCTCGTACGGTGAGTATTGGGAAAGATGGTAGTCCCAAAAGCGCTTGGCTGAGCCAAAGTTGACGTAGATAAAACATAATGAGGGGCCGCGATAACGGGGAGAGCAACGAACGACACTTGTCGAAGGGAGCACACGCCTCATGAAATGAAATTCGGCCAACGATTGCAGTGCCGTTTGTATTGGGGACTTTGGGGCTTCGCAAATCATCTCGAGACTGCCTGGACTAGGCCTAATTAAGGTATCATTCCTGGAATGTATGCTCTAGAACAAGGGTGCTGGAGAGTACGATGTAATGAAGCCCAACGCTTGCTAGGCTAACTGAGTGGTTGAAGGACGCGATGCGGGATGAGAATAGGCACCCTGTGCCGCTGGGCTACAGTAATACGAGTGCGCCGCCAAGAGCTTCTTCCAGTCGAGGCACGAAGAGTCCGTACACGGTTCGCACAATTTTGAGTCACCCAAGGAAGACTGTAGTATCCACTTGAAAAGAAACCCGTTTTCAAAGGAATGACAGCCTTGAAATCAAGTAGTTGGAACATCGCGATGGCCTGAATAAGGTGTTGGAGGCAGATGGACGAATTGAGAAGCTCAAGGGAGGTAAGGTAGGTACTTCGCACTTTGGCCCCGCCACAAGCTCCAGCCACGAACGCTAAGGCACCTCACCTTATCAGCTACCAGCGCCTCATCTTATCGGCCCCATTAGGATCCCTGCTTCTCGCAAAGTTAAGGTAAGTACATAGTAAGGTAGGTACGCGTTTAGAATTTCCAGGGGGATCGGAGGGTGGGATGACGGATGTCATTTTGCACAGCATGTTGGTTGGCTGACGCCTGCCATGCTGCTCCTGCTACCTTCCCCCTTGCTGTACCTCATGCCGTGTGCCGACCGTATCGACCGTGTCTTCGTCAGCTCCCAGTCCCAAGAGAGATTGAGAGAGAAAAAAGGGATGGAGGATCATTGAGTCGACGACGAACCTCCAACCACGATCGTCGCGTGCCTTCACCTTCGCCTCTCACCCGGGCGGCTCCCTGGCCTTTTTTGACAGCTTAACTTTTCTGCTTTCGCTTAGGGCCAATTTCCCTTCTCCAATCGCATTTTCGGCTGTCTTTCCCTATCACAGCTTCAATTTGACTTCTTTCCCTCATTTATCCAGCCAGGTGTCTGCTCATCGGCTTGGCTTGGTCTTGGAGCTTCCTGTCCACATGCCCTACCCTTGAGCTCGACCACCGCGAATCGACTCGACTCGATCGACCCACGATAGCCTCAATCGATCTATCCCACTCGGCCAACAACCCCTCCAAGGCTCCGAATCCCCGAAATCGTCTTGTCGGCCACGCCTCGCTTGCCCATCATGCCGAAGCAACAAATGATATTCGGGCGCCCGCTCCCCCGCTTCGGAACGAGACGCATCTCCTTCCTCCTCGTCAGCATCTCCATCTTCGCCGTCTTCTCTCTCATCTTCACACTCCCGACCGGCATCCCTGCCGGCCCTAGCCTATCAAAATACACCGACCACAAGTTCTCGATCCCCTCGGCCTTGAAGAACCCCTTCGGCGCCTCGAGCCGACTGAACCCCTTCAAGTCCCCCTCACATCCGCCCCCGCGTCAACAGAATGACACGTACGGCGAGTCCTCCTGGTGGGCCGATTGGAAGTGGCTGTCGGTGCCCTTCTCTTCCTCATTGACCCTCGACGAGGAGCGCTCCCTGCTGCCACCCCTCAAGCCTCGCCCGGCCATCTATTGCTACTACGACACCACGATCAAAAAGGACGCCGCCAGCAAGGATGCCGAGAGCGAGCTGCTTCTCCTCTGGCGCCGCGCATGGTGGGCTCGCGGCTTCAAGCCCATCATCCTTAGCGCCGCTGAGGCCATGAAGAACCCGCTCTACGATGAGCTCCAGCGCAAGGAGATGGACGCGGACCTGAAAACCGACCTGATGCGCTGGCTGGCCTGGGATAACATGCGAGGTGGCCTGCTCGCCTACCACACCACTCTCCCCATGGGCTCCCACGAGGACCCCCTTCTCTCCTACCTTCGCCGTGGCGAGTACCCAGAGCTCACTCGCTGGAACAATTTGGATAACGGTCTGTTCGCTGGCGGCGAGAAGGAGGTGACCAACGCCATCAAGGCCACCATGGCCGGCTCCAAGCTCAAGGAGGCCAAGGACTTCGTCACTGCAGCCACCGAGGATACATTCAAGATTGACAGCTACCCAAAGGCCATCGCCTACTACGACGTGAAAGTCATCCAAGACAAGTACCCCAAGGTCGGTGAGGCCATCGCCGCTGACCGCGCCGGCGGCCTTAAGGCCCTCAAGAACCTCATCAACGGCCACCTGCACACGATCTGGCAAAACGTCTTCTCGGACGGCATCGCTGTTCTCAAGCCCCTGCCCCAGCACATGACGCACATGATCAAGAATGCCTGGGACCTCGCCGGCGACCTCTCCATGTGCCCCGACTCCCCCATGCCCTCCTCCTGCCCGCCCAACAACCCCAAGTGCAAGCCCTGCGTTCCCGCGCAACTTATGCATGTCTCGACGCCGCCGCGCTACCGTAATACCTCAACCCTGTACACCATCGGCACTGTGCCGCACCCATACACCACCGCCCTCCTCTCTAACCTCCAGGACTCGATTGAAATCCCCTGGCTCCGCCGCAAATCTGAGCGTGACGCCTGGCTCACCGCCGTAACCACCGAGCTCCTCGGCGTCGGCATCGGCAGCGCCCCGCGCGTCCTCAAATTCAAGGAGGCCGTCGCCGGCGAGTTTGCGACCGCCCACTCCCTCTGGCTCACCGCCGAAAAGGAGCTCCCCAAGGACCTAGACTGGCACTTCGGCTTTGCCATCCCCCACAATGCCACTGACGGCACCTCGCAGACCCCCGTGCCCGGCCCGGAGCGCCGCCCGCAGCCCAAGCACGATCCCGCCGACGGACCAATCCCTACCACCGAAGAGCTCGAGAAGGAGGCCCCTCTGCTCAAGAGGGCCCGCGACATGGGCAAGACTAAGGACGCAGGCGAGCTCGCCGTTCGCGGGGCCGTCGAAGCGTGGAATCTGGCCGACACCGAGTCGTGGAAGTTTGCGCGGGCCTTCCTGGCCCGCCGCATCGTCGAGCGCAAGGAGTGGGAGGACAACGAGAGCCAGTACGTCGGCGGCGTCGGTACCGAGATGGGACGCCGTACGAGTTGGGGCGGCCGCTGGTTGGACAAGGAAAAAAAGGATTAAGCAAGTGACTTTAATAGAAACTAAGGGGGGGAACGGAAACACAAAACAAAAGTGGTGTTTCTGGACGAAGGAACTACTACTCGGAGTAGTGTGGTATAGACGTCGTAGGAATCGGCGTGTGACGTGTGACACTATGTATGACTGTATCGTTGTGTACTTTTTTTTTTCACCGGCTGTACGGGTTTGGTATGGACATCTGGAGTTTTGTGTTCTTCAAGAGATTATGATCGTTCCCGTGTAGAGTCCAGAATCAAAGCAATTTTCACAAAGCCGTAAAACAGAGAGAAGACATCTCCTTCGACATAGTCGTGACACTTGCGGTGATACAGATGCGGTGATACAGATGCTATGGGAGCGGTGGTTTATCATAGCTACGTTATTCTACCACGTCCTCTATCATGATCCTCGTACTTCTTTTTCTGTCCCCTTTCTATTTTCTACGGTGCTCAACTCAGCCATCTCCTCTCGTCCTCCGGTTTCAATCGAACCTTGTAGTTGCAGTTAGAAGAAAAGCGAGATGTTGAATATCGCGTAGGAAAAAGTAGGAGAAACAACCCAAAAAAAAACGCATAAAAGAGAGTACGAAGAAGACAAGTTGAGTTGCCCCTCCCACACGTTGCGGGCCAAGACCAGAGCAGCCGCCTCCCATCACCGACTTATTTCAGACAGGCATGGATGGGTGGATGCAAAGGAGACAAAAGGGCCCGATCCCTCAAGCGGCGCGCGTGTCGCCGCCCATCTCGCCTCCCAACTCCCTGGCACTGGCGCCATTGCGACCGGCCTTTGTGCCGTTGACGCCGTTCTTGGCCGTCTGCTGATGCTGATGCTGCTGCTGCTGTTGCTGGGCTCCGTTGCCAGTGGCCTCGGTGTAGCTCCTCAGGGCGGAGCGAGCAGCCTCGACGACGCGCTCGGCGGCCTTGAGGGCATCTCTCAGCGCCTGGGCCGTGGGGTCGTCATTCTCAGAGCGAGCCCCCGAGTCGCGCTCCTCCAGGAGCTCGCGGATGTGGCCGTTGAGCCAGAGGCCCTCGAGCTGAGCGCGGGACATGTCGCGTGCGCCGCCGATCTTGCCGCGGCACGAGGAGGTGCCGCAGAAGCAGTCAAAGGGTTGGGCCATGTGCCATTCCGTGGAGGGGTAAAAGAACTGTTTGCAAAAAAATACGTCATCAGTGTGCCTTCTCATCTTCTTCCCATCTTCTTCCAGGGGAAATACAAGGGCATTACTCGTTGCCCCAGTTGCCCCGGGTTCAATGGGAACAATGTGGCAACTCACAGTCAGTTCGTCGCCAGGCTGAAGTCCTTTCGGCCCAGCCAGGACATTAAAGTTGCCCGTGTCAAAAATCTATAAATAGCACCTGTCAATCCCACGTGTCCCAGGATGTCCCGGTCCCCGACCCGGGGGTAGGTAGGTTCTGGGGGAGTGAGCGTTTGTGCTTTTAGCGGCAGGACTGACAAGAGACGGTTCGCATGAGTGATTGATGTACAGCAGGTCACTGTTGAGGTTCAGGTGTTTGGCCTTGCCGCACTGGACGGTGGCATATGTAGGCTCGTCGGCCAGGTCGCATGGCGGGAAGGCCATTTTTGCGTAAACGGCAAAGGGCGGAAGAGAGACCTTGGAGAAGCTCTTGGTGAGGAACTCGGTCTCGCTCGCCTTGACGACATCCTGGACATCCGGGTGGGACGGCTGGGTCCAATGGGGCGTGAGTGGTGCCATTGTGAGAATTCGGGTCGAGGCTGGTGATGTCGCGGGTGTACTCGTCGTCGTCGTCTCGTCTAGCTATCGGACAGAGTGCGGTTGAACTCGTTCCTTTACATTGGGTCAGCTTGCTGTCACATGTTGAAAGCCGGAGGAGTTGGACCAACGTGGTGTGTAGGGTCCGAATTGTGGAAATAGAACAGGAAATGAAGAAGGGTTGTTGCTTAGAGTTGACGTTTAGTATTACAAGCCAAAAGAAAGGTTCGGTGTTTGGGAGGTATGGTTCACACCAGCTGTTGATGAAAGTCGAGTTTCAGGTGGCGAGGAGGTTGGAGAGGATTAAGACCAGAGTTCAGGCCGAAGTGACCATATGGAATACCCTCACCTCTTGTACGAGAGGAGGGGTAAACCATCTGACATCAACATGTGCCGAGCTGTTCCACGCATGTCCTAGGTTGTCCAAGATTGTCCAAGGTTTCACGGGCAGTTGTCTGGCCGCCGCAGCCAGTCAGGGGCGCTCAATTGTCTCTGGATCGCTCAAATTGTCGCCCACCTCACATGTGTTTCCTTTGGTGCATTCCAATTGCGGGGGACCGTCGTTCCGCAGCGCTTCTGCAAGCAAAGATTGCGGGGCAATGGATGGATGATGTGAGAAGCCAATTCAGCAAGTGCATTTTTCATAGGTAACACTTGTGAAATCCCGTCCAGACACTGCAGGCCGTCCCCCGCGCCCGTCCGGTTGTTGCGGTAAAAGAGAGGCTTTCCCACCGCCTGGCCAATGGCTGGAGGCCCGGCGACGAATCCGGTCAAAGACGGGCCCCTCCTGAGCCCCTGACGGTGCAGGACGAGAACGAAATACATGGCTCGGCTAGTCCGTGGCTAGTCTAGCTGCAAGTCATGATACAGGGGCGGTACGAAGTGGCTTGGTGGTTTGGGGGTTCATCGTTCGTCTATCCCCTTCTCAACTCTGCATGGCAAGGTTGAGGGTGTCCCGAGTACCCCTCATTTGTGCGACTCTGCCCCTCTTTTGGCAAACAGTCGACGACTTTTTTGGTGTGGAACAAGTCCAAGCATTAAACACCTTTGAAAGGGTTCCAGTGTGGGGGTTTGGGGGCTTTTTCGTCCCGGTTTGCCACAGCCGGCCCAGCCCCTTTTGTTCTCCTCCTTGTTCCTCGGTGCTTTCGCCCGATGACCGAGGCTGAGCGTAGGCATCGCTGCCGGATGAGTCGGGGTGTGTACAATGCGGCGTTCCTTTCGCCGTACAACCAGAAAGCAGCACTGGTTCATGTCTGTTCCCGCAACATATGCTGTCCTCAAAATGTCTTAGGAACGCCGGACCGAGTCGCGCTGAGAGTCGGCTCCAACATCTTTGTTGGCAAGGCTGGTAACGAGCTGGGTTTTATTTGACGTTGTCTGATCGTTGATGTCACTCCCGCATGTCCGTTTGTTTAGTTTAGTTTCTCAGTCTTGGCGATTTCTGGTCTCCCATCCACAAGGTGGGCTGGAATCCTCAAGTGTCCATTGTCATCTGGTCGATGGTCGTGTCAGTCGGAAAGTTGGGTTTGGGGTTGGGGAGAGAGTGGGGGGCGGCATTTCGGCGATGGAGGGAGCTCAGCTGCTTATTAAGGTCTTGGCCTAAACCACGGTGGCTTTCTCGATTCTGGTCCCGACGCCGCGATCTTCCTCGACTTCTCGGGTGATGGTGGCAAGAACATTTATTCAGAAGCTCTTCGGCTGCGACTTTGTGGACGATCTCCTTGAACAACAAGAGGCACATCTCAGGGGTTCAACGCCAAACACATGGGATCGTCGCAAAGATCCGCCGCTCGGGCCGTCCTGACATCCCGCGCTCGCATGCTTCCACAGCACGGCCACTCGATGTTGATCAACCACAATCATCAGACTGCTGCTCGTTTCTCTTCAAATTGGCTGATATCATGCGGAAAAGGAGCTCCCTTTGCGCCACAAGGTAGATGTTGTGATCGGACTAGAGGCTGCAATCGGAAATTGCACATTCCTGAAAATGCACAGTGATGGAGGCGAGACGTGACAGCCATGTTCGGGAGGCCTGGGACGCACACGGGCGGCCTGTGGCCGGGTCCAGCTACCGGAACGGGGCCGTGGGTTGTGGCTCTCGGACCAACTTCCGGATGCAAGACCCGCCGCATCGGTTCAAGTCCTTACTGCAACAAGGAACATGCGATACTCCACCCATCGCTTTGCTCAACACAATCCCAGACGAGTCTCGAACAAAGGGTGGCCCCGATTCTAATTTTCCTCCCAAGGACCTTAAGCTGAGTGAGCCCACGTCTTTCCGTTGAGGCCGTTGTCATCCTTTCCACGGGCCGCTCAGTCCCAGCTAGGATCCCTGTCGCCATTTTCACGACCCTGTCGTTTCAGGACGCAAAAGCTTGGTGACAAGCTCCAGTCGAGGGGTAGCAATGGCGATCAAGAACGTTCTGCGTTGCGGGAAACAACCTGCCAAAGCCGTACCATCCTGACCAATTTCCGGAACTGCCCTCCGTTCTTGGAGACCTTCCCTGTCGAAGCCCAATGTGCGAGAACCCCGCACAAGTCGATCTGCCGCCCACCGAACGAACCCAGCCAACCTTGACAGCTAGGCCGGGACGTATGGCCTCGATGCCTTTATTCAGCGGGAATTTGCCAACGGTCTGTAGCAGGTGCTTTTTGCTGGCGATAAGAGGACCACGGAGAGAGCGCGTACGCAGCCTCATTATGCGGCAACACTCACGCCGACATGCCACCTGGACTGTCCTCCACGTCGTGTGTTCCGTCGTCTTCCAATGTTTGGTCTCGTGTTTTGTCATCGTCGTCAGCTGGACGGACCAGACAGGGTTTATATCCCTGCACCTACCCATGGTTTTCCGTGATATTTCCCTTGTATATCATAAAAAGAAAGTGTGACAGAGGAGAGCCTGTGCACCGTCGGTAGACTTCAGGACGGGCCTGTCATACCGGCAGAATGCTGAGGGGCTTCCCAAGAGGCGCCCGTTGCCGCCGCCCGTCACTACGTGTCTGCTCGTTCTTCCTCCCCGTTGATCAAACTATCCAGGGGGTTTTATTGCTGAGAGCCACGTGCTCCTCTCTCGGCAAACACTCCTATAGAAAAACCAAGAGAAGGTACTCTTTTTTCCCCTGTCTTTGAGTCACCTGGGACGTCCTCGAAGGACCTTGTGTGCTCCGCACCCGATCCCTTCCGCCGCTCGAGCGTCTTGGGTTCATGAGGGTGGGGCGGGGTGGTATAGCAAGGCGAGGCAGGCCCCAGAGGAAGCTTTTAAAAAGATGTAAATTGTCGGCCGTCCGTCCATTTTCTCGAGTGCTTTCGAATCTGTCTCTCTGATTGTCCAGACCTTTTCTCTCTGAATTTTCGACAATCCATTTCCAGCTCTCGCTTTGGTTTATCTCATTTGGTCAGCCGCATTCGATTCAACAAACGTTAGCAGTCTGATTACAGAACATTTCGAACGGGAAACCTCAGTGAGGAGACATTACCGGCGTATTCAACGAATCGAAAATTAGGATGCAATCAACTTGGAGGTTTTCTCTTGTGGAAGAGAACAACAAGCCGCACCCCAAGCCTCAACCTGACCCTCCGGTGCCTGTCCCCGATAACCCAGATGACCGGCGACGATCCTGAATCTGGAACGACATCCAAAGTTTGGATATCCAGGAAGCACGTTCAGGTGCCTTTGGCCATCTGAGACCCAGCTTGTATCTCAGTATTCTGGTAGACGACAGCAGCTGGTTGGTCGACGAGGAGTATGAGCAGCAATGCATGGATAGGAACCAAAAGGGCTCTGATCGGGGCCTTCATGACTCCGCGCTTCATACAGTCTCCCAAATTTGTATTGGAGTTCCAGGTCGAGAAACAACCGGTCCGCAAGGTTTTCTCTCCTTCGCAGAGAGGTCATTGGATGCTTGACATGCTGCGTTCGCATCAGCAGCTTTGCCGGCAAGCATCAAGCTCTTTACAGCACCCCAAAAAGCTCTTTTCGGATGCCTCAGAAGGGAAAATCTGTCAACAGACCTATAGAATGTCAGCGAAAGTTTTTCGCATTTGAATCGTTTCCTGGGATTGGAGATTTGGCAGGACTGGGCTTTGGAAATGCCAAAGCTTGGCTTCTTCTGCCACGCTGAGAAGACTGGCCAATGTTGGAAAGCGTCAATAGCAGAGATTGTGAATCTGGACAACAGTTTCTTTTGCGCAGGATTTACAAGGGAAAGATGTTTGGGGCTAATGGATCAAATGATTTGGGAAGGTGGTAGAGGAGAGAAACACAAAAGGTACCTGGCCTATGCTCGCCTACAACAATGGAGATGGTCACTACTGTGGCGCAACAATGTCATCCCAAGGCAGTTACAGCTTCTTCTCCTCTGCAACTCTCTGCTCTGCATGGCAGCCAAACTCAGAGGTGTTCTTTCACTGTCAATTTATACTGCCGAAAATGTCCTTTCGTCTTTATTTGCACTCAGCGTGCCTACTATATCGCAATAAAGCAAGTCCCACTTACAAGCCCAGAAAATCCTGTAAGGCCATTTTGAGGTGAGCATGGTGAAAAAGGATCTAAACATATTATCGGGTCCTTCCGCATATATCATTTTTGATTGTCTAACAAAATGAGAAAAGTAACAAAGATATTCTTTGAGTTATAATTGCCGCCTTGATGGTGAGAAGAGAGGAGGATTCACCTTCGAGACATCGTCTGAATTTCACCGTGTCATAGGACATGCGGGCCTACATTTTCTAATTCCATGTAGAAGCTCCTACTTACAGGCTGATTCTACACTTCTAGTGGCCTCTATTGTGTTAATTTATCCCTCCCTATAGTGCTCATGTTAAAAATAGTGATGTTGTTCCTCGAAAACCTCGGCAGGCGTCATTCAGCCATGCGGAAATCAGCTCGTCGTTGAGTACAGGCGACTAAGGTAATTAATGAAGTCACAGTTCCCCATTCCAAGCAAGAGATGCGTGAGGTTTCTCAGCGCTGAATTTTGTAGTTCTCTCACTGAAAATATCATCCCCACTGGAGGTCCTTCCTCTATCTCCTTCTGGAAGGTTATGTAGTCGGTGAAGGGTCATGAGATTCTGCACCTTCCTGCACTTCACCTGCCCACCCGACAGCCTTCCTTCCTTCCTTCCCATCGGTTTTAGACCACTGCCTCGAACTTGCCCAACTACATTCCCTCCATGCCTTCTAAAAAAAATTGATTCACCAAGCCAAGGCCCTGCTTTCTATCCCGCACATCACTTTACTTCTCGTCGCTCTCCCCACAACATCACCCCGGGTCGATCCTTAATCCTCCCTCCATCATAACCCACACTTCACACACTTCAAGCCCTCCATCGCCAACCCAGCTTCACTTTGCTTTGGTGTCCGACTTTTGGAACTCTACCGATTCTTCTCCAGCGCCAACGCTTGTGCAGAATTCATTCTGCCAGTTTGGGCTTATCGAGATCGCCCGGCAAATTCTTGTATTGCATACCATCCATCCCTCACCAATCTTCACCAAATTTGCTGCCCTGCTTCTTGGCCCTGTTGACTCTGGTAAGCGTTTCCGCTCACATCTCTGTTACCGGTCCTATATCTGGACTATTTTCCTTTTACAAGTCATTCATCACCCGGAGGGGTGAGCTTGAGGCCAATTTGGACTGTCCGGTCACTGCTGGTCAAACTCCTCGAATGTTGTTCACAGTCTTCTTGAAGAACGATTGACACAACTTTTGGAGTTCTGTGTCGGTTTTTCTAGGCCGCTGCCAATAATCGAACACTTTCTCAACGATTTGACTACATCATCTGCTACGTTCAATCGGCATCCGGCTAACTCTGTGTCTACCTTATAGTGACCGACCGCACACGTTCCTAGCCCCCAATCTCCTCGATATGCTCGTTGAGATCATTCCGATGGAATCGAAACATTACAGCATCAGTCAGCTCTTGGCTATTCGTGGCACAAAGCTGCAATGCTCGCTCGAGCAGACGTTGCTTGACAATGCCCAGGAGAATCCTGTTTTGAGTACGCCGCCCCCTTTCCCAGTTTTTCACGCAATTACAGTACTGAATCAATTCTTTACAGCGGGTATCCTTCGTAACAAACAATTCATTCCCCAGCGAAGAGTCCCTCTGATCTCTCGTGCCAACATGGAAATCAGAAAGTCCTCTGGCGACTCCGAGCGTCAAGCACCGACTAAGCTTCAAGCATCTCAAGCCACTGCTCCGCTCCATGGCCACCCTGTCCGTACCCTTCGTCACGTCAAGGCAGACGTCAGTCAGCTTGATGGATATGCTGGCCGACAGCTTGATGGACAAGATGCCGAGCCCGAACTCCAGCCCGAGGCACCTGCCCAGCGACCTGTCCTCCCCGACCAGAAGCGTAAGGGTTTCGAGCAATTCTACGAAGCCGTTCGATCTCCTACCCACGTCCGCGTCACTGCAGGAGGTAGAATCGTTCCCAATACCATTGATGCCTCTCACTCTTCCCCTACCGGAAAGAGCAGCAGAGAGAGAACCGCTGGGGAGATCAATGGCGTACAGCCTTCCTTGGGACAAGCCTTCAATGGCCCGTTCATGCCAGGACCTCCGCTGATGGGCCCTGTGCATCCTTCTATGCATTCTGGATTCTCCATGATTGCACCGGGTCCAAGTCCCATGGTTCCCTATGGTGGATTCGCGATGCCTCCTTTCGGCATTGCTCAGGCCCCGGCACAAGCACAGTTTGCCCCCCTGAACAGCGGTGCGATTCCTGTCGGCAACGTGGATGACAAGAATGACCAGAATGATGGTGTCATTCCTAACAGTGGTCCTATGCCCATGCATCCATTTGGTGGACAATGGTTCCTCCCACCTCATCCAATGATGTCCATGGGCATGCAATTCCCCGGTACACCAATGATGCCCATGGCCTTCGGTCCAGTGGGCCAGCCGATGATGTATCAGCACACTCCTCAGCCCATGCCTACGGCAGGCGTCAGACCCTTCACGCCGAATGTGGCGCAAACCGAAGCTTGCCCAGTTTCATCCATTCGCCCCAGCATCATCACCAAGAACCAGCTTGCTGGCCTGCGATCCAGCCTCAAGAAAGCAGAGGCTCAGTTGGCTTACAATCGCCATCAGATCGACGAGAAGCATATGGAAGAGTACGCTCGTCAGCTTCGTTCCGACATTAAGCACTTTGAGATCAAGCTCAAGGGCGAGCTTGCACTCGAGGACAATACCCTTCCTCAGCGCAGCGATTCAAAGGAGGTGAACGAGGCCAAGACCATGAAAGAGTCAAAGCCGGCCGCCGAGTCTCGAAAGACGTTCATCTCTGTCTCGTCGGGAGATGCCGAGATCAAGAACGAGCCAGTCCATGGCGTCCATTCAAATGCAACTGAGGAGCCCAGGAACAGCCGGCATCGCAAGAGGGACAGACTCAAACTTGCTGTAAATACTTCGGCAGCATTTGCCCCTTTCATCAACTCCAACACATTCGCGACCGTTTCGCCTGTTCCATTCGACCCTGCGGGACAGCATCAAAGCAAGGAGTTCGACTCGACTCACATTCGCAAGCAGTCTTCCGGCCTCCCTGTGTCTGCTGCTTTGGCGCCGGTCTTCCAGCCTCGTTCCGACATTCGCCGTCCTAGTGAGGACACTCCTCCAGTCTCGGCAGTATCCAAGGGAGAGAAGGATATCCGCGGCAAAGTCTTCTTTGGAGTCATTCCGGCTAATTCTGAAGAGGCTCATCGTCTCACCTTCGGCGCCCCGCCCACACCCGCTCTTCGTATGGAGCAGTTCTCTAAATTCTGCCGCGAAAACCCTGGCTTGGGTCTACCGTACCTCAGAGGCGAGGTGCCTTTTGGTATGGACCCTAGTCCTGATATCAAGGACTACATCTACCATCGTCCTCTCAACCAGGACGAGGAGATGGCCAAGCATCTGTTCTGGAGCGATGCCCCTGAGCACCTGCGTGCCAACTTTCCCAAATTCGACGGCAAGAACTTCTACCCGCCGTCGCCCGAGAAGCCTCGCATGGTCACCTCCAAATTGCCGACCGGACGGCCCGAAGAAGACTATGGCTTCTCGCTGAAGTCGGCGGGTATTGATCCTTTCGCTCCCTTGGAGCCCTACTGTGAGGATCCATTCGAGAAGATGACGGAGGCAAGAAAAGAGAAACAAGTGATGGATCTGAAGAGAGACACCAAGTCGGACAATGTCACTTCGCCCATGAAGCGTCGCAATAAGTCACGCCCTGTTGCCCACTTCAACAGCCAAGGCCTTGACCAATCGAAGGACAGTACGGGTTCGTCCGACAACGTCATTGAGACCGATTCCGAGAGAGCCTACTTCAACTCGTGGCAAGTCGCAAATTCATTAAATCTGATGCATCCTACTAACTCATGGCAGTGTTCGTACTTGGTCGGAGAGAGTCACTGCGGCGGCGACTGCCCTTCCTGGAGCTGTCACTTCGGAGAATGCCCAAGGCTATCTTCCTCAATATGCCACCGGCAACGCCGCGGCCTCCTTGTCACCCGCCATTGCCAACGCTGCAAACCAGTCCACCCGCCTGTCGTCGTCCAAGCTGAACGACAACGGCAAATTGGATGCCAGCCAGGGCTTGCTTGTCGCACCAACTGATGGTCGCGTTGAGAACCAGCCTCCCAGCCGTTTCATTGTAAGTAACGTCCTTCCGGCTGCCAAATGAGGCGAATGAAAATGACCGAAGATTCCAGCAAATCAAGTGAAACATCTCAACCGCAACGCCATTGGCATTCACTTACTCTGTTATGACTACGAAAACGCGTTCTAAACACCTGTACGGATTATTTCGAGAGACGCAGTGCTACGGCGGCTTCCAATATCACGGCATTGATTTCGAATATCCCGGAGCCGTCGCCGTTATGCTGTGAGAGGGTCGTTCTCGGTACACACATCGTGCATCTCGTCCTTGGTAGTTTGCTCTTTAAAGGAAGGTGGAAGATTGGTGGCATGAAGAAGGAATGAAATACTTAGGTTATGTTAACATTAATGATCCCAGTTTACACAGACGAATTTGCTCAGCATGAGGTGATAATGAAATGTGACGAACGTATTGGAATAACGAGTGGTGACGAAAGATTCTTATTTTGTTACTGACTGCTACCTGAGAAGGGGTAATCCCACCAAACCCAACGGTAAGAAAATCATGTATCTCACCATCAAATCTCCAGCCTCATAGACAAAGCTCAGTGAAAATCTTCGGGCAAGTAGGAGAGGTGGTGATTCCAATTGGAAAAGCCTCTCCTAGGGGGTTACTCTTCGCCAGTCGTATACCTCGAAAACCATGGACTTAGTGGTTGACGCGGAGATATCCTAGCGGGAATTGTTTACAGCTACGTAGAAACTTACCGTTTGAGAAGGCTCCAATTTCATTTGATACAACCTTGTTCTTGGGAGGACAGCTGGAAAGGAACAACAGAAGTCGGTTAGCATGATCACGGACAACGTAGCAAGAGACAGCACCACCTCCGCAGAACGGAGGGGGAGTGATGGCTTCGGGAGGACCTCCCATGGAGCATCTCACGGTTGGAAGACGTGAGGTGGCCATTGAGAAAACGAAATTTCTCGGGTTTCATTTTCTAGAACTTTTTTTGCCCTTTGCAGCCCTGTTTCCCTCGTGCTCTTTTTTCCCTTCCCAGGCAAAAAAAAGAAACTTTTGCCATTGCCAAAACGCGTCCATGGTCCTTTCGTAAAGGTAAAAACCGCCGTCGAAGGAGTGGATATCGTTCGTCGTTTTGTCCCCCGTCGCCCGGTTTGTTTCAACTGTTACCGTTCCCTTGAACTGCCGCTTTTGGATTGGTCGTGTTTTTCAACTCCAACTCTCATGAATGACGGCTAGAATCTCGATAAGATGGAAGCCCCCGTCACTTGAGTAGGAGGGGTCATGATTGACAATTGAGACCAAATGGAGAGAGGTATTTAGGCGGTGGCCTTGCTCTTGACGCGGAGCTCGCGGCCGATCTTGGTGCGCTCAAGGATGGACTCACGGTCCTTGTCGAGCTTGAGCTTGTTGATGACGACGTTGGAAGGGTGGATGCCCAGGGGAACGGACTGGCCCGAGGTCTTCTCGCGGGTGACGCGCTCGACGTGAATGACGTACTTGAGGCGGTAGACGGAGGTGACCTTGCCCTCGCGGCCCTTGTTGGCGCCACGGACGATGGTGACCTCGTCGTCCTTGCGGACGGGGATGGAGCGGACCTTTTGTGGAGTGTTAGATTGCTGAAACGTTTCTTCATTCGATGCGGTTATGAGTATTTCAGGACGTACGTTGTACTTCTCGCGGAGCTCCTTGGAGAGAGGGGCGCTCATGATGACACGACGGGTGCTGGAGGGGGCACCGAAGTGAGCCGCGCGCGACTTGCGGCGGGAGGAGGAGATGTCTTTTGTTTCGGGCAAAGTCAGCATATCTTCCCAATTGCTACCATTTACCATAGAGAGAAGCACTCACTCTGGTTAACCTTGGTCATCTTGGCTAGGGCGTTAGTACGAACGTCGTTTGGTTGGAAAGGGATCGGTGAGGTTGGGCGTCGCAAAGAAAGTCGAAAAGTTCCAAATCCATAGGGCGGGAAAAAAGTTTCGCTGCGTTGGGGTGGTTTGGCTGCTGTGGGCTGCAAATTTGGAAAGAGGCACGTGACTTAGGTCTAGGCTGCAAAAGTGGCTTGGTGGTCCAAGCTTTCAGCCTGGGATTGTCCCGGAGAAGAAAATTTCAAAGGCCGGACCGGGGACCCGATCGGCCGAGACCACGAGTGGAATTACTGATAAGATAAGGTGAACTTCTGAACGGACAACCATAGGTACCTTAGATGTATCCTTTTGCTGCCTATCAGCTCCAATTGTCCCTTTGTGGACAGCACGAATTTAATGAAAACCTTATGAATAGCTAGGGGCAGTACAGAAAAGTCTGGATTTGTAACGAGGTAGTACCTGAAGAGGTAAAATCGAAGCCGCTTTTATTTCCACGCCTGATATAAGTCTTACATGTCTGTCTGGATTTTACATGTGAATCTTGTTTGTTACTCAGTGAGCGAAGGTGCCCTGAATACCTCGCTCACTTAGGTAGGTGGATTGAGTTGTGTACATCTTCATGACCAAGAAGGAAGCGTATGTTCAGAAAAAACATGGTACATTTACATGCCGCCTTGGCCATACCTCTGGAAATGCGATGGCTCTTTTCAACGCCTGGTAATATGCTCTCCCCCAATGGGGTGTCCAGCAGTAGTTGAACACGACCTGAGCTTGAGTGAACCCAAGCAATACGGTCTAGTAGGTTTCTTTTGTACAAGTAGAATTCAAGGTGGAAAATGTCGGAGTGGGGAATGTGGTATGCCGAGCATCTCGTCGGCGTTTCGTGGCATCGGCTACTCCTTTTAGTTGCTCGCAAACGGCGCAGGCGCCTTGAACTTGCCGTTGTCGTCGTACTTGGCCTCTGTATCGCACCGTCAGCAACCCAATCATTGGCTCCTCATCTGCAATCATTCGCAGAGAAAAGGAGGGTGAAAAAACCTACTGAAAAACGTATAATTCAATGTAACCGTCTCAATGCCGCGCATATTAACATCATTAACAATATCCGGATCCAAATAAAAGAATACCGGCATATCGACCGTCTCGCCCGCATTCAAACGCTGTTCCTCGAAGCAGAAGCATTGAATCTTGCTGAAATACGGCGCCACCTGACCGGGCGTGACGCTGTAGGTCGCGACCCCGATAATGTCCTGGTCTGAGTTGTTCGTCGCCGTGTAGAACGCCAGCGCCGTCTCGCCGGGGAGCACGCGCACCTCGCGCTGCTGCGGGGTGAACTTCCAGGGCAGCACGTCCGAGACAGACGAGTTGAAGGTGACGCGGATGCGCCGGGCCGTGGTCACGGGGACCAGGCGTGAGGCGAGGCCGTCTTCGCTGTAGTCCACGTCCGGGCCGTGGGCTCGGACGGGTTGGCCGCCCCAGCCTGTTGTTTGGCAGATCTGAGAAACAAGATGAATTAGTATTCAAAGTAGTTTTTGTAGGGCATCGCCAAATATTGGGAAGGAGAAAGGCGCACCATCTTGTAGAGAGGGACAGAGCCGTATGACAGGGCGACTGTCCCGAGAATGACGCTGAGTGTGTAGTACCTGGTCGCAGAACGCTTTAGCAGAACGTTCTCCCTCTGGAGTCCTTGGCTGCCTCGCGGCGGCCTATTCGTTCTCGCTTACGCTGTCGTAGCATTCTTCTTTCTATAATGCGCGTGTATCTGCTCCATTGATGGCGCACCGCCGAAGCTGGGACCGCTCTGTTGCTTCGGAGAGGACGGCGTTGTCGATGCCGCTCGGCGGCTGGGGGGCGTCCGCAGGCTGCGCGGCGCAGGGCGGGCGGCGTGCTGGCAGAAATAGCAGCTCCATTTTTGTGTCGACTGCGAGGACACGCGCCACGGGAGGCGAGGGAGGGCGTTCATGATCGCGAACGGCGAAGGTGAGGTTGAGGGAGAGGGAGATTGTTGCCGGAGCGTATCGCCGGCTCGATCGTCGATGTCATGTCATTTCGCATTTCGTCGGGGTTTGGGACCGACTAGCTCTAGCTTGGTTGGCATCGGACGGTCGCCGAGAGGCCGGCGCGGGCGGGGTGGTTGTTCCGCACCCGGACCTCAATTCGCTCGGGCTGGGTTATGGGGTTATGGGGGTCTTTGCGCTGGGATAGCAGTCCCACTGAAGAGCCTTGTTCAACAAGGATGGCACAGCCAGATGCCCTGAGAAATTTCAATGTCCATGACAATCATCGAATGCGAGAGTTTACGGTTTTTGCCAAAGCATTAGATGCTTTCGTTGATTTTGTACAATGAGTTTTTGTCAAGTCATACAGAGCAAACCCAGGTCTACTACAATAACGCCGCTTCAAGCAGCCTTGCCACTCTTCAATGACCTCCTCCACCCATTTCTTCGCCCGTAAATTGTAGTCTCAGCTGCGCCCGCCGCTCGCTCCAGCACTCTGATAACGAATACTTGAATAAAGAGGATGATAAGTCGCACCAGCAAATCGGCAAGTCCCAGAGATGGCTTCCTTCCGCGGCTATACGTAGAGTCGACAAATTGGAATGGGAGTTTAGCGTAGAGGTGGTCTTGTGCGGCATGTAGTCCACTGCTGAACCCGTCCTCGTGGAAGCCATATTTTGTCCAGGCCCCGGCGTAACTGATGCCCCGCTTGTTCTGGATGCGCGGAAGAAGCTTTTGTGCTCGGATAGCGGCAGGTGTGTAGAGAGGGTGGCGGTAGGTGAACGAACCCTGAATCGTGTCTGGGTTCGGCTGGTGCAAGGGATTCATCGTGACAAGAACGTCGCCGAACGTCTCGCGGGGAATGTGCTGGATGATATTCATGTTGTAGGTCAAAGAAACCTGGTCAATGTTTTGCTTGCCGGTTGAAGGTGACGAGAGGGTTAGGTAATTCCAACTGGACCATGCCTTCTCAGACGCTGGCATGTGCGAGATGTCGGAGTGGAGGACGACTGAGTTCTCCGACGTTTGGAACGCGGAAAGTATCTCCTTCTCCTCAGGCGTCGCTGATCCCTCAATAATTCTCAAGGCCTGATCTCCATGCGTCGCCAAGATAACATGGTCGTAAACGTCGGACTTGCCGTTCTGAGTGTGGACTCGTACTCTGCCGTCATCCTCACTGGTGACTTGCGTGACCTGTGTGTTGAGGAAAAGGTGATTTGACGGGAATCCGCTCATGACAGCATCAATATACGATTTACTGCACTTCTTCAAGGTAAGCCACTCCGGTCTTGTCGCAACTGTTGACAAGAGATGATGATTCCACCTATTCACAGTCAATATTAATCCCTCGCTCGCGCACGTTGACACTTACATGAAGCGAACCAAGGTGACAGCTGGGAAGTTCAGTGTGCACTTGTCCGGACTTGTGCTCCATACGGCGGCAGTCATAGGAATCAGGTAGTCGTCCCTGAAGGCATCCGAGTAGCCTTCTCTTTCGAGGTACTCGCCAATCGTTTCTTCCTTCTTGGCTCCTTTGCTGTAACCGTTCATCGTGGCAGTATCTTTCTCATCGTCTGCCATCAACAGGTCTAGTGCAAACTGGTTGAAACGAATGATATCAAAGATCATCCTCCACATTCGCGGCGAGAAGATATTTTTTCTTTGAGCAAAGACGGAATCCAGACTTTTCCCGGCCCATTCAAACAAACCGTGGTCTCGAGTGACGCCAAATGTCATCTCGGTCGGTACCGTGTCCACTTTGACTCTCTTCAAGAAGTTGATGAAGTTTGCTGAATCCTATGTAAGTCCGGCGCCCATGGTGGCTGATTTAGAAGACCTACGATATGTGGCCGTATTGAGGACGATGAAGCCCGTGTCGACGCTGGTCTCGTATTTCCCGTTCTTCCAAGTCACTGTGTTTGTGTGCCCACCCAGCCTTGATGAAGCCTCATACATATAAACGTCATGGTAGCTTCGGTTGAGCGCCCAAAGTGCCGCGATACCTGCGGATCCACTGCCGACGACGGCAACCTTCTTCCTAAACCTCGGGTCAATGGGAGAGCCCACAGAGGCGCGAGAGCCTATTGATTCTAGCGACGGTGGTCGTCGGGACATGGTTGAAGAGATACAAGGGTGAACGACAAATATGTGAGGTTTGTGGATTTCTTGAACAAAGCGACGTCTGTCACGCGAGCGCGCAGGTTGCAATGCTACAGTAGCATATAAAGATGCGGCAGGAAGAATCGGGGAGGCTGGTAGCAGCTCGCTATCCTGGAATGACGGCGGGCAATGATGGGGGATTTCATACGCAAGCCACGGATGACGATTTGGGGAAAGAGAACAATAATTCGCACATGCTTCCAGCAAGCCGAACTCATACCTCGTCTCTACGACCGACACCCCGCCCCAGGTTTGGGGGGAGCACAACGTCTCAAGTCTGCGAAGGCTACATTTGGTACGGCAAGGTACATCTGCGTCCGCAGGACCACCACTGGGCTGGGCTCTGGACCAATGCGCTTACTAGTGCTGCAACTCCTGCAGCTGAGGGATGGAACGGATTCTAGCACGGAGCGGTCTTGGCCAGCAGCAGCAACAGCAGCAGCAGTGTGTGTGCGCCGTACGAGAGATGTGTGTGTAGGGGTGAATGCGGTGTGTAGGCTGGGAGCGAAAGAAAGCAGAGCTCAGTGAGACAAGCGGAGAAACAAAACGTACAGCGGCTGACCTGGCGGCATCTTGGCCTCTGGTTTCTGAGGATTCGATGAGAGTCGGGTGGAGTCCCTCTGGAGAGGAAGTTCAGCTCTGGAGCAAGCACTGATCGACACGTGGCTGCCGGTAGCAAGGGCAGCAAAAGATAATGCAAGCGCAGGGTTTTCGGGGCTTGCGCAGGAAGGATCTTTCAGAACTTTGAGATAAGTTTTTGGTGCGGGTAGATGGCAAGAGGAAGGGAAAGAAAGGCGCGACGGGCACGGAAAGATGGCGGCAGGTGTTCGGCCGGCTGATCACGATGCGATGAAACGAAACTTAGCTCTTGCCGGAGTTCCCACGCGCAATGACGCTTGCATTGAACACCCCTGCACCCGATCTTTCTGCGTCCTCAGCTCTTTCCCCAGCCCCCCCCCCCCCCTGTCTTGCCTGACTTTGACTATCGCGACGACATCTACAGACCAACCGTTCAGAATATGAAGGCGCGCGCATGTGTCGCGCGGGAGGATGCATATTCGTGGATAGCGTGGTCTAGCGACAACAGACAGCGAGGCTCCGAAATGGTCTGACCACGTCTCTCATCAGGCCTGGCGGCGGAAAAGAAATGGTTAGTTCCGATGGTGAGCATTTCTTCTCACACTCAGAAGCAGGCATGGCATTTCTAGAAACATTCATGCTTCATAGTACCGTATACAGATTGTCAGATTGTTTGCCGAGGCTTACGCAATAGACCATTGTTCACTTGAGTTGATCTTAACAAAGATCCATTATAAGCCAACCGATCGTCAATAGAGCATACATGTCAGCGTTTGCCGTCGTTACAGTAGCAAACTTTTCACATTCAAGAGGCACTTCTTCCTCACTGCCGGAGACCAGCTCCAGCAAGCAATGAAAAAGAGAAAGCCTGTCAGACGTCCATCGACACCCACCCCGACCATGCGCCCAAGGGCAAGACCACAATCGGGGACGAGATCATCACCGCTCTCTATACAGCAAAAGACAAGTCTAAAGCCGCCCTCCTTGCGGAGGGTGCGAGAGCAACCAGAGTTCTTCACTCTAGGGTGTCGAGGATATCAATCATCAACCAGGGTGGGATCTGTAGCTCCTTTAGGGAACCAAGAGTAGGTCGAATACTATAGAAATGATTCTCTGAAGTATTGTCGACATGAAGAAAAAAGAAGAAGAAAATCCTAAGAGGCGCGGTGGGAGGTCGGCCTTATATAGATATCCAGAGCGACCGGTCTGGACGCACAGACCAGGAGCGGTTTGGGGTGACCCGGGTGGGTTTTCCTGCCTGCGGTGGGGACGACTGCTGAAATTTTCGACAAATGGCTGGTTACCGCCTGAATCTACTGAGATTGTGCCGCTTTTCAATGGGAAAAGATCCTGGGTGAAGAATTTCCCTTTCACATCTCACGGGCTTTGCGCAGGAGGGTCTTTGGGCAGAGTTTTGAGAAGTTCTTCCATGCAATCCTCAGCTCCTTCTGCAAACGTGTGAGACCATTCTGGGAGGCCGGTGGACTCAACGTCTATTAGGCAGTTGTCCAGATCTCTTGACAGAGGCACCTCGAGACACCTCGTTCCTCTTGTGAACGCGCATTTCAAGCTGCCTGGAACGCTGTCACGCGTGGTGAACTAAGTTTCCTTCGTGACTTTGGCTATGCACTGCCAATGTACCTGGATTGGGACGCGCTGAAGTCCGAAAACCAATACCACGCCTTCACGAAGATAGCCATGGAGGCCTAAATCCTACCATCCAGCAGCTCATGATGTGGCGAGCTGCCTCGTGAAATGTCTTCAGACATTTGCTGACGCGCCGTTTACGTACACATCTTGGCAAAGGAAGGCAGTCACTGCATCATCCAGGAACCCTTCATGTGGATTATGGATATGCTTGAGCCGCATGACATTGGTATCTGACAGGTATTCAAAACGGTGTTCTGTACAGAGGTGCCAGATTTCGACTGTTACTAAATATGTGTAATGTGCACATGTTGAGGATTTATACTAGGCCAACAGCAAACAGCGGAGGCCGCAGCGGCCGTTAAATTCGAGATATCGCAAGCCAAGGGCAGCAAACGACAAAAGTATGTCGAGCACTCAACGGGATCGGAAAACGGTAGTACGAGTCCCCAATTCTTAAAAGCGCCGTGACAGAAGACTGCCATCAGTCTACCCGGCTTAAGTTCAACTCCACGTCCAAGTGCAAGAAACACAGAAGCATTTCCAGACTGGCGACGCGGAGCCGTTTTCTTCTAGAGCCGGGGGTTCAACTTTGAAGAAAAAGGAGAAGGAGGAGGAAACGAAGTTTTGCGCCGACCGAATTCTCATAAAAAGACGCCTGCGGGCGGGGACTGGGAAGAGGACGCTCGGGCCGTACATATCACGTGTGTAAGGCACTTTAGTGAACCAGTCTACGGTACCTTACTCGAGGCCCAGTGGCTGGTGGCTGGAGCCTGGCGTCTCGTCACACCCGATTGGTGCACCAGCCACTCGGGAGCATGATGTCGCCAAGCCCGGTCCCGACTAGGCATACCTACGTACTACATGCGACCAAGTACATTCAACGACACCAACAATCCACTCGCCCTTGACCGTTTTCGGCATTGATCCAACAACCACCCCGACGAACCCGCTGTGACGACGTCAAACCTGTGATACCCAACGAAGCCAAACGACCACCTCTCGCCTACAAACGTCTCGAAAAGGAGGCCACTCCTTTGATTCATCCTTTATCGCCCTTCCGTAGGCGAGGTCACGACGTATCTCCCTCCGACTTGTAAACCACCCGACTACCAGCCTACCGAACCCCTTCCGCCACCATGTCCAACCCACTCGAAACTGAGCCTGGCTCCGAACGCTTCGGCGACTACGAAGCAGAGCTCAAGCTCGTCCAGGCAGACCTTGTCCAGAAACTCGACCAGATCCCCGAACTGTCGGGCGAGCCGCGCAAGGCGGCCCTCTCCTCCGCCGAGCGCGCCCTCGAGGAGGCCGACGAGCTGCTCGCTCAGATGCGCCTCGAAAAGGCAAACATCCCCACCACCCTCCGCTCCAAGATCAACGCCCGCTTCCGCAACCACGAGTCCGACATTGACGGTCACAAGCGCAAGCTGCGCTCCCTCGCCGACGACCGCGCGGCCCTCTTTGGCGCGCGCTACACCGACAACCCCTCGGGCAGCGGCCAGGATGTCCAGCTCGAGCAGCGCCAGCAGCTGCTGTCGGGGACCGACCGCCTCGATAGATCCACGCAGCGACTCAAGGCCAGCCAGGCCCTCGCCAACGAGACGGAGGGCATCGGGGCCGGCATCCTCGGGGACCTGCACACGCAGCGCGAGACCATTCTGCATACCCAATCGCGCCTTCTCGAGAGCGAGGGATACGTGGATCGGAGTGTCAAGACGTTGCGGGGGATGGCACGTAGGTAAATATCGTCCTTACATCCTTGGTTGCTAGACTTGAAGAGACGAACAATGCGGGCTAACACGCTGAAGGATGGCTACCAACCGGGTGATCACCATTTCCATCATCACCATTCTGGTTCTTCTCATCGTCGCCGTCATTTACAGCAAGTTCAGATAAAGCAGTGCAGCAGCAGTAGCAGCAGCAATAACAACAACCTCCTCTCCTGTGGGGGGCGCAGGGCCGGAGTTTTGGGTTGCATTAGGATTTTACCACGATTGTACTTTTTTGCTCCATCGGCAGCTTCATTGTGTTTTTCTATGTGTGCAATGGCATATAATGAACGATTGGGGAAAAGCCCCTGGTCTGGGTTTGAAGCAGGCCGAGTCTAAACAGAGACGTGACGGATCAAAACAAAAAATCACCCTGACACTAGAAAATGACAGTCCGACGCCTTATGCACAAACGTAGACATATTCTAGTCGCTCGTTGTAACTACCAATTTCTTTTTTCTCTATTTACCGTACCTGACAGGACGCCGACATGACATGTTTTGAGACCCTTGTTCCCTTTTTCAACTCGGGGTCGCTTTTAACCTCATTGAATGGGTATAATCACACTTGAAATCTTCAAAGAAACCTCTTCCCCTCCAAATTTTGCTGTTCGGCGAGCCTCATCTCCGACCGCGGCCGCCTCTGCCCTTGTTGACACCTCCGCCTGATGTGGCACCTCCTCGTCTCCTGTCCTCGCCTAGTCCCTTGCGGCCTGCGGCAATACCGCCCTTGCCACCGCGACCGCCGCGACCACCACTACCACCGCGTCCACCACGTCCACCACGTCCACCGCGGTCCTGGCCACCTCGTCCACCACGGAAGGGCCTGCCGCCGCCGCTGCCGCCGCGGCTCTTGTCGACCTGCGCCTTGACAGCAGCCGCATCGCCCTCGTCCATGTCTTCCATCTCCTCGTCGTCCTGTCCGCGCTTGTTACTGAACTTGAGCTTACCGCGAAGACCTCTCTTGCCGGCATCCTTGCCCTTGAGCGCGGCGACGTAAGCGTTGACGCCCGAGCCGTCGTTCTCAGCACCGTCGATCTCCATCGCCTCGTCATCGTCCTTGCCGAGGATCAACTTGCCGTCCAGATCGGTCTTGGCCTTGGTCCTGGTCGGCTTGCGCATCTTGACGGGCTTGGTGGAGGAGATGTTGGCCAGAGCGTTGCGGTCGAGCAAGTCGAGCGGTTCGTCCTCATCCTCGACAATGTACGTGTTGCCGCCCTTTCTGTTGCCGCGCTTGCCCTTGGCGCCGGCGGCAGCCGCGTCCTCGTCGTCGTCGGACTCGTCGTCGGAGCCGTCCGAGTCGCTGCTGTAGAGGGCCTGGTCGAGCTCGTTATCGAACTTGCGTCCCTGGCGGCCGTCCTCCTCGTCGCTCTCCTCGCCGGCCTGCTTGGCAGCGTCCTTCTTCTTCTTGTTGCGCTCCTTGGTCTTGCGGATGTTGACAATGAGCTTCCTGTCGCTCTCTGGGCAGTTTTGATTGACGAGGTCGAAGCCGAATTTGCGAACCATGCGCTCCAGGATGTGCCTGACCTTGCTCTTGAAGTGGCCCTTGTGCTCGTGGCTCCAGATGATTAGATTGGGGACCATGGAAGACAGGCGGGGAATCACAAGCTCTGAGGGGAGGCTGACGACGCAGATCTTGACAAAGCCTAGAACACTCTTGACAATCTCGCGGTTGTTGGAAGTCAGGAAAAGGTCCATGGTCTGCACAAGGTCGGCCAAGGTCTGGGTGCTGAAGGACCTTCTGAACTCGTACAGCACACGGCTGAGGGCGGTAATAGATGCTGAGATCATGTGAGGAGTGCTGCCGACAAGACCGGCGCTGACCATGGTGAGGAACTCCTCAATATTGGCTTTACCAGCAGGCGCGTCTGAGGGCATGTGAGGGACCTTGCTGTTGTCGATAGGGGCGCCGTTGGCTGACTCCATACGGTGGCCCATCTGGACGAGGAGATCGTATGCAGCCTCCCTGGCGCGCTCGTTATTCTCTTTGCAGCAGATGACGACTTCGCTCAGGATAGAGGGGATGAAGTGGAGGGAGGTATCAGGGATGAAAGGAAGCAGCGCAGAAAGGGCGGCCAAACGTTCTCTGCGAGCGGGAGCGGAAACCTTTTCGGCGCTGGTCAGAAACATCTGCTGTAACTCGTCGTTGCGCGCTGCAAGCGCATGCTTGCCGATTTCTGACTCTGTGAGCCGGGGAACCAGCTTGTAAGCCTTCTTCTGCAACTGCGGTTCGTTCTCCTTGAAAATAATTACTGTGGCGATTTCGAAAAGAGCCGTGTAGCTTTCGCGAGGTAGATAGAGAGCAATGCAGATGATCAGATCCATCAAGGTGTTGCTCGTTGAGGGCATAGCACCCTGCTTAGGTTGTTGCTTAGGCTTCTCCTGGTCGGCAGTCTGCTGCAGTTCCGCTGCGAGCATCTTGCTGACCCGGTCGAAGGTGTCAATGAGCTCCTTCTCGGGGGTGACGCTGAGGAAGGCGTTGATGGTGAGGAGAATGGGCCCTCTTGACTGCGGCAGGGTCTGTGTGTACACGTTGAAGAGAACAGCGAGCATGTTTCCGGCAAAGCTACCCAAGTGCTCCAGGTTCTTCTTGGCAGTGGCTCTGGAGACGCGGCTTTGGAGAACGAGATCTTCCTCGCCGTCATCCTCGATGGTGGCAATGGCCTGGTTAGATTCGATGAGAATCTTGAGCGCACGGCAGACCTCCAGGCGCAACTCGACCTGCTTGTACAGGATGTTTGCCAGGAGCTCAGCGAAAGACTGGTCGAAAGCCTCGGTAACATCGAGCGGAAGATCGCAGTAGCCGGGCAAAGTCGCCCAAATTTGCTGTACAAGGGTCTCGAAAATCTTGACTTCCAACGTCTTCTCGGCCTTGCCATGGTCAAGCACCTTTTGGAACATGAGTTCACTGAGAGGGACCATCTCTTGACGGAAATGAGCGAGGTTGGTGTTGCTGAGGTAGTCTCGCAATATGGGGAACATCCAGGCGCGGCCTTGCTGTCCCTTGGCGGGCTTGGCGATATTCAGAGGCAGGATAGACAGGACTGCCTCGGGGCCCATGGCGCGGATGGCCTTGCCGATGACTTCGTCGGCTTCCTTCTTGCCTTGGAAAGAGTCGCTGCCTCGGAGTTCTCCAACAGCCTTGGTGATGTTAAGCATCATCGGGTGTGCTCGCCATCTCAATGAGTCAAACATTGCCCCAAAGACATTGAAACTCTCCATCCAGGCTTGTTGGTACTTGAGGCTGAGCAGAGACTCGGCAATCTTGGCAATCTTGTCAAGCGTCTTCTCATCGTAAATGGACGGTTCCAAAATGACTTGCTTCGGTACACAGTTCGCCATGAACGAAACCAAGCACTCGGAAGCGGATATCCGGATGTTGTGGGCAGGAGATTCGAGGTACTGGGCGACCATTGAGAAAATTTCGGGCAAGTTTTGGAAAACATCCTCAGGCTCGAGTTGTGCAGAGACATCGTAGCCTCTCGAGAGGATTGCCAGCCATGGCGGAATGAGTTGTGTGTCGTTTGCGGCAGGACGCAGCTCCGAAATAATCTCCATCAGTCGTGGGAGCTTGGACGAGGCGACGTCGTCGGCCATTCCCTCGAAGATCATTTCGAAAATTTCAAAAGTCGCCATTGTCATATACTCATTGCCGGATCTTGAGATTCCGAGAAGCAGGTCGCACAAGGACTCAATCTTCTTGCTGGGCCAACCACCACTTGCAGAGGCAATAGTCTTGATGAGCTGTAGAGCGTGGATCAGAGCGGGATCGTGCGCCGACTCGGATCCCTTCTGCTTCCTTGCCGCCGCAGCCTTTCCAGCAATATCTTCGAGGTTAGCAAGAGCAGTGTGAGCGCACATGTCCGCAGCCGGGTGGTCAAGTGAGGGGCTCGGAGGCGGATTTTTCAGGACATTTCGGAGCGCTTCCTGTGCCCTCTTGCGGATCTTCGGGCGCTGTTCGAGAGCGAGATTGAGCAAGCCAGCAACGGCTCTGCGGGGGCCAATCTGGGTCACGCCCAGCTCCCAAGCACCCGCATCTTGTGCGAGGAGCAGAGACTCAAGGCATCCGATAGACGAACGGAGAAGGAGAGCTTCGGCATCTTGTTGGAGGAGAACGGGTGCGAGCGAGGTGAGGATCTGAGTGAACTTGGCGCGGAGGATGGGTTGGGGCGCAAACGGGGTGACGGTATCGAGGAGATAGACCACGGAGGTCGTCGTGTCGGAGCTGATGTTGCCACTCTCGACAGCTTGGGTGAGGAGGGCGAGAAGGGCAGCGAAGTAGCCAGTCGGCGTGGGCTGAGAGTTTTGCTCCTTCAGCGTTACGTCGACCGCTTCGAGAACAACCGCGGTCTTGGGATCATGTTAGCTATGATAGCCAAACTGTGAGCACATTTGCAAAATCTTACCCTCTTCTGACTTTGAAGACCCGGTGAGCGGATCTTGTCCAGCTTCTCGGCGAGAGTTGGAGTCGACATTGTGCTAGTCGTATTCCAATCCGTCGGGGACCAACTGTGGAAGAGAGGATGCAAGCAATCCAGCCGTTGTGGTCGAGAATCCCGTCTCTCAGTGTCCCAAATTTTTCCTGGCGCAAAAAAATCCTTATCGAACCACCCCGCCCCCGATAAGATTCGCTTAATAACCTAGGTACCTACCTTACCTTAACGGTATGTATCCGTATTGTGTCGGAAAACCCGCACGGTCCTCTAACGGTGGTGGATTCCACCGTCTAAATCCCCCACAATCGGCGTCATTTGGAGAGGCCCAGGAATGTTTTTCCAAAGTGTTGCTACAGATTAACGTTTGCAATAGCCTATACGGATACAGACTCAATATACTCTGCAACTTCCATCCTAGCGAAATTTGAAGACGAAGCCTGCAACAGGTGCCTGTCTTGAATATGTACGGATAAGGTAGCTGGCACTCACTCACTCACTCGCTCGCTCACATTGAGACTGGGTATATTACGGAAGTTCTTACCGGCGACGCCGCCTGCTCTCCAATGGGTTCCGGTTTCATTGTGGGTTATAACAGCAACTGTATATACTCACGCTTTCGGACTTTTTAGGTGTTGCAGACCCACTGGCCGTAGCGCAGGTATATCAGGTACCTATCTCGGAGATGTCTCGTTGTTTCTCGCCTGGTGCCGTCCCTCCATTCATGTTTCATTCAAAGGTCCAACGCCTTCTTTGGGATCTGCGTTACGCAAGCTGGGCGGTAACCTCTAGGTATCTCTAGCGACCCCCTGACCTGGGTTTCTCTTTTCACCCCTGTTTCCATGTCTTGTCTTGGATTGCCAGTCCACTCAAGCTCGTGGAGGCATGAGATGGGAGCGGGCATAAGCTGTTGTGTCTGCAAGTGGGGAATGGCGCAGAAGCCCAATCTCGGATAGCAGGCGTGAGTCGCGTGACACCATCTACACGACAAGAGTTTCTCTCGGTCTCCGCCCGCAGCTTTTCTTCCCTCGGCATCATCATCACCACGGTGATTCCGAACACTGTCGGTCCACTTCAGTAAGCCTGCTCGCAAGCCAAATCAAGTGATCCATTCTCCCCGACCTGAATGTAATTGGTGACTGTCTATCTTGACGATTGGCTACTCTTCAGTGATCATGAGATGCACCTGGAGGAGTTGAGCCTTGGCAGAGATTTCTGCTTCTATCTTGCAATGACTCAGGTACAGCTGCTGCAGTGCGCTGTCCAGTCTACCTAGACGATGATTCGATTTACATTAGTAACTATTCAACTAGGGAAGAAGTAAAAATGTACTGCTCGGAGTTGCGGTTGGAAAAGCTGGACCCATCTTTTGTTAATATCCAAAAAAGTTAATTAAATAAAGTCTTTCCACATCTTACTATGTGCAGTTGGATGCGTCGTAATCCTCATATTGATGACGGATCAGCCCGGCAATCACTCGCCTGACAGACAGTTGCGATCTACACGATGCCTTAATGTCCTTGTGCCGTATGTCGCCGAGACAGTCGAATAATTGTATTCCGAGGATACCGAAGCTTTGGCGATGTTTCTATAAAGTGACGGTGCTGCCCCGGTATGATATGCTTATTTATCTAGCTGCACTTGGCTCATTTTTAACTATACGGATACTCTCAGACCTATTTTACTGTATACAACAATGCAGTTCTCAACTCTTATTGGAACCGTAGCCATTGTTGCTGGACTGGCTTCTGCCGCGCCCGCAACAGAGCAATCCGCTGTCAAGGGTCGAAGATGGCAGGAGTGCTACGACGTCGGGACGGAGTGCACAAACATACTCGGCGGAATCGGCGGTTGCACGTGCAACGTCGAGTACCTTCATACTGGATTTAACTGTGTTTGCATTTGAGTAGGTTCTCTAAATCTTGCTCGGTCTTCCCAACGAAGTACCAACTGCAAAGCAGTATACGCGCTTCTGTGCTAACGTTCGAGAACTTCAGAACGACTAGTAGTAGCGTGTGAGGATAGAAAGACTAAGGCTACCCAAGCCACTGTCTGTTTGAGTTGGTGCCAATGACGGAGAATAGAAATGAGATAGCATAGCAAAGCGAAAGAGATTTCATTCAAACTGCCCTCTGACCCAAATCCTGGGTCGAAGCCAGTTCTGATAAAGGGCCTTTACAGATTCTCTAATTTGAAGAGAGTAAGGTTATCCAAACACATTATCCGCATGAAAAATAGAGCATCTTGAAACTTAATCTGGTAGCAGAGGCTAAAAAAGGTTCGTTGTTAATGCCTGAAAATAGATTGACTTATTCGGACAATAGACGGAAGTCAAATCCGTTTCTGACGTGACTAAATGCGAACCACGAATCAGACGAACGCGGTGTTCAACTTCTCCGCACAAGCCCATTGAAAACTATGTGCGGCAAAATGCATTTGTGCCTCAACAATTTTTCTTCTCTCTCATATCTCGAATATGTCTTGAGACTCGAATCGTCCGAATGTTGCATTGGTTCTGGCCGATAAGCTCGGCTGGGGTGAGTTAGGGAGTTATGGCGCAGGCGCCCTGCGAGGCGCCGCGACGCCCTGAATCGACAAGCTCGAAATGGAGGGTCTCTCCCCGCACAACTTCAACGTGGAGAGCGACTGCGTTCCGACCCGATCCGCATTGAGGACGGGCCGACGTCCGATCCAAACAGGTTGCCGATAATTAGTTCCCGCGGGCTTCCCGCAAAGTCTGATGTCTTGGGAAAAAACGCTGGCCGAGTGCCTCAAATACAACGACTATGCAAGTGCGCATCACGGGAAAGGGCATCTGCAGGGTTTTCCCGGCCGTTATCCCGCAGACTGAAGCTTCGATGAGTGATATGGAATCCCGAGAACGACCGATGAGACGCAGTTTACCTCTGCGGTTGGGTATACTCCTGAAATGGCGGGACTGCGTTATATCACGATGGGAGTTGCCGGCAAGAATTCGTGAAACGTATGGGTTTACGACTTGGGGCCCACGAGGCTCATTAACGGGATGCTGGTGGAAAAGTCAAAGGACTGGCTGTCTCGTCAAGTTGAGACTGCGCGGCCATTCTTCCTCTACCACCCGATCGTTCATGTTCACTTGCCGACGCTTCTTCGCGAAGACTTTGCCGGGAACACCAAGCAAGGTAGTTTCGCAGACTATTTGGCTGGAAATGGACTACTGCGTGGGCGAACTACTGGACCATGTAGACTCCCTCGGCATTCGGAAAAACACAGTCTTCATCTTCGCGTCTGGCAATGGTCCATAATTCAGGGAGCCTCACTGGAGCACAGCAGGGCCATGGTCAGGAACGTATCATACCACCATGGAAGGCAGCTTGAGTTTGCCCTTCATCATAGTTTGGCCGGGTCAAGTTCCGGAAGGCTCTACGTCCAATAAAATAGTTTACGTAGCGGACACATTCACAACCATTCTGGCAATGACCAAGTCTGAGGTTCCAAACGACCGCCCCATCGACGACATCGATCAGATTGACGACAGTCAGGTCCGAGAGATTAGGACTTCTGTTCTACATCAAAGAGAAGATTTGCTAGAGATCAAATGGAAAGAATGGAAGCTGTATCTTGTCTGGGAGCCCAATGTCAACCAGTCGTCAGACCGCCTCGAGTCGCCTTACCTTTTCAATGCTATGAGGGACCCGAAAGAGGAATCAGGCATCTTGGCTTTCAATACTTGGGTGTTACAGCCAACGACGAAGTTTAGGACCGAGTTTCAGAGGAGTCTGGCACGCGACCCGGCACCGCCGAGCCCGTTGAGGGATTTCCTCTGCTCCAACATTGATGTAAACATCATCGTTTAGACTACAGTAGCCCCAAAGTCAATTTAATGAAGAAGACCACCTAATCAGGACAAAAATTAGTTGGTGCCAAACGTCCAGGACTAGCCGGGCATTCGTCGAGGTAGTCGCATCTGGTTTTTGAGCGTTGATGCACATCTGGCAGGTGCACGATGTCGAACCTCTTAGAGTACTTGAAGTTACATGACTGAAATGATTCGTTTGCCATGTTGTGATCACGGTAGAGTCTGTTCATGCCCGACAACTTCATCTCACACTCTAAAAGGTCCGGCCCATCTTGATGGGACACAACATATGCAACTAGATAACCACGGTCCTTGGCCATAAGCGGGCTGAGCCATACGCGCAGCCAACAGCACGACGAGCATTACGAGCAGAGAATAGAGTAAGCCTTGTGTGATGGCACTGTTTGCCACGAGCATCCTGGCCGCTTGAGAGCCACTTGAGAGCTAATACTCTCGGGCTCCCACTGTCAAGTGGATCTCGACCTTTGCGTTGAACGTAGTTCAATCTCTCTATCAATCCGCCCAGGCGAAGATAGGCATAATCCTTGATCAAGAGCAAAGGTCATAGAGAGACCTCACGATGATCTCAAAAACGACATACGAGCCACTGCTCGTGACACTGACTTTTACTCCTGGAGGGTTTCAGCAGACCAAGGTGCTCTCCATGGCGCCGCAGACCACCCCTTTCACACCCCCCAGCGGTGTCTGCTCCGTCGACATTCGATGCCTGGTAGGCAAAGTAGAAGAGTTCACGGGGGATGTCGAATGCCTGAGAGACCAAGTGGTAGCCGAGACCACAGCCAGCCTTCCCACCCAATGCTTTCCCGAGAGCTACGCTGCAATCTGGCGGCCGTCCGGGAACACGTTCAGTGAGGAAATCCCACACTTGACTTTTGAAAGTGCCGAGGAGACTGACACATTCTATTTCGAAACCAGGCGATGTTGCAAGCGTAGCCTACCCAGGCACGGCCTGCATCAGCGGCTGGACGACGGCTTGCGTCACGCCCCTCACTCTCGAGAGCGGGCAGACTTACACCCAGACGTGGTGCTGTCCAAGCTCGTACACCTGCCTCACGCCCGCGCCAGGAGGGACCCCTTACCGAGACTGCGTGAGTCTCCTCAGCACAAGCACCGAAGTCTGGATCAACAACATCGCGACGAGCGGAGGGAGGGAGTCGACGCTCTGGAGCTCGTGGAGAAAGATCACGCTCACCGGCATCCCGAGCGTCGGCCCGCTCTCGGTCAAACATCCCGTCTTCCCGCTCTACGGCCGTTTTCCCTCCCAGGGCTCCGATGTTGGGGATGTAGGCCTGTCGACCGGGGCGATTGCGGGGATCGCAGTCGCAGCGGTGGTTTTTGTTCTTCTGCTCCTCGGCACCGGCCTGTTCGTCTGCCTTCGTAAGCGGAAACAAAAGAGGGCCGCCATCGCGGCTCAGAACGAAGACACTTCCGGTTATAAAAGTCACGAGAATAAAGGCCTTGGGTTCGATGCCAAGCAAGAGCTACCCGGCCACAGTACTGAGATGCGGGAAGTTGACGCTGCCACGCCGCCCCCGGTTGAGCTTTCTGCGTATACGAGGGCTGCAGAGGTGGACGGCAGCCGCCCTGCTGAGTTGTCGTAACAATGTTTCATGAAAGCCTCTGCTCTCTTCTCCATGATTCATCTGTGCGGCTTGTAATTGGCGTGTAGGTTCATCGGCCTGATGTCTGGTTTTGGCTATACACCCTCAGTGTAATGTTCACTTTATCACTTTCATCATGAAATGTTGTCGTTCCAAGCCACTTTGGCCCCACCTCACTAGGCCATATTGTCCAAATCCCACATCAAAGGCGCGTCGACAGCTTGCGGGTCTTGGCTACATATTGAGCTACTATCCATGTGATTGGTCTAGTCTTGCGCCCTTGTCCATACTTGTAAGTCTGGCACGTCTGCGTACCACTTGGGAGTTTGGAAAGCTGGGAATATAACAAAACCGTATCTATACTCAAATGAATAGGGAAAGTATATAATCTTGTCCTTTTCTCTAGATATCACCTGGCCGTAAAATAACATTTCTTCCGCAACATACCTTAGTTGACCTAACCCAGCCCCAAACCTCATGATGTCTCAAGCAAGCGAAACCATCATAATTGTCGGAGCAGGCATCGTCGGCTCCGCCCTGGCTCACTTCTTAACATCGTCACCGACTTCACGAAATATCGCAATCATTGACCGTTCTTTCAGTCCCCTCCTCGGGTCAACAGGCCACGCCCCCGGCTTCGTCGGTCAATTCAACGAGTCTCAAGTTCTCACCAAGCTGGCTGTCGAGTCTGTGTTGGAATACAACAAAATCCCCGGCGGATTCGACACCGTGGGCGGCCTAGAGGTCGCCTTTCAGCACGCGGGGTGTGAACGGCTCCGATCGAGATGTGCGAGTGCCACGCAACTCGGTCTAGCTGCTGAGGTGCTGAGTATGGGGGAAGCGCATGCACTGGCGCCAGAGCTGGTCAATATGTCGGATTCGGGGGCGGCGGTCTTCTTCCCAACCGACGGGACTGCGAATGCGGGCAGGATTACCTCGTTTTACCAGGACGAGGCAGAAAAGTCGGGAAGCCACTTCGTGCAGGGCGACGTCGAGAAGTTGCTACTCACCTCGGATGGCCGAATCAAGGGCGTCCAAGTCCTATACAATGGCTCCGTGAAGCAACTCGATGCCGACAAGGTCATCATCACAACAGGAATATGGGCACAAGACCTCTGCCGAGATCTCGACTTCCCCGTCCCCGTCATCCCAGTCGGGCATCCATACATGCACGGCCAGGAACGAAATCCTCTGCCCCGCAAATCGCCATTCGTACGCTGGCCGGAACACCACGTCTACGCCAGAGACCACGGGTCGCAATACGGCCTCGGCAGCTACGACCATCAGCCCGTGGGATGCAGGTCGACCGACGGCACCGCCATCGGAGACTGGATCCCAGATTTCCAACAGACGCTCAAGTCGGCAAAGCGTCTGTTACCTCCGGCCGCCGCCGCAGAGTTTGAGCACGGGAAAAGTTTCAATGGGATATTCTCCATGACGCCCGATAACATGCCGCTTGCTGGCGCGGTTCGGTCGACGCCTGGCCTGCATATGGCTGTTGCGGTTTGGGTCACTCACGCAGCTGGTACGGCCAAGTTTCTGGCGAGGCTCATTGATGAGGCTGCTGTGGATCAGGCGACGTTGGCAGCTCTACAACCCGAGAGATTCGCTGGTCAGGACTTTGCAATCCTGGAAGAACAATCGCTTTGTGGTTATAACTCCATTTACAAGACTGTGGCCAAGTAAAAGACAGGAGAGCGAGAGAGCTCCCCTATCTGGCTACATGAGCGACGTTTATCGATGAAGTGTTCAGTCCTAAATATAAGTCGATTCTGAACAGATCTCCAAATTAAGTCTGAATCCTCGGCCCATAGTATGATGGACCATATGGCCATCGGCGAAGCGTGTCAGGTGCCGAAGGTCTTTTCCAGATCCTTACAGCAGCTACCGAGCAGCTACCGAAATTTCTCAGTCTTTGTGACTGCTATTATGGGACGTTCATTGACTGTGCGGAAGGATTTCCCGAAGGCAACCGCAAGAACTTGATGGGTCACGGTGTTCCGGTGCCCACCGAATCGCCCGGCCGTTCACACCACGGATGAAGCGGCCGAAGACCCATAGTGCGGCCGGGCACTCGGCGACCAAGGTTGAGCGCCGAGAAGACGTTCGGCAACACGAGGAATATTAACAGAATATATACAACAGCACAATATGAAGGGATTTGAGATGTCTTGGAGATACTGTGAATATAAATCAGCCAAAATGTCACATCCAGTTCCTACCAGTTGCCATCCCGCCATCTATCAAATCTCCTCGTCCAGCTTTCAAAGATCCAACCCAGCCTTCACCATAGGTTCCCAAGCCAACAAATCTACAGAATCGCCCTACCTAGAACCCATCGAAAGCAAAGCAGGCGAATCCGCCCCCTACTACACCCCAGAACAAACCCCCTCCCTCCGGCATGGCCCTCACCACAACAACAGGCACCCTCATTCCCAAACATCTTCACTCCCCCTCACAATCTTAAACCTCATCTTCCAAAACCGCATCTTCCTCGTGACCCTCTTACAATACTACGCAAATGCTCAAGACGGTCACGCCACAGACTGGCACCTAGCCCACCTAGGTGGCATCATCCAGCGCGGGCCCGGTCTCTCCCCCAGGGAATCCACAGCCGTGCAAGGCTACCTCCCACACCAGTCCATTAGCCCCATCAACAATCTTTGCACTGACGCCTACGGAGGCTGCTTGACCGTGGCGGAATTGTGTAGGCTGGCGTCTTTACTTGCAGACAAGGGCGCCGATTTTTATTGATGCTAGCTCGGGGGCAATGCGCCCCCTACAAGCGACCAGCATCAAGGGCGATCCCAGTTACCAAAGGAGATTAAGAATGCCGTCAGAGACAAGATGATCGTGTCTGTTGTTGATGAAATCAGCACTGGTACCGTGGGCGAGGGCTTCCTTCAGGCGGGGTTGGACGTGGTGATGTGTCCGATGGTTCCAAAAGAACCCAGGTTGGATCTACGCGTATGCCGATGACCTCGGCGTCAACATCAAGATGGCTAACCAGATTGGATGGAGATTCGCTTGACGGTAAAAGGGGAAAAAACAGAGTCCAAGTCTGGATACTATCGATTAAAACAATAAACTCGTAACTAGCGTAGTTATCTTAGCATAGGTAGCTTATATGTCGGCAATACAAGCCCAAGAACCATGATTTGCACAGAGGCATGTTGAGGGAATTGTTCAAAACAATGATTTGCCTTCTGGTTAAGTACTAATACATCTACAAAGCCCTCCCTCCCATTCATTGCAATTTGTTTCATGTAACTATACTTCATAAACATTACTAAAGCCCGTTAGAAACGGTCGCTGTCCCGTTGCTGTAACCCTTTTTTTTGCCGTGTCCTCATGTTTCACCATCCTAAACAAAGTCAAGGATCTAGACTTCGGTCTCAACATCGGGCTTGCGGCCGTTGAGAGCACCCATCTTGGTAATCTTCCGGATCGCGAACTTGGCTTCATCCTTGGCGAACTGCACGTTACGCATGGGGCGCCACTGCATCAGCCCCCGATGTTGACGGTGCAGATCTCGGCTTCTGCTCTTGTAATCTTTGTAAGCCGCGACAGGCCCATTGCCGTTGCTTTTCTGAGATGCGTTTGACGGAGCCTCGCTCACATTGCTCTCTGTTGATTGCCGTGTGCCGTTGCTCCCGTCTCTAGTACTTGCATCCGTGAGTCCGAGATCGGGCTCGCTGCTGTTGTCATCGTCATAATCCGTGTCGAAATCATCGCGTCCCTCTGAATTGAGATTCTCCTGATCATCATCATCGCCGCCCATCATCTGGGTAGGGTCTTGTCCGAAAGCAGTACTCCAATCAGTTCCATCCTTGGACAGCCACTTCTCCTTCTCCTTCGGATCAGTCTGGGCCAGGACATCGCGACCTTGGGTAAGAGACTCGTCATGAAGCTTCTGAACGGCGGGAGGCACTTCAGCTCGAACCTCCTCACCGCGTACGCCTTCTGCGAAACAGGCTTCCCATGTCTCAATCGTCTCGCGAGAATCATTGTCGGTGACAAATTTGATATGGTCGCCATCGGTACCGGTGGAGAAGCGGCCTTTGAACTTGAGTCGACCAATCTCTTCAATCTTCATGTCAGGGATGTCCTTGAAGTTGTCCTGAGTGATGTAGTTCTGTGACAGACGCAGACCCTTGTCGCAGTTGAAGATGGGAATATCGAAGTCGCGCTCCTCGCAATCTGGGAAGTCTTGAAGCCACAGCGACGCAAAAGCGTCAGCATGGCGCTTGCCAGGAGGATAAAACTCGAAGAACACCGGAGATCTGTAGCGGTACCGAATAGGAAGACGGATCTTCTCATGCTTGTCCTCGCCACTGATGTTCCATGAGTAGCCATCTTGCTCCTCGAGCTTATTACAAGCGTCTCGCTTGATGCTGGCTGAGCTGCCACCGGTACGAAGTCGGATTTTGGTCTTCAAGCGACCATAGCCGGCAGCGGTGATTTCTTGGGAAGTGAACTCGAAAGTGCCTACGTCCCAGCCAAGCTGGCTCGGAGGCAAGCGCAGCTCGACGGACCTGAAGAGCAGGGAAATACGGATCCTTCCGTATCCGACTCCGCCATCGAGAGGGTACCATCTTGTAGCTTCACTTCCAGTTCGTAGGATATCAGATAGCTTAAGGGGGACCACGCCGATGATGGGATCGTGCTGTCTGTTGCGGGAGTCGCGGACTGAGATTGTTACAATACCTGACCTCCAGTCTCGGATGAACTTTTCAGTACCGGCGTTGAAGATGGGCTGTGAAGACACGGCCTTCGTACGTGTTTTGTAGATCAATTCGTCGTTGACCAGGATCGTGCAGTATGAACTGGGCAACTTGCTGCCTTGCTCCTCTTTGACCTCGCCAGCATCAAGACGGGCAGGCTCGTACTCGCGTCCCTTGCGCTTGCCGTTGGAACCCTTCACATTGGCGAGCTCCAATCCAACGATCTGGTGAACAACGATACTGAGGATACCAGAGGGCCAGAGAGGGTCGGGAGGGGTGTGCTCGACGGCATCCTCAATATCGTTCTCAATCGTACCCTTTTCATCCTGAAGTTCTTTCTTGTCCCTTAGTTCAGGAGGCAAGTTGACGTCTTTACCGTCGGTACGGAGAGCCTTGCGGAACTGGGTTTTGCCAAAGAAGCCAACCTCCCAGTGCAGTTCACCAGGCATAGAAGTCTCGGCCTTGACTCCAGCGAGCTTAGAAACTTGAGGAAACATCTTGCCTGGGTGTTGAATGAGTTTCTGGATGCTCAACTCGACTTTGCCAACGACGTCGTCCGCAGATGAGCGATCGCTATCCCAAAGTTCGACTGAAAGTTGCTCATCAGCCTTGATCAAATCAGCGGTAACCAGCAGGCCGCAGCTCTCTTCGAAGACGGGATTGAGATCATCTTGGATGACACGGGTGCAGAACTGAGGCTTCGAAAATTTGCTCCAGGCGACAGTGATATAGGGGTCGGAGCCTCCACCCTCGCTGCCACGGCGGTCTTGTTTGCTGAGGCCTGTTGCCTTGTGAATACGGATGAATAGGAGACCAAGGGCAAGGGTCTCCTTCTTGATGTCGTCGCCTTGCAGCATCTTGCTCAGGTCGAGAGTCATGCTTTTGGGAGCAACGTACTGTTCTTATTAGTCATGATTCGGCTCTTAGGGATTTCACACTGCTTACCATAGAGGCGGCGGTACCAATGGCCCAGTTCACAAAGTTGGAGATAAGTGGCAAATTGAGGATGTTCACTCCCTTCTCAATCATCGGAGTACAACCTGCCTGAACCTTGGGAATACCCATGAGAGTAAACGTGAGGGTCTTGAGGAAAGGCGGCTCAGGGGTAAGCTGAAGTCTGATACGGGCGGTGGCGACAAGTCCCTGCAGCTCGACCCCTATGGATTGATTAGACACTGCCATCTGAACAATACACTGGTGTACTCACAAATGGGGAGAGGAACACCGAAAAGACCGCGGACACCAAGGTAGAAGACCAATTGCATGCCCATGTTGCGGGCCTTGGACGAAACGTCAGCGCCTGACGGCTTTGCGTGGTAGGCGACCGAGGCTTCAAGGTTGTAGAACGAGCCAGCCTGCTCCATGGCAGCCAGCTCGTTGGGATCGGTATTCGCCTGGTTCTGCTTATGGGCTTCGTCCTTGATATCCTTGACGTGGCTGTCGGGAAGGGCGCGCAAGCTGAGAATGCGGAGCGGATTGCTGCCCTGTGAAATGTCGGCGACGCGCACGTTCTCGATAACACCAGGAACCGAGGCGGCCATGACATCCTCAAGAGTATCGGCTAGGCCAGCAAACATCTCGGGGTTGATTAGATTCCACATGATGCCCACGGCGGTGTTCATCCACTGGGCTAATTGTCAGCTTCAAATCAGGTTGAAGAAATCCGGCTCACTCACCTCAACCGACTCGGGGACCAGGTTGACAGTTGCTGTTTCGCCACGCTGCTGCTCACTGGACCATTCCGTGTTTCGGCCTTGTGTGATGAGGTCCTTTATCCATAGAAACACACCAGATGCGACGCAGAATCCGAGCGGAAGCAGGCCGTAGAGCGCACCACCAAAGAACTTGCCGACAATGACGATACTGAAGAAGATACCCGCGCACAAAATGTTTGCTCGTCTTTCCAGGTGCTCAAACATGGGTTCGTAGCTGACGCTGGGAGTGTGGAAGAAGTTCACATTGGTCTTTTCGCTGTGGATTGGCACGTCGGTCGTGCTTCCGGGCTCGACTGGATCGGGCGGTGCCGTGATATCTTGGGCCCGTCGATACTCCTCGCCAGACTGATTAGGGGACGTTGAGACTGTGGCATCCTTTCCGAGATTATTATTGGGAACGGACAACTGCCAATTGATACGTTAGCATATTCCAGAGTAGACATGGGTCCTTCGTAGAGAGGTTGACGTTACCTTGGGGTTATCTACTACGTCCTTGAAGTTTTCCTTGGGGTTTTCAATCTCAACATCCTTGCCAGTGACGGGGTCCCGCACTGTCTTGGTTGTCTTGCGAGCGCCTCTTGGCTTCTCGGGGATGTGATCCTTTGTGTCTTGTAACTGTTGATTTTGTTGTTGCTGTTGTATATTGTTCTGAGGCTTCTGCTGGGCAGCTTCCTTTGCAAGCCTGGCATGCTCCTTGTCCTCAGCTTCAATGGCAGCGTCGCGCTCCCTCTTCTCCTTGTCGAGCTGGGCGACGAACTCGTGGATGTTTGGGATGCGGTTCCGGCCGCTGTAGTGCTGGCCCCCGGTCGGCACCGTGTGTTCGTCGTAATTCATCTTGCCACCATGAACAATTCTGTCCGTAACCTTGCTTGACGTGCTTGTCTTGGAAGTGAATGAAGATATAGACCAGTCGTAGCTGAGACGATCAGGTACGCTTTCAAGATCCAAGTCAATTACCTAATGTTTGGGGAAAACACGAAAAGGCGACGAGAAATGGCAAAGGAAGAATCCAACCGTCAAGACTGAACGTGCTGAAGTTGATATCTAGGGGGTTAGGGATATATCATAAGAATGCGGACCGCCGAGTAGGGTAGGTAGGGAGAAAAGGGAATCGGTAATACGGGCATGTAATGCTGGGAAAAGAGCCCCTCCAATTGCCTCATAGCTCCGAGTATCCTTCAGCTTTAGCCAGCTAGCTCGCTTCACCATCAAATAGCAGCCACACGGCAGCTTCCACTGCCAGGTTGGGTGGTTAGTTGGTCGTGTCACCCTCCTTTGAGCTGCAGCTTGCCCCCCTTGGGCTGAGAACTGGAAGCTGTGATGGTCAATGACGTAGCGTGTCTCGCGACTTGATGGCGGGAAAGCCCACTAACAGCAGGGGCGGCTCCACCCCCGAACAAGCCCCCGGCTCCTCGAATGCCCTATGACGGAAGAAGTCCCCGGTACTTTGACCTGGCCCGAGCGTTTCCGTCACTTAATCCACGTCTTTCTTGCCGGGGCTACTATCAACCTCTGTTAGTTTGACCCAGATGGATTGACATGTCCACGAGAGGTGGCAGCCACAAACATTCCTCCGAGCAAAGTTATCAGGACCAGAGGCACGGTAGGACTCTCTGCCACCGTGGCTGGAATGCTCCATGCTCAAGGGCCCTAAGCAGCCCCCTCTCACTTGTTGACTGGACTGACGCCGTGCATGTATGCATGGCTTTAGGCGGGAGGTGAACATTCCCGCCCTGCCCTTTACTAAATTCCTGTTTTTTGTCCCAAATGGACTGCCCGTGTGACAAACGCTGCGACAAGCTGGTGGCCGATCTGCGGTACTGTGCTTGCGTACATGGCTGGGGGTAAACAACAAGGTCTGGCTGCGTGTTCATTGGCCTTCCGCCGGGGCTTGTCGCTCCTTGGCTTTATGGTTAGCTCACCCCTAATCGAGCTTTACAGCTGGAAATGAGGGGGATGAGAGGGGAACGTTTGGTCCGGCCATTGATTGTCGGTTGGTCGTGGGGATTTTCGATGCTAATAGTTCTCTTATTCGGTTAAAGAGAGGAGATCTCTAGGTCCGGTCTATTCCAAAGCGTAGCAAGCGTAGGTAGCAACGTTCTGCCTCTGCCAGCTGTGCCAGCGTGCCAGCCTAGAGAGCCAATGCAGACATTTGAGACCTGAGGCTGCCCAAAATCCTGATCGCCGTCCGGGTTGATCAATGTGTGAGGTCAGTCTATCGCAAACTTTCCGGGCGGCTCCTGGACATGGGTGCCGCTGGTCCCGGCCGGCGGGAGGAGACGACGATTGCGTTTGCAGGGCTTTTTGCTCAAAAATAACCACCATGTATTATTGACCATACCCTTACGCAAGCCAAGCTTGAGCTTCGTCAGTCCACATTTTCATCTTGTCCCCACTTTCAGCAACCTTTGCGGCTACACAGTCTCGATGATAGCAGGCTTGCCTCATCACGACGTTCTGGATCCCCCCTCCCTCCCCCATCATTTGTTTCAACTCTCCGTCGCTTTCCTGCGGTCTCATCTGGTTTGGTCTCGTCTGGTCTCTGACAGGATTTGTTGCCCGACCCTCCGTGAATTGGTTGCTGGCCAGACCGTTCTTCGGCCCGCCACAAGTTCGCGCCAGAGTTGGTCAAAGCTCCCAGCATTCTCCTAAAGCACCTCTTTCCCTAGTGTAGTTCACAGCTCAAGGGAGCATGCGGAGGAGTAGATATCGCAGTCATCGACGAGATTACCGAGGGTATGGTTCGTATTGCGTCGTGTTCTCATTAAACCTAAACCGGTACTAGTACATAATCCTACAAAACCGCTTATACCACCCATTTTCAAAACGCTCCCTAAACACCACGCAAATGCAACTTCCCATGTAGTCTCCAATATGACCAAATTAGACACCACACCAGCCTACCTCTTTCTTTGCTTGCAAATTTCATCGATGAACAATCATGTCAGGGGGTATGGGCGTGTCCCGCCGACTCCCAGTTTCCGGATTGATTAGATCCGCTGAACCCAGCCTATCACTCTGTGACACCAGATGCTTCGACACCGTCGGCGTCACCAGATCAATCTCCATATCCCCTGGCGTTAGCCCCCGATCACAAGAGACGCTGCTGCTCGTGTCCGACATCTCCACGTCCTCGCCAGCCTCTTCAAACGTCTCGACGCTAGGCGTCGGGAGATCGCCGCAGGTCTGCACCTCCAGAGTCGGAGCCGCAGCCGCAGGCTTCTTCTGTGAGGAAGAGGACGAGGACACTGGCATGTGTGCGCCAGCCGCCGCCGGCTCGGCCGCTCGCAAAGCCGCCACGGCGCCGCCCAAGTTCTCCTCGTCCTCCTCCTGGTTGCCGATCGTCCAGACCCACCGGCGCTTCTTTTCCTTGCGCTTCCGCTTCCTGATGCCCCCGGAGGGACTGACCGGTGGCGAGTTGGCCGCCAGACCCGCCATCCGCCGCCGCATCTCCTCAAAGGGCCCGGGTGTCATACCGCCGTCACGGGTCTCATCGCTCGTGAAAGCCATGGCTAGGTTCAATACGGTGTTTGGCTCCTGGGCTGGTGCCGGTGATGCTGGTGAGACATCTTCGACGAGCAGGTCGATGTGAGACTTAGTGTACGTGTTCGTCGTAATGGTCTGCTCGATGGGGCTGTTATAGGCGACACGGCGGGCGGCCTTTTCCTGCAAGCGTAGGGATTGCCGGCGCGGTGAGACGGGGGTTTTGGCACTAGAGGGAGGGAGAGGCGAGTTGCGAAGGATGCTGTGGAGGGAGCGGGGATGGGTGTAGGGGAGCTTTGAACCCGCAAGGGTCAAGTTGTTGCGTTTCCTTTCAGAGCGCGGCCCCAGCTGGTTGGTGATGAGTCCGATGGCCGTCAGCGGGGTCTTTGTGTCGACCGGTGAGAAGCCAAACATCTGAGGACCGTTGGGCTCTACAGGACCGGCGGAAAGAGGTGGAGTGGCTGTCATGGTACTCGGGAAGGTAATCTCCATTGCGACGCCGGGCGAGAGAGGGTGTGCGGTCAATGGAGTTTCGGGATATGAGACTGCATACGGTGTCTGTATACGGAGCTGCGGTGTCTTGGAGCCATTCTGCAAGCGCGATGGCTGTGGTTGGGAAGTGTTGATGGCCGTGAGCGGTTCTGATACGGTTGGTGTCGATCTCTCAATGGCGGTCACATAGACGTTGGAGAGAGTGTTGAAGATGGTCGGGTCCTTGGGATCGACGACAGAAAAGGACTTGTTGATCCTTGTATGAGGCGCCGGTGATGTCTTGATGCTCAAAGACAGCTTTGGCCTTCTCGAGGCGGTTCCAGTCTGAGTAGCCATCGTGACCACGTGATGCCAGTCTCGGATCCGGAAGAGTGGTATAGGTTATCAAGCCTGCGGCACAGCCTGAATAGCCAGCAGGTTGGGTCGTACAGGGGTCAAGCGACGACCTTGGTCTCCCAAACGGTTGGAATCACCGGGATGAGACAAATCGATTCAGAAAGAGGGGGGAATCAGCAGCGATGAGACGTAGGGAAGAGGGGGATGGCGGCTATATAAATTGGGAAGTGGTGCAGCGCTCAGAGTTTGTTTGTTTTGTGAGGAGGTTTATCCACGTTTGGAGGCCGTCTGAGAGGCGCCGCTAGACAGACATATATGCAATGCAGTGTGACTAGAGGAATAGACAATAGACGCCATTGAACGAAGGAATGTGTCGCACGCAGGACGACACCCCCTCGCCGCAGGCAGCTCCAGTTCTGGTTGGCTATTTTGGGCAGCCATATGTGATGAGGAAGAGGCGCAAGCGCCGGGCTCAGATGGGATCCTTGTTGACTCGAGTCGCATCCCTGCAGATTGGCCAATGACGACGGCGGGGGCGTCGGCTGTCTGCCCGAAGCGGCGTCTATTTCGCTGTACGACCGGGGACGTTTTGGAGTAATGAATCCCTCGCCATTTCCGGGTAGAAAGACGGTGAGGAACAGGCAGACTGGCGCAAACACACACAGAGAGAGAGAGGGGGGGGGGGGGAGGGAGGGGGACTTTTTTCGTCGAGGGATAGTTGACGATAGTAGGTGATACACTGATACCAAAGTCAGGGTGCGCTTGTTGGTCTAAGAAACGACAGCGACCTGGTCAACAGGCGGCTATTCAGACGCGGTCATCCAGTCTCCTTTCTCGCTTTCGAGAGTTCCCCAAGCCACGCAAGAGTTCGTCGCAGAATGCCTGGGACCCACACTTGTGAATCCTCAAGTCGATCTTGGCAGCCGTTGAAAAAAAAGGTAGCGTGCTGAAGCCTAGCACCTCTGGCGCGGGAATGTTGAGATGAGTGAGACGAGACGACTGAGTGAGAGGGGCGAAAGAAAAAAAAAAACAAAAAGGGCTGAGTACCAGAAGGAAGCGAACTCTGTCGTCTTGTCTCCGCTTCCCCAGCGAAAGCGAAGAACCGTCTCCACTTTGATCCGTGCGAAGAGACGCGACAGCCGATGGCGCGGGGGTCTGACAGGCTTTGCCATGCTGTGGCGGCACTGGGTGGGCCTCTTTTCAAGAGGATCATTCCCGCTCCCAGAAGGAAGCCTCCATAGGTACCAAGCCACAGCAATCTCCAAGCGGGGTCCCTCCCCCATGCCCTCGTCCGCAAATTAATCGGCGTCCAAAATTAAGTAATCCTGCAGGACGTCCCAAATTACCTTAACCTTTGACTCTTGAGATCAGATGTGACCAGCTGGTCCCAGCTGCCCGCACTGACATCCCATTGTCAACCTCACCGGCCGCCGGCCCTCTCCTAGCCCCACAGCCGCCGGGCTGGCCGAGCTCTGTCGCAAATATCCCCAGAATAATATCTAGCCAAGATCACGGATGATACCCCCACGACGTACCACCATCTCTTCAAGGTCTGCGTTATCTGTCAACTCGGCCGATTGGCCCCTGTTGCTGCTCTCTCCCTCTATCTGCACGAATCTCTTTAACAGTCTCACAATTACCGATAAGCCAGCACAGCTCCCATCATTGGGTCGGCCGGCCATCTTGTGAGCGACGTCCGTCTCGAGAGTATTGGATGGATCAACCACGACCAAACCAGGCCCCGCCGGCGACTCTCATTACTGCCCGCAGGCTTCGCCGATGAGTACATCTCAGTAGGGCGACGGCCTCACTCATGAACTTACACCTTGACGGAGAAAAGCTTGATCATAAAAAGAGATTAAGATCCAGCACTACCGGTTTTTGTTTTTAGAGACAAGCAGAATTGCGCGGTCTTTTCTAAGCGACGTGTTTTTAATCTATGTTGAATTTTTTTGGCATATAATATAATGGGTGCGTTGATGTCACCCTGCTGACCTGTGCTTCTGGATCGGGTCATGCCGATCGCTTCAGCGGTATCCATACGAAGTTATGAACACGGACTCACACTCTTATAGGCTCCACTATCCAAGATACCTTCCCTCTCACTATTCCGGAATGGAGAGAGGCTCAAGAAGCTGGGGACGGCCTTAGCCGACTCTTGTCGGTTCGTGAGTCCGAGGCCACTTTAAACTCCAACGCCTGGATAGCACTGGCCACACCGTCCCAAATCGAGCATCAATGGGCTCACGCTGAATCCTTACGTTTATCTGGTGCTTCCCTGCCACTCTTCGGCGTCCCCTTCGCGGCCAAGGACAATATTGATGTCGCCAGCTTCCCCACAACTGCCGCGTGCCCCAGCTTTGCCAATGGCCCCGTGGACCAGGATGCCGCAATCATCGCCCGTCTCAAGGCTGCCGGCGCCATCATGCTCGGCAAGACAAACCTCGACCAATTCGCTACAGGCCTTGTCGGCACTAGATCACCGTATGGCCCAGTGAGTAACTCCTTTGATCCCGCCAGAGTCAGCGGCGGCTCGAGTTCCGGCAGTTCTGTCGTCGTTGCGAGGGGCGTCGTCCCTTTCTCCCTTGGTACAGACACGGCTGGCAGCGGCCGTGTTCCCGCCGGTCTGAATAACATCGTGGGAGTGAAGCCTACTAGAGGTGCCTTGAGCACGACCGGGGTATTGCCCGCATGCCGCAGCCTCGACTGTGTGTCCATTTTTGCACTCACAGTCGAAGATGCCGAGACGGTCTTGGCTGCGGCCGAGGGCTTCGACCCCAAAGACTTCTTCTCAAGGGCACGGCCGGATACCCCAAGTATAGTCGAGGGACATCGCATGGCGGTCTGCGACAACCCTCCATGGTTCGGCAAGACTGAGCAGTCTGCGGCCTACGCAAAGGCCCTGGAGAAAGCCGAAACCCTCGGTTGGACACTTGAGCCCGAGGACTTCTCTCCGCTCTTCAAACTCGCCAGCTTGCTTTATGAGGGTCCCTGGGTTGCGGAACGCTACGCCGCTATCAGAGACTTCATCGAGGCAGACGGAGACAAGATGGACCCCACCGTCCGGGAGATCATCCTGAAAGCCAAAGACTTTAACGCCGCAGACCTTTTTGCGTCAGAATACCTACGTCAGGAGCTGACGCGCAAGATCAAGAACCAATTTGGTGGCTTTGACGCCATCCTGGTTCCCACTTCTCCCACTTTCCCTACCATTGAGGATCTTGCCAGGGAGCCGATCAAGGAGAACGCCTATCTTGGCACATACACCAACTTTGTCAACTTCATGGACTGGACCGCGCTGGCGATCCCTGCCGGCTTCAGATCCGATGGACTACCCTTTGGCATCACCTTGATCTCATTCACGTGGGACGAACCAAAGCTGCTTTCACTGGCAAGGGAATGGCTTTGCACAAGTCCCCGGCCGCTCGGGGCAACCAAAATTGAAAGAATCGATACACGGGAATCTGGCGCCATCGCAGCGGGCGAGCCAAAGAAGACTCGTCTTGTGGTGGTAGGTGCTCACCTGACAGGGTTCCCTTTGAATAAAGACCTGACGTCTCGTGGAGGAACACTAGAGACGGCCACAACGACATCTCCAAACTACAAGTTTTATAGTCTAAACATCGGCGGCACGGTAAAGAAGCCGGGCCTGCAGCGTGTTCAAACCGGTGGCAGCGCCATTCAGGTCGAAGTTTGGGGTATACCCACGACGGAGGTCGGTAGCTTCCTGAAGACCGTGCCTTCGCCTCTCGGCATTGGTTCCGTCGAGCTCGCTGACGGGAGCTGGGCTCCTGGTTTCATTTGTGAGCCCTATGGATTGGACGGTGCTATTGACATCACCTCATTCGGAGGCTGGCGTGCCTTCATCAAATCTCTATCCCCCGAGGATTTTCAGCTTGGCAGTAATTCAAAGACTCGGGACATCAAGACCGTCCTCATCGCCAACCGTGGAGAGATTGCCGTCCGAATCATCCAGACTTTGCATTCCATGGGCATCAAGGCCGTTTCGATCCACTCCTCTACCGATGCCCGCTCACCTCACGTACGCAACGCCGATGTGTCCCTTCCTCTTCAAGGTAACTCTGTCTCGGAAACCTACCTCAATGGCTCGCAGATCATCTCTCTCGCAAAAGGCGCAGGCGCCGATGCCATCATTCCGGGGTATGGCTTCTTGGCAGAGAATGCCAATTTCGCTTCAGCTGTCGAGGCTGAAGGCATGGTCTGGGTCGGGCCGACCGCTGACCAGATGCGGCAACTCGGCTTAAAGCACCTCGCTCGTGATGTTGCCATTGGAGCAGGTGTCCCTGTTGTGCCTGGCAGCAAGCACCTCCTCAAGAGCGCCGAAGAGGCTCTCACCGAGGCAGGCCGTATCAATTATCCCGTGATGCTGAAGAGTACCGCGGGTGGTGGTGGTATTGGCCTCAAGCGCTGTGATGATGCTGCATCACTTATCGAGGCCTTTGAGAGCGTTCAGAGGTTGGCGCAGGCCAACTTTGGCGACGCTAGAGTCTTTGTGGAGCACTTCATTGAGCATGCTCGTCATATCGAGGTACAAGTCATTGGCGACGGAGAGGGCAACGTCACGTCTGCCGGTGAGCGAGATTGTTCCTTGCAACGACGGAATCAGAAAGTGATTGAGGAGAGCCCTGCCACCTTTGTACCTCTCGATGTGCGTAAAAGGATGCGCAAGGCCGCTGTCGACCTCGCCTCCGCCGTCAAATACCGCAACGTCGGCACCGTCGAGTTCATCTACGACATTGACACCTCGAAATTTTACTTCCTCGAGGTCAATACCCGGCTACAAGTTGAGCACCCCGTCACGGAGTCCGTGACAGGCCTTGATCTGGTTGAGTGCATGATCCGTGTGGCATCTGGCGACAGCAAAGACATCTTCGCCAAGCCCGAAGGGTTCGAGATCAAAGGTGCCGCGGTCGAGGTGCGCGTCTACGCGGAGAGTCCGCTCCAGAACTTCCGCCCCTCCCCAGGCCGCCTGCTGGATGTCTCTCTCCCTGACGGGGTACGCGTCGATACATGGGTTGAGCCCGGGATGGAGATTTCATCGACCTACGACCCCCTCGTGGCGAAGATAATTGCCACGGGCCAGGACCGACCAGCAGCGATCGCCAAGCTCGCTGAAGCTCTGGAGAAGACGGTCATCACTGGCGTTGAGACCAATCTGAACTACGTCCGCCACATTGTCGCGTCGGAGATATTCAGTTCTGGTACCTTCACCACGACGTCCCTCAACACCTTTACGTTTGAGTCTTCCGTCTTTGAGGTCGTTGATCCGGGCACCCTCACCGTTGTCCAAGACTACCCGGGGCGTAAGGGGTTATGGCACGTGGGCGTCCCACCGTCCGGGCCCTTTGACGACTACTCCTTTAGGCTCGCAAACAGACTGGTCGGAAACGACTCGCGCGCCGCCGGGCTTGAGTGTACCATTCACGGTCCCAGCCTTCTCTTCCACTGCGACGCCGTCGTAGCTGTCACCGGTGCTACCGCCGAAGTTAGAATCGACAAGGAGTCCGTCCCGCAGAACTCCGTCTTTCCTATTCAAAAGGGCCAGACGCTGGTCATTGGTGGCGCAACATCCGGGTATCGCAGCTACCTCGCTATCCGCGGCGGCATCGCCGTCCCCGAGATCTTCAACTCTCGCTCGACCTTTGCGCTGGGCCAGGTCGGAGGCCACAACGGACGGAACCTCCGCTCCGGTGATCTCCTCCCCGTGGGAAACCTGACCGTCACCGCCCCATCTACCGCCTCCGGCCCGGCAACTCCCATCCCGTCCGACCCGGCCAACGCGAACTGGTCCATCGGCGTCGTCCCCGGACAGCACTCGTCACCCGAGCACTTCACAGAGCAGGGCTTCAACACGCTCTTCTCCGGCGAGTGGATCGTCCACTACAACAGCAACCGTGTCGGCATCCGCCTTGACGGCCCAAAACCGCAGTGGGCCCGGCAAACCGGCGGCGAAGCCGGCCTGCACCCGTCCAACATCCACGACAGCCCCTACTCGGTCGGCAGCGTCAGCTTCACCGGCGACGAGGCGGTCATCCTGACCTGCGACGGGCCCAGCCTTGGTGGCTTCGTCGTCTTCTGCGTCGTCGCCTCGGCCGAGATGTGGAAGCTAGGCCAGCTCCGCCCGGGCGACAGGGTCAAGCTCCAGCCCATCAGCGTCGACAACGCCCTCTTCCTTGAGTCCGCCCTCAGACGTTCCATAGCTGATCTCACGCCCCTGGCAGTGGACGTCACCCCGCTATCCAACAGCCCGACGACACCAGACTCGAACCCTCTCCTGGGCGATATCGGCAGCGCAGGCCGCCGCATCGCCGTCCGCCAGGCCGGCGACAACGCGATGCTCCTGGAATTCGGCACGGACGATGTCTTCTCCCTCCGCCAAAGTTTCCAAATCTTCTCCTTCATCGCCCGCCACAAAACAAACCCCATCCCAGACGTCCGTGAGCTCTCCCCTGGCGTCCGCACCCTGCACGTACAATACACGCCCCAAACACCACCACCCACAATCCTCTCCGCCCTCCGCGCCCATGAGGCCTCCCTCCTCGACGACGAGACGATCCTCCCCACCTCTATCCCCTCCCGCACCTTCCACCTCCCCCTCGCCTTCGACGACAGCATCTCCCGCGCCGCCGTCGCCCGCTACGCCGCCACCATCCGCGCCACCGCCCCCTGGCTCCCTAGCAACGTCGACTTCCTCCGCCACCTCAACGCCCTTCCCTCCCGCGCCGATGTCGAGCGCATCTTCCTCGACGCCACTTTCCTCGTCCTCGGCCTCGGCGACGTGTTTCTCGGCTCCCCCTGCGCCGTGCCCCTCGACCCGCGCCATCGCCTCTTTGGCACGAAATATAACCCCTCGCGCTCCTTTACGCCGCGCGGCGCTGTGGGTATTGGGGGCCAGTATATGTGCATCTACGGCATGGACTCGCCGGGAGGGTACCAGCTGGTCGGCCGCACGGTTCCGATCTGGGATGATGTTGCCGCCTCCGCTGTCGTGTCGCGCTGCCGTGGCGGCGGCAACGGAAAAGCCGAAGCTGCCGCAGAGCCGTGGATGTTTCGCCTTTTTGATAGGATATCCTACTATCCCATCCCAGAAACCGACCTCGACGCCGCCATAGCACAGGGCCGGGTGTCAGACCTCGTCCGCATCGTGGAGGGGAGCCTCGACCTGGAAGAGTACGAGTCCTGGCTTGCGGCCAACGAAGCCGACATTGAAGCCACGCGCCGACTCCGCGCCAAGGCGATTCGTAACGTGCCGTTCATGGAGGAGCTGCTTCAGCCGTATCATCCGCCCGAGAGCGAGCGGCATGGCGTCTTTGGTGAGGGAGAGGAGGGAGACGGCGGTAGCGGCGTGGCGGGGGAGAGAATCAAGGCGCAGATGCCGGGCCGGTGCTGGAAGTGCGAGGTGCGGGCCGGCGACGAGGTCGAGGTGGGCGACGCGCTGGTGTGGATTGAGTCGAATAAGATGGAGATCAAGATTGGGAGTCCGGTAAAGGGGAGGGTTGTCAAGATGTTGGTTGCCGAGGGGGATGTTGTTGGACCGTTTGATGATTTGCTTGTTGTTGCGACTGAGTGAGGCACGCTTGCTTTCAGGGTTAAGGGGGGGGTTGCCGTCTGGATCGTGATTTGGACGAGCCGCGTCTTGTGGCGGTTAGGATCCATTCTCAATCGCTTAGATCTGACTTGCAAGCGCTGCTACGATGTTTGATTTTCATAGATTTACGACCATGTTGTATGAACACACCAAACTTCCGTCGTCTCTATCAAAGTTGTTTACGGGTATCCCAGAGACAAAACTCAAACATAGAAAACCAGCACGCGTACTATATAGCTTGAAACCCTGAGCAACAATCTCCCATCTCCCGTTTTTTATAACCCACCAAATTTCGCCAGCCATAATAATCATTGCACATGTTTTTGTTTACATAAACTCACTGACGAGTCCCCATATCAGATCTTGATCTCAGCGGAAGCCCGAACAGCCCCCAACCCGCCAACATCAGCCTCGAGCATCCGCAGCGCCTCCCTCGCGAAAGGCGCCGCCTGCGCCCTGACCCTCAGGCTCCAGAGGTACTCCTCGACGCGGTCCGCGTAGTACATAGCCTCGGCGTCGTCGTCTGAGGTGGCCCACAGCAGGCCGGCAAACGAGCCGATGGCCGCGAGCTGAGCGGAGGCGGCGAAGCCCCAAAAGGACTGGATATGTTCCATCTGCAAGTTGGAAATCATGTTGAAGGCGGCGGCGAGGCGGGCCCGCGCGCCCGCGCGGATCGCGAGGCGGAGCTCAGGCGGCGCATTGGAGGAAATGTTGCGGACTAGGGAGCGGTGAAGGGCTAGGTCTATTGAGATGTAGGAGAGATGTAGAGAGCCTGTGGGAGATGGTCAATAAAGAAAAAAAAAACCTATCGGGACTGCTCAGAGGAAAGAGGATTAAACGGAGATAGTGGGGGGAGGCTTACCGTTTGCAGAGAGCTTCTTGGGACGTGTCTCCTGGAGCTGGAGGGCTTCGGGGAGTTTGGCGTACCACTCGCGGAGCATCATGACGATGGGCTTCGCGAGCTCAGCGACGCCCACAGTGCCGACCTGGTCGAGCGTCCCGCCGCGGCGGGTGGCCTTGGCCGTGTAAAACGTGCCGAGCACGTCGCTCAGAATCAGAGACAGCTCAATCTGCCGCAAAAACAGCTCGCGGCCGACGACGACCTCTGCGCTGCCCTCCGGATCGTGCTCCTCGTCGGCGGCGTTTTCGGGAAAGTCCTCGATGCAGCAGGGGCGGACGTCCCAGTCCTCGTCGAGGCGGATGTGCGAGGGCCGGCCATGGACGAGAGAGCCCCATTTGTCCTGCATGAAGAGGGCCCAGGCAAGGCGGCGGCGCAGGCCCTTTTCCCAGTCCGGGATCGCCCAGTCGCTGCAGTCAACGTGGAGGCCGAGCCCCTGGGCGAGAGCGATGAGCTGGGCGGTGAAGGTCCACGTGTTGTTGCGGAAGCGCTGTTGAATGAGGAGGCCTGCTTGAAGGGTCGAGATCTTGGGCCGCTTCATGTCGTCGCTCATTGTGCGGAGGGCAAGGGCCTCAAGGGCGGCCTGGTCGGGCTGCCATGAGGAGACGGCTAGTGTGCGGTCGTACAGGGACCAGTCTAGGGCCAGGAGGTAGACTGCGGCGAGAAGAGGTGGGGAGAACTCGTGATATGAGCGGGCGTACTTTTCCAGAAAGACCTTTTTGTGAAGAATGGGAAAGCTGGGGTGGACGATGCGAAAGTAGAGGTTGACGAGGGTCGAACCGAGTGGGTGGACGACCTTTTCTATGGCGTCGAGGTCGACTATTCGTTGGGGTTCTGAAGAGGTTTCGCGGTCGCGGTGGATGAGAAAGACGGTTGAGTCATCGAGACGGCGGACGAACCTGACGGCCGGGTCTTGAGGACGATGGAGATCCAGGAGGGAAGGCTCCCGGTAGTCAGTGTTACCGACGTACTGGGAATGGGTCTTGAGATGTAGACCGAGGGTGCCGTCGAGGAGGGAGACGGGCTGATTGAAAGTTACGTGGTGTTCTGAACCGGCGAGGGACGGTGACAGTGCCTCGAGCAGTTCGGGGGACGGATGCCTGTAGTTTGAAAAGGCCTGTTAGACCAGATGACTTTAGAAGATGAGATGATTTACTGGGAAGCTAAGGACAGGTAGAGGAGGACAGGCCCATGGCGCTAACCAGCCCGAGAGGTTGATGGTGTGAGCCAATGGGAAGGGGTCATGGAGACTATTCAGGAAGGACATGGCACAATGACAATACAGTGATACAAAGGAGGCAAGGTAAACGTAGGTCAGAGGCGAGTGTCGAGGGCAGTCCAAGACGAAAATGAAGATACGATAAGAGAATGTCACATCACTTACGTTATCTCATCCTGGGAATCCAGCGGGACGGGCGCGGGTGGAGGACCTGCGGTTGCAGAGACGGAACCATTGGTCGACGGGCGCTGTTCCGGGGGATCGGTGGCCTTCCGGCGCTTGCGCGGGAGCGGCCCGCGGAGATATGTGCAGGGCTGGCCGTGGAAAGAGCACATGACGCACTTGTCGCGGCCCTCCTCGCGGACACAGCGCGTCTTGCGCTGACGACATATGTCACAAGGTCGACTCTGGGTGGTCCCTGCAGTCGAGGGCCCCAGTGCTGATTGTGCCGATGTTTGCCCCCCGGCGGTTGCTGCAGAGGGGTGCGACTCGAAGGAGGGGATGTTGGCTGACGGCGAGGGCGCCGGCATGGTCGTTGGACCGGGGCCGGCGGTGGCGGGGTCGACGTAGGGCGCTGGTGTGGTGTCCATGTCCATGACGGGTAGGCGGGCGGGCGGAACCGGGCGACAGCCGGGGCGAGCGCGGGGGGCGTGTGTGCGGGCGTGCGGGCGTGAGTGAGAGATAAGGGGTGACGGGAGTAAACGGTTAGGCGACGTTGAATCAGATTGGTTTGTGTCAGGCGAGATAGTGCCGGGTTGTGCGAGTTGTGAAATTCGAGATTGGGTAAGGTAGGCAGGTTGCCAGGCCGGGCTGGGGGGAGGGGGAAGTTGGTCACGTAAAAACAGTGACACACACGAAAGAGACGAGGAGGCGTGATGTGCTGCCAAAAAGGGAGCAAAAGGGCAAGATTTCCCCGCCGATGATGGAAGATTGTCGTGTGAGTCCCCCGGTTCGGCAGAGAGAGAGAGAGAGAGAGGCTCTCCCACCTCATGCGTCAACGCTGTGCCTACGTAGTATGGTGCCAATGCTGGGGGAGATGGAGCGGCTACGGCACGGTAGCCATGAGGCTGATCAATCAAGACTGAGCTGAGCTGCAAGTGAGTGTCATCGACGACTCAGTCTGTCGGTACCTGGGCCCGACCGAGTGGTTGTCTGTCTGTGTTCCAGACTCACTCAGTGTCTGTCTGTCAGACTGTCTGGGGTGAGTGAGATGGGAACACGAGCAATGGCGTCCTCGTCCTCCAATGCCCACCACAGTGCCTTGGGTCTTGGGTCTTGGGTCTTGGGTCGGTATTGTCTGTAGTCTGCTCGAACACTGAGACAGTGAGACAAGCTCTCCAATGCCTTATCGCCGGGGTGGTGTCGTCTGATTCGGCAGGGCTGGGCTGCGCGCTGCTCACTGCTGTTATCGCAAAGCTGGATGGGAATATTTTTCATCGATAACTCTCTGTCAGCCGGTTCCATTGTGAAGGTACAAAGTACGGGAAAGATACGCTGTGTGGGAAAAGTGAAAACTGGGGTGGGGTGGCAGAGAAAGACTGGCCGGATATATTCAGAGGTACTCATAAGTATCTTTGCACTACGTGAAAGTACTACACTACATCTATTTACAAGACTGCTCAGTGCAATTCCCCGTACCTAGCCCCATTGACCTCCCCTGCCAGCGGCGTTGCCGGCTAAGCGGACGCGGACTGGTCGGGCTGCTGACAGCTCCCGGTCCCCTAAGGTGAACTTCGAGAGCGAGGGTGCTAGGTAGGTAAGGTAGGTACGTACTATTATACGTACTCTGTCGTCTGAGGTCAGGTAAGCTCCAGCTTGCAACGTCGACGGAACGAGAGCCGACTGTAAACGACTGCCTTCTCTCCAACGTTGAGCCACCTTACCAAAGGAACACGACCTCCGCACCGTATCCACGGTTCTACCGCAATTCAAGAAGCAGACACGACGACGAACGTGTACCCAGTCTTCGATATCCACCTTCGCCAACAACGCCGCGATCCCTTTCGCCTTCTCTTCTTCAAACCCCTTTCTGTTCCACGGAAGATGACATCGCAATAACTTACAATGGCCAAGGCCCCAAATCATGGAGCCCACCAAGACGACTCCCACCTCCCTGGCGCCGTCGCTGCCCACAGCCCAAGCGAAGAGGACAGAGGTCTGCTCGCCGACGACCCCCTCGCGTCGCACCACCTCGAAACCGGCGCCAACAGCAGCGACGAGGGGTACTTCGTGACGACGACGAAGCAGTACGCCACGGCCCTCCGATCCCCCGGCACCCCCCGGACCCCGAACCGCGTCCGCTTCAACCCCATCCCCTCCATCGTCGAGCCTCCGCCGCCTCGCGCCTCCATGACCAACAGCAACGGCGGCTCCTCGGCCCGCGCCAGCCGCGACAGCTTCGATGTCGACGACGACCTCTTCCACCACGCCCCCGGCGCCGACGACCACGACGACCACCACCGCCTACCCCTCCTCACCGACATTGAGGCCCCCTCCGTCACCCTCGCCAACAGCCCCTGGGGCGAGGATGCCGACGACGTACACGAGTGGGCCGAGCAGGAGCGCGCCCGGCCCAAGTCGGGCTTGAAGATGGCCTTCATGAACATGGCCAACTCCATCATCGGCGCCGGCATCATCGGCCAGCCCTACGCCTTCAAGCAGGCCGGGCTACTGGCCGGCATCATCCTCCTCGTCGGCCTCACGGTCGTGGTCGACTGGACCATCTGCCTCATCGTCATCAACAGTAAATTGTCGGGGAGCAACAGCTTCCAGGGGACGGTCGAGCACTGCTTCGGCAGGACTGGACTCATCGCCATCTCGGTCGCGCAGTGGGCTTTCGCCTTTGGTGGCATGGTTGCCTTTGGCGTCATTGTCGGCGATTCAATACCTCACGTCTTCACGGCGATCTGGCCCGATATTAGAGAAATGCCAGTGTTTCACCTGTTGGCGAACCGGCAAGTTGTCATTGTAGTTTTCGTGCTGGGAATCAGCTACCCGTTGACCCTATACCGCGACATTGCAAAGGTGAGTTGATTCCTGCTCCTCAATTGAGGTCTAGATAGAGGGAAACTAACATGATCACCCCCATGAATAGCTAGCTAAAGCAAGCACACTAGCCCTCATAAGCATGGGCGTCATCGTAGCGACTGTCATTATTCAGGGAGCTCTCGCTCCTAAAGCCGAGCGGGGTTCCTTCACACCCGCCCTCCTGACTGTGAACACTGGCATATTTGAAGCCATTGGCGTGATTTCTTTCGGTTCGTCCACTCTCATGTCTCCAACAACCCCGGGCCTCCTTTGCTAATGGCGCATGAAATCCCAGCGTTCGTGTGCCACCATAACTCCCTCCTCATCTACGGCTCCCTCAAGACCCCCACCATAGACCGCTTCTCCCGCGTGACGCACTTCTCGACCGGCATCTCCATGGTCGCCTGCCTCCTCGTCGCCCTCGCTGGCTTCGTCACCTTTGGCGACAAGACCCTCGGCAACGTCCTCAACAACTTCCCCTCGGACAATGTCATGGTCACCATCGCCCGCCTCTGCTTCGGCCTCAATATGCTCACCACCTTGCCTCTCGAGGCCTTTGTCTGCCGCGAGGTCATGTTCAACTATTTTTTCCCGGGCGAGCCCTTTAACATGCACCTCCACCTCATCTTCAGCTCCGCCCTTGTCGTCTCCGCCATGATCATGAGCCTGCTCACCTGCGATGTCGGTGCCGTCTTTGAGCTCGTCGGCGCTACGTCCGCCTGCGCCATAGCGTATATCCTCCCGCCGCTGTGCTACATCAAGCTCACCACCCGCTCGTGGAAGACGTACGTCGCCGCCGCCATTATTGTCTTTGGCAGCGTCGTCATGGTGATTAGTCTGATACAAGCAGTTGCGAAAATGATTAGTAGTAAGTGTTTTCTCGGATAAATATTTCTCAAAGTCTTGGTTCCACTAACTCGGGCGTTAGACGATGGCGGACCTGCAAAGTGCATGTAAAAAAGTCGTTGTGTTTCCAACTTGTATGATTAAAAAAAAAGAACTGGTGTTGTTTCATCTAGAGTAAGGGTAGGAAATCGCTGGCCGCCGTCGCGTTCCAGGCGCGCTTTGCTGTGCCGATGGGTTATAGACAACCTGGTCCATTGTATAACAGGTGGTCTTGAGTAGACTATTCGGAGTAAGAATCTTGTAGTTTTTTGTAGAGACTCGGTAAAGGGAATGGGGGGGCGGGGGCGCAGGAAATGCTAAGAAACAGCACTTTGAAAAGAACAGCTTTCGCAACCATTTCTCCTTTGAACCGTGATACCCCGCTCCAGGGGAATATGTAAGACTTTTATGGTTGATTGTTATTTGAGGCCCTTGGATGTTTTGCACACGCAGCAAGACATGAAGATTGTCAGGCACAATTCTCTCCCTTCGATCCCTTCGAAGAAGAAATATCTCACGGCGACAGCCGACAAGATCTTGGCACTGATGCAAAAGACTTCGACACCAAGGATATAATCAAATAGAAGAGCAGAATATAGCCATAAACGAATCAGACGCTTTTATTTACCATTACAAGTTGTATCTATATCTACAATGGCCGAATTGTAGGGGCCCGTCTGTGTCGGTTCCCAGGGGGTATCATGTGCACGTAACCATCCAATTTCCCATCCATATCTGCAATCCCAAGATCGCGGCGCTTGAAAACATAAACTCCTCAGAAGAATTCCAACATGACGAACAAGCAGAAAAATGCTGCGGCGGCCACATTGACGTGAGTGATGGAGGCGTATGATGCAGCCCCTGACTGAGCTGCCGGCGACGTCTGCGCGGCGGCGCTCCCTGTGGCAGTCTCGTGCCCACCGAGACCAAGCGCGGGACCAGTCGTCTGCGCGGCTGACGCGACAGTAGTTTGGTCCGGGTTGTTAACCACCACCGGTGTGGCCGAGGCGGTTGCGGTGGTTGTTACTGGTGGAGGGTCAACTCTGGTTGCAAATCCTACAAAGACAATGGTTAACATCCATTTAAATGAAGCTGAAATGGCAATGACGAATTACCTATGCGTTTCTGGTCCTTGTCAAATACGGCATAGACGTTTTTGAGAAAGACATCTCCCAAAAGCCAGGCTCCCGCAACGACCTCGTGGCCGTAGATGTTGCTGGTGCAGGTGCCATCCGCGGCAGGGCTTGATCTCCAGTCCTTGGCAGAGATAACATAACTGACACCAGAGAATGAGTATGTTACATCCTTATTGCTGTCACACGGCACCTTGTACGTTGTACCGTCAGCTGAGGAAGATCCAGGAATGTTCTTGTGAAAAGCAGCAACGTCGTCCTGGGGTCCAAAGACGTAAGAGGTACCGGTGTCGACATAAGCGAGCTTGCCAGCTGCGCCAGACTTTTGACCATCGTACTGGATGCCATCCAGAGGGATCGCCCAGTCTCCATTGTTGTTCCCAACTCCGGTGTACGTGAAGTTGCCAGTGTATTTTTCGGGGTTGCATGTACCGAAGCTGATCTCGCTCGTGTTGGGTCCATCCGCCGCTCTGTTGAGGTACACACAGAAGATGTTGGCAGGGAGCTGGCCGGAACTTTTGACAACTTGCATGAAATTCTCTGTCTCTCCACCTGCCATGGAAAGTCCCAGAATGCCGTCAAAAGGGAAGTGGTTGAAATCATCCGAGGTCTCGTTGGCCACACCGAATTCGAAGTCGAATTTCATGCCCGCAAAAGAAACGGTATCGGTGATCTTATCACCTTTGACTGAGCCCGATCCGTAGGCGACAGCAAATGTCTCCCCGTTCGGTTTGTACGTGTCCGAGTCGGTAGGGCCGTACGAACCGTGCTTTTCGCAAGCCGACGATGTGCAGGAGCTGCCCATAACCCAACTAGTACCCGCTCCAGTGTCGATGAGCATCCATAGGGGCTTCTCCTTGGAACCTAATTTGACCTGGGCAAAATAGGAATAGTCGGTGCCATCCTGAGCAACGCTGGCTGCGTTCTTGAGGGTGGTGTCTGCCGCTGTAACAATGCGATACAGGCTTTGTCTCTTAGACTTCGATGCCCTCTGTCGGACAGCAGCCGACTGGAATCTAGCATACTTGTGAGAAAGCCTTTGAACCTCGCGGGCGACTCGTTCGGATTCGGGTTCTTCAGTCTACAAAGGATTCGTTAATACCTCCAGACTTGTAAAGGTGTACCAACTTTGCGGTCCAAGTCCATGATTTGAGCGAGACTAAGCAGCCTGTCATGTAAAATCCAAAAGATCAGTCAACTTACCAGAGATTCCTTGGTGATTTGTGGGCCAACACGGAAGCCAGGGAAGTTGATGGCCTTGATGGCATCAACGGCATCAGATCCAAGGGCATCTTGATCCTTCAACTCCCTCTTGGTGGAACTGCAGCCACCTTCGAATGCACAATGCTCAGATACGTCCCAGGGAAAGAATGCGTGAACAGACGTCAGAAACAGTGAAAGCTGGGCGAGGACCAGGGTAGAACGCATGATGCTTTGACTGTGGCTGACAAGTCGAAGCGACGCTCGGTACGGATATGGCGAATGGTCGATGCAAAAAGTTGAAACGTAAAGGGGGCAATTTAGACGTTTTCAAGTGATGACTAGGCGGAACTTCAAAGGAGCTTGACTTGGTGACAGCTGACGGTAGCTTATAATGGGTGATTGACAATCGAAATGACTTGGAAGCAAAGTGATTCGCTACTGTCGATCTTCGGCAAATGCAAGCTCGAGCAAGCAAGCGGGTACCAGACTCCGCGATGTCGGACAAATTATGGTATTAGGGATTAAGTTGAGCGCATTAAAGGCTGCTATAAGTCGGACGGAGAGCCGTCAGGAGACCGTGAAGGTCGTTTACGAGAGGAATGCGTAATCTTTTGAGCGTATGCTTGGCTGACGACTCTGAAATGGTTGTATGCGGGCCGGTCGAACCAAGGGTGAGACAATGGAATTGAGGGGCGGATGATCGAGGGCGGCGCCGGCGAGGAGTGCCAGAGACACGATGCAAGACAATGAGACGACTGCAAGGGTGAAGAGCCCCTTGAAGGATTAGGGACTAGCAGAAGCGATGAGAGGTTCTGATGCCTATATCTGTGACAAAGGACAAAAAAAGGCGAGCAAGGGGAGGCAACTCAAGAAAAAGGATGAAATGCGCCCTGGGGAGAAGGATGAGGAGGAAGAGGAGGAGGGGGAGGAGGATCGGGTGGAGGTCGGTGAGGTCACGTAAAGTGATGATGTGAGGTGAGGAAGAGAGGGAACGAGGCGAGGATGGGATCGTGGGGAGTAGATATGGAGATTTGCGAATCGGAGAGCGAGGAGCCCCGGTTGACTTGCCAGACCCAGGCGAGCTAAGGCTCTAGCGACGATGGGCTTGTCCAGGGTCACAATTGGGAAGTGAGGAAGTGCAGGTGCAGGGTAAAGGTAGGTAAACCGCATGGATACATAGTGATGAGCGGATAGGCGGGCTGACAGGGGTACCTCACAGCAACCTCAGCAAGAGGAGGATGCTACGGAGTACTGTGTATCCGTAGTGTGCACAGAAAAAAGGTCAGACATGGCTTATTTCTTCCCACATTGGGGGTGGGATTCGACGTGTGAAAGGAATTGGCACAAAATGTGATTGAGCAAGGTACCTGAGAGAGCAAAACGGCCGAGGGAGTACTTTGAGCCAGGCACGCCAGGTCTCTGCTTGGCGGACGATGGCTTCCACTGCTGGACTGGCTCAATGCCCCAAGTGGATTGCTCTAGACTCTAGGTAGTTGGGATGGGCAGCAGCTAGTCAGATCTGCGCACATGCATGCAATTGCACAGGTGGAAAACGGCGTTTCTGGCTTGATTTTGGATTGGTTGCCATCGGCTGCCATTGGGTCAGGAGTCAGGACTCAGACTGACGGGTCAGTTGTTCCTCGCGCGCCTCCATCTTTTCGGGACGCTTTTCGGGTGGTCATTTTTGCTGTGTCGTTCCGTCTTTCTCTGTCAGCCGCCTGTCTCCCTCGCTCCTTCCTCTTCTTTCTGTTCATGTCTTATCAAGGAAAGCCATGCCACGGTCGAGGCCACCCCTGACTTGTAAGCTTACCTAGCTAAGGTTGGTAGGTAGGTACGTGGTACCGTACCTTTCCTTCCATTGGGTGATTGGGCCAAGCCTTGTGTGGAGACCACATGGTCCGTGGCGTTATGCAGGTGGCTCTGTCCCAGAGGGAAATGGCAGGAAATATCCGTACCTGGCGAGACGAAAAGGAGGGATCCCTGAGAAACAAGGGAAACACCTTTTAACTTTCCTGCCAGATTCTGAGAAACAAAGTCTCTTCCCTGTGCGCTCTTGGGATGAACGGCGGCTCCTCCATTGGCCAATTCGGCCGTCCCTTCAGATCAACATGCGACGTTGATTGGGCCCCTGCTTCACGCGTCGTCAAGCCCAGCTGTCGATTCTTTTCTCTCTCGGGTCCGCTCACTCTCGAGTCTCAGGGGCTCTGGACCTGGTACCTCGACGGACAACATCCACCTGCTGTCAATGAGAGCTTCTTTATTTGCTTGTTGCTTCTTTACCCAGTATGGACCGCCGGCCCATGCCAAGATGCCTTGGCTTTTGTGGTCCCTTATCTTCCCACCCCGTCCCGACCTGTCTGCCGACGCATGCGGCTGCTGTGCTCCAATCTTGCAATATTCCAGGCTTCGCGTCCTTGTCTTCTGTCTCAAGCTCCTTGGGCTTATGTCTAGACTTGTTGGCTGGATCGGTCTCTACTCTGGGCGGAACAAAACAACCGGCAGCTCGATCGCTTCGCCGTTTGCATTTGCATCGCGTCCCATCTCCACCTCAGCAAGCCACGACCTCGTGGTAAAATGCCTTTTTTTCCTTCACGGTAGCCTCGGCCGTCGACCGTTACCGTGTGTGGTGGGAGACGAAAGTCGAACTGTCAATTGCTAGCCGCAGCCACCGAAGAAAGACGCTTAACTTGCCTTAGCGGCATTGGCGCCTCGAAAACAAGGGGCATCTCGATAGGTCTCCACTTCTAATATCGCCTTGTAGCTGCTTTGGGCCATCTTCTCCAGCTTCTCTCCAGGCCGTTCCCTTGCAGCCAAGGTGGCCACCGGCCCTTTTGGGACGAGTCCAAATGTGATGGACATTGGCCCGCCACCCGTCCACCTGCGTACCAATCGCCATCGCCATCGGCCACGGCATCTTTGCCACTTGTCTCACTTTCGACGCTCTCCCGACTCTCTATATCACAGCTTGTCCATGGACTTGGAAGTTCAACAACCAACGACGCCACAACTCCCGCTTCTTTTGTCGGCTGCTCCATGACGACTGCATGCGACTACCGGCGCTGTGTCGAGACCAATTCTTCGGCCGGAAACATGTGTCTGTCGCCGGACTCGAGCACAGCACTTGCTCGACCGCGCATCCACGTCAATCAAACCATCAAACGGACTGGCGGGCGCTGGGTCTGGCCCGTGCTCCTCTTGTCATTTGAACATCCGATCTTCCACGGTCAGGACGTACTTCAACTGATCCATGCTGCAAGTCGAGGTTGGAGCCACCAAGTTGCAGTGTACCGCAATCTTACCTATCTCTGGTTGTCCCGGCTCGCCGCTCTCTGCTAACCTAGGTACTGTGTACTATGTAAACTGGCACGAGTGGCTGGCTACCTCGACCATTCTACCGGCGTCCTTCAAACCTCATCTTGACCCTCGAGTTTCTCTAGCCGCATTGGTCATTGCCTTTGGGGTCCCCGGCAGCTTTGGAAAGCTCTGGCCCAACATCAGAGGGTCTCCTTCCATGGTTCAGCAAATGATCGATCAACAGGACTGAGCCAGATCGAAGAAAAGATGCATGCGGCAGATGCTCAATTCGCTGTGAAAATCATCACCCTCAAGGGCCACAGGCTGCCCCAGGGTCCAATTTGCCTTGAGCCACCTGAGCTTTATTCTCTACTAATTACCCGGCCCTGTCGTTGTAGGTCAGGGCCTCTTCCCTTCGTCAACCCATCAGAAGACAACCGTACACAGTCTAGAACTCCATTCTCATCAGCAATTCAAAAATCAGATATGCCAATGCCAATTCAATTTCCTCAGCAAAACTTTTGGCTGACGGCTTGGTGGCCCGACTGTAGCGCTGCACGAGCATCAGCCCAACCGCTTCGCTGCAGGTCCTAGCGAGCCAGCATGTTCCGCGGGCGCCAAATCATATTGATGTTTGCCAGTACTGTTTGCAGGCGACGGCCTTATCATCATCGTTGAACACAATTTGCATCATCGTGATCGATGTTACAGTCCAATTTCTGTATCCGACACTGCATACCCAGGAGGCGTTGACCATCAACATGTCAGGGCGAATTGGCTCTCGCCCTCTGATCTTCTTTGACAAACTGCTAATGCGGATCTGGCAGGTGGACAGGGGCTTCTGAAAATGGGTGTGATGGACAGGGGTCGCCGCCGCGAAGGTTTTCAGCCACTAATCATGCAGTCCCGACCAGCTCAGCGTGGCTACTGGCTGAAGGTCGATTCGTTGCTCTAGGAATGTTGCAATTAGAAGACGCATTGCAATACGGATATGCTGTTGGGATTTGAAAGACAAGATGAGGCGGGTCACTTTACGCCCTTGGAGAATCGACAGGTTTAGTCATCGAATACGAACAGTCATTTACTACGAAATACCCAGGCATCTCATCTGCTGTCATCTATATCCGCGCGAGGCGCAATGCCGCTGCTTATACTTATTCTCCTAACAAACTCTACCACGTCCCACCACGACAGGGTGAGTTCAGGGCTCAACCTGGAAATTCGTCGTTCCAGAGACAGAGACGAACATGAGTGTGCGTGTGTGCCTTCTCCAGAAGTCTAATTTTGGACTCGTACAGTCAGCACCCGCGACAGGATGTCATCGGTTTTTTCCTTCGTCTACACCTTTATCCAGTATTACTTTCACAAGTTTTCAGGAAAGGCTCCTTTGCCATTTGTCCCGTACACATCCCACCATGCCCGTGCTGTTCTCAGCACTATGTCTTCGTGAGAGTCTTCGGCACTGGTCGCTACCAGCCTTTCTTGAACACTCGCGAAATTATCCCTATCGATTTGTCCCAGTTCTGGCCAAGATGCAATGGTGCGTAGGAACCACCAGACTGACTCGTTGTACCACCGGAGAGATTCTGCCAGACCCAGAGCCTCATTGAAAACCAATGAGGCTGTCTCTCTGTCGTCTTTCCCCAGTCTATCCAACAAATGAGCGAGGAAAGCCCAGCCAGAAATATCGGATTGATGTCTAAAAGACCACTTTTTGACACTCTGGATTAGTGGCACAAGCACGTCGGGCTCTGGAACAACCAGGTATGTCTTTGTCAACCAGCGTGCATGAGTCCATGCATAATAGTTACGCGGATGTCGCTCGCCAGCCATCATGACGACCGTTTCGATGTCCTGCTGGACCACAACAGGAAGCCCGGCATCATGGTATCTCTCCGAGAGCCAGCGTCGGTGGCTCCACAACGTTGGTGACTTTGTGTGTCGATGCAGTCGGCTGGTGAGAAGACTATCCACAAACCACTTCTCCCGTGCTAAATACGTCTTTACGGTGTCACGCGTAGAGATCGCGTCACAAAGAAGACGCTTCCTGGTGTTGGCGGCTGAGAGGTGTTCAGGGTCCATCAGAAGCAGAACGCTTGTTGCAGCCATCAACTGATCACGTCCCACAGAACCATCGGTCAAGTGCTTCTGAAAGATTTGCCTGGCGAATAGAAAGGCCTGCACAATGCGTAGCTTGGGAATCGCAACCGCATTTTCGTCTCGCAGAAAGTTCTCGTCCAGCCCCATGGGATGACCTTGGCCGAGGATTTCAATTTCGAAGAGACCATCATCTTTCGACTGCATCAAGAGCCCGGAAATGTCGTTGAATATTTTCTCATGGTCGCCTTGCTTCAGAGCAGAGATGATATGTTTGTTTAGAGCTCTCGACATTGCTGCATTGATGGATTGTAGGACGGGGCCGCTTGACTTAGAGCATGTCTATGAGTCTCACGACAAAGCGCTCGTGTCGGCGATAGTCGTCTGATGGCAGATCTTGAATAGCAGACCGGACCACAGCAATGGGCCCGGGTTCTAATCCAGACGTTGAGGCCGTTGAGGTCTTGCTTGGATGGAATGTAAACGCAGGAGGTGAAGGTGATTGGTTCTTGCTGATTGATGAGGCGGCCAGTGGCTTACAGTGGCTAAGGTCCCCGCTAAAGATGCAATTCGCGGGGCAATGACATAGGACCACGTTTTCCCGCTCACCCAAGGGCACAATCGGGCCCGGTCACACACCACTCGCAACGACAACCTTTCAGCCTCGCCATTACAATATGTGCCGATAGATACCGCAACCGCTTGCGAGTCTGTGATCTACCAAGGGTGTCTACCATGCCCTCTCTACTCGTCATCATCCTCGTTCTTGAGGTGTTCTCCCACCTGGTCAACACTGTCGGAGCTGCCGCCATCAACAATCTGGTCAGTCTGCTCGCTTTGACTCCTCCGCCTCGAGCAGCCGGTCGCGGAAAGATCGCCCATGACTAACAACCTAGTAGCTTTGGACCGCCCTCAACTACCTCCCCATCTCGACCGCAAAGGCAGCAGCGCAGCATCGAAAGCTGCAAACCGACTTTCTCAAGACGCGAAAGGAGCTGAATGCGACCAGCAGTCAGGATGAGTTCGCCAAGTGGGCGAAGCTCCGTCGGACCCACGACAAACAGCTGGAGCAACTAGAGAAGAGTAGTATGTTACACACACTACGTTGCGGTGTAATGCCGGATTGTATGGGAATAACGTCGCTGACACCTACATTCCCCACCATACAGAGCAAACGCAGGAAGCATCGAGATCCAAGTTCGACACCTACCTGACCGGCTTCCGATGGGCCCTCACCAAAGTCCCTCAATACGGCCTGCCGTTTTGGTTCTCCAAGGAGCCCATGTTCTGGTTGCCGTACGGCTGGTTCCCCTATTACGCCGAATGGATTCTCTCGTTCCCCAAGGCCCCGATTGGCAGCGTCAGCATCGCTTCCTGGCAGTTGGCGTGTTCGGGCATAGTTACGCTCCTCACCGAGCTGATTGTCTCGGTCATAGGACTCGTCTTCGCAGCTAAGGAGAGCAAAGAAAAGCCGGCCAAGGTTCCTGCGTCGTCGAGTAAGACAGCGTCCAAGACCGCGACTGGTAGGTCCGAGACTGGGAAGAAAGAGTTGTGATGCGGTGAGGCGCCTGTGCCGACGTGGCGGGCACCTTAAGCAAGCACTTAGAATGAAAAAAACATCTTCGTCTCAAATGGAATATCCCAACGTGACGATGCTTGAAAATATTTGCTTGTCCACAACCTGACTGTCACAAGTTTGCAATAGACACGAGACTCGGCGCATTTAAACAGACGGAGCATATACACAACGTTGATATCCGTATTTGAGGTGAATTTCTAGCGGACGCCGCAACCCGTATCATTACGATAGGCGGATGTTGAGTTTACTATGAAGAACGAAAGATTTCGTGGGATGTATCTCGTCTATTTTGACGCAAAGTTCTTAATTGCAAGGCTAAGACTTTGTAACACGATCAAGAATAACCCTTGGCAGGGTATTTGGGGTTTGCTCTAGGCGTCATATTGACTTTGGTGACCATTTGAGTCCTTGCGGACGGCCAACAAAGCTTCGAAAGCGCCATCTACATGTGTTTCGTTCTCCTGGGAAAGTAGGCCGAGTTGATAGTTAGTGATTGGATAGCATTTTCGAAGCTCATGAAATAGTTCGCGCGGCTGGCAATAGCAGCTCCGAGTCCAGAAGCCGTTGCTAAGTGTAGTAATACGTCGTCAGGTGTACAGTTTCTCAATGGAAAATGGCCTGGTGGCAGGTATTGCTTGCTGCGTCTCGTACATTGAGATCGTTGTGAATGTAGAAGAAAGAGCTGAGAAGAATCAGCTGTGGATATTTCGCGAAAAATATTTGCGAGGGAAGTGCACCGCCACAGTCCAATTCTAGGTCGCGCCACATTGGGAGGTACCTTTGCAGGACACACCAATTTACCGGAACAACCAACCAGCCGAGGACCGTGCTCAGCCCCATCGTGCATTCGTTTGGGAGGCAACGACATCAATTTAGCAGCTACGTGCTTAGTCCTTTCATCGACAAGCTTGATCAACAACCCCCTCGAACGGTTCGGAGCTCTCGCCATACGTCAAGATGGCTCCGGCACAGGATACCATGTTTCGCTCGGCGAACATGAGTATGGTGCAGCTGTACATTTCGAATGAAATCGGTCGTGAGGTTGTTACGGCGCTTGGAGAGCTTGGTCTTCTCCAGTTCCGAGATGTACGTTGCCAGCCCCCTTCTCTATACCGCCATGGCCGAAACGAACTTTGGAACTGACGAGTTGTATTGATTTTAGCTCAATGGCGATGTCAGTGCTTTCCAGCGCACCTTCACTCAGGAGATTCGAAGGCTCGACAATGTCGAACGCCAGCTGCGTACGTCATCATCCCTATCGCGCGTCATGAAAGCCTTGGTCGGATAAACTAACATCGTGGCAGGTTACTTCTACGCCCAGATGGAGAAGGCTGGAATACCTCTTAGAAAGTTCGATGTCGATGCCGAAAGACTCGCCAACCCGTCGACCTCCGAGATTGACGAACTCGCCGAGCGAAGCCAGAGCCTCGAGCAACGCGTCTTCCAGCTTAACGACAGCTACGAGACATTGAAGAAGCGCGAGGTCGAGCTTACCGAGTGGCGTTGGGTTCTTCGCGAGGCTGGCGGTTTCTTTGACAGAGCCCACGGCAGCGTCGAGGAAATCCGCGCTTCTACCGATAACGACGACGCTCCCCTGCTCCAGGATGTCGAGCAGCACAACTCTGCCCCCGAGGTCGAGCGGTCCTTCTCTGGCATGAACATTGGCTTCGTAGCTGGTGTTATCAATAGGGACCGTGTTGCCTCCTTCGAACGCATTCTCTGGAGAACGCTGCGTGGAAACTTGTACATGAACCAGTCTGAGATCCCCGAACCCCTCGTCGACCCCACCAACAACGAGGAGATCAACAAGAACGTTTTCGTCATTTTCGCCCACGGCAAGGAGATACTCGCCAAGATTCGCAGGATCTCCGAGTCCATGGGTGCTGAGGTTTACAATGTGGACGAGAACAGCGACCTTCGTCGTGACCAGATCCACGAGGTCAACGCTCGCCTTAATGACGTTCAGAACGTTCTTCGCAACACTCAGCAGACTCTGAACGCCGAGCTTACCCAAATTTCTCAGGCTTTGTCTGCTTGGATGGTCCTGGTGACGAAGGAGAAGGCCGTCTACAACACGCTCAACAACTTTTCGTACGACCGTGCTCGCCGGACACTCATTGCCGAGGGCTGGTGCCCAACGAATGATCTGCCATTGATTCGTTCTACGTTGCAAAACGTGACGAACCAAGCAGGACTCTCGGTACCCTCCATCATCAATGAGATCCGCACCAATAAGACTCCGCCCACGTACATCAAGACGAACAAGTTCACCGAGGCATTCCAGACGATTGTTAACGCGTACGGCACTCCCACCTACCGGGAGGTCAACCCTGCACTCCCCGTCATTGTTACATTCCCCTTCCTCTTCGCTGTCATGTTCGGTGACTTTGGCCATGCCGTCATCATGGTCTCCGCCGCCCTCGCCATGATCTACTGGGAAAAGCCTCTCAAGAAGGTTACTTTCGAGTTGTTCGCTATGCTCTACTACGGAAGATACATTGCCTTGGTCATGGGTCTTTTTTCCCTTTTCACCGGTCTTATCTACAACGATGTCTTCTCCAAGTCCTTGACGCTGTTCGACAGTGCCTGGAAGTGGGATGTTCCCGACGACTACAAGCCCCCTCAGACCCTGACTGGTAAGCTCAATGACCACGGGTACCGTTACCCCTTCGGTCTGGACTGGAGATGGCATGAGACAGACAACGACCTTCTCTTCAGCAACAGCTACAAGATGAAGATGAGTATCGTTCTGGGTTGGGCTCACATGACCTATTCCCTCATCTTCGCCTATGTCAACGCTAAGCACTTCAAGAAGCCGGTTGACATCTGGGGTAACTTCGTACCTGGCATGATCTTCTTCCAATCCATCTTTGGATACCTGGTCATGTGCATTCTCTACAAGTGGTCGGTCAACTGGAGCGACCCGCAGAACCCTCGCAACCCGCCTGGACTATTGAACATGTTAATTTACATGTTCCTGCAGCCCGGTAAGCTCGAAGAGGGAGCGCAGCTGTATCCAGGACAGGCCACTGTCCAGGTCTTCCTCCTGCTCTTGGCTGTCATTCAAGTCCCGATCTTGTTGTTCCTGAAGCCTTTTTGGCTCCGCTGGGAGCACAATCACGCTCGCGCCAAGGGTTATAGGGGCATTGGAGAGAGCTCCCGCGTCAGTGCACTCGACGGCGACGATGACGAGGACCACGGAGCCAACGGCCGCCCCAGCTTTGAGTCTGATGGCGAAGGCGTTGCTATGATCACCCAGGACCTGCATGGTGACGGCGAGCACGAGGAATTCGAGTTCAGCGAAGTCATGATCCACCAGATCATCCACACCATCGGTAAGAGATGCAAGATTCAGCAATGAAGACGAATGATGATACTAACGATGAATACAGAATTCTGCTTGAACTGCGTTTCCCACACAGCTTCTTACCTCCGTCTTTGGGCCTTGTCACTCGCTCACCAGCAGCTCAGCTCTGTGCTTTGGTCCATGACCCTTGGACCCGCCCTGGGTTTCTCTGGTATCTTCGGCTCTATTGCTATCGTTGTGGTCTTTTACATGTGGTTCTTCCTCAGTAGGTTGTCATATCCCCTCTCCTCATAACAGCTACTAACAGCACATCTAGCTATTGCCATCTTGGTCATGATGGAAGGTACCAGTGCCATGTTGCACTCCCTTCGTTTGGCCTGGGTCGAGTCCTTCTCCAAGTTCGCAGAGTTTGCCGGTTGGGCCTTCCAGCCATTCTCCTTCACTACGACATTAGAAGAGTCTGAGGAGCTGAAGGAGTACCTCGGTTGAAAGGCTTCAGCTCGAAGTTTCTCGAGAGTGTGATTTACTGCATTTTGTTTTTCATTGTAACCTTAGTCCCTCTGTAACATAGCTCAATGCACTAGAGCATTAAGTATCTTAACTTGCTGACCCCCCTGCAAATTGTTGTGAGTGTGGTTATACTACATGACAGCGTAAATACGCCGTGAAAAGAACCTTGCATCCAACAGGAAAAAAAAACCTTGTAGAGTCTAACCCCACAGCGGAGCTGTGACCTCGGCGGCATGCTCGCAAACGCGTCTGACGCGATCAGCAAAAGCCTTGTGACTGCACTCAACCTCGAGATCCTCCAACCACACGACAGCCTCCATCTTATCGACCTTGATGCGGATGCCCGGCACGGGGATGCCGAGCTTGAGCAGGCGCTCGATCTCTGCGCGGCGCCGCGCCTCCAGCTTCTTCTCCTGCTCTGCCCCCTCCTCGTCGTCGGATACGTCCATGGACGCGTCGCTCGCGTCGTCGGCCTTGATTGCCTTGGTGGGTGCGGCAACGTGCTCAGGCTGCGGCGGGAGACGGGGCTCGGCGACTGGGTTGACGTTGTCGGCGCCGAACTGGGCCTCGAGGAACATGAGGAAACGCTCGAGGCGCTCTGTGGCGGGAACGCTTGCGTGTGGATTCTTTGGAAGGTCTTTCGGAGCATGGTCGTGGCTGTGGGAAGCCGCGGAGCCTATTGATCGAGGTTAGTGAAATGCGAATCTATTTTTTCATAGAAACCTGGGGCGGATGGAGGGGAACCTACGTTTTACGGCTGCGGGACTGCTTTCGATGGAGAAGAGGCACGCCATGACAGCGTCGGCGATACCATCGTTGAGCATGTTGCCCTCCCACTCCAGCTCGACCTCTCCGTCGCTGCGGTACCGCACGGCGACGCAGCCCATGACCAGGTATGCGGCCACGAGGCGGGCGACCTCCTCGTCCGCCGCCTCCTCGCGCATCTCCTGATCGTCATCGCTCTTCTCTGTGCCATTGCCATTGCCGTTGGCGACCGCACCCGCGCCGTCAACCTTGCCAGCGTGGTGGGCCGGGTGACCCTTGCGCATCTCGGGGAGCTCCTCGACGCTGCCAAAAACGCCCTCGAGGCCCCAGCGGATGAGATCGACGCCGGCGGCCGTGAGGCGGAGGCGCTGCTTGCAGGTGATGGTGGTGGTGTTGAGGCCGGCGTACTCGCGGAGGTCCTCGGGCGCCATGAGGGAGAGCTTGAAGTCGTTTTGGACGAGGACGCCCGTGACGAGCTGCTGCGGGAAGGAGTCTGAGAGGGAGGTGGGAGGTGGGATGGTAGCGAGCTTGCCGACGACTTTGGCGGTCTTGTCCTGCTTGAAGGGGATGCGAAGCTCTTCGCAGTTCTTTGGGCTAAAGACCTTAACTTTTGCCGTTTTGTTTGCGTTGAGTGAGAGGAGCTTGGACTTGAGTCGCATCATGTTATGTTGTTCGCCGTGGACGAGGATCTTGGAGGATGTTAGTCCATTTGTTGTTGCCTCGGAGGCTTGGTTCGGGAAGGGGGATAAGGGGGGGTTCACTCACTACGACTGGTGCCGCAACTTCCTCGATGAACTCGCGGTTCTCCGTGCCGTCAACGTGAGCCGCAAAGGAGTACTCGGCAACGCTGCACCGACGGGGAATAAAGACCTTTTCGCTCTCTCCACCGGGGCCGCGTCGGGCACCCGCCGTCGTCCGGCTCATGACCGCCTGGATCTGGTCGGGCTCCTGCATGATCTGCTTGGCCATGGTACCCTCGACGCTGTAACCGGTGATGATGACACCGTTCTTGTCGTTGGGGGCCCACCTCTCGAGCAGCTCTCTGCTCACGCCGTTCTGCAGCATACCGGGGCTGGCCAGCATAACGCAGCCACCGACGTCGTCAAAGCGGTCGAGGTTCTTGAGGGAGCGAATATACTTGAAGTCCCAGGGCCCGCCCTTGCCGGAGCCGTCGCCAGAAGCCTCGGCTTCGGCCATACGCTCGCGGAAGAGGCGCTTGATGTTGTCGTTCATGGCGCCGACGTAGGTCTGGTAGACGACCATGCACTTCCTGGCAAGGTTGCTGGCGTAGTAGATTGGGAACCGCTGGAAGTCTGTGTGTTTACCCCAGTACTCGTCCAGGATGAGTAGAAGCTCCTGGGCTCTGCCGAGGGCGAAGACGGGCATCAGGACTCTGCCCCCGCGGTTGAGGATACTGGTAATCGACTTCATCAGGGCCTGCTCGCGCTCGAGACGAGGCACGTGGGAGGCAATGCCGTAGGTCGACTCCGTGATGAGGACGTCGATTTTGACGCCTTTGGGGACCTCGGCGGAGACCAGATGTCTGTCTTGCTCTCGGGAGTAGTCTCCAGTAAAGAAGATTTTGAGACCTGCAATCTCAATGAGGAACATGGCCGCTCCGAGGACATGGCCAGCAGGATAGGGCGTAATGCGAATCGAGGAGATGGTGTGTGTTGTGTGGTAATCGATGGCCTCGATTTGAGGAAAGGTGTTGAGATGGTCTGCTTCCGTGTAGACCGGCTGTGATGTCGGGTTGGACGATGTATTTCCAACACGGACGCTGTCTTGAATGAGCCACTTGTAAATGGCCTTTGTGGGATGGGTCATGAAGACCCGACCTCTGAAGTTAGTCTTTGATAAGACGTATGGCAATGAAGCCGCATGATCGACGTGGAAACTGCCACTTATTAGCATGTTCAACAGCAAAGTGTCATTCAGCGCCAAATGCTCCAGGACGACAACGCCAAGAGCTATCACAACAGCGAGGACGGCAAGGCAAGGCAGGTGGGAAGAAAGAAGTCTTTGTATTGTTTCTGTGTACAAGAATGAAATAGCATAAGAGGCGTAGCAAGAGGCTCCATCAGGTTTCAGAGTCGCCGAGAGGCGCTCGCCGTTCCTGAGCCAGGGACATGATCCCAGGTATTGGTTTCCAAGTTCGTTCACCGCCTTGCCCTGTGATCCAACAGCATATGGGAGGGGAAGGGGGGCTTACTGGCTGATCAGGAGTACATCGACCGTACTAAGATCGAAGTCATCGAAGAAAGGCAGCGCCGCAAGGCCATCGTACGCTGGATGTTGGCCTGCATCGAGCTATGGGAACATCACTTAGTCAGTATCTGCCTGCCCAATTGACGAAGGGAGCTTCAGCTCGTACCATGACCGTCTTGCCCTTGTATTGGATGATGTGACATGATCTGCCGACTTCATTTCCGCCTCCGAGACAGAGAAACATGAGCTCGTCGGCAGGGTCGACCGGTTCTTCAGAGACGGTGGCAGCCATGGCCGAGGCCTTTCTCTTTGACGCCATCGTTGCAAGTGTCGCAAATCGCAAACAGTTGATCGGTCTGTATTCGCAAATATCGCACCGATTGGTGACGGTTAGTGCCCGATTAGGTCATCTGTAGCAAACGAGTTTGTGCGAGATGGGTCGTCGATGAGGTGGTGACAGTGTTGCCACACGCTGGAGCAGAGGAGTCAAGTTGCAAGCAACGGGAAGTCGAAGAGCGACGCGCAGTTGCCACAAGGGTCGCGTAAAAGTTGGCGGCAGCTGTCTGGCTCAATTACCAAGCTTCAGCCTGGACGCTCGGGCCATATCGCGCCTAGCTGGGGAGAAGGCTGCGTCATCACGTGACTTTAAAGGAACGCGGTCCTCAATTCTCTCTAGCGACAGCTCTTGCTTCCACATAGGTGCTCAGAAACCTGTCACTCCGATCATCATCAGACGACCAACACGACAGAATACCACGCACGCGCAACATCAAGCTGTCGCTGAAACGAAATCCCTGCGATCCCGACGCGCATTTTTCAAGTTTTGTCCTTTGGCCGACCCGACCGGCACGTCAGATGGGCAGAGTCGCGTGAGGATTGCTCAGGCTGTCCGGCTTGCTGAGCTTCACCAGAGCGGCTTCTGACCAACCTCTTGTTTCGATCGCAACATATCTCTATTGCTTGTAATAACAGCCGCGACTATGGCGCAACCTCAGCCTCAGATGCCACAGAGGGCATTCTCGCCTCCTCAACCCTCACCCTCTCCTGCTGCGACGCAAGCTGGCTTTGCGCCTCCGCCTAATAAAAGACCCCGACTTTCACCTGGCGCAACCCCCCAACCCGAATCGCCGTATTCTACTTCGCCTTATGCACCAAGCCCAGGCGCCCCGGCTACTCCTTCCACGGCCACGACGTCCGCGGGATCTCCTATCTATCCGAGCGCTCAACAGCAGCAGCAGCAGCAGCAAGCTGCGACGCCGACCTACACGGGACCATACCAATACACAAACGGCAATACGACTCCGTCTCTTGCTCTGCCATCAGCTCCCACTCCTCCGCCTTCAGTGTCAACACCGCAGCCGCCAGCGCCGCCCACTCTACCGCAATACACCTCAGCAACTCTGGCCCTCGGAACCATTAACACACCTGGCACGCCCATCATGCAGCAGCCTTCGACTCCAGGAGCGATGGGTCCGCCCTCGAGACCTCCCGACCGACCACAGAAGGAGTACGAGTACGACGTCACGGACTCGTTGGCAGGCACGGGCATCGATCTACGAGCTGAGGAGCAATTCCTGTCCGAACTGTACGTCCCGGAATCGAGAACAGGCTTCGCTCCCTACCCCCAAGGCAGCAAGGGAAGCTTTTACGGCGCGGGCCCAGCGAACCAGCCTGCTCAGCCGGCCAGCACCGACACTCAGAATCAGTTGGTAGCACAAGCGGCGGAGAAGGCATGGCAGGAGTCCGCAAAGCGGCTGGCTCAGACCAGGACTATAGAGTTGAACAATGCTTTCTTGCAAGTTCCCGTTGTCTATCGAAAAGCCGAAAAGTTTGCGAGAGACCAAGGCTTGTCGCTCAACCTCGAGATCAAAAATAGCAATCAGCCCATGGGAAGGATGCGTCTGCCTGAAGAGTTTCCCGCGCCTAATGTGACGGTTACCACGAAGAAAGGACCGGACTCGACCTTGGTGACGACGGTGGGAACCTGGATACCTCAAGAGGCTTTCTTGGTCGACCAGTTGGCACTGCTTTCACTGGCTACTAAGCAACGGCTCAGAACACTAATGGAGGACTCTCACCGAATCGCAAAAAATCGCCAGACTTCGTCGCATGGCGAGGTCCCTGAGGAATGGCAGATAGCTGCGGCACCGCTGAAAAGCGCCGCGGAGACGCAGACAGAGGATGGAACGCAGCAGACAGGGACTGAGAATGGCGCCAGTCCTCGCCCAAGCGCTCAGAAACGTCTGTGTACACATGATCCGACTCAAAATACCATGCTGACTCTCACTCAGGTCCTCTCGAAGATGCCAGTTCCAGCCAGGCGAGCAAGGTTCAAAAGGTCTCTGCTACGAATACCATGAGTCACACAGTCCGCGAAGTGGGCAAGGCCGAGCGAGACTGGGAGGAGAGAAGACTACGGAAGCGCAACGCCCGGAAGGATGGAACCGCAGAGGTCGCATCGGCGCCATCCCGTGCGGGCTCTGTCGCGCCTGGTACTCCTGGCGGTTCGGCGCCGGATTCGGAGAAGGCCATCTCGAAGAAGGAGCAGAAGAAACTCGATGCTGTGAAGAAGGCAGAGGCTAGCAGCCATGCCAATCAGAACATCACGAGTAGCATGTTCGTCGGTATGCCCAAGACAGGATCGCTTTTCGGAAAGAAGAAAGGCGGTAAATCTTACTCATGGATGACTGGCGGTGCCAGCGGTGCCAGCACGCCGAGACTTGGTACGCCCGGAAAAGCGGGTGCCGCAGCCGCCTCGGGTCCTCCGGCACCTGCCAACCACGCGCTTACCGTCGAGGGACGCGCACGACTCGGCAATTGGCGCGAGGATAAAGAAAAGGGCAAAGGGATCCAAGTTCGAGACTGGGTGGCAGCCCTGGAAGGCGACGAAATCGAACTGAGGGCTATGCAGGCAGCTTACGATAAGCTGGACACGTCGGAACCCAAGTAGGCATCGGGCAACGTTTCAGTCACCGAGCACCGGAAAGAGAAACCGACTCACAAGTCTGTGGTGTATTTTTATTAGCATGGCGTTACGCAGACAGCATGGATAGGAAAGGGCGGTCGGTCTGCATAGTAGTATCTTTCAGGGGACAAAAAAAGGGCGGCCAAATGAGCCAGGGCCGCGAGGATGCAGTAAGACCGAGCCTACAGATCAGGGAGAAATGACGGAAGGATATCTTCCCCTAGCGGCTTGGGAGGCAGACGGCGGGAAAGATTCGGTCAAGGATCTGATCCCCAAACAGGAGATTACTGAACGTCGCCAAGTACAAATCGTTTCTTACAGCACAACAGATTTTCACGGTTAGTCTTCTCGGCAAGAAAGTGAGTGAGAAAATTGTGAGTAAGCAGCCATTGGCAGCCGTCACTGTACGCAAATGATGCATGTCTCGGAGCTCTCTCGGATGGCAAGCCAGACTCTTATTCGTCTATACGTCCGCAAGCGGCGACCTCAACTGTGAGATTGGATCCGAGCCGAGCGCTGAATCAGCCGTGGCAAGATTGCGAATATGAGAGGACGCATCTCTGGACTAATCACTTTCTTCGATGTCGTCACGTCGCGGTGATGGGTCATCACATCCTATTCCATTTCGATGGGATTTCTGATTCTGTCCTACCACCTCGGGTGTGCCATTCTCCTAGCAGCCGTTTCCGCCCCAAGAAGCTGAATCGCTCGGTGGCTGCGGGATCGACTTGGAGTGGAAAAGTTCGGCACTACGGTTTCCAAATACTTGCATGGGCGCTTGCCATCGTGCTTCTTTGACCGAGATGGGGAAGAGGCTGGGAGGTAAAGGCGGTGGACAACGTGGATGGTGGGCATCAGGCAAAACACCATTTCGATTCCGACAAAGTATTTTCCCATCAAGCCCGTGGTTGACAAATACTTGCTTCGAGAAGACCTGGTTGACTGATGACTGAAGCTTTCGCATGAGCTTCTGCCTCACCCTTGCCGTTGTTTGTTGTTTAGCGTAAGCTCATGTGGAGAACGGCGGGCAAACATTGGGGGGGGGTCGCAATGTCCTGACATCGATGGCGTTCGGTTGGGGCTGCCGCTAAGACCAAGGTGGACGAGTTGGGACTGGGCTTTCTCTTCCTCTCTCTCTCATTGAAGTATCCGTGCCTGCACTTACTGCGCAACTCCGCTCCAACAACTCGATTGAGATCGGCGGCAAACATAATTGGGGGCAATCGAAGACTTCACTGCAGGTCTTTCTGGCTCGCTCTACCCCTTACGGAACATTGCATGGGGCCTAGCGGTGAGCCGGACTCGACTCCGGCCCTGGGACGCACGAACTCCGTTACTCCGGAGAGAAAGGGTACTGTACATATGCGCATCGCACTATTCACTTATTGCCTTAGTCTCGCCGCCGGACTAGGCCGGACCTAGTCCGGCGGCGGGGGGACGGCAAGGAAGGCTCCAAAGAAGACTGGAAGATCGGGATCTCGTGCGAACTGGCGTGTGCTGGCTTCGGTAGGCTTTTACTTGGGCGGCTATGCTTCTCTGAACGCCACTTTGTGATGCGTTTATGAGCCGCTAGTGGTTTTCTGGACGAGAATTACAATTACTTTGCTGACATCATGGCTGCAGGTGGACGGCAGGTCATGGTTGAGGCTACCTTGCTGGGTGAGCATGCGGGCAAGCAAATGAGGATTTCCCACGCATACAATCACGAACCCATTGCGGATGGGATGCCGGAAAGATGGCGTTTGATTCTTTCAGTTTGCCAGTGTATAAAGATGACAGCCCGGGGTGATCATTTTCTTCTTTGACTGTTGGACACAAACCAGCACGACACAACTGTATCAATCTCCTTGATTTACAACCACACAGCATTGGTATAATCATCAAAAGCCGAAATGGTCAATCTAATTTCAGCTACGCTCCCGGTTGCTTTTGCGGCCCTGGCCGCGGCCCGGTCGTGCCAGAATCTCACTGTTGAAGTTTCGATCACATCCCGCAACGGCGTCTTCAATGTCTCAACGCCAAAGACAAACATTGATGTCACAAACATTATGCTAGGCCTGGCACAGCAGGGCAACAACTTTTCAGCGATCCACCTCACAGATGTAAGGACTCTATCATTCGCTGCTTCAGAAGCCGTAAAACAAAAAGAAGCACATACGGTAGCTAATTCATATGCTCATCTAGTACGCCACCGTCGGAGGCACATACCAACTCGCCTCAACATACTGCCAGCCGGATGACGGTCCCGGCCACATCCTTCAGATTCTTACTCACGGCATCGGCTTCGACAGGAGCTACTGGGACTTTCCCTTCAATAATTACAATTACAGCTACGTCGGCCCCGCCGTCGACGACTACGGCTACTCGACCTTCTCCTGGGACCGCCTCGGCATCGCGCAGTCCTCCCACGGCGAGCCCGTCAACGAGATCCAGGGCTTCCTCGAGCTCGCCGCCCTCAAGGCCCTCACTGACAAGCTCCGCGCCGGCGCCGTGCCGGGCGTGCCCTGCACCTTTGAGAAAATCGTCCACGTCGGCCACTCCTTTGGCTCGGTGCACTCGTACGCGCTGTCCGCCATGTACCCGAACGCCTCGGATGGCCTGGTACTGACGGGCTTCTCCGCCAACGCCACCTTCCTCCCTGACTTTTTGCTGGGTGGCGCGTTTATCCAGGCCAACAAGGTTCCCGCGCTGAAAGACTACGTTGACGGGTACCTGGCGCCGGCGTACAAGGGCGGCGTGCACGTCAACTTTTTCGCGCCGGACAACTTTGACCCTGCTATCCTGACGGCCGCGTACAAGACTGGGCAGCCGGTGACTGTCGGCGAGCTGCTCACGATTGGCGGTGAGTCTAGCACGACGAGCAACTTCACGAAGCCTGTTCTTGTTATCACGGGCGGTAAGTCTAAGCGGTCAAGATCATTCATATCCCTTGGATTTGCGCTGACGACGAATGATTCTTAGAACGTGATATCCCCTTCTGTGGCGGTGATTGTCTTGCAACCGGTAACCCTGAGTTGCCCTCGATCCCGGCCGGCGTCTCTCCGCTTATCAAGAACGCAAGCTCCTTTGAGGCTTATATCGTCCCTGACGCTGGTCATGGCTTGGCATTTGTTAGTATTCCTCCATTGATGGAAACTGAACATGATGTTGAAAACTTTGCTAATCCCAATTATCACAGAGCTACTCTCACGTCGAGGTCACTGGCAAGATTCAGGACTTCCTTGCGCAGAACGGCCTTGCCAACTAGGACCCTCTTTCGAAGTCTTTGGTTATTAGAGAATATTTGAGGGACTGTAGTGGCGCAGTTTTTGGAGCTGTTTTTTTTTTATAAAAAAGTCTCTTAGCGAAGTAGGTTATCCTTCTCACGATATCAATACAAGTATTGTACATATTCGACATCATGGGTATTAGGAATTAGTGCAACTTTCACGTTAGTACTCATGGCACTCTTGTCGATTTTGTAACCGCTTGAGAAAAGAAAAGTCTAGACAATGACATGTGGGTATGAGTTCAAATCGAGGTCATGATACACAGTAACGGTGCGCCGTGGATTGTAGCCAGCTAGGTAGTCACAACAAAAGGAAATTCTTGATTTTCTTTTTTTCGAACCATCTGAACCTCTACTCAAAGGGGTACTACACGCTGTATGACACCGGCTTTCGCTGGCCCGGATCCGGACCCGAGGGTCAAATAGGATCGGACTACCAGACTACCCCGAATCTGACGTGAGACAAAGAATCGCCGCGAGACGGAAGCGGAAGGGAAGCTCTCTTAATTGGACCTGGAACAACTTACTAAAGCCCATCTACACCCATTTTTCCAACTCTCTTCAAAAAGCCGCTCCCTCGCTATGCAGCTCTGGTCTCACAAGGCAGCGCAAGACGCCCGTATCCAATCAGGAGAGCAGCACCACCACCCTTCCCTACGCGAGATGCTTGATAACAAGAACGAACCCAAAGCAGGCGGGATTGCGCCCGAGAATATATCGGGCCCAATCCCCATCATTCTGTGCGGCCAGTCGGAACAAATCGGTCGCGGTGTCATTGAGGGTCTGAAACCGGATTATGAAGGTGAGTTTCTTGCCCGAGAGCAGTACGAACTGCCCTCGAACGTTGATTCCCTGCGAACATTACATTCCAGACACGGAATTGGGGCAAGTATAGGAAAAAAAAAAAGTAATGCCTATTTGAGTCCTGACGCGCGTGCAAACCCGACCAGTCATCCACTTCATCACATCAGCCGCCTCGGGAGCCGTCATCATACCAGCCCTCCTGACGTCCAAAACCACTCCACCACCGCAGCACCCGGACACGAGCACAATCGGGAGCGGGAACTACGCCGCTCCCCCACGCGCCGTGGTTCTCGGCAGCGTGTTCGACGATGCGGCAGTCGAGCTCCTTCAGAAAGCCGTCGTTGACGACGATCAAGGTACCCCGTCGAGAAAGGTACCTTGGCTGAGGCATGACTTGAGAAAGCCGGCGCCGCCTCTGGGGCCCGAGTACGGCAAGGCCATGGTCGCGCGTGTCAAGGAGGTGCTAGGACGGTTGGAGGGGGAGGGGAAACTGGGTGGTGAGTATGGAGGTGACGAGTGGTATTGAGGATGATGGGTTGATTTGGTGACGGCAGCCTGTACATAGCATGGAGGGTAGCAATCAGGGCTTGGCAGTAACGCGTGTAGGTAATTAATGATGGCACGGCGGATACAGGCATCACCACCACAGTCGTCAAATGAGTCAGGCAGATTACGACAAAGTTCATTGATCCAGACGAATAACCCGCCATTCATGCTCAAACCTCTCTTCATGGTATCATTAAATATGTGGAGGTGATTAGATTGTCTGCTTCTTCATGCCGCATTCCTCCCCATTCTCAGCACTTTGCGTACCAACATATCATTCATTTCCGGTCCTCCTACGAACTGGAAGTGGAGTTGATGCTGAAGCGGTAGCTGGCCTGAAGGACGTATGGGTCACCGCCGGGCTCGAAGATTTGCTTCTTGCCGCGGCCCCAGGCGGGGTTGTTGATACCGTCGATCCAATCCTGGACCTCGAGCACGACGCAGCCGTACTTGGGGATGGTGCGAGGGAACTTGGCGTTATCGAACAGGCCCTGGGTCTTCTTGAGGGCCACAGAGCCGTTCTGCTGGCCGCAGCTGTACATCTGGAAGGCGTCCTGATCGGTGAAGACTTCGAGCTGAATACCGGACCACTCGGACTGCATGCGAGCGACATATCCCTCGGTGCGCCAGTTGTAGGGGCCTAGGCCGTCGCGGTTCACGATCCAGCAGTTGTCTATCAATGATTAGTCTTGGATGCTGTCTACATCGAGAAATGGCAAACTCACCATAACCAGTGCAGTTGAAACCACAGTTGTTCTTGAGCTCGGGCTTGGAGAAGTCGGCACCAATCTGCTTCGGCGCGCTCCAGAAGTCGTTGACGGAGCCCTTCTCATTGGCGAGAATCTCGCCGGTGGGAATCAGGATGTTGTCAACGGCCACTCTCTGACCATTGTACGGCATGTGAAGGGTATGGTTGAGAACCAGGCTGGTCTCGTTGTTGGAAAAGCCGTCGAGGTTCCAGTAGGTGTGACTGCTGAGCATGATTGGCGTCTTCTTGGTGGTCGGGACGGCGATCATCTTGAACTCCCAGTTCCAGCCGACAATGGTGTAGGTAATGAGCGATACGACTTCACCGGGGAAACCCTCCTTTCCGTCAGGGTCGGTGAAGGAGAAGGTGATGCTGTTGTTGGTGTGAGAGACAACGGTGAAGTTGCGCCAGTCCCATCCGTCAGAGCCTCCGTGGAGCGTGTCGAGGCCATTGTTGTCGTTGAGGTCGGTCTTGTAGGTCTTTCCATCAATCTCAAAGGTGCCGTTCTTGATACGGTTCGCGTAGCGACCAGGAATACCGCCGAAATGGGGGTGCTGGCGATCGGTCTGGTAGTAGGTGGCATTGTCCCAGCCGGCGACAACGTCGCGGGGGATACCGTACTTGTCGTTGATGATCAGGTTGGAAACGGAGGCACCGTAGCGAATAAAGGAGGCCTTGATGTGGCCGCTGGAGATCCAGTACTTGCCGTCCTTGTCGGGGCCTGACGTGGGAGCCGTGGTGTTACCACCGGATCCGCCGACAAACTGGGCCAGAGAGGCGACCGGGGCGAGCAGAGCTCCGACGGCGATGGGGAGGAGTGATGAGCGCATCGTATAGGTAGACCAAGCAAGGTAACAGAGGACTGAAGCGCAAAGCACCGTGGGCCAGAACAGAGGATGATGACGGGATGTCGGACAACGAGGCCTGTGAGAGGGGAAGGTGGGATGAAGCGGGAGCTTATATCCCAATGGTGCTCCCCTCATGCAGGAGGAGCAGAGAGACTTGCACATGGCAGCAAGAATGGGACGATTCTGATCATCGGACCAAAGAAGCTACGCTATGCAGACGCAGAGTGCAGAGAACCAGCTCCACTCTAGGTCGGGGTGAGGTACACCGTACGCCGCTTGCGTGGGAAGAGAAGGGACAAGGGCAGAAAGAAGCGGTAGCAAGGGTCGATCAACGGACTGGATGCGACGGCATGATGTTACTGGAGCGTCTAGAGTCCCAGACGAACATGTGGTGGAATCCTCTCGCTTGTCCGCTGCTTGGTGCTGCCCCCGGGAAGAAGAGAGAAGCAAAACAAGTTGGGCCGGGCTAGCTGACTAGCTAGCTGGTCGTAGCGTATGAAAGCTTTTTCTTCGCGGTCAATTGGCAAGTCACGTTGGGCGAGCCGAGATGCAGGAAGCCGGGGTACGAGCGTGCGGAGATACCGGTACCTTAGTTCCAAGGCAGGTATATCCGTGTACGATTAGCTTTGGAATTGCTCGTGAAGTACAGGGGCGATCCAGGGAGCCAGCTCCGGGGAAGCAGCAGGGCGAGGCTGGACAACGGTGAGGTCCAGAAGGGCCTGATGATACCCTCTCCAATGGGACGCTCCAATGGGACGAGCGGGGTACACTTGGCGCGTGGTTGGCTAGCTTTCAGGAACACGCCGGCAGAACAATGTCCAGAAGTACCTCTGGGTTTGGTTGGCGGGTTGGATTGGAGCAGATGCGACAAGGTCCCAACAGCAAGGAGCAAGAGAAATAAAGTCCGGGGTTTGGGTGCCGGAACCGGAAGCGATGACGACGTTGGGAACTTGGGGAAAGCAGAGATGCCGGGGGTGGGGAGTTGGGGGAGTTGGGGAGATGGAGAAACAGGGTCGAGTCGGTGTCGGGAGACGTGTTTCATTGGTGCGCGTGCGCGTTGTCCCGATGTCCCGATGTCCCGATGTCCCGAGTGAGCAACTGCTCCTGATGTCGCTGGGAGGCGTTCTTTGGTGGCTGCACTGCTGCAGACGCCTTTGTGTCGGGTGGTGTTACAAACGGGTTGAAGTTTGCCGGGGAAATTGAGGTGCGGGGTTTTAGTGCCACTTCCCCAGATGTTGTCCCTGCTTCCCCGCTCTGCCTCTGCGCCACTCGATATTCGACCTCTCCTTTCAAGTCAAGCTTTTTCTAGCCCATGCTGTGGCTGCACCAACGCACTGTCACGAGTTGCCTCAGGGTAGCGCGTTGGTAATTGCTATCTAAGCATGTACGGAGTAGGCTGCCTATGACTGTTTCTACTGGGAGTGAAAGAGACGAGTGAGAGAAGAGCTGGCGTGACTCGTTCTTCGTGTGCCAGACAGTTGTTCCATGCCATTCTCATTCGTTTCTTCCCCGAAGCCCTCATAACCACACATTAATATAAAAAATTCAACATGAACAGCTCCCGATCTGTCCTGCGAGTGGTCGACCAGATGAAACTAATAAAAACAGTGACCATTTGCGGGAATGTTCCTGATTGGCACGCATCGTCCACACCACCCCGGGAAGCAATTCCTGGTCTAAAGCAAGCCACACACACATCCGCCAACCTCCTGGGATATGGCATGTCACCCATGTCTGCAGAACAGAAGCAACCTGTGGCACGTGTGGCTATCCAGACGACGGCTGAGGGTGTCCCATGTCGATATCTCAAAGGGGATTGCCTCACTCCAAAAGCAGCCACGGTCTACATTTTCAAGACGCGGCTTCACAGAAACACGGCCGGACTCAATGACAAATGCAGCTATGCCTTCGCTACGAGTCTATTGCTGCAGCTTGAGGCTAGTAACTTCCCACATCGCCCAAACAGTCAAGAATTAGCGGATGGCTCCCCGTTCCCCTCGAATTCAGTCCAAGTATCTAGTTTAATTCCTTCACATACTTTCCTTCTTAACCGCAACGGATCAAGCCGAAGAAAGCCATCCCAATTCATAGGCGATGGATGTCTCGTTGAAGACCATTATTCGTCGGCATCAAAATGACCACTTGTGAGTGTCCTCCTCGGTACTACCATCCCCCGAACCAGAGTCCCGGGTCGCCAATTCTTGAGTACCTCAGCGATGATGAAAGGTTTTCATTTTGACAGACCTCCTCAAGCCACTTGGAGAAGAGTCGAGCGCGGCTCCCACTTGTATCTCTAGCTACACAAGGAGATGGCATATCCGTCTTGGTGTCTTTGTCGCCGCTATGTCACTTAGAACGACTCTGACCATGCCTTCGGTACATCTCTGCGACGACCAGGGCAAACGGAAGCTTGGGAATTCGAGAAGCTATTGGATCTTGCGGCGAGGCACTTTCCACTTGTTTTTTCTGATAGCAGCGATCTCGACACAAGTTGTGCCAGAGGGGATATTGCTGCCGGTGTCTGCGACAGACTTGGGCAGGTCATTAGGTTAGCTGGCCATGATCTGAGCAGTGTCTGAGGTGAAGGTGAACCCGGCAGTCGAGACAGCCGAAAGCCTTGACGATGAGAAGCCACTTCTCAAGCCAAAGCCTGAACAAGCCTCCTGGGCGGCTCTGGGTGGCCCAGGCCTGACGAGGAGGAAAATGATGCTGGCCAGAATCGCCGCCGAGCATGGGTTGAGGCTTTGCTATGTTCTCGTTCAAGCTCTATAGTGGCATGATTACAGAGTTTGCTGTCTAAATGAAATCGAAGCGGCACAAGAGAGACCAGCAGACTTTTTCTGTTGGTCTAAGATGAAATAACGAGCTTCTTTTCAATTTTGACGAAAGTGGTAGACTGACGATCCATAAGCTCCCCGTCTTTGTCGTCGTCACAATTGAAGTCACAGCATACCAAGACCTTGGGACCAGACCAATGCCCTTGAGGAACGCCAGAGGGTCTTTGTGACCAATCTTTCCCTTGATAGTTAGCAACCTTGGAGGTTCGAACGCCCGATTGAAGGTGGTCTCCTTGATAGAGGGTATGGTTTCTCGTCTTGGTAGGGGCGGGGGGTGATAATGAGGACAAAACCCTCAAGATAAGATGGAGCATTTCTCGCCAAGATATGAAGGAATGTAGACAAAAGCTACTGCCTATCTCAAATTGTGGTGAAGGAAGACTGAGGCATCCCTCGATCCCGTATGTGAAACGACCCTACAGAGAAGCTGCCAGTGTTGCTTGGAGTCGTCTACCAGCTTCCTGCTTTTATTCGCCGAAGGTGGCTGGATTTGAGTTGAATTTACTCACTACTTAAATTAACTAGACCCCCTGCCATGATACGCTCGCTGTAAGAGTTGATGATGGGTGCTTGCCATCTACCTTGGGTTAGTTGTTGCATCTTTACTGGCTTGTTACATTGAGGTGCCATCAAGTCCGAATTTCATCACTATGCACAGCCTGTTCTTCTTAATGATTTAGAATTTCATGCAGCCTACAGCCTGTATTCAAAATCGATCGGCCTCCGAAACACACACTCTCTCTCTCTCATCCTAGGACGCTTCATTTTCTTGCAGGGAATGCAACGTGGAGTTGGCGTGTTTCTTCGACTGATATCAAAACATGTTGTCTTCCGATCAAGCTGCGATTCCAAGGCCAAGTTTCCTCTATGGAAACACGCATGGGATGGTGTGTTTTTGAGTTTCTATGATGGTACCAAATGGCTAATGAGAGCCAGTGGGCTGTTCAAGGTCCGGCCGATCAACCTCTTCAGCGTTTCGGTGGCCCCAGAGCACAAAGAGTCTTTTTGAAGTATCTAGAGATGGACATTCAAAGCTTTTAACTCGCTATGACTATCATATTAGTTGAGACGAAATCGGAAATGTTGAATATCTTGTATTCTCCTTGCTTGAGACTCATCTAGACACCTTAACTTAACGTTGGCGAGCCCGGCATGTCAACGGTACCCATCTACCCAAGCTTAATTCCTCTAGCAAATGGCTACATATGTCACTTAGACACACGCGTACAACTGGATTTTCTACTACATAAGTATATATTCCCATTCATCCTGGGTCTGGAGGGCTGTGCCGGATGCGCCGTCTTCTAGATCGTAGTAAAGCTGGATATAATGCATCTTGAGATTATCGTGAGTAAAATTCCACCTAGAATGAAGGTACTGTGAATCCCCCCCTTTAAGCCAACTCAGCTGGCAGAGAACTCTTCCACTATCCTTTATTTGATAAAGCAAGACACTCCGAGTCTCAGGATTCGATGCTAGAATCACCATACCTTCGGAAGGAGACGACACAGTCCGGAGCTAACACCCATTCCATAACCTCAGTGATGTACACTGGCTCTGATGAAGCGAGCTCTCACAACCGCCTATGCTATTCCTAACTCCATGAATGGACGTCGAAACTTACACGCGGGCTCACACCGCGTGTTGTCTACTGTCTGCTGTGCGGTTCACGGCTCCTACCGAGGTGGGTACCATCGTCACCGACGACAGGGACGTCAGATTGAGTCGGCCGACCAAGACCTTTGGGGACTCACAGCCGAGTCCGTGATTACAAGCCCGCTTGTTTCTTTTCCATCAATCGAAGCGAGTGCTTGGGATTCGGGTATGCTTAGCGATGGAAGAAGAAAGCACCCATCAGATTTGTCTTGATCCTCTGAACACTCTCAACAATTCTCGCTTGTGGAGAAGAAAATTTCAATCCCCCTTCCGCATGTTCAATACACGGGCTCACCTCGGTGAAGAGGCGTTCAACATGCAGGCAATACCGACAGCAGTCTCCTCTTACCTTAACTCGGTGAGGCAACAATGCCAGATGTTGACCTAGGTAGGTCCTGAAAAGAAAGTGCGCAACAGCTCCAAATTCCAGGTCTCAATCGTGGGTTCCTTCCACGCCAACTTTCACAAAAGGTCCCTCCTCTGTTGGGCAAAGTCAATGATCCCGTCAACCTTGAGTTCCTGCATCAACAACAACAACAACAACGACAATAACAATAACATCAACCGGCTACAGGTAGGCACAGCTCGGCAAAAATCGTTTACGTAGCACCTTCTTCTTCGCTTCCATAGAGGTGACGCAAGCCCAAGGAAGAGACGCGGAAGGAAGTG